AAAGCACTCCGGGCTAAAGCCTCGAAAGCCTCCGAAGCGCCCTAATCTTATATTAGGCGGATTACTCCGTGTTCCGGACGGAGTGTCCGTATATTGGCTCGAGAGATGTGCAATTATAGTACATAAAGTGCGACACATGATAATTGCCGAGACTCAGAGCTAGGATCATAGCCAGTAACACATCATACGTTGTGGGATCGACTAGAAAACCCGTGTGCCATCTCACTGCAGCTGTTCGCGCGCTGCACATAACCCCTGTGATCAGCTGCGCCAGACTGCTTCTGGCGACACCCGCTGTATGTCTTCTAAGATAGGTACATTGCATGTTGTCAAGCATGGCTGAGTGTGACTGTTGGCTCCAATGTATTGAAGCTAGTAATAGTAAGTGGTACCTCCATACGGAATAGTCGAATGGAGCTTCCTACGTAGTTGTACGGAGTATGTATACGAGGGGCTGCCCCTCAGGATCAGCCCCTGCATGAATGGATCAACTCATTTTATGATCTTTTGGGCTTCCAACAAGATCAGCATAGGGAGATCAACAGGAAAAAAAGGGAAAAAAAAGAGCGAGCGCATGGACCATGACAACATGTCGGTCTGTGGATCCTGTGACGGTTAAGTACCGAGGAGAAACGGAAAAGGTGCAGCAAGTACTCCGTACATTGGAGCTCATGGGTTTGGAGTCGAAGGTTTTAGGCAATTTCGATAGACTCGCGTGTTGGAGGATGCTGATTGGCCCAACCTCGTCTTTGGGGGAAATCCACGTTGCCTTGACCGCTAGGCGCCGTCATTGTCTCTCTGCACTTTTCGATTTCACATCCACCGTCCACCCAGCAACCTGGGTTTTGCTCCGCCACCAGTCACAAGTTTAACTTCAGACGGGCGAGTCGACAATGAACTCCGCACCTGCACCTGGACCTTGCGTGGCGTCAGGCGTCGGGACCCAATGGATCCGATGGCAGCCTGCATTTCAAATCGCGCCCGAGAGACAGATCTTAGACCTTGGATCGGATCATGGTTCATGGGTCTACGGAGTATCTCGTACGAAGTTCGGGGGCCGACAGAAGAAGACCAGTTGATGACGAAATGTAAACCGTGAGGCTGCAGCCTTCATCGTGCATCATGCAGCAGACCTTACTCCGTACGTGTCTTTATAATCTCAGAGCTCGAGGCGCTGTGTCACAGGGCCCTTGCAAGGTCTGGATTGTGATTGCCACAACTTGTTGGCAGAATCGCCTAGTTTTGAAGCACAGCTGATTCAATGCTGCAGCCTATCGGGGGACGGCAGCGCCTCAGTCTTAGTTTCAACCTTGAAGGACATCTGCGTTGGTACTCCGTACTGGTGTCGGAGGATAATCCCCAGCGATCGTCGAGTCCTGTGAACGGCCCGCCCATAAGCACAAGTGGCCAAGCATTGGGCCAGGGAGGACACATACCGACGCAGTCCAATTTGCAATTGAATTATTACTTTTTTTTCCTTTTTCTTTGTACGGAGTACTCCCCCTATTCCTTCCCTCTTTAAAAATGGTTCTCCTGTCATCATAGTTCACATTTCAGCCACAAACGACGAACAAAGGGAAGCGCACGGGGACAAGGGTGACCCAAACATTCGCATCCGATGCTACACCGTAAGGAGGTGATGACATGGCGCTAAAGCAAGCCAAATTGACTTGGCCCGCAGCTCCCGCTGCATTCCTTGGGGCTAAGAAGGGGAACCGGGCAATCATAACCCCCGACTTGGAACGTCTGGAAGGACGAAGGAAGGTGTGATCGACTCCGCCCCCCCCTGTGTCGCCCCAATAGTGGAGGGGTGTCGGTGGATGTGTGGAGTGCAAATGGTGAGGTTCATCGCTAGTGATGTCCCCTAGTGGATGACCCGTGGACATTCTTTCGGAAGTTACTGTCCTTTCAAGAGTGGACCAAAGGAGGCTGACTTGCGAGAGCTGATGCCCGATCTAGCGCCTATGCTGTAGGTGGTCTCAGACACCGCCTATTACTATACCTGTGCTCCGAACTCCGTAATTCCGTCTTCCGTCCGCAGTACTGTTGATTGGTATGGACGGAGTACGGAGTAGTCTCCTATAACAAGTATACTGTAGGCAAAAAAAAAACATGATACTGGGCCTCGGATCTTGCCTGGCATGCAGAGCAGGTTCCTTTGGGAATCTCGTATTTGCTACTCCGTACTCCTCCGTACGGAGCTGAATCCTGCAAACACATGTGTATTGTGTGCTTAGTTCAAGGGGGGTGATCAGACCGGACTCCTCTTTTTTTTTCCCTTTGTACGGAAGGAGTCTCCGTATCCTTAATGGTGCTGTTACGGTGTGCTCAGTGCATACCATAGAGCGATCGGCATTTTCAGATTGTGTCAGCGGGTCCACCAGGGGAGAGAACTCTGATTATTATGGGACAAATCAGACACATCCCCCTGGCCTTCTGGAAATTGTCTCCAATTATTTCCTCTTTCTCCTTCGGAATTCCAGTGGCCCCTGCAGTGCAGGAAGTGGATCTGCCAATTCCAGTACGGATTACTCCGTACTTGGATCGCTTGATGCCGTGTAATGGGCGTGTGTTCTGCAGGGCATATCGAGATCGGCTCTGATAGTTGTTTGGCAAGGAATGACTGCAATGAGGGTTCCAGGTGTACAAGTCTGTATGGAATACTCCGTATGCGTTCTGAACGATATGGGAGTGCATGTCAATACTCCGTCACTGGTTATCTTTTGATCCTCCCAAACCAAATCCTTCAATATAGATTAATGGCATGAGGGGACAAGAAAACGCCCCCTGAAAAAAAAAAACCACTAAGCTAAGACCGGGCTTCAGTCGGGGATTGGTTTGTTTTTGGCTTTGGCAGAGCCCTAAGCACGATCAGATCCGGCCACGTTGTGAATGGTGGCTCTACCGCTCGTTTCCTGATCGGTGACACGAAGTGGGGTCCTTTTTCACTTGTTTTCTCCATTCTTTTAGTTCCACATTAGTCCAGAGGCCAAGCTCTGGAAATTGGCGCCAATCTGACTTGAGCAGATTGAGAGTCACTGTGCCGTGTTGACGGAGTAGCAGAGAACTAACATCTTGTCTGCAGGTGATATAAGAAGAAGATGGGTGACTGATCACATGGGGGCCAGACCTCCCAACGTCACTGTTCGACTCCATTGAATCCAAACTCAAAAGGCCCAGTTCCACGCGAGTTCAATGATAGCCGAGCTTCCCGCTCAGAGCCATTCCTAGCCTCTTTTCGAGATTGTCCAATATTTGCTCTTTTGGTGGCGTCTGAGTGTGAGTGTACCACGCTCCCGATGAAACAGGTCCACAAAACGTTGACTCGGATCGATACGCTATATTAGCCACACTAGTTGCCCCTCTTTTTCTCAGGTGATACCAGAAGATGACCTCAGTGCTGATCCCTGAAAAAAAAAAGAGAGAGAAAAATGACAAAAAGCAGTTAGCGTCAACGACCTCCGGCCCAAGTTTCTCGTTTCGACACAGCCAAGCCGACCTAGATGATTGGCTGTGAGCCGGTGATGAAAGCCGGGTCTAGTAGTCTATTTCTAGGATCGGAAGTCGGAAAACGTACATCAAAAATAACAGAGGTATCATTGAAGGGAGTCCCAACCAGCAAAGGATGGAACCCAGTGCATGGATAAAGATCACACCTCTCGGGTGGCAATGATGCATCTCCTGCATCATGTACTCCGGAGAGCACTGAACAGTATGCATGGGACTAGGAGAAAATAGCAACCTCACATCCGGGTATGCACGGTACAAAGGAACTTCTTTAATCTAGTTTGGGAAGGGGGGTCTCCCAACAATGACGGTAATTAGGTATCTCCCACTCCACTTTACAACCCCTGTCGAAATCCAAAAAGGCCCGGATGCACACACAAAGTAGTCGATCCTCTCCCATCACATTGTAACCCTTGCGTAACGAGCTTTGGTGACGCTATGATTGTAGAACGTGTGGGGGAGGGCAAAGGAAGGACAAAGTGTCCTGTACTCCGTACACCGGGATTAGTCTCACTGATGCGTGCATTCTTACGGATCAGAGGATCAGAAAGGGCAAAAGCCTTGGGGAAGTATTGGCCGCAGATCGGGCCGGATCGCGGGTCAGTCGAACAAGCAGTACTCCCATGGTTGGAGAGCCAAGGTTCTTGACTCATTGGGATTTATTTTAATTCCAATTTCTGAGAAAAAGTAAAGGTAATTTGCTAATCCCTGATTAGCAGTCAAAAGGGGGGGTTCATAGAACTATAAACAAGGAACAAAAAGGAAACGGCCCCAGAAGACTAGGCCCGTGTGGTCGATTGGGGGACTATTTGCACCTTAAGTACGGAGTACGGAGGACTGCGTACGGAGGACTGCGTACGAGAGTCTATACAATACCAATAATATACCTGTTTTAAATTAATCTATTCTATTCTGTTCCCCATGTTCGCCTCAAAAAGCATGTTCCATGTTCCCACAGGTCCGATCCTACCCCCACTGCTATTTGCTGCACTCCGGAGTATTCCCTATGGGCCCTGGTCGAAACGGTGGGACTGCCCTGATTCATGGATTCGGTTCCAGGTTGCCCTTTATTTGTGTCTAGGCTCGTTTCGTTAGTGTCAACGTCGTGTCATCTTAGCATGTGCGGTGGCATCGTGGAGCTGGGGCGGGTGGTAGATCCCCAGGGCTCCCTGGATTCCCTTATAAGTCCTTCTGCCTTGCCTGGTGACGGATCTTCATCACTCTGGAATTAAATACTCTTCCTTGTCGCTGTTCCTGAACGGGAGCATCGGCCCTTTTTTTAATCTTTTATTTGACTCTACACTACGTAAGCTATCCTTTCCAGTCCATGACTGACTTTATATGCTGACTTCCCCCTCAGCCAACATCTCTCATTCTCTTCTATCTTTTACTTCAGTCCAGTTTCTTATATGGACAATTATTGCTGGCAACCTCAGGTCCCTTCAACAGGCTCCCAAAGTTTTCAAGACGATGCGCCTTATAGCCCATCCACCATGCAGGATCTGGTCCGTGCTTTCCCTCGGTCAAGACATACTCGGGTTATGAAGCCCCGGAGTGCGGGCAACAGCCCTTCATCAGCAATCAAAAAGCGTTCGACCGTGAATCAGAATGTGATGCATGGACTGCCCACTCGATATGAATCGTCTCTGGAAGAAGCCCTTCTCGCCTCAGCGGCCCGGAACTCACGTCCGATTAGTTGGCACCCTTCTTCGGCCAGAACTCGGGGTCTCTCCAACCCATACACCACCAGTTTCCCTTCGGACAACTATGCCGAAATTGATACTGTGTCTGATCAATATCTCAGCCCTGCTGTTTACGGCGGCGAAAACATCATGACATATCCCATGACTGCCGACCCTTCATTCTCCCCTAACGACTACTTTCCCATTTACTCTGGCATTCACGAGGATTTGCCACTTCCACAACACACGCCGGCGCTCCTGACTGGCTCGCAGGTCGAGCCGATCGCGTGGGATGTTCCCACTATGTCCACTGATTTCTCATCAATGTCGCACCCGGCCTCCGACAACTGGACCTTGGACATGCTCTCAATGGGCACCAACATTCCCCCACCGGAGACAACATGCCCAAGCTACGTCAGCGTTCCTTCCCCAGGTGAACTGAGCGGTCCATCAACACCGGACTTCCTCCCCATGCAGCAATTCGAAAATCCCTTCTATCCCACTGTCGAACCTAAGAAGACCGGAAAGGGCGAGGAAGAACTGGTCGGCATGGGACTTTACAACCAACCCAACGGTACACTTGCACGAGCCCCGCAAAGCAAATTAGGCGAAGGCTTGAAGCTCGAAGAAACATTCACACCATCTGAAGAAGATCAGGAGAGCGAGGCCGACGCCGAGGCTGAGCAGGACGGACAATACGAAGCGCCCCAGCAAACAATCCCTTATGATGAGCCTACGCCTATCCGTCAATCAAACTTCTCTTACAAGCAGCCCATGCAGGCCCTGAACCTGCTTCAACGATCTTTCTTCGACTACGATGATGCGGATCAACAGACCATGATTTCACACCCCTTTGCTGGTTTCAATCAGCCCTGCATGAACTATGGGTATGGGTGGATCTGAGATGGATCACCTCGCGGAGGACTTTATTTTTGGCTTTTTTTTGCATTTCATATTGTTATCAGCAGCATAGCGTGGAGTTTTCCTTCCTCTTTTTTGGCGTCGGATACATGGAAAGGATACCCTGGGACGAGTTGACCTGAACTCGCATCTTGCGACATACCTTTAGGTGTACTCGTACACGATTAGATACACGAATTAGCTTAAGAATATTGTTACCCATGAATTCTTCTTCGCTTTTTGAGGTAAAACTTTAGTAGCATATGTTTTAGTGTTCGGAATTATCTCAACTGCTTAAAGAAGTATACAAAAGCGCCCGCTGATTGGCTACGGAAGAAAAGGTTCTCGGTGAAACCACCCTGAAGGAACAACCATCCGCCGAAAATATTTCGCCAGGGTATCAACGAAAAGTCAAGCAAGCAAAGGCAAGCTCATTCAGCATCGAATTAATTTTTATTTTCCTTAATACCATCTCAGGAGAATGGCGAAGGTCATCTTCACGGCTTGGAAGACCAAGTCTGAATTGCTGGATGTGCGGAACGAGTTTTATCCTCCGCCTTCGTACGCTGGACCGGATTTGCGCTCCCATGGATGTGCAGTGGTATGTTACATATGCAACAGGAATTGAATGTGATATTCAGTTGTGTAAGAAAGATTGCTAATTCACAATTCAAGGTCGAGGCTTGGAAGCTGCGCGGCAACGTACCGCACCATGTTGAGGCCACAGCGTTGTTGACGGATGCTATTCTCCATGATGATGCGCAGAGGAATTCAATTTTCTCTATTCGGGCTACATATTCTGCGGCTTTCTGTCGGTGAGTATTTAATCTGTCTTTGATTTCTGTACATGTATGGGGAGAAACAATCATTGTATCCTTGTGAACCATGTCTTATTTTCAATCTCCCTTACATGTCTGGTGAAATGACTAACACCCAAATCTCAGCTTTGTAACCGGTCTTGTGGACAGCAAAATTCACGGCGTTCGCCGAACAATGTTCCAGCGAGCTACGGACCTAGGCCTCCCTGCCTCCTTCGTGGAACTCCGCCACGAAGCAACCCACCGTGAGCCACCATCGCTTGTCGTACTGCGTAAAGCAGCGCAGCGCTCGCTTGAGTGGCTCTGGGACAATTACTGGGCCGGTGTTGGTGATAACTCCGGCGCTGCGTCTGCATTGACCCATGACTCCGGTGCATCTGTCAGGGCCGCCTTGTGCGACGCTCTGCAGCCATTATCCGGATCGGCGGAGTCCGTCTCGAAGAAGCGGAAGCGGGATCAGGCTGTCTCGGTTGCTATGCGGCTTGTCTCGGTTTGTAACGTTTCGGAGACGGGAGCCAGGGATTTGTCCTCTGTTTTGCTCGAGCAGGGTTTCTTAGTTCCCAATGGGCGGAAGTAAGTTTTACTCCCCACCACCTTTGTTCTGGGGGTTTCCCGGCCGTGTCTGGGTGCATCTCTTTTTCGGGGCGTACATGCTAATTGTGAACTTAATAGCCTTGGAGATTCGCTGAGTGAGACATTTAAGGAATGGAGTCCGGTCCTGCAAAAGGTTGCAGAGAGCCATCCTGCTTTCTTGAGGCATTTGACAGAAGATCTGGTGAATGATCTAGCCTTCAAGGACACAGCCGATCTTTCGATTGATGCCCCCTCCGAGGCATTGTATCTGTGGATCGCCAATATTTTCACATCTTCTGCTTGGGAGTTCCACAGGCAATCATGCTCACAGAGCTATGTTCTCCGTGCTTGCGATGAAAGTCCACACCACTGGACCACATTGTTGGCAGATCGGTTAAGGAAGTATGCTAGCAGGGCTAAATCAGTGTCTACTGCTAGATCCGCTGCCAAAAATCGGGTCTCGAAACACAAAACGGTTAGAAATGACTCGCATTATGCTCCGTCTCAGCTCTCAGAAAAGCTGCTGGAACATGGATGGGGCTACCTGGAGAAATGGGATAGTCGACCTTTGGGTGTAGTATCGAGTAATTGAGGCATATCCTTCAGTCATAAAATGCATACGCTGCTGGCAGCGTTGGAGAATTGAGCATCAATATTCCCTACGACGTACATGTATACAAGTTTCGAGTATGTCCCGGCACTCTGTAACGAACAGCCAATCAAAAGCGGCGGCATTACTAAAATAGCTGTCATGGAGCTATCGGAGGAAAATAGTTCCTCCGGATGACGTTTGTAGTCCCGGGAGCTGTACCACTTTGATGAGCTCCCCCCGCACTGTGTTTTGATTCATCGTTGGTGATGAACTTCCTAGGAACTCAATTATTTAGATCTAGCCCGCGTATCTTCAGATCACAGGTCAGAACTATGCACGTTCAATCGATTCCTATGTGTACGTTGACCTCTCCGGTGCATAATCGCGCCATATATATTACCAATCAACACTTGCCAGTTTGAAAGGTTGTCTACGATACTGTAATGATTGCTCACTCGAGGTTATTACTACAGGGACCGGGAAGGGCAATAACTATGCCTACCTCGTGACAGATGAACCGACTAAGCACTCGGTTATCATTGATCCTGCCAATCCCCCAGAGTGAGTGGCATCGGATGGGATCCCCTGCGCGAGCTGAACTGATTTTGTATCATTGCAGGGTTGCGCCGGAATTGAAGTCCCAGATTGATGCTGGCAAGATCAATTTGACCGCCATTGTTAACACTCACCAGTAGGTCCGAAATTCTATGAGCTACCAAAAAGAACTTACACTTGCTGACATTTGCTGAAGTCACTGGGACCATGCTGGTGGTAATGATGACATTGTATGCATGATTCCTCGGTCCGATATGTTTTGTCCGATGCTAAACTCTCAATCAGTTGAAACAATTCAAGGGCCTGAAGGTCATTGGAGGCAAAGACTGCGCGTCAGTCACCCAGACTCCTGCGCATGGTGAAGAATTCAAGATCGGAGATCGGATCTCGGTGAAGGCTTTGCATACTCCCTGCCATACGCAGGACAGCATCTGCTACTATATGCAAGATGGAGACCAGCGTGTTGTCTTCACGGGTGATACTCTCTTCATTGGTGGTATGTCTTCGATTATTCGACCCTCCATCTCCATTTTCGTGGACGGAATATGATAGACTAATCTTGGGGACTAGGATGTGGCCGATTCTTTGAAGGAAACGCGAAAGAGATGCACAAAGCCTTGAACGAGACTCTCGCGTCTCTACCGGATGACACCAAGGTTTATGTAGGTTACTTTTCTTTGTTGTGAAGCTCATACTGACTTTTCCCAGCCTGGCCATGAGTACACCAAGGCCAATGTCAAGTTCTGCGTTGCGGTCTCGCAGACTGAGCCCATCAAGAAACTCGAGGCATTTGCGGAACAAAACAAGCAGACACAAGGAAAATTCACCATTGGCGACGAGAAGGTAAGAACTAAAACGGAGCGATTCTTTTCGATGGAGGCTGACATATTTCTAGCTTCACAATGTGTTTATGCGCGTCAATGTAAGTCCTCTATCCTTCCCCCGTTGTGTCTACCTTGGCTTATTCAATCCCCAAGGACCCCGAGATCCAAAAGGTAACTGGCAAGACCGACCCCGTGGAGGTAATGGCAGCATTGAGAGAGATGAAGAACTCGATGTAAAGTATGGATTCCAATTTAGCGTGCAATTCAACACACATTTAGGCACATGTATGCTGGTTCCGGTACATGTTTGTGGAAAAGTCAAGAGCGAGATTTTCTGAGTTAAAATGGACTGCCAAAGCAGAAAGACATACTTAACTCAAATAAAAAAGATTCCCCTGCCTAAACAAGAAGTCAGAGCAATGAAAGCACTATAGGGCAATTTACCCCGGAAATTCGGGGAAACTGCCCCATGGAGGTTGTTTTTCCCCCTTCGAGGTGACCGACGTCATACCCACTTCCTTTCATGCCACCCACGCCCGGCCAGACAAACAACTCAACAATGAAAGAGTAACTGACAGGGAAATTCCTGGATTTATGCGCGATGGATCAGGCAGTTGCGGATGATGTATGTGGTGCTAGACAAGAGTGTTGCAGTGACTGACTGATGCCATCATAGAGCCATGGAGGGGCGAGCGATACAGACGCCCAGAATCACCTGGAGGTACGCCTCGAGGCTCTACTCTTTGTTCCATACTGAGCGCGTACAATTACCCAGGTTGTCTTCTATCCCGACTCCAACCACCGTCGCAAGTCCTCCCTCGTCATGATGGATAAGCCGAGAGTACCACCTCACCCAGCTCAGAATGACACCACGACCGCCTGCTACGTCCACTCCCTCATCGCAGGCGAATGGACTTCACCCTCTCATCCCCAAAGAGACACCGAAGAAGTGATTCGGACGTTAAATGAGCAGAAGAATCAGCCTTTGGCAAATATCAAAAGCAATGAGCCGGACGACTTGGTCACGGTGGTGGATGGCGACAGTACAGACGATATCAAACCCATACCGACAGTCATCGAATCGAGACATTTGACAAAGAGACAGCTGTCGGATATGGCCTGGAATGTGCGCAAGCTATCGAAGAAGCTGGGCAGCATCAAACTCAAGCTCACGGTGAAGAATGTCTTCGTGGTAAGCAAGGTGCAGGACGAGTCGCTAGTAAGTCTGACTCGGAAAGTCACAAGGTGGCTATTGTCCAAGGACCGCGACTCTATGTACGTGGTCTATGTCGAGCGGCGACTCGAGACACATCCAGATTTTGGTGCGTTGCAGCTGATACGAGACGAGCCTTCTGCGAAGGACCGGCTCAAGTATTGGGACCCCAAGCTGGCGCAAGAACAGCCGCATTTGTTCGATTTTGTGATTACCCTCGGTGGAGATGGAACGGTTCTCTATACCAGCTGGTTGTTTCAGCGTATTGTGCCGCCGGTTCTCTCGTTCGCGCTGGGTTCTTTGGGGTTCTTGACCAATTTTGACTTTGCGGATTATCAGCAGAGTCTTGATAATGCTTTCCGGGATGGCGTCATTGTCAGTCTAAGGTTACGCTTTGAATGCACGATCATGCGAAGCAAAGCACGAATGAGAGATCCAAACCCGAAGGCTCTAGCGAACCGCGACCTGGTGGAGGAACTTATCGGAGAAGAGGGCGAGGATACACTGACACATACTCCAGATCGAGTGTATGAGATTCTCAATGATGTCGTCCTCGATCGAGGGCCGAATCCAAGTATGTTCCTGGTATCTGATTGTGTTTCTTTTTTCGATGTTATATGTTAGGCATCACAACCGCAAACACAGCTGACTATTTGTCTCGCCAGCTATGTCTCAAATCGAACTCTTCGGAGACGACGAGCATTTCACGACCATGCTCGCCGATGGAATCTGTATTGCTACACCAACTGGATCGACTGCTTACAACCTCGCCGCTGGCGGCTCTCTTTCGCATCCAGAGAACCCGGTTATCCTTGTCACGGCCATTTGCGCTCATACGTTGTCCTTCCGACCGATCATTCTACCAGACACGATTGTGTTGCGCATGGGCGTGCCGTATGATGCGCGCACGAGCTCATGGGCTAGCTTTGATGGTCGAGAGAGGTGAGTCCATGACTTTGCAAGATAGTCATAAACATTAGTCTGGTACCTTGCTTTGTTCTCTGACTGACAATGCCATCGCAGAGTTGAGTTACATCCCGGCGACTACGTGACTGTGTCCGCGTCGAGATATCCCTTTGCCAATGTCTTGCCGCTTGGCGGACAGGGCGAGGGTTGGGTGCACAGCATCTCCAAGACTTTGAATTGGAATTCACGACAGAAGCAAAAGAGCTTCAAGTGATTCGAGCATACAACATGCTGTTGCAGTGCTTTTCCTCTGAGATGCCCTTCTGGCTCTTGTTTCTTATTTTGACAAACGCAATTGATGTTGCTTTAGATCCCATCTCTTAGGATACAGCGATGATGCTTCGATTATGGTGTACAGAGGACGTCATTTACGAAAAGAAAAAACCATGAGAACCTGACCTTAACCTGGAACTAGCTGGGAGACTGGAAATGAAAAATTTCTTGCCGATCACTTCGAATAGGAGAACAAGATTGCTCCCAATTTATTTTAGCTAATTTATTAGGCTAGACCATGGGCTTCCACAATATAATTCCCAGCCATTTGTTTTTTTTTTTCTTCTTTTTTTTCTAAGTGGACTCTCTCAAGTAATTTTTTTTTTCGCTAGAAGCTTCGTACGGGTCCAGATGGTTTCCGGGGCAGCTCCGCTCGGCCCTATAAAAGGCCATCTCCCGGCCCGAAAACTTTTTCTTCTTCATCTTCCTCAACCATCTCGGGTTCGAAGTCTTATGTTGGCTTCAAACTCTGAGTCCTGAGTCCGACAACTTTGGAGAGTATATCTGACTTCAAATCTCAGATATACTCTTCCTTCACTGGCTTGGTAAGTCACTTGTTTTGCTTTCTTGCATTTCCCAGATCAGCCAACGGCTTCGCCGTTCGATGATGAAAATCTTCCTACATTCGCAGTTTCCACGCTAGTCGTCGTTTGAACCCAATCAAGGCGACATTGAGCGGAATATCTTCCTTGGATGTCTGAGAACAATTTTGGCTGTTCTCTTTTTGAAATTCTTTCAATTTTTGCAGTCGAGACATGAAGCTAATTGTCTCTCAGAAATAGGAACTCTTCTCAGTGACTGGATCGTTCGATCTTTTATATATCATCGCCTTGCAGGGTACAGTGTCTGCCTATCTGGTTGCACTGTCGCTGCAACTGATTCTTGGTCATTGCTTTGCACAAATCGTTGATATCGTCGAATTTGATGTTATGCTGTGCCAGGAGTCAGAATATCTAGTATAGCATGAATCTATCGCACTTTTATCTACACCATTATACCGTCTTTTTCAGTAGTATTTGTAGCCAGGTCTTGTAGTCTGTAGTTTTCCATGCCATGAAGCCCGCGGAAAAATCTCGCGCCAGGATTGCACCTGATGCAGCTCTGCTCCGCCGTACCTATCGCATCCACTATTGACCCATAGCCCCAAGCCCCAAGCAACCTCAACCTCCCATAGATACCCTCGACCTGATATTCAAGCTTTCAAATCAGTCTTCCTCCGATTTGATTTGGATTGCAACACCAATCCCATGGCGGTACCAACCCGACGTGCCACGATGCTGTCCATCAACAATGGCGGGACACAATCAGGGAGCGACAGACCACAGACATCGCAATCACAGGCTCAGAGTCTATCACAGCAGTCCACTGGGCTCCGAGTGCCTTCCAATCGCAAGACAATCTACGACCGACACCTGAATCGCACTCGTAGTGCAGAACTCAGCCGGGCGAGCTTCGCCTTTCTATTTGGCGAGATGGTCACATATGCTCAACGGAGAGTAACAGGTATCCAAGACTTGGAGAAACGGTGAGCCGGACCCCTGATACAACATTGCGAGTCCTGCATCGCTTTCGCCAGAGCAATTGCAGGGAGCTCTCATATTCCCGCCATTTGCCCACCTGGAATGTCGTAACTAACGACCAAACCCCTCCAGTTTAAATGAACAAGGCTATCCCCTCGGCCTTCGCCTCCTAGACCTCCTCTTCTACCGATCAACATCAACCTCCTCCTCAGCCTTATCAAGCTCCTCTACTTCCTCTTCTCCCCCAAACCGACCCCTCCGCATCATCACTCTGCTGCACTTGATCCATGGCCCCCTCTGGCGGCTTCTCTTCGGCCGCGCCGCAGATGCCCTGGAGCACTCCGTATCTCCAGACACTCCCAATGAGTACATGATTACCGATAATGACCCGATGGTCAACACATATATCAGCGCACCGCGCGATATGAGCATGCTCAACTGTGCTGCTTATGTTGCTGGCATTATCGAGGGTGTCTGCGACGGGTGTGGCTTTGAAACAAAGGTCTCCGCTCATAACCAGCCCACAGAAATGTGGCCCAGTCGCACAGTCTTCTTGGTCCGATTTGGGGATCCCGTTATGGAGAGGGAGAAGGTGCTCGAGAGGGCAGGTGTTAAATAATTTATGATCTCAAATTCGATTGGGGTGTTGGGGCCTTTGTGTTCATCTCGATACCAATGCGTGAAAGCTCGTGCCGTGTGCTTGTTAGCGGGATAGAGTGATGGCGTTCGGAGGGCTATTTCATGATATATGCGGTGGTTACAGCACTCTTGGTCTGGGGCGGATCTTTGATTTCCAGCACCCGTATTCCCTTCACGAAGTCATGCAAGTACAAGTCTAGACGATTGATCCGAGGAATTTCTCAATGGTTCTTGGAATCAGCTGTGGATCTATGTACAAAAGTCCTTGGTTGTTGGCCAGCAGGACATCACACAATACAATTCCTCCAGGAGAGGATATGCCATATTACGTACAGAAGAGTATTGACACATTGGTTGCTCGGAATGCAGTCATAGAAGTAAACCCACCCATGCACATTTTGATAGGACCACGCCCCAACGCCAATAACGAAGTAGGATATCAATCATCGCGAATCAGAATCCACCCGCCGACGTTTCTCCCGGTCATCATATGGCGATGGGCTCCGTTTTCTCCTCTCTCTGGACCGACTCCGCTCATATCGACCTTGGTCTCGATCATCACGCCGGTCCCGCCGGGGCGACCTCGACCTGTACCGAGGCCTCACAACACTAGCATTGGCACCCGTTGGCCCACGATCACCATCATCACCACCCCGACGATCAGGCATGAACCTCTCATCAGTAACACCCTCCGGCGGACCATCTCTTCTCCTCCGATTATCCAACCCATCACCAAACCGCCCAGTATCCTCAGACTTGAGATCCCTGTAGCGAGTACGGCCCTTCTTACCCAACTTAGTCATATCACGAACCTGCATATATTGCGGCAGCGTATCGCGATTGACCTCATCCTCAAACCGCGCACCCATGAGCTCCCGCCGATCCAGGCCCTCTGCCTCAAGATCTCCACGGAAGAAGGCACCCTTGTGGAAATACCGCTGCATAAACCCAGTCTGGCCACGCGTGGCATCGCGCTCCTCCTTCTGCTTAGCAATGAACTCTTGATCCTCGCGCTCGCGCTCATCGGCAGTAAGATTCCGACGACGTTCAATTTCCTCGAGCTCCTTCTCACTAGCCTCGATAGCCTCCCGTGCTCGCTGCACCCGCTTCAGCTCGCGCAGTTCCCAAGCCGCGCGCTCAGCTTCCGGGTCCAGACCATCGGTGTCATCAATGGCTTCTTCATCCTCGGCTTCGACAAGCTCGTCGTCATCCCATGCGCGATTGGCGCTCGATCGCGCAATCGCTTCTTTCTCCAGCTGATCGCGGATCAGCAAGTCGGCTTTTTCTTTTCGCTGGGCAGCCCGGCGGGCTTCGGCTTCGGCTTCTAGATCGGCGGCGGCTTGTGCTTGTGTCTGGCCTGCAGATGCATTGCGCTTGTCTTTTTTGATGAATGTGGGTCGTAGGAGAATTCGGGGTGCTTCGTCTTCGGAACTGCTCTCTTCTTCTGAGCTTTCTTCCTCTTCCTCTTCCTCTTCTTCCTCCTCGTCGCTTGCGTCTGCACCCGGCGCCGCCGCAGTCTTGGATACAGTTGGTTCTACGGTCGTGGGATGGGCTGCTTTTGGTGCCGGTTTCTCGTCTTCTTCGTCTTCGGTAACGAAACCTTCCTCGTCATCGTCTTCTTCGGCCTTTTGGGCTGCTAATGCGCCAGCTGGGAAGGAGCTTGCTTTGGGCGCTTGCTGTCTCCGTCGTAGTGCCTCGGCTCGTCTGCGCCGCTCTTGTTCTCTTTGCGCCTCTTTGGCTGCTTCCTCGTCCTCTTCTTCTTCCTCTTCTGAGGAGGGTTCCTCTGCGACAGGTTTTCCGGCACGGTGGCGGCTAGGCTTGAGGGGGTTCTTGGTCATCCCCCGGGAGGAGGAGAATGGAGGAGGCATTGTGGTCGAATGTGATGGGTGTGAGATGTGGGTATCGATTATGCAAACTGATGTAAAACTTGATTGTTCAGCTTTGGCTGTGGGCCGAAAAATTGCACCGTGTCTCGTCTGTCGTAGGTGTAGTCTTGGCCTTGTTGAATTGACGTATCGGGCTGAAGCTTTTGCTGAAGATTGATATGAGATCACGTGATGATATCGCAAGCTCCAGGAAAGTGACCATCTCAAACTGGAAATTGGATTGTAAGGGAAAATGAAACTCCGCTGTCTAACTAAGTATGTTAGTTTCTCTAACTGAAATAGCTTTCAAACACGACTCGTTTCTTATATCTAGCTCACAAAACAAATATCATCTAAAGTATCTACCATAGTGCGGTTTAATCGCCACGTGACCACGCGTTCCCGCGCCTCGCGTCAATCAGCCTTACTCCCCGCCGGTCTCCAAGATCAATCTCAAGCAACGAAACCCCACCACCACACTTCCAAAGCTATCAAGTCTCTCAACATCAACCGAGATACTATCAATTATTCAAAATGTCCCTCCAAACCCCCCGCATCCTCCCTACTCACCTCCAAGCCTTCCACCCCAACAACACTGGCTCCCACACATACACCGTCCGCCTACTCGGCACAGTTACCGCACTGCACGGTAGCACCGGAACACTCACATGCGGCACAAGCGGCGATGCTACACTGATCTTGAAGTCTGATGCGCGCTTGCAGGTTGGCAAGCTGGTCGAGGTTGTAGGGAAGGTGGCCGATCTGGAGGGTGGACAGGTATGTTTAAGATCGATTGTTCAGGGGCATATATACAAGCCATATCTTGGACACAGTCGCTTCGTGTAACAGTGTACTAATAATTTCTCTCCTACAGGGATTGGGACTCCGTGTGCTGGGCTCGACAGAATGGGGTGACCCAGCTGACTGCGGTAAGTGCTCCTCTGCGATACAAGATACAGAGGGGTCGGACACTGATATATGAACGTCAATTTCCAGACTTTAAGATCTATGAACAGGTCGTCAACGCCACGCATCGCTTCACACCTATCTTCTACAATGTCGAGTAATGTGGAGTTGAGGGATTCGAATATAATGCCATTTCTTTTGCCTCTGAGGGATATGTCCCGGATCTAGGGTGATTTTGGAGTCTGCCACGCAAAAAGGGCAAGGCAGCTTGGTCACGGTGAAATTTTCAGATGGCATGGTCTATTGAAGTCCGTGGAGCAGATGGTCTGTCTTAAAGTTATCTGTCTACGTGGCGCTGTGTCGATACACTCACCGTGACTTTTGTTTTGTGATTCCCCGGCTTTTGCAATTTACATACGAGGTCATGATCAAAGCTTTTTACCAACTAAGATCTCATGTTGAGCTGAGGTTTATAGAAAACTTTAGCTGAAAGTTGGAATTTGCAAGTGTAGAGGGTTCTACTCTCGTATAATAGCTTTCCGGCTCGATTATAAACCCTAGCGTCTCTATAAGCTGTATAGATCTACATATGTATATGGAAAGTAGTTCTTTTGCTATTGAGTATGAATCACATCGTAGGGATTGTAGGTTTTGAAGAGTTCCATGGACAGGAAGCCTATATAAAAGGGTGCTACAGGTTTAGACTACAGCGTTATTGCCAAATAAGAGGATCTATATTTTTCTAGCCAAGTGGAAAGGGGTCAAATATGTAATAATACGTTGAGCCTAAGACATCTGCCTGCTCCTGGCACTTATCCCAGCAGATGACTGTAGCGCGACACAGGATCTCGGGGCCGTGAAAGCTTGTTCCCTCTCACGAGTATCGAATAATTTGCACACATATACGTACATGTAGATTGAGACAGTTGCAATTATCTAGAATCGTGTAGAAAGTGAGAATTCTTATAGGAATTGCTCACATATGAGTGCATATACTTATACCAAATCCATCAAGTGAAGCAACATATCAGCTTCCTATACCATATAGCCTTAGATCACCTTATATCAACAGTCAATAAGTAACCATCAAGAGTTAGAGCTTGGAGCATTGGAAAGTTTTAGAGGCTTCTAGATGCTATGCAAATAGCACTCTAGTATTGTCATGGTGTCTATAACAAAGAACGGCGGTCAAACATCTCAGTCCTATATTATACAACACAAAGAAAATATTATAGGATCAAAATTTTCACCCAAATTAAAACGATCAAGCTGGGATTGAACCAGTAAGCATCAGAGTTAAAAAAGAGAACGCGCGTGGAAGTCAACTTGTTTTATATATAATATTATACACGCCACCCAGGATAAATAGAGAGATGAGCGAATTCCCCGCTACACTACCTACCCTGGGGGCAATCAGAGCTTCGTTACTATATTATTTCTAGGGCATTCTTAACTAACTCATCTATTAAATCAAATTAAACCGATCAAGCTAGGATCGAACTAGTAAACATTAGATTTAAAAAAGAGAACGCGCGTGGAAGTCAACTTGTTTTATATATAATATTATACACGCCACCCAGGATAAATAGAGAGATGAGCGAACTCCCCGCTACACTACCTACCCTGGGGGCAATCAGAGCTTCGTTACTATATTATTTATAGAGCATTCTTAACTAACTCATCTATTAAATCAAATTAAACCGATCAAGCTAGGATCGAACTAGTAAACATTAGATTCAAAAAAGAGAACGCGCGTGGAAGTCAACTTGTTTTATATATAATATTATACAAGCCACCCAGGATAAATAGAGAGATGAGGGAATTCCCCGCTACACTACCCACCCTGGGGGCACTTAGAGCTTTTTTACTATTTTACTTAGGGAGCCTTTGTCAATTATTCATTCATGAGGAAGCTACAGCTTTGTATCTGCCCTGTGGTTATATCAAAAAGTTTCCAAGGTTGACATTGAACCAGATCGGCAATAAGTATAAATGAGATTGAAAGGTGGCATTGCTCCGGGTGCTAGACGAATGGTTCCACACAATCAGTAGTGAGATTTGATAGCGCCATAGTGCCAATTTACTGCCGAGCTAGTGCTGGAATTGAACGGTCCTCCTTACAACCAGGATAACCGACATACAAGAGTTACTATCCTCAAAGACTATGTAGAGTTCATTATGCGGAGGATGGAAGGAGACACAGTAGATTCGAAGTAACTTAGATGAAGACAGAAGAATATGGTCATTGTAATCTTTCATTTGATTTAATCTTTCATGCTGTCATAAAAGCTTGTGAGGATCCACAGGAAGGGCATCCTAGCTATGTAACAATAGATTACCGCATCTCTTTCGGTGGGCTGCACCCACTAAAAGGAGCAGGGTATGTAATATCGGAGTTCCATCAGGATACTCGGGGTCATCGGTTTGAACAAATAAGGAAAAGTCATGAATCTCAGGGTAAAAGTTAGGATGCGTTGCATGTATGCAACGAGGGTAAACCAGGAACCGAACGCCATCGCTGAAAAAACTGCACAAAAAACAATCGAGGTATGAGGAAGAATTGACATGTAGAAGAAGTGATCGATAGATGTTATCCCAGTCTTAGACAGGGGAGGTGGCGAGTTGGCCTTCGGGTTCTGCAGCAGCCGGCTGGGCCTTGGATGCGTCAGTGGAGAGAGCGTCCGAGCTGAAGAACCCGGAGTCGGGAATGGCAACGTCATTGAAGTTGAAAGGAAGAAGGTCGGAGTTGAAGTTATCTTTATCGGAGGGATCAGAGAAAAGAGCATTGAGCAGCTCATTGGCAGGAGTTCCACAAGACTCGGCCGGGGATACATAGTCCGTTGGAAGCCACTCTGCCCAATTATCGCCGGCGAACTTGCCATGGTCCATTCCGAAGAAAGGATCGGGTTTGTCGGATGGATCAAATATGTCGAGAATCATGCCATCAATGGACTCGAAAGCCTCTGGAAGACCATCATGGACAGCCTGTGGAGCCAACGTCTGTCCCTTAGCAGGAGACTTTTGTTGCCGTGGCGATGAGCGAGGACTTCCATGGATTGCTTGGATACGCTGCAAGCGCTCGGCGGACAGTCGAGCCGGAGTCATAACCGGGCCCAGGTCCTTGCGTTTGTTGAGACTTGGTGAATTGGCAGGCAAAGACAATCGCTTGTCAATCGCATTGATCCGAGGGTTGCGTCGGCGAGGAGTAGGGCTTGTTGAATCAAATCCAATGGAAGGACTCTCAAAGAGATCATCGAGGTCATCACCTGGAGTGGGCGCAAGGTTCTCCTTCTGTTGGTGCAACTTCTCATCCTTTGTTGACGCAATGCGAGGGCTGCGACGTGGAGAGCAGCCGTTCACCATAGAAGTATCGAGCTCCTTCAGCGGCCCTTCACTTTGGGCATTTGGGAACAGCGACCTTCTCAAAGGCTTGGGGGTTAGGCTGTTGGAGCTTAGCGCTGGAGTAGAGCGGGCTTGCATACGGCTCGCTGGGCTAGACTTGATAGCGCGTCGCATGGCCTCTCTGGCATCTTGCTTAGACCACAGGCGTCCTGGAGTATCATCTGTTCCATCGAGCTCGGCACTGTTTGCCCGAGGAGGATCGTTGGGGGAATATTCAGCTTCAACATCATGATCATCGTCATCTTCCATTTGGGGAGTCTCCCCTTCAGGGTGAATAGAAGACGCTTCAGTGGGTGCGGGCGATGAAGCTGAGGACTTCTTTGGTGCGGCCTTGCTACGAGTCCTAGTAGCAGGGCAAGAGTTGAGTGAATCATCTGTACGAGTCCTCGACGGGCGCTTTTTGTTCTTTTTGACGGGCTTTGTGGCTCCTGGCTTAGTCCATTTCTCTTCTGGACGCATGTTTTTGAATTTGTGGAGCCACAAACCACAGGGATTGCAAAAGGTCATTTGCAACCACTCAGGATCGTCTATCTCGGCGCCCTTTTTGTAAATCTTGAAATGATGCATCTCACCCTCATCGTTGCGATCTGAAGACTCCCAAAAGAGCATGGAAGAGCATTTCATCATCTCCTCTGCGAGATGCTCGCCTCCCTCAACCGTTTTGACCCATGCGCGACGCCAACTGGCGGTTTCAATGGTCCCGCAATTCTCGCAATACGGCGGAATGGCACCGTCCTGGATTGCCTTATCCAAGCGAGCTTTAATGTTCTTTGGTACCATCTTTGATCCCTGCTTTGATTTTGCCGATTGCTTCGACTGGTTGGATGTCTTGCAAGGTAGGAACGTGACATCCATAGGGCCAGTAGGACGAGGGGCCACGATTGGATCACTAGCGGGAATTGGGCGATAAAGTTGAGGAGCTTCGTTGGGGAAGATCTGTGGTGCCGGTGCAAGTGGTTTTGGGGCCAAGCGTTGTGCGCCGGAGCTTGAAGGCCTCGATCCGGTAGCTGTAGTCGGACGAGACGTAGGACGAGATTGAACGGAGTGAGATGTGGCAGCACGAGATAACGGTCGGGGTGTCTGCTTTGCAACCTGCTCTGCTGGATTCTCGTCGACTGGAAGAGGATCATTGTTGGTTCCTTGGGCGGCACTAACAGTGCTCACTGGGGAGTTCGCTTGCACTGTAGTCCGAACAGAGCGCTTGCTCTGGGCTGTGCCGTGAAAAGCCCCCATTCTGTGGTCATTTTGAGGGGTGGCGGTTTCATCGTCCTGAAGTTCCTCCAGCCCTGCACTCATGAAACCGGAGTCGTTGTCTAGGGACATAGTAGGCAAGACAGGACTTGATCTATTGGCTAATCGGCCATCGAACACCGGAGGCGAGGATGGCATGTTGAATGATGGCTCAAAAATACCTTGGTATCGAGTATCTTCAGGGGACTCAGCAGTAGCATCTGTGTTGGGGATATCATCGCTCATGCAGTATGGAGAAGTGTACGAAGCAGGACACGAGACAATGCTCATGCTCGATGACTCCCGCAACAAACTACCACTGGGTCGGCTTCGTCGGGGGAAATCAGAAGGTCTAGACATCGGGGTAGGTGGACGGACGGGCTCCTCGTGGGCATGTTCGGTCGTAAGAGCAGGGTTCACTGGGGTTGGACGATGGATTCGTACAGAGGCTGCGGTGCTGGCTGCTACTCGCAACGAGCTTGGCTGTCTTTCGATATTCATCCCCGACTTTCCGGGCCAGTTGGCCTGGTATACCTTCGCCCTCTTGCGAGGCGGGGCTTCCGTAGGTTCTTCGTCACCACTACCATATGCTGATTGAATGGATCCTCTTCGAAGGTTTTGTGAAAGTTGGGTTTGAGTGTCACAATCTCGCATAGAGGCGCTCGAGGATGGGCGGATCATATCGCTGTGGGGGATGCTCTGCTTGGTATAAGATTGGTGATATGCAGGTGTTCTAGCTCCACCAGGCGTTGAAACTCGACTGCCGGCATATGAGTGTGAAGGCGATATTGAGCGGACCGAACCGTTATGGTGGAATGTAGGGAACTCTCGTGGCGTTGAACCTTCACTCAAGATCTGGTGGAATCTCTCAATCCCCGATTGATTCATGGGAGAGCCACCATGGTCGTTGTGGCTCTGGCTTCTCGAAGATTCCAGCAAGGCAGGATTTTGGCGAACAAAATTCGTCCATGATTGCGTATCAAAATCGCCTGTAGAACTACGGGTCAATCCCCGATATTTCTGCATATTGCCGCGGTACTCACTCTGGGTAACGGTTGGGACTGGCACCAGCCGTAATTTGACCTCTAATGTCTCTTGAGCGCCTTTGGAGAACAGACCGTTCAGGGGACTCTTGCAAACTCGGCCGGTAATCATTGTTTTTGACTGGTGGGTAGATGTCTCGGACGTGGACGAAAAAGTGGCCAGTACACTTGAGAGCATTCCTTGTCCAACGAGAGGGGTTTCAAATTCGGAGTAGTCATAGGCATAAACAGTATAATCCTTTCCTAATTGACCCACCAGCTCAGGGCTAACAAATGAATGTGTCAGTATGGCATCTCAGAAACGCCGGGGACAGGTAGTCAAACCTAGCAGAAACGATGGACTGGATGCATGTTTTGAGTTCGATCACTCCAACCGGAGTGTTCTCGTCTAGGTAGGCTGTTTGGATATCGAGTACGTGTGGCCACCGAGCAAGGCAATTGGTCTTATTTTCGTTGTCGAATGTGTAAAGAACTTTCACTACAGAATGATCATGTTCAGTTCCCAGTTGACTAGACTTATCAAGTAGCAGGAAACATACGCCTCATAGGGCGGACATCAATACCGTCCTGAGAGTCCATCTCATCAGACTTTGTTTGCCCACCATGTACGACAGTGTGGTAAAGTCTGACGTTGAATGAAGTGCAAGGACGAGACGTATTCGAAGGTTGTTGGAATATGGGGGGGGAGGGAAGAGAGAGAGAGAGAAGGAAGAGGGATATCGAGGGGTGGGGGAAGCGAGATGAAATTGTCGATTCAAGACACTCCACGTCGTATCGGGGATGGGTCCAAAAGGAGGTAGTGACAATCAAGGTGATCAATGGTACTCCGCACCTATCAAGGAGCTGGTTGGCCGGGAGAATGGACGGATTATGCAACAGGTAGTGGAGAAGCCTTTTTCTGCAGGGCTGGAATGTTAGCATTTGACCAACAGGCCTGAAGGCAAAACACGCATAAAGAGCAAAAAAGGAAAAAAGGAAAAAGACATGATGAGCCAATTCTTACCTAGAGTTAAGCAAGAAAAATGGCAATAGTCACTCCACTACTCTGCATGGGCCGACAGAAATGGGAGGGGGAGAACGTAGGGGAGAGAGAAGTTAAGAAGCCTTGCATACGCGATTAAAGCTATCTCGAAGATCTCCAAACAGGCGTGACGCGACGTGACTCTAGCCAATCGCGTCCTCGGGAAAGCGCCGGAAGTGGGTGCCTGTATTATAAGGTGCCAATATGGTCTTGGCTTCTGATGCCTGATTTATAAGGTGTGGATCCGGCCTGCTTCTAGAAGTTATTGATGCCTTAAAAGCGAGGCACTATACCAGGAGCTGTGTCATCCACGTGATTTCATCTCACCTTCACCGCCGTCTTAATTCTGCTTTACCCAAGTCACGTGATCACTACCTCACCGCCCACCAAGTTTGTCAAGATGAGTTCTAGTCTTGGCTCCCCCGACATCTCGCAAACCTCATCTAAGCGTGCTTCTCTCAAACTCGATATTCAACCCTTGTCTGCTGCTCCAAGCGACCAATCAACCGCCGCTTCGACCGAAGTATCTTCAGCTGTCTCGACCGAGGTCTCTTCTGTCAGCATGTCTGCGCCGGAGCCCACCATCCAGTATGTCTACCAACAACCTCACTATACCTAGAGCTCATCAACTGACCAACTCAATAGGGAGCTGCTCGCTAAGCCCCGCAGCGAGCTCACGTAAGTACACGCGTCAATTGCATTGACTCCCCCTCCCCCCTGCAGCATTGGTCGTTCCTCGTAGTCATTGTCCCCTCGAACTGAAGCTGATCCTCGAATCGGCGGGGCTGTCTACGGTACCCCATCTCCGGGGATGTCTGACGCCGCCATTTCCACTTGGCATTGCCTTGAAAGCTATGCATAGCATACATACAGAGAACAAAAGCTAATCTTGCTCCTTTCATTCCAATAGCGAGTACGAGGTTGGCCGCGTCGGATTCTACGAGCTGACCCATGGTCCCTTCCGCCTGCTTTACAACGCCTGCAACACTGGTAACCAGGTTCTCATCAACACCCGTGGCAATCGCAAGCTGTTGGCTCGTGTCAAGGCGTTCGATCGCCACTGCAACATGGTCCTCGAGAACGTGAAGGAGATGTGGACAGAGCGACCCCGTGGCGCTCCCAAGGGCAAGCTGGTCAACCGGGATCGTTTCATCAGCAAGATGTATGTTTGCCACATCCTCAACTGGTTTTTGTTCTGTCTTTTTATCATTTGATCCATCTCTAATGCCTATGTCTCGATTTTTAGGTTCCTGCGTGGCGATGTCGTCATCCTCGTGATGGAGACTTAAGCAAGCCTTCGCTTGCCGATTCCTCTCCTATGAGATCTTGCATCTGTTGGAGAGTTGAACACAGAAAATTCTTCCTCGACGATACCCATGTTTTTCCGGATTTGTGATTACATCTAAGGTTGTTCACTACTTGTTTTCTCCGGATATGTCTCTTAACATTGTTTCTTTCTGTACGGAAGAAATGAAGCACTTGACTGGCTGGTTGCTCTGCGACACCGCTTTATGCGGCAGCCGCCTGTGTGGATTGTTCATTTCCGGACTTGTTTCTATTTGTTTTCTCGTTTTTGTTTTCTTTGTGCATGGAAAAAGGAAGCACTTGACTATCTGGTTGCTCTTGCGACACCGCTTATGCGGCAGTAGCTAGTGTGAATTCTTTTTTCCCCATCAATATTCCCTTGGCTTCCAGTGTAGCAACCAGTAGCATGTTTTACCCAATGTCTACCTTCCAGCGCTGGACCTAGGTTGGTATAGTCGCAGAATCTTATATACAGAGGTCACACCGAGCCTGAAGCAGCTCCCGGATAGGGCAAATCAATTTGGAGAAGGGTGTTGGTCGTTTTACTCCTTTACATAGTCTTGCGATTGAAGCTTTCGAATACTTGCTTTTAGGCAAGAGGTAACAACACCCATTCTCCATCTTGTTACTTTCATCTCTAGTATTTCGCTGTTGGCCGGTCCCTAGTACCCGACTTCATCTGAGCCATTTCTATCCCCAGTCTCATTCACTCATTTTCACTCCCCCATAAGTCTGTTGACTTCCCCATTTCGACCATCGTTTCCCCACAGGATGCTGTCTAGCTTCCGCGACATCGCTGGCCATGGGGCCTCGGCTTCACCGACCACGCCATTCAGTGGTATACGCCGCTCTACAAGAATCTGACCTCCTACCTTCCTTTGTACCATTGCTAACTAGGGTGCTTGACCATAATCGTGGCGTATCAAACACTGCCCACATATCCGAATACCACCTGCAGGACGAAGCCACCGGATGAAGGCCACCATTCCTATTGGACAGGACAACGGACAAGAACTGAGGCCAAGAACCTTAGTTTCGCAAAGTCCTCTCACAAGGAACGAACGTCAAAACAAACCAATCGTGCACGAGAAATCCACAAGACAAGCATACGAAAAGCGTGGTTGATACCAGAAATGCGACTACTGAGAGGCAGCATTTGGTATTGCAAAGGCGACAGTGTCAAGGCTGCTCGCTCTATGCAGGCCTTTCCAAGAGTGTGACCACTCAGATGGATCGAGTCACATCGTCTCTGGGACTTGCGTCATTACTATCACGGCGACCACCAGTTTCCGACATTGCGACCATCGAGTTGCACATCTACGTGACGCCCGCTCAAGCTGCAGTAGCCCTGGACCCGCTACGTTTGGATTGCATTTTTTTCTTTTCCAGTCCTGTTTTCCAGCGCAGCAAGAGCGACCACCTTGGCTCTTTGCAATTCTTTAGGGAAACTACACTCAGCATAATGAAATGATCAACAGTTGCTGGGCGCTCTTTCTCTCTCCCTGGCTAACAAGAAGATTGTCCGCTCGACCAAGTCAAAACAAGCGTCTTCCCAGATCCAATCCTATGCCATGGATCCATACATTCTTTCAAAGAATAGGAAGAAGGTCTTCATTCACAATTCCTATTCCCATTCCACAAAAATTTCAGCAAAACTCTCTACGATGACCACGTCAATCTCCACAGTCATTTACAAATCACCGAAGAGTCAGAACGGCTGACGCTGAACAACGGTGACTGGCTTTACGGGGACTACAATAAAAGTTACTCCAAATCTTGAGTGCTTCGCGGGGGTCCAATTGTCCGACATATGGGCTTTTGGTGACCAATGCAGTCAATGCTATTTCATACAAGACCCGATTCCATGATTGGACTGTTCCAAGGTACGCGAAATTGATCCAAGAGACGTAGGGTCAATCCGATAATTGTGTGCTTCTATAAGCCAACTGTCAGCTCTGTCTATTCCAACTACTACACCTTCTCGCACAGAAATGTGTGCCGTTGTCTAACGTCTGGATAGGAAGACGAAGCATGAGATCCAGCCTAACCATGTCTCTACTCGCAAGGAGTGGATATGACGTTGGCAACCATCAAAAGCATCGAGATGCTGGACGTGGATTGGCACAGCCCCAGTTGCTTTGAACAAGAATTAACCCTGCCATTGTCAACAGTCAATGGAATATTGGTATATCCTAGGCTCGGCTTTGGAGATTGTCGCGCCATGACCAATTCTCCGCCTGATTGGTACATCTTTAGACCAAAGAGACCACTGCCAGATGAGCAAGTGTCAGCAACTCATCAAAACACCTTCTGGTTGGCTGCCGAAAACGAGGTTCCTGAAGCCAAGTACCTGATAATGCATCTACGGGTGTTGGGGGGTTATAAGAGTGCAAACTCCTTCCTCCGAACAGTGAAATTGGACGCCTTTCTCCCGAACCTCAACAAAGTCTGATGGTCCACAGCTCGACTCAAGAAACGGCCGATGCTCTAGTATTAGAGCCATCCTTCTCTTCGTGGCCCGAAATCGACAGAGAGTCGCCTGATAATGCGTTATCTCGAAATACTTCGGCACACATCCATCGAGCGGCGTTCTGATGGGAATATATTGGTAGGAAATACTCCAACATACCGAGAATATCTTGGACTGGATTCAGAAAAAGCCTATTTCTCTGTGTTCGTGTGATGGAGACCTATTGTGCCTGTACTCTTCGCTCATCTTACATTAGGACGGAGAATGAAAAGATTCTCAATTTCAAGTCACCATCATTTCTGATCTTTCTGAAATCACATGCAATTTCAGTCGCATGGACGCCTTCGACTTTAAGTATCTACCTGTCAGAGACTGCTCGCGCACAATACACCTGCTCTCCAGTTCTATACGTCTACAGTCCTTCTCTGGATTTCGTCAATCGCGCAATCTATCGGCTTCGACCTCACCCTACTCGTCTACGTCGATGTCCAGGATACCCCGGTAACGAGGACATCAGCCTTTCTGTGTGTCAGCATGGTATCGAAAATGTACCTATCTACGCATACTACACAGGTGCCGGTCGACTCTCGGTGTATCCGCAGACGTCACACGCGACCTGAAATAGTGAACGCATCATCGACATTCTTCCCCAAGCTTTCACCGCTCTAGTCCCACATTCTGGGCTCATATCTTGTTACAGCGTGGACCTATATAGCTAGGGTTGCGATGAGTTGTCTTCCGACGTGCCTTCGAGCCGACTGTGCGTTTGTGTTCTGACCTTTGAAAACGGAAGGGTTCGTTGAGGACTAACTATTGACTTAGTCCAAAGCTTCGCATACGTACAACTTCGTCAACTTGAAACGCTTCCTTACCAAAATGAACCTGTTCCTTCCCCACCAGGCCACTTTCGTGCATGCGTCCTAGCCTCAGTCAGAGTCCTCTCTTTCACATCCGGACTTATTAGACCGTTGTGAGTGGGATGGACGATGTCATTGATAAAGCCTTTGACCTGTTGAAAGGAGTCAAGACTGGTTCAGTCTTGGCTCGCGATGGTACGACTGACCTGGGCTCTCTGCTTCGATACGCAGTCCAAGAATCTGTGACAGTTTAAGCTCTTTGCCCTGACATACTCCCAAGATTGATACATCCGATACAGGAATGAGTGACCAAATTTTCATTATCATCAACTAACCATATGTCCCGAGACACACTCATTAAGGCAGCCAGCCAGATAGATAGTATGTATACAAAAAACAAGGAAAAACACTAAACAGCCTCCGCCAACCCAGCCAAAAACTCGGATAACCCGAACGCACCGGGATCAGGAATCTTCCCAATCCATTCCTGCTCTCCGCCAACATAAACACTCCTCCCAAGACTCGCCTTCATAGCCTTCGTAGACTCAGTCCCCTGCTGCGCCGCCGCCGCCGCAGCCCGCAGATCATTCGTCTCCGCCAGCGTGTCGATAAACGGCGCTAGCGCATCGATGAGTGTGCGATCGCCTGGCTTCGCGGGCGTGTAGATACCAAGCGCAGCGAAGGAAGACTTTAGCGCGGCGGCCCATGTTGCGGAGGTGATTGGGGTTGGGGAGGGGGTGTTGTGTGCGAGGAGGCCGTGGGCTAGCGCGTTGAGGAAAATGGCGTAGATGGCGCCCGAGGTGCCGTCCATGACGTTCTCGACGACTGTCACGATGCGCGCGACTGTGCTGACGATGTCGGTGCTGAGGGGGGTGTTGGTGAGGAGATCTTGGATGGCTTCGGCGCCGCGCTTTAGGCCGATGCCGCAGTCGCCGTCGCCGACGATGGTGTCGTAGCGGGTTACTTCGGCTTCGGCTTTGATGACGCGCTGGAGGCCTGCGCTGAGGACCTTTTGGAGGATTTTGGGGTCGACTGGGGGATGTGTTAGTTTGGAGATTTTGGATTGGCGATGAAGGGGGAACTCACGCTGGAGGTTGCTGTGGATGTCTTCGGTTAGGTTGGAGGATTTCAGTTCCACGGGGTCGTCGTTGCGGTTATCCCAGGTTGCGGTGTTGATTGGGGCAGACCAGCCGACTGCCTCGGCGGGTGCATCTAGGAGCTCGAGCATGGTCTTTCCAGCGTAGCCTGGGTCGACTAGCTTCATGAGCGAGATGCTGAAGCCGAGGCCGTTCAGACTGGTTAGGAATGTGCCTTGGATGACGCGGACCATGTTGACTTGGTAGTCGCGCTGCAGCTGGCGGTAGACCTCGTCGGTGATACCGGCTAGCTCGAGCGGGCTCACGCCGCCGAGGTTGTTGATCAGTAGGACGAACTTGTCCTCCGGCTTGCGGGTCACGTAGCAGCGGTCTGGGTCGTTGTGGTCGAGTAGCTGCAGGAGCATACCCGCGACCAGCTCGACTAGTTCGAATTTCGTCCGGTGAGAGCCAGGCTCGTTGTGGATTCCCATGCCGACTTCGACCTCGCCGTGTGGGATGGTGTCTTCGGGGACACCACGACCAGGCACGTGGACGTGCTCCAGCGATGAGCCCAGCGAGACGAGATTTTTGTTGGCTAGCTGGGCTAGAGCGTAGACTTCATCCAGAGAGCCACTGGGAAATTAAGTTAGTTTTTTTCTTTCCTTTTTGGCTTGCGAAAATGCCCATGTAGAAAAACGTACCCAGCCTCAGCCAAAGCGCCGACCATCTTCAAAATCAACACACCACCACCAATCCCGCGGCGACCGACCTTGCCACCCTTGACACGACCGACACCGACATCATCATTGATGGCAAAGAATTCTGTCTTGATACCAGCGACACGGGATTTCTCCGTCGCCATACCGAAGTTCAGCACATCGCCGGTATAATTCATAGGAATGATCAGCACGCCATTTTCAGTGGGGACGCGATCGATGACGGCTCTGCGGATCTGCTCCGCGGAGGGGGACGCAAAGATGGTGCCTGCGACAGAGGCATCGCAAAGACCATGACCGACGAAGCCCGCAAAAGCGGGTTCGTGGCCCGAGCCGCCGCCCGTCACGATGGAGACCTTGTTCGGCTTGCGGGGCGCATCTGGACGGCGGAAAATGATCTTGTTCTGTCGATCCAGCGCCAACGATGGGTTTGTGAGAGTAAGCGAGTTAAGCGCTGTCAGGACCAAGTGATTGGGATCGGAGAAGAAATGTTTGGCTGGGAAAAGGTCAGAGACACCGAAGTTCCTCGGAGTGCGTGTGGGGACGGGATGATCAGGTGGAGCGGAAAACGTACTCTGCATTGCTGATCAAAAGTGGACAGCTTCCGATGGCTATATAGAATTCGGGACTTTTGGAATCGAATGGACAATTGGAGAGTAAAAAAAAAAAAAGAACAGAGCGCAATGGATTTTGAGCTGGAAACTGGGAGGGTCGCGGTATAAATGGACTCTTCGTAATGGAGGGGACTGTTCGCCAATGGGGATATGTTTTCAGGACCAGAATCAGAATCGCCGTCAATGAAACCGGATCGAAAGTCAACGAGCAGCTCTCGGATTGGACTTCAGCGTCGTGAGGGCGGGGAAAAAGTGGGGGTTCTTCTATTTCGAAGTCAGTAAGATGAGAGAGATGGTGTATAGATTGCCTCGGAACACTGCCCGGAGCTCCCACAATCGTTGCGGGGGAATGGGCAACTCACGTTGTACTTGAGGTCTCCGTTGTCTGGAGTGTTGAGTCTGGTCTCTGATCGCTTCTGGGATACCACTCCCTCTTTATGGCGCCTCCGGGGTTCAATCGACGAACTCCGTACTCGTTGCTCCATCGTAGAATCGAGTCCGTGTTACCATTTTTTTTCCGCTCACATGAACAGGCTCACATGAACATATCGTGAGATCCTGGAGTCTGGATCGACGGGTCGGCTTACCCTCTACGGATATCCCGCCAGGCACCGCATTCCAGAAACGCCCTGTCGTCCGAATGGGCCCTTTTCCACCGAACATTCGAATCATTCTTTTTGGATACGTCGACACTCCACGGGTCCACTCTCGAGTCCTGGGACTTGGGTTACTTTTGTTTGCGGTCGATGCTCAATGCAGCAGGTTTGCCGGCATTCCTCGTGCACCTACCACCTCTTACTTGCCACTGCAATCGTGTCACTTCAGTCCTTACCTTCTACACATATCAGGACATTTGTTCGCGTCAAGACACAGTTACAATCTACGAGAACGTCGAAGCCCTTCGTAAATCCTCTGGACTAAGATCGGCTAATAGGAGTTGGGGTCTACTCGGTAGTCGAAATTATCAGAGAACAGTCGAGGCTGTGACCGCAAGGACCTTCCTTTCAATAGTGGAGTGTTACCATTCTGCCTGTGGATGAGTTGTTCGTGTCACCATGTTCATCACAATTTTATATGGCAAGGGATGACTGCATATTTCGGATATACCCAAGACCTTGAACCCACTGAACTTACATAGGACATCTGTGCAGTAGCCACTCATGTAGCCGTCGTGTCTTCCTCTACTCCGTACTGCGTACTCCGTACAGAGATCAGATCATGCATCAATTCTAGAAATAAACTATGCCGATGAACTAGCGAAAAGACGGGAGAGAGGAAAGGGGAAAGGAGAGATCAACTCCATGGTGGGTACTGTCTGTCACCTGATGCTGATGCTTCAGGGATCAACACCGCTATCGCGCAATCGTATAAAAATGGATCTCTCCTACCCTTTTCTGTGGCCTAGTGTTGTATTTCATCAAGGGGTCAATTCAATACCTAGGTGCATGCAGAGTACAGAATGTCATTCCATTGCATACATCCGAACGAGATACAGAGCCAAACATCGGGTATCAACCTACCTAAATTGGCGATAAGGTAGTCTATAGTAAGATAGGTTCCATATATGATATTCGCAAGATACAAAACTCATCTCCCGCGTGATTGCACTTCGCCTTTATTGCATTGAATACAACTAGATCCTCCCAAATCCGTATGTGATCATTGACTTGCCATTGGTTGACTTGGCATATCATTATCATATCATATTCTCCGAGATATTGGATTCAACATGTGACCTTTGAACTTTTAATAACGTGTGGGGAGGGCCCGGTGATCGTCCTCAGCTGATGAATTCATAATACAGCCTTAGAATCAAATCACTACCTTGGAGTTGGACCACCTAGGTGAGCTAAATAGCTCTAGGCTAGCACCCTATATTAACAAGGCCCTATTATTTCTCTCTATGAGCTGCATTGACCTATCAGCAACTTTGGGGCATAAATTGATCGCCTTCCGCCATCCCGGTGCTTATAGTAAGAAAGCTAAAATCAAGTGGACCCGACCCACGCCTCAATATAAACAGATACCTACGTAGGAACTGGGAGATGTTCTCTAACAATTTGCTCCGCATCCATTGATTGCATTGCATATATTTTACTCATAGCAGATGCTTTCTTTTTCTTTCTTTTTGAGAGTATTATGTAACAGTGATGAGGTTTATACGATGGACGCACTACATCAAGTGAAGCGATAGGACTGACTGCAGTGATCAATACTGTGGAGGGGAGAGGAGGATCCTCTGTGATTCTGTAGCCTGCTGTAGCCTGCTGTAGCCTTCAATTAGGATGAATGGTCTATGATGCCTGTGGAGTTAGTTCAATAACATCATGGAACCAAAGTCTCCTTCCAGTCTCGCTTTTTGGAATGGCTCAAAGGCAGAAATCAGACAACCCTTGGGGGGCGCATACTGGAACTTGGGTTCCACAGGCTTAGTCTTAATCTTAAAGCTTAAAGCTTATACCTAGGAAAGTCCACTTGCAAAAAACGAACCTTTTGCCGAACTAGTATCTTGTATGTCCCAATTTTCTAATCCTCGATGCTAGTTGCTAACCCGTTACCGTGGAGGACCTTACTGGAGGACCTTACTGGGTGTTTTCGCATTTTTATATCTATTTATTCTCGTTTGTCGCCAATTCGGCGATGACGAGCCGCGTCGTTATTATCGTTGGCAGATATGGTCTATTCTATTGCTCGTCTCCTTCGTTTACGGGACATGGGCTCAGGGCTCCCAAAAGCTTGCAGCGAACAGCAGGATATGAGAGCAGTGGCTTGCATCCACCAAAGGTGATCGACAAGTGGTTCTTGTTCTTCTACGCTAAGGCGTAGCTACTTATTTCTCGAAGTTGACACTCAGAATCGGGTAGTGCAATATGAACGAATACAGAAGATGTTGTCAAAGTACAATCTGACATGCTCCATGTGCGCCAGCCATGAAAAGCCCGGCCACCATAGTCGAAACGAATTAATCCTCAAACAAAAAATCCCCGTACAAATGAAACTCCCAACAAATAAACATGAATGTGTGCATTCCGTGACAAAAGTACTTTCAGTGTGTAACATTATGCGTTAAGCCATGTAGCTGTATTGATTAGTCCCCTCCTTGCGCTCCATGTACTCCTTCTCAATTAACCTATGCGATAAGGCTGATATTAGACACGATGTGTTTCCAAAACTTGGGGGGTAGCGATACGTACTTTTCAATCTCTTCCTTAATCTCGGCAGGCTGGAGAACACCTCGGGTCCTAGTCGCACTAATGACCTCCGAGATCAACTCGGCGTGGCTCAAAACTTTGCGGCTCTTCATAATGCGCACAATGGCGGCTTGCGTCTCGAAGTGGCGATCGGCTGCAACGCGCTCGTGCGTCGTCTTGGTCTCTTCTTTCGTCTCCTTCAGCTGGATCTGGTTGATCTTGATGCGTAGCTGCTTGTCGCTGAAGCTGGTGTTGTACGAGAACTTGTCCGTTGTGTTTACATCCTTGCCCTTGGGTTCCTTGGTTAAGACACGGTATTTGGCGCACGCAAGTGATTGAAGGGTTCGTTTCAATTCAGGGTCCGCTGTGGGTCATGTCAGTGAGGGGTTTGCTTGGCCGTAAATGAGGTTCTTTTCCTCCGGAAAAGCACTTACACAAGCCGGTTGCTTCTTGAATCTGTGGGTATTGCATGCTCTCGCCATCAGGGATATCATTGAACAGTAGTAACACGATCGCCTGGAATGAGCTGACCACCAGGTTCTTCTTCCCAAGCGGGAAGTTCGCAGTCAATTGACAATGCGCTAACTGGTGCTTCCACGTGAGCTTACGCCCTGTATGCTTGGTGTGGTAGAACGTTTCGAATTTATTAATCGAGCGGGCAATACTTGATGGGATCCGTACAGGGACATCGGGATATGTCGGCCATGAGGCGGCAGATAGCACGTTAACTTCGATCTCGACGTGAGATCGACCATGCCGCTCCCGGTCATCCTGTTGCAACCGTTTGAAGGCTGTCATTTCATCGTGAGCGATATCCATGTCGTTGAACATGGACTCAAGATTGTGAGTGAAGCTTGATCCGCATTCTGAAGAAAAGTTAGCTCGAGCATATACGAGTAGAGTATTTGAGATAACAAACCGTTCTTCAAACGAGCTAGCATGCTCTTTTCCGCATCATCGCTTGCGCTACGTTTCATTAAGAGACGCCGGGCAAGGTCGTTCTTGTAGAAAGCCTCAAAGACTGCCTTTCCATGTACGAAACGGAAGAGGTCTAGAACTTGGTCAAGTTGTCGGTCGAGCTCCGCATCGTCGGCCATCAGGCTGACTTCTTGTGGATTAAGATCCGGTGGTAGCTTGTAGCCGCCTTTAAGCAACCTGTCCACGTATTTGGCAATCATTTCACCCGACTTGGGGTTATCGGTGCCGCCTGTCGATTCCATCTTCTTTCCGGTATTCATAAAGATGCCAAAGGCTTCGCGGAGTGTGTGACCCAATTCCTCGTTCGACTCGAAAGCCTGGGCACAAATTTCGTCGGCCTGTTGCTTGAATTGGAGGAGGCGAATAACCATGTCACTGTCCTTTTCTTGATCAAACACAATCCCTTCACCGACCCCAATGATGAAATCCTTGAATGCAGGTTTCAACGCGAGAGTGAGGTCTTTCCGATCAAGCAGACTGTAAAGCTGTTTCAAAGCAGTTTTGTTTTCAGCTCGCATCAAAACAAGAACCTCGTTTTTACTGGTCAAGAGACCCTTTTGCTTTGTGATCAGATTCTCATCCAGGAGCTCGGACAGTTGGAGTTTTGTGTTCCGGGTGAAAGAGAAGAGCCCGCACCGTTCCGCTTCACGTTCAATTAACCGGTGAGCATTATCGACATAGGCGGCTAGGGATCCAGCGGCTTGCTGTAGTGACCAGGACTTCACAAACTTCTCAGATTCGGCCATAAACAGCGGCTCAAAGTCACTACCATAAACATCAAGGTTGTGGAATAGCTTCATAGCCTCTCTCAGCAGGGTGGAATCCGCCAATGCCTTGGTATCTGAACCGCGATCGACAGCGATCAAGTCGTATGTTCCTTTCAAAATCTTTGGCTTCAGACTGGCGTCGGAGAAGATGTATGATCGAAATTGGATCAACCCCATTTCAAGTATCACCGGATGTTCTTTCGAGTGTAAGAGAAAGGATTGGTCAAGATAATAGAAGATCCAGCGAACGGTGACCTAAACGATAAGAGAAGGGTCAGTGGTGAGTTGTATTTGAGATGTTTCATTGCCACATACTAATTTCGTGTGCCAGGTTGACCATGCCTCAATCACCGCTCGCAGTGTATCCACATCGGTACTCCCTCCAGCCCTGGTAGCAAGGTTTGTGCGCATGTTTCCACTGACGAACTCTTTGCACCGAGCCTGGAGCTTCTTGGCCAATAGAGCGGCCCGATCCTGGCGACACACATTCTCGCCGCCCTTGTATAACTCCTCCAGCGAGCTCTCTGGTTTCTTTCCATCGAAAATAGCCGTCAAAGCCGCATCGAACTGCGACCACACTTTATCGAAATATGAATCCTGGTTGAGTCGCGGTCCAGCACGAAGATTCTTAACAACGAGCTTTTTCGCACCGGTGTGAGGAGAAAAATTACTCTGACGAGAATTCGGGTTCATGTTTTGAGGTTTGACAGAACCGTTGGTTTCAGACATACCCCGACCAAGCGCGGCGCCATTCTTGGGCGGGGAACCGGAAATCGGATACATCTTATGCGAGACAGTTGGGGTCGTGGAGGTCAGGCGCGATGGTGATGCTGACACACGAGACCGTTTGTGAGACTGCGGAAGGCTGGGATCAGGTGTGTATCGCTCAGAGAAGAGCTCGGAGATGGTTTGTTGCGATCGCGGCTGCGATGGCTCCCCTTGATCAGAAAGCTTCCTCTTGCCGATCGATTGGCGCTTACCGCTCTGCTCGGTATCGCTCGAGATCTGCTGCATCTACCCGGTTCAGCCCGATGGCGATTTGAGGGGCTCTCGATGGATTGATGAGGGCAGAAGAAGTTGTAGCATAAGAAGAGAGGTTGAGGGGAATTGACGTTGGCTCCGCACGGCGATAAGATACGGAGCTACGCTCAGAACAGCAGGTATTAGACTGTGTACTTCACGTATGATCCTTGACTGGCGCATAAATAATAGATAGACGACATTCTTCTGGGCTCCTTTTTCAAATCTGCATGTCTTACAACTACCTAGGTATTGACCGGTGTATAACGCACGTTATGTACAACAGAGGTCACATGTAGGTGACGGCCGCTTTTATAAGGGCGCCCCAGGGATGAGACTCAGTCTCCAGCCCATTGAGATTACGTTCCAGCACTCAGGCGCTTGAAGAACAAAAATTGAGAAGTAGCTGCATGTCTCCTTTCTACCACACTGTCTTTAGATGCATCCCTTGGACAAGAAACCTGATAATTTAGGATAGCCCTAAAGCCGCCACCCGGGGCTTCCCTTTTTTAAGTGTTTTACTTTGATATCGTAGTATTGGGAAAGTCAATAATCTTCAAGGTCTTCTGTATTAGGACTAATCATTGATTCGGAGATATGACGTTCAAAATGAAGTAGTATAGCTTGTTAATTTCGACTACTCAATATCCTGCCGTCTGTACTATATAGGTCTCTTGAATAATTGTACTCTGTACTCGATCGCTGAATTACTACAAAATGAATAGCGTCAATTGGTCAACAGGTACCACACCGATAGAAAACTTGGTTGAAGGTAGGGTATTATGATCTTTTGCGTTCTATACAGCCGCCAACTCTAGTTATCATCCTTCTTGGGACGCCAGCCTTGATCAATATCACGATCGTGGAAGAGCGCCGCTCGTCCAAGATCTCCTTCAAACAGCTCCTCCGCATTGTGAGCCACATCCTCAACAACAAGGAGTCGTAGATGACTCTTTCCATCCACCGCGTCACTCCAATCAGGAAGATTCTTGAATGAACCCGGGAATCCAGATAGGTCTTCGTCCGTGCGCGCAAGCGAGTTGATGTACCGGAACCAGATCAGGTTGCGAGCACGTCGATTCTGGCCTCCTTGGACCTGCGCCATGCAGCTCGTGTCACCTGCGCTTCCGGTATCCTGCAATCCGACAATTGAGACAACGTCTCGACTGACGTACTGCTTGAAGTAGTCCTTTGGGGTCATGCGCTTGCCTCCCGTGCCGGGGAAGTGGTCGAAGCCGTATCGCCAGATATTGTAGGATTCGCAAGTTTTCTTCGAGGCATCGGTGTCTGAGAGGACAGGGCGGTCTTCGGTGAAGTACATGCAGGATGATGGGTCGCCGTGGATGTATCGAACGTGGACGTTCTCGGGGGGATCGTTACCCAGAGCTGAGTATCGCTGGGCGAGCTGGCCACCGCCACCATGGCCAACGATGGTGACGTTTGTTAGGCTAGGGTACCTCTCCTTGTCTGAGTGGAGCTTGACGAGGCCGTCCAAGACGTCGAAAGAGGTAAGGGTTGTGTTTTCGGGGTGAATAGCTTGGCCGCCTGGCTGCCAAGCGTTCAAGTCATCCCAGGCCAGCTGGTTCTTCTTATATTGGCCGGAGTTGAATTTCTTTGAGAAGAACTGCGGGGCGAGAACTGCCATTTTGCGGTCTGTTCCGGTGAAGTTGTCTTCTCTGGCCTGGTTGATGGAGTTGTGCAGCATCTTCCAGTAGCTGTTTCCATCTCTTAGTCTTCCATGGAGAACAATAAAGAGATGCTCGACAGCGTCGTCTTCCAGATCTTTTGAGATGAAACCTGGAATTTCCTCGTCGCCCTTCTCGTTAACCTTGAATGACGTGAATCTAGCGCCATCTGGCACTTTAATATCGCCGTGGTTCTGTTATTCAACTGGTTAGCTGGTAATACGAGGTAACAATCAATGGGCCTTGACCTACCTCTCCTTCCTCGCTCTTATCATGTTTGATCATAATATCTGCCTCTGCAGAATAAATGTCCTGGTGATCCGATGCATGGACATCTTCATGACGAGACTTATCAAATCGGAACGCAGAACAGCAGGGCACTAGAACTAGCAGAAGGGCTGCTAATACCAGCGCCCTTAATGTCAGGGTGGCGGACATAGTGTAATTTGCCAAGGTCCTCAGATCAGACTCCCAGAGGCGTGAACTCCTGTCTTTTGTCGATAAAAAAGGCTCGGAGATTGATATTGTAGTCCAGTCCTTAATTGATTTTGCTTAATAGGCTTCTTAATGATTAGTTCGGTTCAGGTCAGAGAGGGATAGAGTAAGTATTTAAGATACTGGACTCAACAATTTGGACGTAAAGCTGAAGGTTGGTCCCTGAACATCGCTGACGTCGGTCTTGGGCTGAACCTTGCGAGCTTGACCAAAAAGGGGGGAATCATTGGAACATGATTTTCAGAGATCATGTCGATCCAGGACAATAAACCCACGTGTCGTTCGAGCGAAGATGGCAATGCACAGGACATGATGACATTGACATAGTAGTGTGCGCTATTGGATGATTGTCGCATCTCGTCACAAGGATTGCCAAATTCCAACTTGCCATGCGCCGCGGCCCGACGGACATTGACGATGAGCATTTGCAGTGGAGCCATCTCAAGACCGGTTCTCACAATTCTTAATGGTTTGTCTTGACACATGTGCGTATAACGAACCCACTCTAACGCTTCTTCAATCAATGAACATCAGGGAGACCTCTCATACTTGTGATGAGTCGAGACTCCAAAAGCCATGGGATTCAATGTATATCAGGGGTATGGAACCGTCAATACCCACTGTGGCGACTAGTCCAAACAGGCCAAGATGGCTCAAAAATTGGACAAGCTTTTCTGGCCCTGCTTAATTGGAGTTCGGCTCAACAATAATGTCCGATGATCGACAGTTTCTTCCCCTGATGTCTGTTGTGTTATTGAAGACATACTGTTCTAACACGTTCAAATCCGTACATTACCTGATATGAAGGCGATGTGCTTGGGTAAAGAGGTGATGTTGCTCAGGGGGTGGGTCATGACGTTTGGGAAGGGGGTATATGTATCTTGCACATCGTAGATCATGTGGAGCTGCCGATACCGCTGAGGTCATGATTCTCAGGAGTTGAGATGGCCCACTATGAATGCTCTGAACCCTCGTCTTGCTCATGCCAACACACAATGATGTTGTGGTGGCATAGGCCCAAATGGAGCAGCGGATCCCCCGACCCGAATGGGCCAACAGCCGAAGATTACGGCATTGACATCAAAACGCTGGGTCGCATTTTATAGCCATAGTATACACGTTTGAATCATTGAGCCACCCTTCGAATCTAGAGAATGTAGAGTATGCACATATTCAAGTGACAATTGCGGGCGCTCCGGGGAAACAATAGTGACTGCAGGTAGCCTCAGTATGGCTGGGCGAACAGGAAGCCCTGTTTTCCCCTGTAGAGTCTATAGTAGGAGGGGGAAAGTATGAGAATAGCTAAGCAAAGAAGCATGTGGAAAACTTGATTCCGGTGGCAGAAACATGTCCAGCTGAGATGCTTAACCAAGAAAGAGTATATATCAAATCGTAATTGCCTGGGAGAGAATGGGTTGACTAAGGCCCTATAAGTAACATAGTAACGAAGCTCTAAGTGCCCCCAGGGTGGGTAGTGTAGCGGGGAATTCCCTCATCTCTCTATTTATCCTGGGTGGCGTGTATAACATTATATATAAAACAAGTTGACTTCCACGCGCGTTCTCTTTTTTGAATCTAATGTTTATTGGTTCAATCCCAGCCTTGATCAGTCTAATTTGATTTACCTTTTTGATCCTATAGCGGTTGTTTGTGCTATATAATCTATGACTAAGTTAAGATGTTTGCCTGTAAACAAAGAGTATACTAAGAGGTTAGATCATACTTATCCAAGAGAGAATCCACGGGTTAGCCAATGCCCCAGGCCCTATAAGTAATATAGTAACGAAGCTCCAAGTGCCCCCAGGGTGGGTAGTGTAGCGGGGAATTCCCTCATCTCTCTATTTATCCTGGGTGGCGTGTATAACATTATATATAAAACAAGTTGACTTCCACGCGCGTTCTCTTTTTTGAATCCGATATTTATTCGTTCAATCCCAGCAGCCCTGGTCAGTTTAATTTCATTTATCTTTTTTAATGTACCCAGGGGATGGTGCGCCTGGCACGATTATATAGCTTATTCCTCCTATGTGGTTTGGCTTATCAGTCATGCCATATTCGACACGATACTGACCTATAACAGCCTCACCTATCAATGGACACTCCTATAGAATGGTTCAATGTTGGTCGAAATACTGAACTCTCCCAACAAGTAAATGTTGAGTTTATAAGAATCATAGCTTGCATAGGTTGTAAGACATCCTCGTCAAATCTCACTATGTATATAGACAAGAAGTACATCAACAAATCATCAAACAGTTCATAGTACGCATTCAAGTAAAATGCAGCGCTTGTAAGTACACGATCGTCAATATAATGTTCACACAAGTTATGTTTTTAGGGGATTTCATTTTTGCAAGCGTGTCACTGAGCGTGAAGGAAAAGGACATGAGCCCAATAAACGATAAGTAACATGACTCAATCAACGCGCGGAGGACTCCTCGATTTCTTCCCCATGGGACTGGCGCTCGTTCTAAATTCCAACATTAGCTTCAGGTTGCTGTTGCCCTTACTGCACTATGCAGTCGGGCCAATTGGAGGCTACATACGATCGTCGGCGCTCGCCTTCTTTTCGGAACCCTTCGATAATCTTGGCTATTTCTTTGCGGGAAGCATTGGCGTCAATGTTGCGACCTCCGAGACTCATACTTACCTTCTCATGCGCGCTGGCCATCAACAGCCGCTTCATGAGCAAGTGTCGCATGTTCATGCATACGAATACGCCGCAGTCGCTGCCGCCGTCTTGCTGGGGTGAATCGTTCAAATGGAGGAATCTAATGGGGATGTTTAGGAGGTATCCAAACTTGCGGGTCACCGTATCTGCTTCCCAGACGTTTCCTTGGTATAGCGAGTCATAATGAAATGCGATGCGATCGACCACAGAAATCAATAAAAGGGACCAATGCGTGCCTCCTTCTGCTTGGGTGACATTGCGACAGTCGTTGATGGGGAGGAAGACATGGGTAGCTCGACTAAAGTCTGGAAGCGCTTCACGCAGGGTGCGCGGGTCGGGCGTTTGAAGGATCATGAAGGACATGCTGGGGCGGAGAAGGATGATATTGGAAGATTTGTATTGTGTGAGGAACTCATGCTCGAGATATCTAGAGCAAGTTGGGAATCAGTGCCATATTCGGTGCTGTAGAGTGTATCGGACTCGATGTCAGGGACTTACTCCTCCCAAAATGAGATGATCTATGATGGATTAGCTCAGATGTCTCAGCCAAGAGGATTGTCTAGCCATTCAAAACCCACATTATCTGTGAGCCAGTCGTCCTTGAGGGTTTGCATATCCTCTCTTGTCACTACAAATTCGTTAGATATCTGGATCCTTTCATCGCTTCGGGAATTGGTTCCATACATCGGACGTCGTAATCTATGAGCATCCAAGGACTACCTGTAAGTATATCGTCCGCATATCACTGTATTACGACGTTCTGTTCCAGGCACTCACAGCTCAAAAAGGCATCATCTGGGTTTAACTACTCAAGTCAGTACTCGAAATTGCCAATATCAACTCCCGATATCGAATCTGATTGGTCTCACCCTATCGCCGAACCGCCCGCGCACCTTGCGCAATTTGTTAAGCCCGCCATCCAGCATGTTGGCGATATGAGGTATGCGTCGGTACTGATCGTAAGATCAAGAATAGACCGCTAGAATGTAAATGTCGCAAATGATGTGGCAGGAAACCTATGTACTGCGCCACAGTCGATCGCGCGCAATAAGTGAGAGGAGATGAGGGCCGAGCCAGACCCCACAAAACGCGGTTGATAAACGGGGTAGCGCTCGTCGTGCAGAACTTGGTGCAGAATTCAAGTTCGGAAGCCCTGTGCTAGGAATAAATGGGATAAAATACCGACATGCAGTGGCGAGTAAAGCTGGAGGCGAGAGACACCTTGGCAATGTTCCAAATAATGCCACTTGAACGAGTGTACCCCGTTTTTGCGCTGCCGGGAGTGGGACCGGTCGGGATCTCGGGATTGAGCGGCGCTTCGGAGGGGGAGGCCGTTAGCTTGTGGGTGGCGGAGAAGGGAGGCTGAAGATGGTATCAGAGGACCAGGATATTGACTGGTAGTTTCAATTGCGCTTTATGGGAAATGGTTGGCCGGGGAGGAGGTTAAGAGTATAAGGAAGTGACCGTGCAGGGTTGAAGATCACCCGAGTTGGTTACGGTCGACCGAGGCTGTGGGACACGGCCTTTGGGATGATACAATACTTGACGTAGTCAAAATGAAGTGACCTGGCAAATGCAGAATATTTGCAGAATACAAAATAAAACACGAATCTTCAAATGAACTGGACTCAGGCACTCCGGGTGGGATTGATCGGGCTGCGTCACATGTAGAAGTCACATGATGCTTCCCATCCCGGGGCAGACGAGGTTGGCCTCGGTCATTATGCTGGTGATGAGAAGTATTGGAAGATACGATATGCGTCGACTACAGATGATACTAGCCATGCACCTTCTTCGGTAGCAAATTTCAAGAATTGGATTCGTAAGAGGGGTATCTAAAAGTACATCCCAGAGCTCTAGCATACGAAGAGCTTCAGACCACGTGCTGAGATGGTTCGAAAAGAACCGAGCAACTGGGATAGAACGAGGAACGCTGGGGAATTGAGACGGGGCAGTTGAAAAGCACCTGACATGACAGGGAACGAAAAGATCACGACCATGGGCAATCAGCATGAAATAGCGCCGAACAAAGCAAAAGCAGAGAATGCCGACCAAAGCAACAAAGATAACAGCAAACAGTGAGGTACCTCGTTACTTTTGTCTTGCCCTGGTCTCTCCGGGGTATTATTTTTGAAAATATGAAGACAAGATCGGAAATAGATAGCGAAAAAGAAAAACCGAACATGACCCTGTAATATCTTGTAGTTAGTATTGAAACCGTTTGTTTTGTCTTTTTCTCATATTCATTTTTAAAAAAGAACTCGCGGCCGATGTATCAAGAATATGACGCGAGAGCGGTTGGTTCAACTGGCAAGCCGGACAACATGCCGGTTCCAGATCCATCCCACTGTTCCTGTGGCATCGTCCTGATTGCGAGCAAGCCAGAGCTCGCCCTTCTCGCCGACAATATCAAAGACATCGCCGCTCCCGTAGGTGAGGTAGGGATACCCGCCCTCGGTGCGAGTCTCAATGTTGAAGTCGCAAACGCTGGCGGCACAAAACAAGGTTGCAGGACCCGTGGGAGGGACGTTGCGTTCAGCAGGCGCGGGTACAGCAGCATCACCTGGGGTATCCGACATGGGCATGGCAGACGAGAAAAACCCGGAGTATCGGTCAGCAGGGGAGCCTGGCGGATTGCTCGAGTGAGAGGAGCTGGTGATAATGTCTGTGAGGAAGGGCGTATCCAGGCTGAGCCTCGGCAGGCTTGGGAAAGGCTCGATATCACTTGTTCTTGGATGCGCAGGGGAGTTGGTGACTTGTTGAAGCAAGTGATTGGAATTGTCGGACACGTTCCGGCCCGATAGAACAGAATCAGCGCGGTAACGGCTGCTGCGGCTGGAGTGACATTCCATCTGGGGGGATTGGAATGACTGGCTGCCAACACTGAAATCACGAGAAACATTCGGTGAATCCTCGGTCATGGATCCAGGTCGAGCATGTGAACTGCTGACCGTGGAGGGTCGGCGAGGCGACATGGGATTGTGATCACGCTCACTGGGCGAAAGAGGGACCAGATTCAGCGACTGGGCCATTAGAGCCCCGTTGCAAGAGCTCAGCTCCCCCATTCGTGCCTCCATCAAGATGTGGTCACTACTGAACTCGTCGATGAGCCTTTCGAGGTCGCTGGGGAACATTTCCACATGGACCCCAATCTTTTTCTGCAAAATACTGTACCACACAGTTTGGATTTCGATGAAGTTCTTCAGACACGCTTCCATCAGTTTAGAGGTCAACGCATAGAGTTTAGGCAATTCATCCTTCAAAGTATCGTTCAAAGCCAAGAACTGCTCGCCCTGTTCAGTGGTCTTTTTATCGGGTTTATCGCCACGGTCCTTAATAGCTTTATAGCGTGCATATTCCGGGAGTCGCTTGTCACGCTTGCGCATGACTCGCTGGGGTGAGTTATAAAGACCGAGTAGCTCAACCATTGGATCGATGACTGTTTTGCGGACGACAGCAAGCTACATTCAAGGTTAGAATTTTGTTCAAACCATAGACCCAGGAGGCACGACTTACATGTTCCGGAAGAGCAGTCGTCACAAGTTCTTGAACTGTCATCTTGAACCGATGCCACTTGCTTTCCAACTGTGGATAGGGGGAGGGGGACATGCCGATGATTTCTTCAATCGAATCAGCATACTCGTTGAACTGGTTCACGTAGAGTTGAACATCCCGGGAGTAACTCTCAGCATCACGCATAACTACTTGCAACTGGAAGTAGCCATCCCCAAGTTTCTGCGCCAGAGAATCATAGGTTTTGTCTTCGAACAGGTCAGAGAGTCCAACCTGCTGTCTGAACTTCTCCGTGCGACGACCAAAGGCTTTAGATAGACCGGCACGCACATCCGACTGGTTGCGCTTTCGACCAACAGCTTGACCAACAAGGTCTGCCCGTTTCTTTAACTCGTTGATACGATGGGAAACATTGGTGACTTCCTCGAGTGCACTAGCAATCGACTCTCTGTCCGGGTGATCGTTTGGTGTGGACTCCAACAGGTCGCGGAGAATGAGAGGATACTTCAAGATTCTCTGCACCGGTTTAACGAGCAAGGAGTCCAAATCCCAGGCAGTTGTGAGATCGTGAGCACATTTCCGACATTCGCTCAGCCAAATGCCTACATTCGGAATGCGCTGCAGGGCCTGGAGCTTCTTGTTTGCAGCATCGTGGTTTTTCAAATAATCAGTGTACACCTTTTCCATCTGTGTCATATATGTGACAAACACCCGGCCAACAGAAGTAGCACGATCTTTTTCAAGCTCCGACAATCCCTCACGCTCGGACACTTCATCGGTCCCCAAAGCCGTGGATTCGGCAGGTTGGTTGTTGCGGCTGCGTTTGCTAGTCCACCGTTGAGACATTGGAATAACATAAATGCTTTTGGCTGCTTGCTTGAGATGATACAAGAAGGTGTCGGAGAAGTTCGCGACTTGATCCGAATTGGCAAAAAGGACTTTGACATCATCAGGATCCAACAACGCATGCGAGGTGCTTTTGTAGATATCCTCAATAACCATCATATCATGACCGAAAGTATGTTCAGTATCAACTAATTCTTTGATGATGTGCCGCCGCTTCTTGAGGCGTCTTTGCTCCGGAGAAGGTGACTTGTTCGGCTCAGCAGGCATGGTTTGCTCCGTGGACGGGACAAGTGATGTGGCTGAAGATCCAGCGGCTTCGGGAGATTGACCAGGTTCCAGATGTAGGAACGAAGAGTCCTCGCTGCTATCCGCACTGTGTCTCGCAACTCGAGAACCAGACTGCATGGCGGGGTTTGATTCAGCTTGGCCCAGTCGCTTGAGTGGACCTTCGACGGAAATCTCGACAATGGTTGAGTCCGTTGTTGAAGGCTGAAAGAGAGTTGATGAGAATGAATAATGTGAAAAGGGATCAAATAGCTGGCTGTTGGTTTGGAGATCGACAGATACCCCGAGGCCATTGTTTGTACTGGCAACGCCGGCGTCTCTATTTGTCGAAGCTAGACGAGGTGTAAGCACTCCTTCAGTGCGCATGCCATCGGTTTCGGTGTTCGGAGTAATGGCATCATCTTCAGCAGCAATCTGCATCCAGTCCATGATAGAGGGCGATGCATGTTCCCAATCATCGCGCCCTATCAAACTAGCCGTGTGAGAGTGTCGATCTGAGATGCTGAAGTCCTGGTACCCCGGGACGAGCACTGGATCGTCCGTCAGAGTATCAGGTTGCGCATCTGGATGCACATCAGATGGATGAGACCGAGGCTCACGGAGGGCCTGGTGCTCTGAGACAAGGCTGTAGTTCCTGCCTCGCGTCAACTCCTCCAGGTAGAGCTGGGTGACACGTTTCGAATCCCATCTACCCATCCTCGCCAAGCTTGGAGGAGTAGAGAAGGCATCTATCCGGTAATGGTCAGATGCCTGAAGTGTGTTCGGTCCCATTACACCATGATCCTGAATCGGAGCGGAGGATTCATCATCCGCCATTGAAGCTGGTCTTGTTGAAACCGCCGAACAACTTTCAGTCGGGGGTCCCATTTCATGGTCTTGAAGAACAATGTCATCCCCGCTCTCATCACATTGCTCATCACAGGTAGAATGTTGATTTTGTACAGAGGACCATGATCCAATGCTCCAACGGTTGTGAGGGTTAGCACTGTTTGGAGCCTGATGCACTGATGTGTGACGACGCTCTTTAATATTAGTTCTATCAGACGAAGTGTAGTAGTTCGTACCCCCAAGCATAATCCGAATGGACTCTCTCCCATCATTTTCCGAAAGACTGCAATCAGGTTCATCACATGAGTCATCGCTCGGACTAGACTCTCGAATTTGCATGATTTGACTCAAAAGAGTCCGATGAGAGATACCGGGATTGCGCTGGAGCAGCCCAGGCTGCGGCTCTGGATCAAAGGTGGTGACATGGGTGTCATCGGAATTTGTTGTGGCGCTTGACTGTGGCCGGCCGTCATTGCTAGGCTGTGCTTCGTCCGCAGTCCTTGAAATCACTTCCTGTGGAAGACCAAGGGTGGGGGAGTCCATTGTTGTGTGTGGTGCTGCCATATCCGACGTCAAGAGGGCAGTGTTGAGATGCAGCCTCGGAACAGCATGGACACCGTTTTCCTTGCACTCAACGGGCCCGGTAGGCTCTTTGACCATGGTAGCCATCTCATCGGATAACGTCGTGTTGGTCACAGCCGGATTTGGCGTGACTGTAGGTTCATCTGCTGATTGCTTGGAATCTTCGTGCGTCTTCTGGTCTTGCTCCAAATCAGAACGTCCAAACTGGGCATCGGATGATTCGTCCGGCTTTTTATCATTCTTGGGGTTTTGAACAATTGGTTTGGCCGCGTGTCGGTTGATTTGTTGTTGGATGTGTCTACGACGAGCATCAAAATCAACATTGCCCAATTCAGGCAATTTGCGCTGAGGGCGAGATCGCGAATCGCTATATTCGGGGTGCTTCTGTAAATTCAAAATTCTATCTCCAACTTTGGAGCGTGGGGAGACTGCCGCACCATGTGAAACCGCTGGTCGGGGTCGTGAACTGCGTAATGTATGGGATTTTTGGGGCGGCGGTTCAGCGATATAGGCCTGGAGTCGGCGACTGGATTCAGATAATTGATTGCGGGATCGCCCAGTTGTTTGATCCCGTCTACCACGCGAGTTTGTCGCAAACGAGGCCGCATCATCCGCTAGCATGCGGGGAGGACTTTGTCTGGGCGACGGAATAGGAAGGCGACTACTGCCCCTAGGTGGCGAAGCGATGGCAGCAGATCGGCTGCTGAACGTGGGATGGGAGGACGGGGATAAGCTTTCGGGACCGGAAGCAGTGATAAGACGGTGTGAGAAGACAGGAATGCGCGACTTGGAATTTGGACTATCCGGGGGCGAGCCATGGCCGGGTTTAGTCCGCTGCAAGGGCGCAGGTACTGCCATTTCAGGATCCCACGGATCTGCAAGGGGGTTCCTGGTTTTGTCCAAATCGCTTTGCACTCTGCGATGGCTGCCGGTGTTGTTTATTCCAACATGAACTGCCTCCAGAGAAGTTGTGTGTCCGAGATACCATGCAGTTGGGGTAAGTGGCGATTTCGAGTATTGATCCTGTTGCTCAAGGAAGGCTGGGTTCGGACTTGGGATACTTCCATCCGAACCGCGGCGTTGCAGACGCGATAAGGGCCTGTTGTTGACTTGTGTGTCTATTGACAACAGTTCGCTGAACAACGGTCGGCGAGGATTCGATTGGGAAATTCGTTGGAATAAAGGCGGCGGAACAGCACCGTTTGTGTCCAGAGGCGGGCCAAATGTATGGGCCACTGGCGAAGAGGGGGTCGAATCAACCGGAGCTCGAGGATAGCTGGTGATCGCCTCCGGTAGAGAATCGCGATACTCACGATGCCGTGGCAAAGCACGATTCCGCTCACCGTCCACACTTCCAGAAGGGCTCACTGCCCTCGAGGTTGAACGAGAAACGGTGGGTAGAGGAAGGACCTGGTCCGAGGTTTTGTTGAATTTATTGACAAGATCTTTGAACGACGGCTGTCGTGCTCTTGGATTCGAGGGTAATGAGGCTAGAGTGGTAGGGGGACCTCCTAACGTTGGAGAATCTGAGGTCGAACGATACGGTTGACGTCTGGTGCGCGATGGCTCCAGCATATTTGTTGGCAGGGGTGACACTTTGTCACTGATAGAAGGATAGTCGGCCGCAGCCATGCCTGTTCTTACATCGCCGAACCCCTCTGTTACATTGGACACAGTCCCTGACAGGGCCCCACGCTGGCGATAATAGTCAGCAGGGTCTGGGGACTCCCGTCCTCTACGATCTTCCAATTGATCGCCCGACAGATGATTCGTCGAAGTGGAGGTATTATGGGGTCGAATGAAGCCCGACGGCAGTGGAGAATACGTGGACGGTGATGGTGCCTGGGGGGAAAGAGAAACGGTCGGCGAGTCAGCTAACGAAGTGGTAGTGTGATGATGGACAGATTGGTCAAATATTGGAGCCGACACTTGTCGCCCAAACGGAGGCGGCCCGCAATACCGGACATCAAAACCCTGCTCGCCACCGCCAGACATCTTGCATGCTTCAGGCCGACAGGTCGACGTGGACTGGTCGCGGCCTTTCGGTTCTGGGCGGGTTAAACTGGTGCGTTGTTCCGGGATGGTCGCCCAACGGGAATGTCGCAGGTGAGTCGACTCAGGCCACAAAGCAATCCTCTTGGGTGGCGCACACCCATTCAGCATTCATATTTGAGACACTCGCAACCCTCCACAAATTTCAAGGGGAAGTGTCCGCCTTCGAACCCAAATAAAAAGATTGTTCGAATGAGGTTCGGATCGGGGGAGTCGGAGAAGGGTGGAATCGACGATCGGCCAGTTGCCGAGATAGATTGGAGATGGCACGAATGGAAGGACCGAGGCTGGAATTCACGCTTCGTCTACCAACGATGGACGCTGATAGGTGATGCCCTGGTACGGAGTAGTTGAGGGGGGGGGGGTTTGAAAGCGAGTCCTGGCGGTGGGCCGGTTTGTTAGCTTCCCCTCCGGGCCAATCCGTTTTGACTAACCTACGCTAGTGATAATGAGGAGTTGAAGTGCAGCGTCGATCTATTTTCTGAACATGTCCGGATGAATTGGAATATTCGAGAAAGGATGAATGGAGCAGAGATGGGATACTAATAAGCCACGATCGTCAAAGTGAAACTGAAGAAATGAGATCGAGGGAAAGGTGGATTTCTTTGTGTAGGATGGGGGACATTGGTAGGGTAGGGCAGAGCTACCGGAGATTGGAGGTGTCTGCCGATGTGTGTACCTATGTACATGTAATTTCCTGGGTACGGAGTACATTGTGTGTGGAGGTACTCCGTAGTACGTAGGTATACATGTATATTTCTTGTACGGAGTATCCTGAGCGGCAATGGCCTAGAAGATCGATCGGTATCATTCGTCATCGGGTACTGCATAGTACCTATACCTGCAGGTAGACGCTCTCTCTTCTCCAGGAACAAGAGTCCCCTGAGACCCGTGACGCAGTGGAGACGCAATGGCCCTTTCTAGACCGCCCGTTCCATGGTTCACTTGTTGAATTGCCATGATTGGCTCACGTGAATCTGGTATATCGACTGGTACTCCGTACTCTCGTTGGTAAAGTACGAAGGACTTCGCTGTACGGGGTACTCCGTGCTGCAGCCTCGATGGTCTTGATTTGACGTGTACAAAGTGCAATCCTACAGAGCGTGTAGACAGGTACCGCATGTGAACATGCCAGCACTCCAATATCCGACCCTCTTTTTCCCGGGACCTCAGACGCGTCACGCGTTGAAAACTAGTCGCCTTTGGCACTGGAGTAAATCAAATCTACAGTGACTGGTCCAAACATAATCTGAATGCCCAGTATGGGAAAAAAGCGCAAAAGACCCTTCAAGGATCGTGGTCCCACGCCCTCGTCTCACACGGGTATCACCACATCTCCCCGCCGTTTCAGAAACCCCCATGCTCCAATTTCCCTGGGAAAGAACACAAGCCATCCCGTTATCTCCCTGTACTACCGACATGTGGTACCCCTGCGGGAGTACCTGCTCCAGCAACTCCCTGCGACATCGAAGTCGCGTCGGCGCCGCATCCTGGCACTTGAACCGCGTGCAGATCAAGACCCTGATACACAATCTCAAACACTGGCGGAACTGCTCGACTCCACCTTGGTGGGTGTACTGAAGGAATCTTCTCCAGTCCTCAATTCAGAGCGGCAACGGGAATATCTGTCTTATAATTCGTCTCCATCACGATCTATTCTTACCTGCACCGACACGGGGCCGACCTGCCCACAGTCTGAGGCGCGTTAATGGCGGCCAAATCAAATTTAAGTACCAGTCGGCTGACTTCTGTCCTAGGTGGTTGATTTCGTGATATGGAAACTCTTCAATCATAACAGTGGCCCTTATGGGAAACCCCAGCATCTGCTTACGCATGGCTTTCAACGCCCAGTCATGGGGCAGAATGCCCAAGAGACTGCCATCCCCGGCGTCATGTCTCAATTTCCCAACCAGAATGTTGAAACGTTAAAACAGGGCGCATGGGCAGAGATCCTTGATTTGCTGGGTAGTAATGGCGAGGATATCATGATGCAACTCCTCTTCGATTGCGGTATCTTTGCCGCGATGGACGCTCGAAGGGGTATCTACTACCAACTCAGTGGTATGTCTTTTTGATCAGGGCTTGGGAAGAAACCCGCGATTGCTGATATCTTTCTAGGTCTGCCGCTCTCGGTTCTTGAGCCTCTGAGCGCTGCCTCAGTGGTGACCAATGGGTTTGCTGTCGCAGGAGAAAACACAATCCCTCCCACTGGCCAAAAATTTCCCAAAGGGAATGCGTGCAAGCGGAAGTCCGAGAAGAAACTCCGAACCCCAAACGAGATTGTCTTTCTACGGCGGCGAATGCTCTATGGTCGAGCCGAGTCCAAAAAGAAAGTCCCGTCTGGATTAGGTCAAACACGTATGTGCTTCACGTTCGTCTATTGAATTTTTGGGCCGATGCTAATTTACACTCGAGATGTTCTTAATCGCTTCTCATCGCTTGATTCGACGGCGCAACTGGTCCATGTGATGAAGTACATTTTCCCCCGACAGTTTGGCTTGCTGAATGTGTTTATGCCGGACTCGGAGGACCGCAATAGTACTGATGAATGGAAGGGCTTCATGTTCCGTGAGAACGAGATATCTTTGTTGGAGGACAAGGTACAAGGACAGCGCTCTCAGCCCCAGAATAAACCTGCAGATGCAGATTGTGGCGGCCAAAGAAATATCAAGGTACCTAAGAGACTTCGTGGAAATACCACAGAGCTTGTTCGGAAGCTGCGGAACCGCAATGCACAATGTCCCTACGGAGAGTTGCTGCGATACTATTGTCCAACCGAAGTGAGACATTTCTTTGTTCACATTGACTTGATTGTATAGCTGACCTTGAACAGCAGACGGGACCCAGCAGACTTGGTGCATTCGCTACCTCCACGCCTGATGCTAAAAACAGCGAGCCTTTCTCTTCCCTGCAGACAAGTTTCGTCACACAGGTGAGAATCAATCCATCGTCAAGCGATAGTTCGGCGCAAGCTGCATGTGATGCTTCGATATGGCAGCCTTCCACGGGCATGGGTGTAGCCTGTGGGACAGATTCCAGGCAACCGCCAGCCATTCGACCTGCTCCATCCAGTCTAACTGATCATGCTACTCCGGCCTCTTCGGTGTCGGCATTTTGTCGAACGGTGATCCAGAAATTAATCCCCCGACAGTTTTTTGGTGTCGGCCCGGATGGCATCTCGAACTTTAGGCTTATTCTCAGACACGTTGACCGATTTATAAAATTGCGTCGGTTCGAGAGTCTAAGTCTGCATCAAGTGTGCAAGAGTATCAAGGTTTGTGGTTATTTCAGAATGATCGTCTGAGACAAAACGCCATACTGATCCACATGCTAGATAACAAGCATTCCTTGGCTAGAGCCACCACAGGTCCAGACTTCACGATCCGAGACAAGATCGAAGATTTCTCTGTCTGACTTGCACAAACGGACGGAAATACTTCATGAGTTCATCTTTTGGATTTTCGATGCAATCCTCATTCCTCTCATACGCTCCAATTTCTATGTGACCGAATCTCAAACGCACCGAAATCGCCTTTTCTATTTTCGCCATGATGTGTGGAAGCAATTGATCCAGCAACCCTTTGGGGAGTTGAAAGCATGTATGTTCGAAGAGCTTGAGCCAGAGCGTGCTGAACGTGTGCTGGCACGACGTTCCCTTGGCTTTGGTTCCCTTCGTTTGCTCCCCAAATCTGCTGGCATCCGGCCCATTCTGAATCTTCGCAAACGAGTTGTGAAGGAAACATCGTGGGGAAAGGGGCGCACGTTCCTCGCCCCCAGTATCAATTCAAGTATCACGCCTATCTTCAGCATGTTGACTTACGAGCGCCAGCAAGCTCCCTCCAAGCTGGGCTCCTCAATGCTATCCGTTGGAGATATACATGGGCGATTGAAGGCGTACAAAGAGAAATTGTCTAATCGACTTTCGAATTCTCAGCTTGGCAAACCCAAGCTCCCGCCGATGAACTTCGTGAAACTTGACATAAAGGCTTGCTTCGATACTATTCCACAGAAGAAGTTGCTCAAACTTATTGCAGAGCTGGTCTCTGAAGAGAGCTACCATATCTCAAAGCATATTGAATTCCAACCACCGGTTTCCACTATCAAGCAAGGCAAACCCATACGAAAATACAGGGCCCGTGCTGCACCCGCAATGAGACAGCAACATCTGCCTGATTTCATTAATGATGGACCACCAGGGCGGAAGGCCAACACCGTTTTCGTTGACTCTATAGGCCAAAAAGAGCATAACGCTGATAGTCTCTTAGACCTGCTTGATGAACATGTCCGCAACAACCTCGTGAAGATAGGCAAGAAGTATTTCCGCCAACGCAACGGTATTCCTCAGGGCTCCGTTCTCTCCAGCATCCTTTGCAATTTTTTCTACGCTGAGCTAGAACGAGAGGCACTGGGTTTCATCAACCCTGAGACCTCTCTACTCATGCGACTCGTGGACGACTTCCTCCTCATTACACCAAACGCGGACACGGCTATGCAGTTCCTAGAGGTAATGATCCGGGGCCAGCCATCGTACGGTGTGCAAGTCAATCCAGGCAAAAGCATGGCGAATTTCAGCGCCTCGGTTGGCGGGGTTCTGCTCCCTCGCCTAGAAGGTTCCCCATTGTTTCCGTATTGCGGCAGTCTCATCGATACGCATACATTGGAAATTCACCGCGACAAAGAACGCATTCTCGAGGGCGGCGAGTCAGCTGCTGCCACACTCTCTGACACATTGACTGTCGACGCTACCCGTCTACCAGGTCGCACTCTTCAGCGGAAAGTACTGAGTGCATTCCGCCTGCAGCTACATCCAATGTACATCGATGATGGGCACAACTCGCGCGCCGTTGTGCTATCCAATCTCTACTCCAGCTTCATCACTTCTGCCATGAAGATGTACCACTACATGAAGTCGCTTCGGGGCCGTGCACATCCGGGCCCTGCCATCATAAAGAAGACTATCCAAGATCTCATTAAACAGACAGCCGGCACTATCCAAGCTCGGCGTGTGGATAAGTCGGAATCTGCATTGTCGTGTTTCGGCCAGCGGTCCCATGTGCAGTATCTAGCTTCGGCGGCATTTCGGTTTGTTTTGAAGCGCAAGCAAACGCGGTATGCGGCGGTGTTGCGCTGGCTAGACTCCCTAGCCAAAGATGCTCGACCCACATCGGATTCCGAGGCGTTAAGGATGACGCAGGTGGTGAAGAAGGGAAATGCCATGTTTGAGGAATGGCGATTTTAAGCTACGACGTTAGAGTGGTGTATCACGACTTGTGCCAAGCAGCAGACAATCAGTGCACGGGGTACGGAGTACGGAGTAATTGTAAGATGGATTGAGCCTAACTTGTATCATCATCCAATGAAATAGATTCCAGACTGTGCCACTTCTATTCAAGACCGCGGATCGTCCAGCATTGGGCACAAATCTGGCTGGGGCAATCGTCTCAAAAAGACCGTGATTCAGGGGTATAGCGTGTAGATCCAAAAGCACAACAGATACTCTCATTTAAACAGCGTGCTCAGGGACTTTTAACTACGGTGTACCAGGCTGTGCAGGTCTATCCCTTCCTCATGAGGATCGATTTCCTTGATCTCCAGAAATGTGGTAAAATACTTGAGTGGTACTTCTCTATCACCGCTTCTGCACTAGTGGCACAAGGTATCGCCGAGGTACCCCCCTGTTCTCGGCCAGACCGAGTGCGGCACAACTGCCTGAGGCTCCGCTTGCAGACAGCATCACGGTTTCTCTTTTCACTTTCTTCTGGATTCTTGTGTGTCTTCATGTCGTCTTCGTCTCTCGTTTGAATCTTTCACTTCTTCTCTCTACTTTCCCACATTCATTTCCCACTCTTATTTTGTTTTCATACTCCAAACGCCCCTGGCCCCAAATGGTCATCCCGTAATATCGACTTCTCCTGATCCCTCTTTACAACAACACCTGATCTGGATTTCATCAGGCTGCGGCTGAGCCTGCAATTCCTTTCTACCTTAATTGGCTTCTATTGGAGTGTTCTTATCTCGTGATCCATATCTCTTTTATTCGCAAATCGCGATCGTCGCGCCAGTCTTCGACCCTTCCGGCCATCCCGTCGATTTTCTCCCCGTGTTTTTGTCTGATAGATTAACTTTGTGGGGGATCCATACATCTGAATAATTGCACGATATCATGACCACCGTTTGCCCGACACCCAATTCTCCCCCGAGCTCTCCGGGTCCAAATCCTCAAAATCCTCCTCTTTCCATTCCTCCTCCCACCTGGACGGCCCGGACAGTATCTTCACCGACATCTCGAACTTCGAAGACATTGGCTTGGAAGATGACGCTGAGATCTCTTATGCCGATCCACCAGGCTCCTATGGCCGCGCTGGAGTAATGGCACGGTCGCCTGCCGCTCGATTGTCAAGCAAAGCCCCTGCGGCCTCGACCCGTGAGCTAACCGCTGCTCCCAAATCCCGCAAGCGGAGCCCTCTACCTCCGATACAAAACGGGGCTGCCAGAATTCCTCAGTCCGCAGGATCCCTCACGGCCAGAACTGGCAATCGCAGAGATTCCGGGGTCACATTGCAGTCGCCCGGTTTGGCACCATCTCAACCCCGCCGCTCACGGTCTGTCTCGCCGTTAAGGCCGACATCCAGCCGCTCCGCCTCGAACACGAGCTTAGCTCTGTCTCCGCTATCCGCACGAGTGCCTATTCAGAAACAGACCTGGCAGCCGAATCGCAAGTCTCTTAAAGACCTGGAGGCAGAGTATCATGACTCGGACGATGAGCTGCCAGATGACGCGAGCTTATGGAACATTCCTATCTCTCCGCGTCCAGTTCAGGATCGGGCCCCATCACGGCCCGCCAGTCCGAATGGTCGCAGCCCGGGGCGACGGCCACTGCCTATCCAGCACAGCATACCGGACGATGGGAAGTCAGCACCGCCCGAAAACACGGCCAAGGCCTCTCGCATGAAGCGCATACAGCGATCGAGCTCCGCAGGACCGGAGCGCGGGCAGATTTCGCCACGCAATCCCCGCACGTACTCGTATAATAGTTTCTTATCCGACTTGTCTGAGGAGGCAAAGATCATCACCGAAGCTCTGGAGCTGCATGCTGATGACAAAGATCGCAAGTACGAGGAGAATGTTCAAACCGGTACTGTGCGAAAGTCCAGCGAGGACTCATATCGAGCATCTCGCGAGGCTGTCGTTTTGCCGCCTATACAGAAATCCAATATCATGATCGATCCATTGCCAATCAGCAAGGAGAAAGAGAAGGTGCTGACACGCACACGCCCAAGCTGGCTTCCACCCAAAGATCAAAAAGAGGAGAGGAAACATCTGAAGCAGTACCAGCAAATGATGGCTCAATCCCGAGAAACCGGTATGTATGAAATATTCTTAAAGCTTCACCAGCCCCCTAATTGGTATTCTAGAGAAACGCAAAGCTGCTAGGGATGCAAATGCGCAGTGTGAAAAGGACAACACCCGAGTAACATTGCAGAACATCTGGGATGAATACGTCTGTCCGCATTGGGACCGGGCTCTCCGCGAGCCTCGAATTCGCGAGCTATGGTGGCGTGGAATTCCGCCTCGTAACCGCGGTGCCATTTGGAAACGAGCTATTGGCAACGAACTAGGATTAACCGATGAGACCTTCACCAAAGCGCTGCGCCGTGCCAAGGATCTTCAAGGCAAAAAGGATGCAGAAAACGATAACAACAAACGACTACAGGACTGCTTTGAGGCAATCGAAGCAGATGTGTCCAAGGCTTTCCCGGACCTGAACCTCTTCCAAGCAGGTGGTCCACTACGGGATACCCTTATCGACGTCCTGCAAGCATACTGCATGTACCGCAGTGACGTAGGCTACATCCATGGCTTGCACACCATCGCCGCTCTCCTCGTCCTCCAATTTCCTACCCCCGCTTCCGCCTTCCTCGCCATGGCCAACGCACTCAACCGCCCCTTGCCTGTTGCATTCCTCACCTGGGACCGCGGCGCCATGGCCCGCTCTTACACACTGGCATCGGATACCCTGCGTTACAAGTTCCCCCGTCTACACACCCATCTTGTTGAAACCTTCCAACTCTCTGAAGCAGAGATCTGGGAGCCTATCTTCCGTTCACTCCTGACCAACGGTCTGGACCTCGAGCGCATCTCCCGCGTTTGGGACTGCTGGGTCTTCGAAGGCGACCGTGTCATGATCCGCTCCGCCGTCGCCATCCTAGGCTGTCTCCAGACACAGTTGTTCTCCTTCCAACAGAACGATGAACAGTCCCGTCTTGTCGTGCGCGATATCATAGGCTGGGGTCCCCGCCATATCGGAGCCAACACTCAAAAGCCCAAAGACCGACACAGCGCCCCTGCCGCTGCCGGCTTTGGCGGTGGGCAAATTGAGAATCCCGGTGTTGCTGATTACTGGATTCTCACTGCTGCAGGTGACGAGGATGGATTTATGAATGCCGTTCGAGAAGCCGGAAAGGTGCGCCAACAGCCTCCAGCCACTTCTTGAATACGGCAGCTGTGTCATGTCTATCAGACTCGATGTCTCCTGGGTTATGTCTTGCGTAAACAGTTCTCTTCCGGCGCTTGCCTCTCATCCTGCTTCTACCCTGTTTTCTCTTTTTCCATACCCCAAAGACACATGATCCCTCATCAATCTTGATATCCACTCGCTATCCCAGAGAAAAAGCACAGACACGACCCGATTTTGCTTACCGTGCAGTCTGCTCTTTTATGCTGTATACACACCCGTCATTCACTGAACAGCCGTTCTCTCTATATCTTGAACCGCATGAAGACCATTCCCTTTTTTTTTCTTTTTTACACTTGTACCTTTCTTCCCACCGAGTACCCAAATATTCTTAGCTCACTGATTGGTCTCTGTGCCCTTTTTTCTTCCGAATTGTTTCTTTCTGCTACTTCATGTATTTTTAGCCACCCTGACTTTCAAGCCCTGATGCATCGCTTTCTGTTTCATCATTGGGTACTTAGTCTTCCAAGCCAAATCCAGGTCTTTTAGCAATCTTTGATATTGGATTACATCCAACAGAGTGTAAACAAGCCCTGGCATTACAATGGATAAGCTATCAAATATCTACGAGAATGAATACATCGAAGAAAAAAGAAGAAAATGGAAAAGATTTCTTAGGAGCTATGCTGATGAAATTCCAGCGTCACAGTCTCAAAGGACCATCTTTTCCCTCTATCTTCTGCTCTAGCCACAAGAGAAAACCAGCATAATCATATGTCTGTCAAATATTGCACACGAAGATATCAAAACCCCCAACCCACCCATCCCAGTTAAAACCCTCAAAAGGAAAGAAGAAACCTCATCATTCTTTAAAGTAAGTTGACGCCTCTAACCATAGAAAGGGTACGACATATCGTATATGATCATTCTGGCTTAGGAAATCATTCAAGGTCATGTCTCTGTTTCTTTTTGCTTCTACCACGAAGCCCAAGCCACAGGTCCCTTGGGGAACATGCGGACCAGGACCTTACGCAACTCATCCATACAGAGGATACCCATTGCGAGACCGATAGGGATACACCAGAACTCGATGGGGACGCTAGCGGTGCTGAACAAGTTCTGGATACCGGGGACTTCGGTAACGAAGATAGCGATAATCAGTGAAATGAGCATGGAAAGCGGAAGCCATGGATTGCGACGGGCAGGACGGATCGGATCGGCCTGGAGGAGGGACATGCGCTTGCTGCGGACGGATAGGACGTTGCCCCATTGCATGATAACCAGGGCCACGAAGTAGACGCACTGGCCCACGTTGGTGAAATTGGTTAGCTCATCCTTGGTATAGCCATGGAAACCTTCATCGAAGCTCTCGAAGGCGAAGATGAGCTCGTTGAAGGTAATTCCGGCGTGGCGGTGCATGTACAGGAAGAACATGGCGTGAGCGCTGAGGGTTTCCATCACACCCACGAATAGGTATGCCTGGCCATAGATGCGGAGGTTGATGAGATGGTCCTTGGTTGGGCGACGTGGGGGTAGGCTGAGGAGATCGAACTCCTCTTTCTCCATGATCAAAGAGAGAGAGACGAATAGATCGGTGAAGACACACACGATGATCATGAGGAACACGCTGAGGGGTGCAGGGCAGCCGAAGAAAACGTTCATTAGAACGGGCCAGATCTCGGACCAACTACCAGCTGGTAGTAGGTAGGCAATAACCTTCTGCAGGTTTTGGAAGACCAATCGGCCAAGGCGAATGGCCTCAATGATAGAATCGAATCGGTCCAAGAGGACCAGATCGGCCGCCTCGATAGCCACGTCGCTGCCAGATCCAACTGCAACGCCTACGTCTGCTGCGCGCAGTGCTGGGGCATCGTTGACACCGTCGCCGGTCACGGCTACCACATAGCCGCGAGCTTGCAGCTCTGTCACAATCCGAAGTTTCTGTTCCGGGGTAGTACGAGCAAAGACAATCTCATCATAGCTGCACACTCTGTCCCAGTTTTCCGAAGTGAGTGATGACAAGTTAGGACCTTCAAGAAGCAGGCTGTGTCGTGATTTGGGGACTTCGACGTCCATAGACTTTTCCAGTTTATCCTTTAGATCTTCAGCGGTGTCCGGCTCAGCTTTTCCGTCAAAGATTCCAATCTCGCGAGCAATGGCAGCCGCAGTCAATCCAAAATCGCCAGTCACCATGAAGAAGCGAATGCCAGCCCTGCGACAAGCTGCAACAGTCGAGGCCGTCTCCGTGCGTGGGGGATCAACAATACCGAAGATACCGAGAACTGTGAGATCCTGCACACCATGTTCGATCATCTCGTCGCTGAATTCGTTGGAGCCAGGAGCAGAACGAGGGATGTAACGGCGCTGACAGATGACAATTACCCGCTCTGCACGCCGTGACAGTTTAACTTGGAAGTCTGAAAATCTCTCTCGAGCCTCGGTATCGAGTGGGCGAACCGCATTATGAACTGCAGACCAGTAGGTCGCACAACGATCCAACAGGACATCTGGTGCTCCCTTGACGTAAATGATGAACTCTTTGGTAGATTTAGGGTCACGGTGCAAGGTAAGCATCCATTTGTTCTTCGAGTTGAAGGGAACCTGATGCACACGTTCGTATTCAGCCAAGAGCGTAGGAGATGTGAGTCCAACACTTTCGCCAAATCTCAAAACTGCTGCGTCGGTAGCATTGCCGTTGACAGCACGTTCATGGATGGGCAGGCTCAGCGTGGTCGGGTCGAATGTTGCATCATTGCATAAGACAGATGCCCGCAGCATATCACACAGGCCTTCAGGAAGCTCAACCTTTCCGAGCGCTCCAGACATCAGATCCTCGAGGCTATATTCCCGATCTACCATTCCAAGAGACTTGACAAACATGCGGTTCTGGGTAAGAGTACCAGTCTTGTCGGAGCAGAGCACATTGACACATCCCAGAGTCTCGACGGTGGAAAGACCCTTAGGCAAGATGTTCGTCTTCTTCATTCGTTGAGCGATCATCATGAGGGTCAATGCGACGGCAACAGGCACACCTTCGGGAATGAAGGCAACGATACACCCCATGACATTGTTCAACATGGCAACAACACTCATATAGGAAGGATGGTCCTTGTGCAGCCAGCCCAGCCAGGTGAAAAGGATCAGCAAGGCCAAACAGACTGTCAGAACTACAATGATGGTGACGAAGCGGTTGATCTCACGTTGGATCAAGGTTGGCTTTTGCTTAACGCCAGCTGTCATGGACGCGATGCGGCCCATCACGGAGCAAGAGCCTGTCAGAACGACGACCCCAATGGCATTACCATTGGTGACAACGGTCCCCATGAGGGCAATGTTCCGAGTCTCCAGGAAGTTGGAATCAGTGTGGTCGATGGTGCCTTCAATCTCATCGGACTCGCCAGTCAGAATGGCACGGTCGAAGCGAACATCGCCAGAGCTGGAGAGAAGGCGCATATCGGCTGGGACTTTGTTTCCCATGCCAATATGAACAACATCACCAGCGACCAGCTCAGTGGCAGGGAGACGAATCAGTTTCTCGTCGCGCATCACCATTGCTTCTGCGGGTAGGAGGTTCAGGATCGAGTTCATGACACGCTTCGTGGACCAATCTTGGAAAGCCGAGAAGCTAGCTTGCAAAACAATGACGATGAGAATGAGAACAGCCATGGCAAGATTCTGAGGAGAGGGTGGATCGCTGAGTGGCTTCCAGCAGATGAAGAAGATGACAACACCAACCCAAAGAACAGAGCAGAAACCACCAAAGACGTAGAAAAAGATCTTCTTGATATAGTTCTCCCGATGATGGGCAATGACATTCTTGCCATCCCGCTCCAGACGTGTGGCTGCCGCAGATGAGCTTAGCCCAGTACGTCGATCGACGTTGAACTCCTGGCACAGCTTCTCGGGGGCAATGATGTGAAAATCCAAGCTCTCAAAGTAGTCTTGGTGTGGCTGCTTGTCCTTGTGTGCGACATTGTGAATATCTTCTTTAGGTGCGGTTTGGGATTCCGATATCTGGATGGACAGGGTTCGGAACTCGATGGGGATCTCAGCGGCTCCGTGGAGGCTGGTCCTGGTGCTGTCCCGGCTCAGCGAACGGGTCCGAGTGACCGGAATTGGCTGGTAGATGGACCGAGCACCATCTGGGGAAGAGGACTCCTCGAAGGTGATCCGTGTAGAGCGTCCAGTGCGTTCATCATCACCCTTCGACTCGATGTCGATGTTGGTCTTGCCGTTGTCGGAGTCCATGATGACGGTCTTGGATGAGGACAAGAAGGTAAGAGGCAGAATGGGAAGACCAACAGCCACTCACAGGCAACACAACGAGATTGATGAGCGAAAGAGACAAATAATGGGGAATAAAGAGGGTAGGTAGGTGCACCCCTCCTTTATGTAGGCTTCCAGGCTTCCAAACCCAAACAAGGTCATCTCAGCTAGTGATGAATTGGGAAGGTAATCTCCAACTGCAGGAAATGCTCCTCGTGTGACGCTGCCACGCGATTCCACGAGGAACCGGTCGATTCAGGGACCCGATGAGGGAATAAAGCCAGGAATGGGAGGGCATAGCCGCTATCGTGCCTACACACATGATGTAGACAGGGTATAGTGTACCGGTAAGCACTACACATTAGCTAGGAAACTAAGAGTATCAGGTACGACAAACCTTGAGTTTACTGTGGATCTCCCCATCCATGGATCCAGGTTATGACCCATTGCCATGGTCATCGCGTTCAGCTCAGAATACATATACACCTGCAAACGTAATATTACCTAGTAGAGGCTCCCACCGCCAATCATAAGTGGCTGATATAGATCTGTGACAGTACAGAACACCAACTCTACCCTAACTTCCCCTGTCGAGCAGACAATTCCTTGCCATTCACCGGCTAACCATGGAGATTAATGTGTTTGTTTAAATTCTTTAAGCAATCTAAACAAATGCCGCAGATCTGTTAAATTGTTAAATGTCAATATTGAAGGTAAAGTGGTATCTTGTCACAGCCACAAAAGTACAGTGTGAATCCCCAGTGAGGGATTTTTCCGGGCCACAGACCGGCTCTCGCTTGATGCCGAACTACTCAATTCAGACCTATTCTCACCACAGCTTCCGCATTAGATCCCTTTTTTTCTTTCTCCCACAATTAAAATGTGGTAAGAGCGCTTCTGACAGGTCAATTAGAAAAATCCAATACTTCACTCAGGCTATCGGACGACCTGACATGGTCGTGAGCAATTTGTCTTATCCAATCGCCAAACGTCCAAGCCACATACCAGCCACGAGGGAATTATTGACACGAATCCGATCCAGGAGTATGATCGATCTGATGCAATCTGGGATACCTCGCTCTTCCCTGCTCTTTTCTCGTGTGCACCTCCTATTATTGTCCTTTTATGGGCAGATCAGCCATGGAGAAGTAGCGATGTTCGCGTAAACAAGGTCTATAAAAAGCCCCCTGGCTTGAAGCCTCAACATTGAAATCAAGCTGCCTCTTTCTTGTTTGATCTTTTTTAGGTTCTCCCCATCTTTTCAAACTTTGGACGCCACACTTGGACAGTGCTTGCCATGCGTCCTCCAGATCAGCCCGTCGACCACCATCATTACGTGAAACCAGGCAAACGATCCGCCAAGCATCCAGTCAATACGGCAGCTCAGACGCGTGGTCGCCCTACTTCCAGTCATGATTATCAGCGGTTGTTGACATCGGTTTCGACAGACCAGCGGCCCTTGCTACGACAAGACTCGACGTCCTCCGAATCTACTCGGTCTGCATCCCCATCGCCCAGTCGCTCATTCATAGAACAATACGGCCGTTGCCTCCAGATGGTACACTATGGTATACATAGCACAACGCGTCTGCATCAATCCAGAGATAAGCAACTTGTAGCGATCAAAGTCTACCGGCGCACCATCCTAAGGGGCTGTCCCAATACCTCTCATTCAGCATCCCTGCACTCTGAACACCCCAACATCCTTCCAATCCTCAACCTACTCCATAATGAACGTGGGGAACTTTGCCTTGTCATGCCACACTGCGCTGGCGGCGACCTAAACACACTACTAGCTCGCCACGGATCCCTCCCACCTCAAGAAGCGGACTGTATCATGACACAAATCCTCCGCGCCCTTGCCTTCCTGCATAACCAGGACACAGCACACCGCGATATCCGTCTAGAAACCGTCCTACTTACTGCTAGGGGCGCAGTCAAGCTAGCTGGGTTTGGTGATGGACATATCCGACGGATCTGGGAGAATTCCGTATCAAGACTGACGGCATCTGGGGAAGCAAGGCTGCCCCCAAGACCACAGCCACAGGCGACATGGTCGTCCGCGTTGCCATCGCTCCTTATTTCACTCTGTCGAAGTTCTGATTTCTTTTCTCGCGATAGTAGTACCATTGTCGCGAATACATCCACGCCTTCGTTTGTAGGGATGAGCCTTTCATATGTCCCACCTGAGGGCTTCAAAAGCTACCTTAATCCTTCTTCGCATCATGAAAATCGGGATTGCGAGGAGTGCGATCCTCGTCCTGCTGATGTATGGGCTACTGCTATAACGTACATGGCTCTCGTCACCGATGGGATGTTGTGGGGTAGTGCGCGGCCACATCGGGAAGATGCACGGTATCTAGAATATCTTGATTCCCGCTGTGGATATGACGGATATCCACCAATCGAGGCACTGGGGCAGGTATGTTGATATGTTTTACTCCCTCGGGTGAACACAGACAAGATACTAATATTTGGTCTCTAGAAACGACGCAACGCCATTTATGCAATGTTGCATCCTGATTACTGGAAGCGGATTACAACCGCAAAGCTCTTGCGATCAGAGTGGATACAAAGTGTGGAGGTTTGCGAAGCCGGTGCGAATGGATATTGAACACTGGAGGTCTGATACACTCGTCGATCTATGGTTGCAGGTGCAGAGGTGCTTGTATAAACGAGGTGCTCTATACATTTCGGGGCTTCACATCGAAGACATGCGTTTTTTGTTTTTTTTATTTAGCTTCTTGTAGATACCCTCAACATTGTTTTTCAATATTGCTGCTATGGAGTAACATTTTTCTTTCTAGTCGAAAATTGCAGACACTAAAAAACACAATTTGATTTTGATTATATACCAAGTCTTCAAATAGGACATTAATCACACAGTCCCAGCAGCAAGCACATACCCTCCATCAACAACAACGGTCTGCCCATTCAAGTACTGATTACAAGCAGCAAACAGCACAGCACCAGCCATATCCTCATCCTTCCCAGGCCTGGCAGCAGGAACCTTCTCCCGATACTTCTCAGCCGGGATATAACTCTTCTGCGCCTCATCACTCTCCCCAGCAGTCATTTCACTAGGAAAAACCCCCGGCGCAATATTATTCACCCTAACCCTCAACTTCGACGAACTAACCTCCTGCGCAAGCATCTTAGTCAAATGAATCGCCGCCGCCTTAGTCGCATTATACGCAAAATGATGCTGCGAAACCTTCACAATCCCCGAAATCGAAGTCGTATTAATCACCGTACTCGACCAACCCCGTTCACGCTCCGAGCCGCGCTGCAGCAGCGGCAAGAACGCAGTCGTCATGAAGAAGATCTGCGAGACGTTCGTGCGGAAAACAGAGTCCCATTCGTCGAACGTCACGGCCGGATCGTCGAAGAGATTCTCGCGCAGTTGAGTCGGGTCTTCGGGCTCGGTTTCTTGCGTGTTGCTGGATATTCCAGCGTTGTTCATTAGGATTGACAGGTGGCCTTCGCGGGTGGAGATTTCGTCGGCGAGCTTGCGGATCTCGTCTTTGTTGGTCACGTCTGCTGCGAGGGGGATGATTTTGCCGCTGGCGTTGTCGTTGTCGTAGAGTGCTGCCACGCGGTTCAGTTTGCTTTCTGTTCGGCCGGTTATGTATACTTTGGCGCCGTTGACGGCTAAGGTCTGCGCGGCCATTAGGCCGATTCCTGAGCCGCCGCCGGTGATTAAGGCCACTTTTTTTGTTAGGATGGGGCTGTTGAACTGATATGGATGTGTATAGCTCACCTTTGTCTTTGACATTGAATAGATTCTCTAGCTTGAACTTTTGGTTGCTCTGATCGGCGGCCATTTTGATCTCGTCTGAAACGGGGGAATTTCTGGTAGGATAGATTGTGAATTGACGCGATGATTGCAGAGAAAAAGACTTCAGTGCTTTTGTTGATATTTTTGATGATATCAGAACTGTGTTGTTCTTATTGAGTGTCTGGGTGAGCTGTCGAGTAGGAAGGTAGAACCGCGCCATGGCTACTTGAACTACCATTTATATCGATAGACGCCTGAGCAAGCAGGGCCAGAGCAAATCATGGCTTGTTGAAAATAGTAGGACAATGACTTAAACCTGTTCTAGGTACGGTTTGCCAGTTGGAGACCTGCATCATCTGTAGGTCATTCTTTGATCGCTGCCATGGCTCTAATCAATATGGCAATCTAGTTTTACTCGGAGTTTGAATCTTGATTTGTTGTCATCAGCTTACAAATAACGAGAAATTAGTGCAAAGTGTCGTCCAGGGTTCTGGTCGGTTTGTGGTGATATTGAACAAGGTCTCGCCATTGCTGCCATGTTGAATATCAGAATGACGTCATTGGTCTAACATCTCGATTTCTTTTTTAAAAAAAAAGAATTTGATAAATTATGAATCAATGGATTGCTTGTTCATTTTACGACTAGAATGCTGGGAAAATTAGTCTACCAATTGTTCTTGTTGGCCATCTGATATTCTAGTTCAAACATCGGCGATATATTTTGTACGCCTACATCTAGACAGATGAACCACCACCCTCACTCACCCAACACAATAACTTCGATTCAAATATATAGATTTCTGGTGTCTTTTCCTGCCGCTACGAGTAAAAATCCATTTGAGAAAGTGTGACATAAACCAAACTCTTAACAAATGAGCGAAAAGAGCATATCATTTGTTATGTAACAATATACCATAAAGAGCTCGAAATGCAGGCTATCCAGATGCAAATTATTCAAAGCTTGGCCTTTGCCGCCAATGCCTCGCTGACTGGTGCAACCTCCACCATCATCTTACCAGTGTTGGCACCAGCATACAGGTCAATGAGAGCCTGTGGCGCCGCCTCCAAACCACCGGGCACGATATGCTCCTTGCGCTTCAGCTTACCCTCAGCCAACCAAGAGCCCAGCTCCTTGAGAGCAGCCGGGTACTGCTTCGCGAAATCAAAGACAATGAAACCCTTCATAGTGATGCGTTGCGACTGTGACGAATTAGCCAGATATCCCCAAACCCAACCCCCAAAAAGACTCACAATAACATTCATGAAACTCGCCGGACCCTGCGGCTTAGCCGCATTATACTGACTGATAGCGCCACAGATCGCAAAGCGCGAATCCTTAGCGGCCCGAGCCAAGCAAGCATCCAAGATATCACCGCCAGTATTATCAAAAAAGACATCAATGTACTCCGGGGTAGCCTCCTTCAACTGCTTCCGCCAATCGGCATCCTTATAATTAACCGCCGCATCAAAGCCCAACTCCCGAACCAGGAAATCACACTTCTCCTTACTCCCCGCCAAACCGACCACGCGTTTGGCGCCCTTGATGCGCGCAATCTGGCCGGCAACCATTCCCGTCGCTCCCGCAGCACCAGAAACAACAACCGTGTCGCCCTTCTTCGGCTGCCCGACTTCCACCATACCGAAGTACGCGGTCAGGCCCGTCATGCCGAGCACGGACATCGCGTCGGTGGGACGTCCGCCCGCAGGCACGAGTACCTTATCTGCTTCTTTGGCGCCTATAAGCGCGTACTCCTGCCAGCCAGAGTAGGCGACGACCCAGTCGCCTGCGCTGTACTTGGATGCCAGCCCGCTGCCGACGGCGATGACTTGGGCGATGCTCTGCCCGCGCATCACGGCGCCTTGCTCGACTGGGGCGATGTAGGAGCGTTTAGCGGTTAGCCATTGGCGCATGGCTGGGTCAAGGGAGAGGTAGTGCACGCGCACAAGCAGTTTGTCTGTGGGTACATCTTTGGGGATGGGGAGTGTGTTTAGACGGAAGGTTCCATTGCTGAGAGAGGGGTTGATAGCCGGGGCAGGTGGAGTGGTGTAGATAATTTGCTTATTAGACATTTTGAAAAAAAGTGGTTAGATGGTTATCCTAGATGAATGAAGAAACCCGTGAAAAAAATAAAAAAGAGGATGCAGACACTGATTGAAAAGCCTCTGGGATATGATCGGAGACGGTCCAGATTAGGAAAACTGCTCCTTGTGCCTCGGCAGGAAACAAAAGTTGAATAATAAGCTTCATTCAGATGCATTAGTTGTGCTTATTTTAGAACATAGGATAAATCTGATTTATGCATATCTACAGGACACATTCGTAACTCCAGCAGACTGGGCTATACCTCCATCCAATCTCGCCAGCTCCGGGCCGATTTATAGATCGCGAAATCGGCCCTGCGTTCATAATGACGTCACTCATTCGCCCGAAGTATAAATCCAGAATTGCCAGTTACAACATTTTATGTTTCCGTTTATAACCACAAGACCAAAGTACGCTTACTCAATTATACAATGGCTGAAGAATACGGACGCTACGAGCATGCCGATCCCACTGAATCCTCCCGTGGCGCAGTAGGCGGAGGTTCCTCAACGGGCGCCCCGGGCCGTCCAACAGGACTCCAGGATCCCCGATCCCAGTATGACACCTCAAAAGGGTACAATCCAGCCACAGGGTCCAGCTACTCAAAGTCCTCAGGGGGTGGACCAACCCAAACCCACCAGCGACCGCTGTCGCCGTCGCCGTCCCGAAGTGATGATCGGGTTGTCGGGGATGCGCCACTCCCGCATACGGCGAGCACGGCACAGCGGGCGGAGATGGAGGATCAGTCGGCGACCGGGTCAAAGGCTTCGCGGATGGGCGAGGGAGCTGGGAAGGGGGTGAGGGGTATTGCGGCTTCGATTCATGTAAGCTGGAACTGATCTTTTTAGTTGTTCGGGGGTATAGGTCTGACATGTGGTTGATTTAGGGTGCTGGAGAGTCATTGCGTGGGGCATTGAATACCGCGGTTGATCGGGCGTTTGGATCTCATGAGGGAGCTGAAAGAAATCAGGAGATTGCGGAGAAAGGAGCAGAGGAGATTCGGACCGGTCGGTTTGGGAATCATTAGATTTGATAGACGGTGTATGCGCGTATAACTACGGATTGTACGGAGTACGGAGTATGGCGTGGCTGAAGCTGATTTAATATAACGATCTTAGGTGAGATGATCCTGAAACAATAGCGGCTCGGCTATCGTACCTTCGAGATGAAAGGAATCTGATCTCTACTATTAAGATCGAACGTGATCACATGGAATTAAATGGAAATTAGGGCATCGATCTCCCGGGTTCGACCAGTGGGATGCACGTCGATCGGAGAGGTATCTAGATCGCACATAGGAGTATGTTGTATAGCAAATATGAACCACATGTAGAATATACAACCATGTAATCTATCCTTGCAAGGCTAAGCATTGCCCGGCATTTCCTAAATCCCCTAAATCCCCTAAAGATCTAAGAATCATATCTCCCGATTCAGAGCTTCCAGCCCATCATCCGGCCGACCCGAGAAGGCTGTGCTGGTGGAACCCCCCGTTCCCGGCCATTTATCAACCGGACGCCCGCACCTCGAATTCGGGCATCAGGGAAAAAAAAGCACACACAGAATACGACCTTGTACACATTGACATCAGGGGCATTTTCTGCACTCTTGCTCCACGTTTTGCGCCCGGGCCACATTTTGCATCACACATGAGCCAATCCAAGTTTTTGTGGCCGACAGTTGCACACCCGTTGTACGACCTCATGCTTTGAGCTCTCGACTTCTTTCTCTTCTCGGCATAACTCGCCATGGCTTCAATTCCCGCACACCGACCGAGTTCTTCACGAATGGGACCTGAGGCCGCTGCGGTAGCGGCAGCCTCAACATCCCAGAACCACCACACCTTGTACTCCTCGGAGTCATCTTCCAATCCGGCCATCTCAGACTCTCCCTCCCACTATTCGTCCTTCTCCAGCTCCGATAGCGATGAGCCACTCACGCATTCAATCGAGGTCACCGACGAAGATGCTGCCGGGGATGTGGTGGGGGTTAGTATTGGCCGTGAACAGAGCCGTATGAAGGCTCGCGCCACACCTTTGGAAGAGAAGAATCGGGTGCTGGAACACCAGGGAGGCTATTTTGCAAACATACCAGATACCGTGGGCGAAGATGGTCTGTTCGTGTCGGAACTCACGGCCGAGCCTGAGTCTGTGGCCGGTCTCGAGCCCGACTCGGTAGAGCCCAAGGTGGGAAAAGCATCGCGCGAACAAGGTCCTGAAGATAAGCGGCGGACAACACGCACTCCCGTGCAGTATATAGAACCCGAGCAAACCCTTCGGCATGGCCCTCGCAGTGATCTCTTCGCTGCGGCCTCTGAGAAGCCCGGGCCGAAAGATACGGCCGCAAACCAGCGGTCTGGTTTTGTCGGGGCCTTGTTGAAAAACACATTGCCTCGCCGACCACGCGCTTGGTCTGGCGAGCTGAAGAAATTCCTGCCGGACCTAACTTCTCTGAGGAAGCGCCCGTCGCTCTCGTTCCGAGTCCCTAATGGGCAAAATCGAATCCGTAGCCAGACGGTAGCTCCTCCAGCCAAGAGCAATCTGGGAATGCCAAAAAGAACATCATCACTGGACCGGCGTCGCCCATCATCACCTGTTGCGCCAACCACCGTTAGCAATGACGATGATGGAGAAGCCGCTCAGGAACTATCTGAGCTGCGTTCGCCCGATGGAACCTCGGCCGCGAAGTATTCTTTTACTCGGAGGCCTAGCACAGCCTTGCCAGGTCGCCCACCAAGTCTGCGGAGGTCCTCATCGGATCAATCACTGTATCTGCGTGCGTCATCTACTGCATCTTCCTTAGAGCAGCGACCGCTTTACGAGAATGTACACTCGCAGGTGAATAGCCGGTTCAAGGCGATCAAGGATAGTCTCCAAGACTCGAGTAGCAGGCTCCTCAGCATGCCGGCTCTCCATCTGCAGGATATCCGCACCGACTGGGGCTCTCGCCCGTTCCTTCCAGAGCTGGGGAACGGCTCATCAAGTAACGGCAATGGTGTCAATGGAATCGACAAGGGGGAACACCCACAACGTACCGAAACCCCGCCTCCACCTCTGCGAAACAATCCTAATTCAACGCACCCGGCCTTGGATGAAGCAATGGCAGATCTCACAGGTGATGTTGTGATTCTGGGAGGCTACCGAGGATCAATCCTGCGGTCCGCCAAGCCACCTCATCGTCAACTCTGGGTGCCAATGAAGGTTGGCCTGAACCTGCGAAAAGTAGACTTGGAGGTTGGTCTGAATCCAGAGGATGAGGAACGCATGGAGGAGACCATCATACCATCTGGTGTCCTCTCCCATGTCGGTCCGGTGGACGTCTGCCGACGGTTGATGAAGCGGCTGCGTAAGAGCGAGAATGCCTTGCGTGGTGATTTGCGCGTTCACGATTACGGATACGACTGGCGACTCAGCCCCGAGCTGCTCTCGCGCAGGCTCATCGCCTTCTTGGAAAGCCTGCCATGCAACCAGGAGCCTGCACCCGGGCAACCCGGACGCGGCGCTACAGTCATTGCACATAGTCTGGGCGGTCTGATAACACGACACGCAGTCAACGAGCGACCTGATCTATTCGCAGGTGTCGTGTACGCAGGCGTACCACAGCACTGCGTGAACATCCTGGGACCCCTCCGCAGCGGCGACGACGTCCTCCTCAGCTCACGCGTGCTAACAGCACAAGTCAATTTCACATTCCGCACGAGCTTCGCCCTCCTCCCAGAGGACGGCCACTGCTTCATCGACAAGCAAAGCAAAAATGAGTTCCGGATTGACTTCTTCAATGCCAAAACCTGGGATGATCATCGTCTGTCCCCTTGCATCGGCCCAGCCCTGCCCGCGCCCACAACCACCATCGGCAGCGTCAGCAGCCTCGGCTTGAAAGACATCCCCATTATCGGCAAGCGCTTCTCCATGCCGCCGCGTGATGACACAGACGAACTCCTCCAAGACCACCACAATTTCCCCGACGAATATCACGGACACCACCCTGTTGCCACAACGGACAGGGACGTCTACTCCCGGAATCTTCCCCATAATCCTCCCCACAACCCACACCCCCAGAACCCAGCCATGTATGCTGCATACGCCGCCGAAAAAGTCCAAAACCCGGCCGACGGCCTAGTCGGCCCGGCAGCACAACCACGCAGCAGCGCCATAACCAACAAAATCGCAACAACGAGCACGATCCCGCGCGCCGTGGCGATGGAGTATCTCCAGCGCACGCTGGACGAAACAAAGCGGTTCAAGGAAAACCTCGCTTTCCGGCCGACGCACCACAGCGAGAACCGGTATCCGCCTGCGGCGGTGCTGTACGGGAAGAGCGTGCCGACGGTGTACGGGGCGCGAGTTGTATCGCGGGATACCATCAAGCAAGTTGATGCATATGATGATCTTGCGTTTGCGGCTGGGGATGGAGTTTGTCTCGCTTCTGCAGCGATGCTGCCGCCTGGATACCGGATCATCAAGGATGGGCTAGTGAAGAGTGAACGTGGACATGTCGGGTTGTTGGGAGATCTTGAGGGGGTGGGACAGTGTCTTCGGGCTCTTCATCGGGGGCGGAAGGAAGGTGTTGGGTTGGGAGAGAAGGAATTGTGAATCTTGGTGTCTCATTTCGGGTGTTTTTTAATGATTATATTCTGTTTTGGGGGTTTGATGTTTGATGATACCACTACCATTGCGTTTGGATGATTTTCTCGGTTTATGTGGTTTGGATATTGCATTTGGGTTGGCTTGTGTTATACTGCATTTGAAGGTTGGTCTTACATACTGAGCAAGGATAAGACTATTTATATAGAAATAGAAAATTAGACCTGAAGCTCATCGTACGAATAGATCCCTTTACACACACACGCTATGCAAACCCTGTACCATTCTATGTATGTGCTTTTTGTCTTTCTTGAGCCGAATCCCATCAGGGCAAAGAAACCGCCTCAATATCAAGACAGAAAAGAAAAAGGAACCAGTATCCCGCAAAGGTCCGTGGAAGATAGTATATAATGTAGAGAAGAAAGATCATGAAACAAAGGAGATGCTATAAAAACCCAACAAAAACAAACCAAATCATTGTCATCAAGTCTTTAATCCGCCCGTGAGTTGGCAATGTTGATGACCAAGATATCACTTGCGCCGGCGGCGGTCAGCTCATCCATTACGGTGGCGATGCGCTTCTTCTCTACCATAGCACTGACAGCAACCCAACCCTCCTCCTCAAGGGCGGTGATAGTAGGCGCGCGCTTACCGGGGGTAATCTTCGACGCGACAGACAGCTGGCCACGGGGGATGTTGTATTGGCACAGGACGAACTTCTGGGCGGTGATAACACCGCGCAAACGGGAAGTGAGGAGGTTCAGAATATCGCTGTTGGAGTTGCGGGACTTAACCAGCACTGCAGTGCTCGAGACAACGGTGTCAATGGCCTTCAGGCCAGCAGCCTTCATGGTCTCACCAGACTCTGCACAGAGAATTGGATATTAGCACAAGTACCACTGATCAACAGTTTCCGGGTTATCGCAACATACCAACGAGATCAACAATGCCATCCGCGACTCCGAGAGCGCAAGCAGCCTCCACACTACCACCAACATACTTGATCTTGGTGGAGAGCTTCTGGCCGGCCTCGGCACCCTCAAGCTGACGGAAGAAAGCCTCGGTGAGAGCAGTGAAGCTAGTGACGACGTTGCGGCCAACGAGGTCCTTGGCCTCCTTCAGATCGCCCTTCTCGGGGACCTGCACCTGAAGCTTGCAGGCGCCGAAGCCGAGATCAAGGATCTCCTCAACGCCGGAGACCTCGCCGGCAGGCAGGGTGGAATCGTGCTCGGCAACCTGGTCGCGGCCAGTAATGCCCAGATCGACACGGCCCTCACCAACGAAGGTGGGGATATCAGCGGCGGGCAGGAAGATCAGCGCGATGGACAGGTTCTTGACCAGGGCAATGTCAAGGCGGGTTTCGCGGCGGAACTGAACATCACAGCCGGCAAGGAGGTCGAGGGTTGCTTGTTGCAGACGTCCTTCTGTATAGTGGAGTTTGCGCCGTCAGTCTTGAGTTCCTTATCTTGGTGTTTTGTTGGGTTCATGTGAAAATCGGTACTCGCAGAGATGTATGAGTCACGATTTGGGAAGGCACTTGCTTTTGGGCACGGCGAAGAGAAGGCGGCCTTCCAAGCTATTGAGAATTCAATCATTAGCAGGGGATCCCTAGCAGAGTTCCAAAATTGTAATTGACTCACTGGTTGACGAGATCCATGGCGATAGAGTATTGCGGCGCGGGACTTTCACGGAGGCTCGGAGGTGGGGGGATTTAATGATATAAGATCAATTGACAGCGCAGTTGAGTCAATTGGAATTCCAAGTCAGTGAGAGTATCTCGGCGCAAATATAAAAGACCAACTGATATGCGGAGGAGTCAGAGAAAGTGACCCTTCCAAGGTTCTTGCGGCAGAATTTGGAGGGGCAGATCGGTCCGGTGAGCTAGGGACGGGACCAGTGCCGTCCACGGGTGCCCGTAGCAGAGTATGATCCCACGTGAGAGGATTCTATGGTCTACAGCTATCTGGGATAATTACAGATTACGTTGTAGAGGTGTGAATGTTGTTTTCATTTGATTTGATAGGGTGTAAATTTTCATGAAAGCCGGAGTGTTCTATGGTTATGCCAAACGATATCGGAGTTTCAAGAGAAGTTCTGCCTGAATATGCCGATTTATGCCTGACCCACCAGGTGTCAACAGATCCCGCTGAGTCATCTGCTGCCTGACGGCTCAGGTGTCCAGCCCTGAGCCCTCGCGTAATTTGCACGAACCCACACAGGGCAAATTCATCTTCAGCACTCTCTTACTTTCAGTCCAACCAACTCCAACCCTCGAGCTCAACGCCCTCTCCTTCCGTTCAAGATGGATTCCAGCAAGCAGCCCGTTAAGCTCGTCAAGGTGACCCGTGTCCTCGGCCGCACCGGTATGTGCTTTCCCAGCTTTTTGAAGCTCCAAAACCCACAATTCGATATTCGATATCCGCGGGGTGCACCCATTGCGCCCCGGATCGCCCGCCACAAAACGATGAAAACGAGATATCTGGAGGAATAGCAATGGCTAATTGTTGGTCTTATTTAGGATCCCGTGGTGGTGTCACCCAGGTCCGCGTCGAGTTCATGGACGATACCTCCCGCAGCATCATCCGCAACGTCAAGGGCCCAGGTATGCGATATTGATTCCTTCCAATCCGGTCGTCTTTTGGGATACAAGAGGAGGAAACGAATGGGGTTGTCTATTCATTTCACAAAATGAACAGAACCTCATGTCGAAATATTGAATTTTGGAGAATCGACCCAAAAGACGACAAGAAAAATATAAGCCGAACCGCAACGCTAACCTATATCCGCACCAGTCCGCGTTGACGACATCCTCTGCCTGCTCGAGTCCGAGCGCGAGGCCCGCCGTCTCCGTTAAAATCCATCAAAACGAAATTTCGCTCGCGTCGTCTATTTTGTCTCTCTTCTTCTCTCGCATATCCCTCACGACCGGTTCTTCATGATCACTCTTCGGTCAAAATCGATTTCCCCGCTTTTCTTTCTTGCCGTCCCTTCAACCTCCTATCTTCCTCAGCCCTAAACCGCCGCGCTGCCCAGTCATTCCCACCAGCCGATTCTCGAGGGGGCCCGTTTCTACGATTTTTTTCGATGTTTCGACTGGAGGTGATTGCTTGGGTGGATTGACTTTTTGGTTTTTATCTCTAATGCCGAAAGTCCCGGAAGGTCGATTATGGAAATCCGATCGCGAGAGAGAGGAGCAGAGAGCGCAAAAAAGATAATAGAAAGCCTTTTTTTTTTATTGATACGAGAAAACGAAATCAGGTTCTTGCGCGAGAGCTGGTTTGTGGACTTGTGGCACTGTCTGGTCTGGTTTTGATCTTGGTGTTTTACTACATACACACGTCCCATTTGGGCGTGCTTGCATGGGCTCAATGCGACAAACGAGGTTGTGATGTTGATTCCCCCTTTTCCTTGTACCAGCTCTCTCCATTACTGGTATCTAGAAAAGAAAACGCCTCGAACCGGACCTGCTCGACAAAAAAGAACAATGGAATCCCAAAAAAAAGTTTGAAAACTTTCGGTTCCGCCTTGTCGAGGTCGAGGTCTCGAAGGCGTTCGTAGACCATCTAGGCCAGCGTAGTCTGTGGGCCTCTCGATCAACTATTTTGAGGGGCTGACATGTCTGGGGTTCTCGATCGTCATCTATCAAGCATATGCCAGTACACGTCAGTGTGCTACGCCGATTTGATTCAAGATTGATATTCGAGATCTGCCAAAGACCATGCTAAACCCATTCATACAACACACCCCACATATTGTAACTGTACATCGAAAAATGCTCAAATGCCCCCGCATAAAATGTAATAACTACAACTGCTCCGCGCTCGCAACAAGCCTGTTGAGAAGGTTGTCATCGATACCACCAGGCTCTCCATCAGAACCACTCTTATTTCCAAGGACCCGACCAACCGCCCCCACAAGTCCAGCCAACCGCTTCCGGCGAATAGACTCCTCCAACTCAGCGCTCTTCTGGCGTGCCACATCGATAACAGCAGCGGGCAAGTTCGCCAGTCGCGCAACATTCAACCCGTAGCTACGATGCGCGACTCCCTCAGTCACCTCATAGAGGAAGGTGATTTCCTCCCCTTCCTTCTCTTTGTTCCCCGTCTCTGTGAACCGCATATGAACATTGCGAAGAGCATGATCCGGGAACGATTGCACCATGCGCGAGAGATGCTGGTAGTGCGTGATGAAAAGGGTGAGTGATTGAATCGACCGAACCATATGATCCAGTACCGCCTGCGCAATAGCAACACCATCATGTGTCGATGTACCACGACCCAATTCGTCAAGAATAACCAGAGACCGAGGCGTGGCTTGCTTGAGGATATCTGCTGTTTCGGAAAGCTCGACCATGAATGTTGATTCGCCGGCGAGCATGTTGTCGAAGGCGCCCATGCGCGTGAACACTGCGTCTAGGAGACCGAGTCGTGCGGAAGCTGCGGGAACATATGATCCGATCTGGCCCATGATTGCGATTAGTGCGACCTGTCGCACGTAGCTGGATTTACCGCCCATGTTCGGGCCGGTCACGAGGAGAGCGCGCGTGCCGTCGTGCTGTAGGTTTGTGTCGTTGGGAACGTATGTATCTGTAAGGAGTTGCTCGACCATTGGGTGTCGGCCCTGTTCGATGTGGAGGCCTGCTTCCTCTGTGTATTCAGGCTTTACGTAGCCAGGTTGCTGGGCTATGTCGGCGAGGGAGAGCAGACAATCGAGGGTTGCGAGGGATTGCACGCAATCCCGGAAGGACTGATACTGCGCTGCAATATCAGCTAGGAGAGCCGCGAAGGCTTGATCACAGGCTGCTGCCAGAGCTTCCTTATGTTGATCACGCTCTCGGATGAGTTGGATGACTTCTGGCGTGTGGAAGCGTGATACTCTTTTCGTACCGCTGACTTTGACCCACGATGCTGGCACACGTTTAATCGCCGGGGAATTGTTCTCAATCTCGATCAAGTACTCAATGCCAGAGACTGTCGAGTATTCAACTTTGCCTCTCCCTATTGTCGTCGCCGCCTCTTTGCGATGTTCAGACAGCCCGTGCTCAATACTTCCAATTTGAAGCTTATGTTCGCCGATCGCCTCTGTCTCCTCCGCTTCGCGGAAGAATGAGTATTTGTCATCTGTGCGCGCAGCGTGCAAGTTAATCTTATCCAAGAATTTGACAACGGCTGCTCGAATCGTGGGCAAAGAGGCAATGGCCTCGCTCACCATTGACGATTGGAACCCCGTTTGGGCAGGTGATTTAATATCTGCAAATTCCATTGCAATCATCTGCATTGCTTGCAGAACACTGAGAAGTTCAGGTCGCGTGCACTGTATCCAAGATTAGTATAACTGTAGTCATCGTTGCAGAAGTGCGACCTACCTTCCCGTAGTAAATGCGAATCAAACTCTTCTCGAGATCACTCTTCACTTTGCTCAGTAACACTCGCACTCTCTCCACGGGAACCGCTCGTGCAGGATCTGTAAGTTCTTCCACGGCATTCGTCCGCTCCTCAAGGCGCACTTTGTCCAGCAAAGGCCGCCCAACCCACTGCCGTAGCATGCGTTGTCCGAATCGCGTTTGCGTCCGATCCAAGGTCCAAAACAGACTACCCTTGCTCGAGTGATCAGTCTGGTTTTGGTAAATTTCTAGACTGACCAGCGTGTTTCCGTTCAAGAGCATGTGCGAACGAGCCGAGAAAGGCTGGAAGTATTTTGTAAGATCGAACACATGTTCCAGCCCATATTCGGACATATGTTCAATCATAGCAGACAGACAGATAGTCACCTGCTCCGGGAGCCCAAGGACTTTCTGAAGGAGTGTTGCAGCTTGGGTATCTTCCTCGGTGCTAGTGGCCTTCATTTTGCCCGCATAGAAGCCAGATACATGGCTGTGGGCCTCGGCAGCAGAAGTTTTCTTTTTCTGGGCCCGTTCGAGACGCACGGCATCTCCAAAGACGTTCATCTTGCTTCCGGATAAATGCTGTACAAGCTTTTCACTAGCTCGAGACATGTCTCCGACAATCAAGATTTCGCAAGGAGCGATGTGCAACAGCCGGGTCTCGATCTCGCTACGCATGAAGCCATCTTCGAAGTCATCGTAGATAACGTCACCTGTAGCAGGCTGCACAGCAACGATTCCGACATGCACTCGTTCATCGTTTCCGGGGCCCTTGGCATTGGTCTCTGTCATACAGAGCATGTACCCAGTGGCCGGCGATGCGCCTCCCGCTGCCGGTGCCGGACCCTGGAGACCTTCAGCATCATCGATATAAGTTCCTTTTGTGTAGAGATTGGTCAATTTGCGCACGAACGGTGCATTGCGATTATCCCCTGCAGCCTTCAGCGCAGCGGTCTCGATCTGTCGCACCACTCCAACCTTGTGACCAGCCGTGACGAGTCGCTTCACATGTACGTGTAATCGGTGGACAGGAATACTGGCTGAAGCAAATCGGCCAATATGCGCTTCGGATGGATCTAGGAAAGATGTAAGCTTTTGTATGTCTTCGAAATTGAGAGATAGAGGCAATGCTCACGTTCATCGAACCTGAACTTCCCAGGAATGCAAACGATGCCCAGCTCCTTAGCCGCAATACGTGCATCCTCTCCGAAGAACCGGAACTTGTATCCTACTTCGATCACCAACACCGTGTCCATATGCTGACGCTTGATTTCAATGACCTGCTTCTCCATGGGTGTGAGCTTGCTCGCAGCCTTCTTCGCACCCTTGCCTTTAGTCGGGGGCGGCGGAGGAGGCTCATCATCTTCCTCAGCTTCTGCAGCCTCGGCCTCCGCGCTAGCTGCATCATTCACCGCGATTCTTCCAATCCCAACCTGGCAATCCGGCCCACCGAGCTTCCGAACAAATTGTTGGTGCAGTTTCTCCTTTTCTTTCTTCCGCTGTGCCTGCTCGGGATCTTCCTCCTGAGTAGCTGCTGGATCGACAGCAGGAGAGCTCTGAAACTTGAATATATCGGTGCGTTGGCTGCTGCTTGGCTGAGATGTGGGCTCAAAGTGCACGCTTGTCGCAACTCGGATCGGCTCCTCTGCCTTTGTGCCGGTAGTTTTGGCTCTCTTTGGTGCTGGCACCACTATTTCCTCATCCTCCTCATCATCATAATCTGCTGGTGTGGTGTCCTCTTGCTTTGGCTTGGCTGGCGATGCTTGACTCTTCCTGGGCTCGTTGGTCGGTGTCAGTGCGGAGTCTTTGGGCGCAGACGAAGATGCGGGTTTCTGTGTGAAGAAGCTGGAGATACTAGCTTGCTTCCGTTTCAAAGATGGAGATGGTGCGGAGGATTGCGATGAGGGAGGCGCCATCTTGCCGGTGATTGGAACTGCGCAATGCACGGATGGTAGTAGATTGGGACGTAGTGAGTCTGATTGTGGTGGCAGGAAGCGGTCTTCAATGGATCTCAATGCAAGAGGCTCATCTCAGCGTATTCCACAACGATCAAGTGCCTCAATTCAAGAACCATGTGAGTTCTCACTCCACATTTTACTCGGAGCTCGACGCGTACCTAGCAGGACGCGCTTAAGCGTCCACTTAATTGATTGCTGACTCAGCACTTTATCTGGCCCGCCCTAACTTCAATGGCCAACGTCACTTATGTAGGTAGATGTATAGACTTTCTTGTCATTGCTACTGCCAAAATATTGTCCAGGGCTCCATCGGTCGAGTGTATTGGACTGCAGATAAATTTCGGAAGCGTGGAAGCATGTTCGTCAACCCGAGGGTAGACCAGGGTGACATTTCTACAGCACATGAAGTCATGTTATTTGGCTATAAGAAGAAATTGTGGTAGCTGAACATTACCTAGTGGTTGTGAATATCTTCAAATTTGGGATATCTCTTACACAAAGACTACTGATGTTGCTAATGAGCCATGGGGGAAGGAACCTCCAGGCCTGTCCCTCTGAAACAGGTCCAAACAAGTGACTAAGGAGGCATTTACCAAGGCATAATACATATCAAGCCGTGAGGAAGACAAAATTTATTTCTAATCTACAGACTTGCTTGGTTTCACCACAATGGCTACTCATCCTGAACACCACGTAGAGGTGCAAGTCATGATCAGGTGTTGCATACAGGCCCCATGCAACTGGGTAAGACTCCTAAAGCGCAAGGTGTAATGAAGGAATGGGGTCAAGGATCGGAGGGGGACAAGGATAACCAGGAAGAAGGACCGTATCCACGCTCAAAGAACCTTGGAAGTGTCCGTGAACTAAGGCGCGCTTCGTGTCGAGACCAACCCCTTTGAAATCCCAATCCCCTAGGGGAAAAAGTGGGAAACCCTCAGATTGCTCTTCATTTGGGGCCGGGCAAGTTAGTGGCGGGCAGTGAAGGAGTGGGGTCAAGGCTTGGAGAGGTAACAGTGGAATCCGCAGGCAGGACTGGCTGTATCCGCAGCGGCCGAAGGAGTGTCTACCCCGTGTGTTGAACAGCGAGGCACTTGCACAGCCCGTTCTCTCCTTGGCATGCTTCGTGACTAACCTTTCCCGCGGCACATCAACAGTCCCTAGAAGGATACAAAGTGGGAAACATCCTCAGAGAGCACTCGTCATAGGCGCCAGGCAAATAAGTGACCGGAGGAATTAGGTATGGGCAGAAAGATGAGAAAGGAAAGGAAGGGGGACGGGAATACATGCAAAACGGAGTGGAGGGCAGGGGAGTGGAGAAGGAAGAAAAGAAGAAGAAGAAAGTAGGGGGAGGAGAGGGTATTTATGTGTTTGGGAAGGCTGCAGGCAACGACGAGGTCCCAGGGTGGGCGACGAGTGCCTTCCCAAACAGGAAACAAGACAATCCCAGGCTCCGGGATCAAGCGTGTGACACGCCTGTTTGTTCATCTTGAAGCAAACAATTCACTATGCATTCATGAGATCCTAAATCAGATGTGCTGATCACCATTACTATTGAGCATACATGAAAGATACCGACAAACATATTGCGAGAAGCCTAGTATGCCTCTGTGGAAGCAAAGCTGTCCCCTCACACGATCTGCACCACTCTTAGACTCAGTTCCTCGTCCTATTTGTACCTAATCCTTCAAGCTGACACTGTACCATCAGATATTTGACTGACCCACTGCATTTTCTTCGACATAGTGCAAGATGATAGTTCCAAAGCAGACAATTTTCAGTATCGAACCTTCCATTGTATCCAAACTAAGCAGCGTACGGCCACAGGGCCTGCCCAGCCTACCAAAATTCAGTTGTCTCCTACATAGTCTACCATTCGTCCCAAGCTTCGTGGGATCAGCCGTCAATGAGAAGAAAAACAAGGGCAAATTTGGAGTCCAGGTATAAGCAGTCAGCGAGTAGATCCTGGATCTCCTCGCATTACATTATTTCCTGTCTACTAGCATCAGACCCAGTCAAGTGTCGTTGTCAGCTATATCAGCTCGTGTCCTGGAAGAGTATGTCTACAGCCCCCATACTGTAAGCCGAGCAGCCTCGATCAGGGATCGCGTTGTGATCACCACCTACTAATGGGCAGGACAGGGTCTCGGGCCATAAGGTTTGTCTGCAAGAGGTTGACATTGGAGACACTCGTACTTATGAGTCGATTGAAGCTCAGAGACGCAGCTTATACAGACGATCGCCTTCCCCAAATTGTGATTTATAATTTTTGGGTGATGGACAGGATGCATGCAGCAACGCTTCCCTCGTTCGGGCTATCATGTACAAAGGAGGAAGGATAGTCCAAGAAGATACTAAATGAGATATCCAAGATGACAAGGAGGAAATTGTGTCAGTTTGTACATTAGGGTCTCTGAAGCAACCTGTATGGATCCAATCAGATGCTCTCACTCGGGTTCCAGCTATGGAACTCCGCGGTTAAGTATCAGAATCAACGTAGCCACCTCCGCGAAACCCAGGTGGCCGAGTGGGTAGATCGTAGGAACCATACCTGTTCTTCTTGACTATCTGCAACGTCACCTACACGGGTTCGAACCCCTTGGACCGCAAGTCGCTGGGCGGATGTGTCGCCACCTACCCGGCTGGATTCGTCACTATCTTTTCTTATTTACTCTCCCAGGGCTTAATATTTTTTGGATTCTTTTTCCTTGTCGATTTGAAGCCTTTTAAGCGGGTCTTGAAGAAGGCTTGTTATGCATCAGATGTAGTTGAAGAGTAATATGGTGTGTTGAGCCTCCGCTGCCCAAATCGGCAAGGAAAAGGACATTGCTCAATAGCCGACTATTCCAACCCACCTTACAAGCTCAAATGAATTCAACCATCAGTTGTCATTGATCATTTATTGTTGTCACAGCCAAGTCAGAATAAAATGAGATGATAGAGAGTGAACAGTAAGCAAGGAAGAGAGGTCTTCCATCGATCTCAAACCCTTCGTGTATGAATAAAGGGATTCGATGCATCCTCTTCTTCTTGTACTTCTTCGCTCCATGAGTCCTCAAATGTAAGAGCAAGTGGAAGACACTTGATCATTTCATCGTCCAGCACTAGACTTTGTGTCTAATACCACACTTCCAGCGGCCAGCTGACACATAGTGCGGTTGATAAATCGCAAGGTATGGTTTGAAGTAGCGAGACACATGTTTTCTTCTCTGGGGATATGTGACACCACAGGGCAGCATCATTGCGGAAGAAGGTGTAGCATGGTTCTCGGATAACTCCACTCCATCACCAGTATAGCACAGGAAGGATTTGAAAGATTGGATCTCCTTGGTTGGAAGAAGCAATCGTCATCGTCTCCCTTGGAGTTTTGGTAGTTGAAGCTTGGTTATCGAGTCGGTCATTTTGGATTCTGTGGCGTTCGATAATGGAATTGAATCGGCACAGCGATGAGTAACGGGGTTTATAAGGTGGAGATTCCCAGTACAATAGAGAGGAGAAGACCTTGTTCTGAGGGTCATAGGTGATTTGGAAACCGTTTATCGGACCACTTTCACGATCAGCTAAGTAGAAGTCTCTTCACACAGGTTTCAGACGATGAGTCCGTTGGTGCTGATTTAGGATGCAATCGTTGTCGTTTGAGATCGGATCTAAGTAACTGTAGAGTCCTTTGAAACTTGGGTTGGGACCTTGAGGTTGAATGTGTTTGGGAGCGTTTGGGGGGAGGTTGAAACGATGGGAGGTGAGAGTGTCCCGGGATCATTTCGCTTCTCACTTGAGTCGATATCGCTCCTTGTTCCTTCTTAACTCGGATTGTTTGTTTTGCAGGGCTATTGCTCCATGTGGTCATCACAAGGCTGGGGAAACTACGTTCCATTACGTCCACAGTATAGATGTTCACGGGTGTCTTAACGATCATTCATTCAGACCATCTGGGCTAACAATCCCAAAAAGAAAGAAGATCCTGTCTCGCCCTTTGGGAGTTGATTAACGATGTATGATTGAGTTGCAAAGTGAGTACCTAACATATCAATGTATAAGATATATCTGGGCACATCTGGACATACCTCCCATAGCAGTACATATGTGTATGTGTATACATTGATGCATTTACATTCAATGCCAAAAATCCCATTCAACCAAAAGGCCTGCACATGCAGTAATCGAAGATCACTCTAGCATTTTCCAACATCCAAAGTATCGTCCTAAATGGCTCTACAGAAGCACCGCATGAAGTTGGGAGCATAGTCCTGCCCTATTTCAGATGACTTAGACTAGACTAGTTATACGAGTTGTAGAACGAGGTTATTTCAACTAGTTAGTGCCAATTTTGGGAGATAAGAAACATCGATGGGACACCTCGAGAAGCACTTCTATTCTGCAAGCCAGAGGCAGTCCCGAATGATCTTTTCTTTGCTACTCAACCCCATGATACTTGAAAACGGGTCAGACAGCAACGCTTGTGGCAGCACAACAGGTAGTGCGTAATTAAGATTATATACACCCTCAATGCTGGAAAAATTTATCATGCTTCATTTCAAGTCCCAAAAAGGGAACCAAGACATGATTCTCTAAGAAAAGCCGTGTCTGTTAGTGCGCTTCGCTTATATGTAGATATCTATGCTGGGTTGGCATATTTCCCAGGATGCAAGATATATAGATAGAACAGTAAACACCGAGCAGTGCAAGTCTATATAACAAGTCAAGGCGAAGGAAACGCAACGGGCAGCTACACGAGATTAAGAAACAGCTTTATAAGATAAGCAAAGTCGACAAAAATACTTTCTTGTAGTCTATAAAAAAGCACTGGAATCAAGCATAAGGCAAGTTGCTCATATTGATACGGGCTAAGCATAATATTGTACAGCATATGAAACTATGAAACAGCCCGACCACCTGAGGAGAGGTACAATCGACACCCGTGGATAATCCCCATTAGTAGAGACTAGCAGTCAGCGCAGGCGTGAAGAGGTAAGTTCGGTTGTCAGGCGAGGGCAGGTAATGGTAAAGCTACCACTTTCATCAGTCGCATTGTTGGTCGTGGATTCATATCCATAGCATCATCAGTCGGTTCGGGAAACAGCATTCATCGCATATCATCAGTTGCATTGTTGGCCGTGGATTCATATCCATAGCATCATCAGTCGGTTCGGGAAACAGCATTCATCGCATATCATCAGTTGCATTGTTGGCCGTGGATTCTTATCCACAGCCTCGTCAGTCAATTCGGGAAACGGAGTTCATTGCATATCATCAGTTCGTTCAGTAGGGCTACCAGCAAAATCAGGTCGAGGATGTGGTCAACAGCATCTTGAGATTTACTTAGCATCGCCCGTCAAGTAGTACGAAGAAAGCATGTTGTCATCTTCGTCGATGGTTTCTTCAGATGGAGCTGCATGGTTCACTGAAAACCAGCTATTCTGGGCTGCTGCAGGCTCCTTGTTGTATTGGTTGATGTCAACCGGTTGCGACAAGGGGGCTTGCAGAGGGTTGAATGGATACCAAACCTTGTCTTGACTGTTGTGTGGACCAATAGGTTCAAAATTGTATGGAGAGCCGTGATCAAAGCTACCAGGAGCCGTGCGTTTAGCAATGGGAGAATGCCAAGCGTGAGGGCCGATTCGACCCTGGGAGTTCAAAATAGGCTGGATGTTTTCCTTTGCAATAGCTATGTGTCCATTCCCCGGAAATTGAGTTCCAGAGGTATCTGTCTTTCCATTCAAAATAAGGCGTGTGGGGGTCAACGTTTCATACTGTCCTGTGAATCCCATGATTGGTTCTTGATACATTCTTTGCATCCCATGTTCTTGATCAACAAAAACGCCGAGGCCACCCCTTGATTGGTTGCCAAACGCGCTAACGGTAAGGCTCAGATCATCATCGTCTTCAAGGTAAGAATGGGTACGATCTGTTGCACGATGAGATCGGCGAGGTGGAGTGGGCTCTTCTTTAGCTGTTCTATCTCTGGCGTTCTTGCGGCCCTTACGTGCAGCAGTCCTCTGTCGCCTTCTGTCCATAGCACGGGGCACATTTGGGTCAGCTCTCGCCAAGCGGTTGCCCTGAGATCGAGTCATGCGCCGCTTGGGGACCGGCGTCTCTCCTCTCAGCGGGCTGTATTCTTCCACATTACCCGTGATCTCACGTTCCTTCAGCAAGGTGCCACTGTAGGAGAAGACCTGCTCATTGGGTTCCACGCACAAAGAAGTGATTTCCATCTGCTTCAAAACAGTGCCATCCTTCTTCTGGTTGCGCTTTCGGCGCGTTTTGGGGGTAGCAGAATCAAAAATATCCATGCCTGGCCACAGAACTCCCTTGAGTCTTGCCATCTCTTCAGCGCGGATCTTGTCCATTTCCACATCACCCGATGATTCAGGATGTCCAGTAGAGTTGTCAAAAGGGTCAGGGCTATCCTGGCCCGAAGCCCAAACTATGTCCTCAGTGTCCAGTTTACGCTGGGGCTGTATCGGGGTCACAGGTAAAGCCAATGGTCGATGGTTGTCGTCCAGTCCAGGAATATTCGCTAGCTGCTCAGGGTTCGAGCTTCTGCCATTCGCGGATCGCATCGAGCGGAGGATCGGACCTGTCCAAGATCTCTCAGTGCTGTTCACAATGGGCAAGCGGTCGGGCGTGGTCGGCATGAGGACTGTATCCTTCTGCTGGTTGCCGTTGTAAGAACCAGCCAATCGAGGATCAAGAAATTCAGGGATCAATGTTGCGGCAGAGGTGTTGGAGACCTCCCTTTCGACATTGGGCGCCCGATCTCCAGTAGCTAGAGTAGCATTGGACATTGAAGCTTCTCCCAATTGTTTCTTCTTCCGGTTTTCTTTGTTGACCATCCGCGTCGTCAGCTGCTTGGCGAAGCCATTGGCTTCAAACCAGTCACCGTATTGTTTGAGAATCTCGGCTACGCGAGGATCCTCACTGCGAAGCTGAAGCTTGAAGTGATTGGCCAGATGGGCCTTGGAGGCAGTGTGGGTCAACAGGTGGGAGACATCGCTGAAATGGGGCTGCCCGGGGCAAATCACGCACCGGAGGATGTTGTCCTCCATGATCCAAGGAACCTAAGGAATAAAACGAGATGCAAATGGAAAGGGCAGAAGAGCCAAACTGTCGGAGCAAGCCAAGAAAGCAGATCAAAGAGACCGATGAAGGAGCGATGCAGAGGGTAAACAACTGTAGATACCAGGAAATCAAAAGGCGAAGTCTCTTGTTTTGCTATCAAGGAACGGATATCTGAGGAAAGTGCGGTTGAAGTCATGCGGTCACGGGATGCCATTCAGTTGGATCAGCTTTGATTCATCTATTCATCATTCTTTAAGATACATGATGTCCATGTGCCACGATGTTTGAACAGCTCTTTGGCCATTGTAGAGGGATATGAAGCGGAATAAGTCCAAGTGAACATTATTCACCTCCCGCACTGTATGCCATGATCTATAGGAATAGAACGTTCATGGTTTACGAGTTTGCGGGAGGGCTTGAAATCCTGTACAGTACATCCAGCATAGTACATGCATGTAGATCATTACCCCGCAAGACACCGGGCGGTGATGGACTTCGGCATACAACTGATCAAGAGTTAGCATATTAGACAATGAAGCATCACGTGCGTAGGAACCCACTAGATAGGATCTATCTCTTCAAGACCACTAAACTTCAATAAACTCAGCCCGGCAAGGCTGAAATGTGTGTGATACACATCAACCATATTCCCTGGTCGATCAGCAAACCCTCCAGCATCAGGGTCCTACAGAATGGTAAGCAACAGTCCTCAAGGCCATATAGCTCTGCAGTACAGTGTGACTGACCTGGCACTGTAGGACAAAGGCGGCGAGTTTCTTGCCATCGATCCAATGCAGACGATCAATCATGGCAAGACTCGATCCAACCCACCAGCTGTAACAGGCATCTGCAAGTTTCTCCGGTCGACCATTGAAGCCGCCGCTCTCGATCTGACGCTCACTGAGCCAAGCTCCAAGACGATCTTTATTCACCAAGTCCAGACGGCCAGCGATGGCCAAAGCACCAATGCACGTGAACACTTGGCCAGCATGGGACTCGGCACCAGGGCGGATACCATAAGCTCCATCCAAGTTTTCACAACTTTGAATATGACTCACGGCCTTGGGAACATCCACCAGGTCCATCAGGCGCAAGAGCGACAATGCATTGAGAGCCCCGTATAGAAATCGGGTGTCTGTTTCTCCCCATTGGTCCCCCATGAAAGAGCCATCTGCGTTCTGCAGGTTGGCAATGACTGTGATGGTTCAGTATAAGGTCTCTGGTCTCAGCAGGGTGTATGAGGGAATATCATACAAGACCCAACCTTCTGCTTGCCGCCCCGGCCTCTCTTCTCGAGTTCGTCGACAGCATCAATAGTTATAAGAATTTGAACGGCAGAGACCGTGTACAACATATGGGCATCGTGTCCTGGGGCAGCACCAAAGCCTCCGCTGTCATTTTGGCACGAGAGAACAAAGTCGATTGTCTGGTCTCGAGGCAGTGCGTCGGGTTGGCCGAGGATATGAAGAGCTGTAAGGCCCCAGTATACACCGTTGAGTCGCAGGTGTTCGGTCAGCCAATATTCCAATTCATCTTTCCTCTATGTTGATCAATCATCAGATGCCAGTCACCCAAAATTTGCTCAGGCGCACGCACAGTGTCCAGGTTCTTGATGTAAGTCACATGTTGTGAGGTGTGCAGGTCAGAATCTGCGGGGCTACTCCCCGCTCTACCAGGGCCTGATACAAGGGCCATGTCTGGGAGTGATGGAGATGTCTGGTCAAAGCCAAGCCAAGCACTGATTGGATAGGGTTGTTAGTTGATCGAAGGTGCAGTGAGCTTGTGAGCCTGCCAATGTTTTAGCACAGGGCGGTGAGGCCACACAAGGTCATCAAGCTAGATCATTGTTCATGCATGAATGCGCCACTGTGACCCATCCCACAGTCCAGCTGGAGTCCAGAAGTGGATATGTATGTGTGTCAGTCCAACGGTGGCTCGGTGTCCAATGGGCTTGACAGAAGAATGTGGATAGCGTCTGATCTGTTGGTTGGATTCGACACTTCACGTGCCTCCCACGTGATATCGAGGCTTTCGGCTAACTCTTGGAAAGTCCGACCGGTGAGCTCTGCCGCCTACCGCCTACTACAAACGGGCCAAGCCAATATACATCATCTGCCCATTGCCTCGTGATGTCTTGATCAATTTGGGCTTTTATAGGTGTATCTCGGGTTCTTCCATTGAATTCAACCCCATTCGAGGTCTTGGAAGTTCGACAAAACCAGCAAAATCAGAGAACCATTACCCAGGTATGGACGTGTATACCTGTATTATATTCCAAGAAAGCACAACTATATCCACTACCCATGCCCGTGCCCGTGCACCCCCAAAAGCACTGTCATCCCCGAGGCGCTAGTTTGGCATCTCCGGCCATGTTTCAGATTGGATGGAACCTCAAGGAAGAACAACAGGGAAGGTTATGTACTCCGTCCACGGTTCCCAATGATTAAGAGTGGTACCGAGGGGAAATCCATAATCTATCTCAAACAATATAGAGATAGATGAACTGCATTCCAGTGCATCAAAGTATGTGTTACGGAGGAGAATGATTACAACGGCATTTTATATTAAATACTCCGTACTCCGTTCTGCATACGACCGGCTCCATAATTATTCTACAATACCGACAGGAAGCTAGTGTGCCCCGGAGGATTTTCAGGTACCTCCGAGTCTTCCCACGTTACTCCGTACTCCGTATACAAACTTGCTTTATCAACAGCACCGTAGCACCATCGGTAATAGAAACCTCTTTGTTTCTAAAATTGTCTCTCAAACAGGAGATCCGCACTGGAAGTAGTCATCCATGGTCTGAGTCTTTATCGGTAAGCGGTATTGGACCCGAAACCGGGCTAATTTAATTTAGAAAAAGTGGAGGACACCGCAATTTGGACACGGACACCATGCATTTAGCCCTTACCCCTGATCTTTGAACGGTTGTTGCTTATGCTGGTCATTGATCCCACGTTCATACCCAAAGCACTAATGTCAATGGATGTGCCAAGTGCTCATGCCTACTCCGTACAACATATACAACCGCTCCTCGAGTATATCTGGATTGAGGCAGTCCCCATAGTACGAAGTGCAACCATGGATCTTCCGGCAAGGGAAATCAGGTACAGATTTGTTGGACTGTCACTGGCTCTACGATCGGGCCAATTATAGACCGGAATGACCGCAACGTAAGGCAGCACATCATTGCGCCCGTGGCTCTGACCTACAAAGTGGCTCTGATCGTTTGTGTACAACCCACTATAATCCCGGAAGTACCTTTCGACTTGACAAATATAGCATTTCCATCCAGGGCCGAAAGCATTGAGAGTGATGCGAGCCAATGCCAATTGATTAGCAAAACTCAAACCACATAGCGATACCCATAGGACTGTCATTGGTATGCGACAATGGGGACCTTATGATGCTCCTCCATCGTCACCGTTCGGAGCCTCGACGCCATCCCTTGGCTTAAGTGACGTTGTGCCCTTCAGGGGAATCAGATATGAAGAAACAAATAAATATGAATCTGAATATAAAAATAAAAATAAAACTAGAACTAGAACTAAAAATATGTAGATCTCCACCACGTTTCTGGTCCCCTCTTTTTTGTTCTCTGTTGATTCAGGGAATTGCCTAGGTTTCGACGGTTATAGAGAAAAAGGCCGTTAAATAGGCCCTCTTTCATAGTGAATCGGGAATGGGGATCTAATGAACAATTGATCGAAACCATACAAATCCTCTCAAATACATAAAATAGATAATTTGGATAGGATATGGTAATTATCTATATTAATCCATACTAGTGTGGCTTGTCTGACTATTTGGTAGTGCTCTTTTGCCCGGACTAGTGTACCGCTAAGTCTACTAGGAGACTTGCACTTTGGCGACTTGGGCGACCTTTTTTTTTGTACAGGAGGTCTCCCTTTCAACTCTTATCTTCTGTTTGAGTTGATTTTCAGTCTCTCGTTTTCGGGCATATTCGTTTGGCCTTGATCCACACGACTCCTATCTTGCAGCGCCCCCCTTCCGCCCTGCCGATCCCCGACCTCGAAGCGCCCAAAAGAGGGGGAAAAGCGAACTTGCCCTGAACAAGTCCCGGTCTCACAAACCTGGAGACATCGGTGGAAATATTGAAACCATAATATGAGGCTTTGGGTGAGTGATCAGCTGAATCAGGCAGCGAACCCGTCCATTGTTTCTGCGATCTCGTCCCTGGCCTTGCCCATCAACAAAGAGTCGAGGTGTGGCTTCATTTAACTCCACGGGGTTGACCTGCATATGTCACCACACGTCGTCTCACCTCTGCCTTTTTTTTTTTGGGTTCTGTCTCTTTCTTCACATGCCATGTCTTCGATGTCTCGCTGACTGTATAACTGGCGCTTCAGATCCCACTTCGTCCTCGATACTCCGTTTGATCCAATACCGTGAACACTGGGGCCAGTCCCATCAATTATACACTCGACGTCCAGCCACCGAAGCGCCATTGCATTTCCGTCTCAACTCCGGGCTGAGTCGCTTCAGCCCCCCCACGACAACGCGGTCAGACCTTAGGCGTCCGCATTGATAACCGTACGAGACTCTCAGCCGCATACGCGAGTTGGATCTCAACGCTGGTCAAGTATATCTTGTGGCCCAAGGATCACTTGTTTCGAAGCTATTACTGGGTCTAGAACCCATGAAACCTTGGACTCCGAACCTTCGCATACACTCTGGACCGGGTCCTTTAATCACCGCCCAACATGCCAAACCGAACTTCAACAGTGCCCAACCTCGATCTGAGCTATTTCAAGAGCGATTCAAAGAAAGACAAGATTGGTTCGCCTTTAACGCCCAATGACCACAGTTCAGATGGACCGAGTCCCTTGACACCTCGTTCGCCCAAGTCCGCATCAAGCTCCCCGCTCTTCAAAGGCGCAACGATTCGCTCTGTTACACAAGACTCCAACGGCAAGGCAACCAGCCCTACCATCCCCCTTTCGCCTGGCGCGGCTCCCATTGAACCTACGACACCCGGTATCACAGCCATTCCTCAACATTTCCCTTCTCCCAAAGATTCAAAACATACGCGCGATGCCTCGAAATCGTTCTTTGGCAATCTCAAAGCACCGAAATCATCACATAAATCACAGCGGTCAGACAGCTCGGAAAACTCAACCGAACTTTCTAAGAGCCGGGGTAGCTCCAGAGAACGGAGGACACAAATGCCCTCCAAATCATATGAGTCAACACCTGATCTTCTAGGGGCACTTGCCCGTTCAAATGGAACCGAAAGGACAAGTAAGCTCCCACCTCTTCTGCCCATATATAGACCATGTCTAACCGTTTGTTTGAATATAGATGGAACATTCGGCGATAAGAGCTCTTACCCACAAGATGTCAAGAAGGTTGGCACAGATCTAGAGTCGGCGATGCCAAAGAAAAACAAACAACGATTCGCAAGCCTTTTGACCCGATCTCGCTCCATTCGAGTTGACGACTCCTCCGGTAGCAGACCGACACCCCGACGCCCGTCCACTGGTCTAGCGAAGCTGGAGGAGTTCAATCAAAGCGACATAACTACAACGATCCCACCGCGCTGTTCAACTGCCCGACCGGAACGCTCTGTCCGGGGAGGCTTGCATCCTCCTGATCGTCAATTAGACTCCACATCGTTGCGAAAAGAGCGCAGCCATGGCAACATGGTTGCATCCGGTTCCTTGAGTCAAGTTTCCGGCGCCTCAGCTGCTATTTTCAGCAACCTGAAGTCGTCCTCTAGTGGTGCTGCTGACCGTATTGGCAAGGCCGGGAAGGGATTCTTTGGCAAGATTACTCGCAGTGGTAGCACTAACGAGCGTGAACTAATTACCGATGACTCGTACACATGCTCTGTGATCAATCTTCCGCTCATTGAACAAGCGAGAAAGACTCGTATTGCGAAGAAACTCGAAGACTGCCGTGACAAGACCGAGTTCTGGATGCCTGCTTTGCCATACCGCTCCATCGATTATCTCAATTTCAAGGGTTGTGAGGAAGAGGGTCTGTACCGTGTTCCCGGTAGCGGCAGAGAGGTCAAGCATTGGCAACGACGTTTCGACACGGAACTCGACATTGATCTGTTTGACGTTCCTGATCTTTACGACATTAATACCGTCGGCTCGCTCTTCAAAGCTTGGCTTCGTGAGCTGCCGGACGAGCTTTTCCCCAAGTCAACACAATTAATGATAGCTCAGAAGTGCGAAGGCGCCACAACGGCACCACAGTTACTCAAGGATGAGCTTTCCAAATTACCGCCATACCATTACTACCTTCTTTTCGCCATCACCTGCCATCTCAACCTTCTTCACTCATATGTGGACCAGAATAAAATGGACTACCGCAACCTGTGTATCTGCTTCCAGCCCTGTATGAAGATCGATGCATTCTGCTTCCAATTCTTGGTCTGTGACTGGAAAAACTGCTGGCAAGGATGCTGGACTGAAAAGGAGTATCTCGAAATCGAAAAGAAAATGGACGAGCGTGACCAGCGGGTCTCGCAAGAGCAGGAGGCCGCTAAAGCGAAGGCACGTGCCTCTGCTGTCCATGAACGCGCCGTGTCCTCTTCCAGCAGCAGCGCTGGGGAAGAGGCTTCGCGTGAGCGTCAGCCCCCTCGGGAGCCTACTCGTCCAGCGACTGCTCGCACTCGGAAGCCTCCCCCGAGAAACATCGAGACGGCACACTCACGAAGCGTTTCTCAGCTTCCCGAACTCGGTCCACCGCTCTCTCCTATCAAAATCTAAAAGGCAATCTCTCCTTTTAACAAGCTTGTCTTAAATAATTACAGGGTCATGTTGTCGTCTACGTCTTGTTATTTGCTTTTTCATTGGCTGGCCGGATATTTGTTCTATCTGCAGGACAGATAGGACTGGACAAGTTGTTTCAGACTCGACATTCCCTTCCCCTTCCTCCTCTACCACCTCTCCTCCTAAATGACTTCTCCCTTATCTCCATCGTCGGGTATCTGTGTTATCAATCGGCGTTTCTATCGTCCTGTGGTCTCATTATGTCTTGAGATTAACGTTTCCATCATTTCCCTTTTCCCATATGTACATCTTGCTCTCTTGGCATCTACTCCAACAGTTGTGAATGGCTGGCCGTTTTGTTTACTTGTGCCAATTTGCTTGACTTTCATGTCCTCTCTATTTTGCTATGTCTGGTCCATTTGGAAGCGCGATAGTTCTCATTCCATGTTTTGCTTGATATTGCGACATCTACAGATTCCCCGCTGCGGTTGACATTGATTATTATCATTGCTATTGGCTTCATGTCTGTTTTGTCGGATCGTTTTGCAATGGGCATTCTCATTCCCATTTAGCTCTTTTCTTTTGGTTGACATTGTGTATTTGGCGTTCCCTTACGAGATTTGTACAATAGATGAAGTGGGAAAGGCACTTTTCGGTTCGATCATCCAAGATAATTTCTCGTACAATAATCCCCGTAGCATCACACAGACCGATCAATGCTACTAAGCTATCGAGTAAAGGCCATCGCGAATATCGACATATGCAACAAGAGTGCTTTTGGTGAATCACGGTATATCCACAATACATGAAGAATCCCATTCGACTCCCAACCCCAACGCCAGATGAATAAAAACAATCAAGACAAGAAGCCCAGAGGCCCCAGGTAACATAATCGAGTAAAATAAGGGTATGAAAGAACCCGATAAACCAGCTCAATCAACCATCCTTTACTTCTCACGGGCAGGGTTGGATCTCTTCTCGTTCGAGCGCTGCTTACGCTCATTGCGCTTGATCCGCTCTTTGCGCTCAGTCCGCGACATACCACGGATGGAGCTTCCCTGGGCATTAGCCTCCGCCTCCTTCTTCCACTTCGTCTCATCGACCTCAACAAGCCACTGGTTCTCGTCGTCCTTGTTCTTGCCCTTGTAGCCCCAGCGCGGCACCCACTCGCCGGTGGCCTCGTCGTAGACGAGCTTCTTGCGGCGCTCCTTGTCCATACCGGCCTTGCCGGGGTTCTGGTTGAACTTGCCGATACCCTTCTTGCGGGCGAACAGCTCCCATTTCGTGGGCGCCTTGGGGGTGGGCAGCGGCTTGTGGCGCGGGAGGTGGATGTTGGGTGCGGGCAGGGTGAGCAGCACGCCGTCGGCGACGGAGGTCTTGATCTCGCAGGTGGTCAGGAGCTGGTTCAGCAGGACTTGAACGCCGTCGCGGGCTGTCGCTTTCAGAGAGTCGTTGAGCTTCTCAGTCGCAGGGAGCTCGAGAGGATTGGGGTCGTTGACGAGCAGGTGGCCAAGATCGAATGTGTAAGGGGAAGGCTTTGAGACGGTAATGGGGCTAGAAGAAAATATTAGTTTTCTGTGTTTTGCTTCTTTTTTATGTCTTTTTTTGGTCCTGGGTTTGTTTCGTCGGGTATCTGGTTCGGGAGAGGGATTCTTACAGTCTCTCGGTCTTGGAAGCAGCCGCGGCCGCGGTTGCGGAGTTCGCCATCTCAATGTCAGACATGACGATACTGGTAGTATTTCGGTAATCTGTTGATGTTCGAAAGTGGTATCAGCCCGAAGAAAAAAAAAGTTGGTTATCAGATACACCCGCTTTTGCCTTTTTCTGCCATGACTAAGACACCGCGACCGCCTTTTGTTCCTGGGCGGGCGGATTTCGCATCAAATTATTGAGCGAACTGTTAACTGCTGTTGTCCTCGCAACTCAATTCCCATCCACCTCTCCACCTCAGCACTGGTTGTCCCCTCACTGGCCGCGCCGGTGTTCCTGACAACCACAATGGCCTCCTCGTGGTGCTGGAATTGCCTCTCGAGGCTTCGCCCGACGCCGCGAGCACTCCTCACTCCGCCGTCCGCAACGCCCCGGATTTCGAGCGCTCCCTTCCACTCCACCGCCGTGCACTATGCCCAGCCGGCTAAGAAGAAGGGAAACAGCTTGACTGTCATGAAGCACAGACAGTCAACCAGCTTGAGAAGGAAGAAGAAGAAGGTCACTGAACGCTCGCGTCCACCTGCCGTGGGTGAGCGCAAGGCTATGCGGAAACGCATTGTCCTGAGCAACCCCAATGCTCTCGAGATTGAGGGCATGTTGGATCTTTCCCCGGAGACCATGGTTGACTCCCGTCTCCGTGGTAGTGTTCTGGGATTGCCTGTGCCCATGATCGATCAATTGAGAGCAGTGCAAGCGTTCAAGCCTAAGCAGGGTTGGTCGATATTCCGCCGGCCTGGAACCGTCCTTCGCCGTGATACCATTGAGATGGGTCGTTTGTTCGAGGAGATCTCTGCGGAGGGCGAGAATGCCCAAAAGGGCAAGGTTGTCAAGAAGATTATCACTGGTATGCAGGGTTCTGGCAAGACTGTGCATCTGCTCCAGGCTATGGCTATGGGCTTCCTGAAGAAGTGGGCTGTAGTCACCATTCCTGATGGTAAGTATTCGACAAAGATTTACTAGTTTACATTATAATTGTGCAGCTGCTAACGCGTCGATCTTGCAGCCCGCGAACTCGTGTCCGGTAGCACCGCCTATGCCGCCATTGAAGGCTCCAACCCTGTACAATATGTCCAGCCTACCGCGACTTCCGAACTGTTGACTCGCACTGTCGAGGCCAACCGAGAGCTCCTGGCTAGCTTGAAGGTCTCCCAGAACCACCCTGCTCTGAAGATGCTGAAGCCATCCTCGACCCTCGAGGACCTCGCCAAGCTTGGTTTCAGCGATCCCGCTGTCTCATGGGCCGTCTTCCAGGCTCTGTGGACCGAGCTGACCGCTACTGCCCCTGCTGCTGGTTTGGAGAAGGACTTCCAGCCCCGTCCTCCCATGCTCGTTGCTGTGGATGGTCTCGCCCACTGGATGACCGAGAGTGCCTACCGCTCCGCTGAATACAAGCTGATTCACGCCCACGACCTCGCCTTCGTGAACCACTTCCTTTCATTGCTGAAGGAAGGTGATTCCCTGAAGAACGGTGGTCTCCTCCTTTACGCCACCTCATCCTCCAACAACCCTAACCCCAAGGGTCTCAAAATTGCCCTGGATCGTCTGGCTGCCCGCCAGGCTGGTATTAGCGCCTCTTCGCCGGAATACCCTCAGCCAGCAGCCTACAGCGATGCCGACCCTCGCGTCCTGGATCTGCTCAAGCCCGAGGAGAAGGCTGTTAGCCCCGTTGAGTTGCAGACACTCGGTGGTCTCACTCGTGAGGAGGCTCGTGGCTTCATGGAGTACTTCGCCCACAGTGGTTTGCTGCGCGAGGTCATCAACGACCAGTGGGTGAGTGAGAAGTGGAGCTTATCTGGCGGCGGTATCATCGGCGAGCTGGAGAAGCTCGGCCGTCGTGTTCGCACCACTGCATCTGCCTCTAAATAAAGGCTTTTTATCTTGCATTTCTTTCCCCTTGTCTTATCCCCGGCTTTCAAATTTGTGTTTTACGTTACAACTGTATATCGGATGCTAGGGTTTTCCTCGTGTGTTCTTCGCCCATGTACTTTACAAATCTCACTTGGTCTGCTTGTGTCTGTATGCATATAATGGATTTGTTTTGGAAAATTCTTATATCCTTCCTTCCGGTACTATTCCACGATGAGAACATCATGGTTCTGCTGGTCTCACAGCTTAATGGGACCTTGAATCCCCGATCTGAACATGATCACATAGGTCATCCATTAATGTGGTTCACAGCAGATGCAATATCAGTCCCAAATCAAGCATCCAACTTCCTCGGCCTAATAGCCCGGACCAAATCCGGATAATCAAACTTGGCTGCAGTATTCAAGAAAGGTGAATTCCCCGGATGCGCCTCTTTCTTGACACCCTCACCACGGAACAAAAAGCTCATCGGGAACCCAATATCAAACTCATAAGCTCCCTCAATCTCCTCCACATCCTCATCTGACAAATCAAGCGCAAGCCCCTCAATATTGCTCAGCAAGTGCTCAACCTTCCGCCCACCCACAATCGGCGTCACATAGGGCGCCTTGCGCATCACATATGCCATCGCCACGCTCGTAATCGCCGTCCCATGTCGCTCCGCAATCCCCTCCAACACCTTCGACACAGCAATCTCCCGCTCCGTAGTCGGCACCTGCCGTCCCGGATTCCCAGAATTGGCGATCTCCTCGCGCTGCGCAGTCGTCTTGAACTGGCCAGCGCCTAGCGCCGCCCACGGCGCAAGACCCATTCCCTCCGACGCCGCCATCGGGATTATATCCCGCTCGAAGTCGCGATTTGCGGCATTCCATTTACCCTGGTAAACGGAGAACGGGCGGAGTCCGTGATCGCGCGCGTCTATCCAAGGTCAGTTCCAGACTTGAGCGTACCGCTAAACCAACTTACATTGATTTGCCTTGGTCACGACCCACGCGGGTGTATCGCTGATGCCCAGATACAGCACTTTTCCCGAATTGACCAGCTGGTTGAGCGAGGTCATCACCTCCTCGACGGAGGTACTGAAATCCCACCAATGGACATAGAGCTGTTTCGGGGGTTAGCACCGGCTTCACAAACTAGGCATCCTGAAAACCTCTCAGTACCTACCAGATCGATATAATCTGTTCTCAATTTCCTCAGACTAGCCTCGACTGACAGCTTCATACTCTTGGCATTATTGCCGACGTAGTTCGCCTGGATCTCGGATTGGTTGTGCGTGCGGAACCCGGTGGTGTACTTTGTCGCGAGGACGATCTGGTCGCGCACGCCGCGGGCTTCCATCCATTCGCCGAGCCATTGCTCTGATTCTTCGAACTGGTAGTTGTTGGCTCTTTTGGATGGTCAGTTGGGGGTTTGGGTTAGAGATTGGTTACACATGGTTGCAGTACATACGTGTCAATGAAGTTACCTCCGTTCTCGTAGTAGGCGTCTAGAATTGCGAAGGAGGTCTCTTTGTTGCATTCGCCGAGGCCTTGTTTCCTGTTTCTTGTGTTACTATACAGGTACGTGTGGCATTGGGGTATGTCTCATACCAGCCCTCGCCGAAGTTCATGGCGCCCAGACATAATGGGCTCACCTTAACGGCTGCGGTGGGGGCGAGGAGGCGGTAGCGGCCGAGATGGGACTTGGGGGTTGCAGCTGGAGCGAACATATTGGAATTGCTGGGGGATGAATTGGATGGATGGTGGTAAGGATTGAGGGATCGAGGAGTGAGGGGCAATCTAGAGCCACCTTTATAGTGCTTTCATACCCTTGTATGCGGGGTTGACGATGTAGATTAATAATTGCCAGTTTCAATGGCTGGATCTTTACGCACTAAGTACTTTTAGCTCTGTAGGTTGGCTTGTTTTCTATTTGCCTAATTCCTAAGTCCGGGGAATGGGCAGTTGTCAGGAGCAGGGTTTCGCAGTTAGGGTTATCTCCGTCTGTCGAAAAGAGGACTTAAATGGACATGCGACCTGCAACTGGGCAGACAGAATCGAGTATGAACGATCTTCCATTCGCATTCGGTATCAGTTACAAATCTGAATCGAAAGTGCTTGCACTGTGTGTATCCCAATTTGCATCCTTCTTGTCATCCTCTGTTTCATCATCCTCGCCTTCTTCGCCATGCTCATCCTTGTCCTTTTTCTTTCTGCTCATCCTTCTATTTCGTCTTCTCCTTTGCCTTGGCTTTGCCGTTCTCTTTCGGCTCCTCTTTCTCATTTTCCCGTTCAGGACTTAGACTATCACGGTAGACCTCGGGAATGGCGGTGAAAATATCATCCACTATCTCTCGAGTCACCTCCAAATATTCATCTAGATCGGAGTCATCTTCCCTGAGGAGCTCATCCCAATATTCTCCCTTCGGGGGGTATGTCACTGGACCCGGTGTCCAATCAGCAGACCCATCGTCCAGCGCAGTATTGCCGCCAAAGCTAGTTCTAGGCGTGAGTCCCCTGCCCTGGCACCGGGGACACTGACAGTTCTTCCCAAATAACTGATTGGCGTGCATATTCAAATCGGGGTCTTCGCCGACAGGATCTGCGATTCTATACCGTTGATACGGCACTCGGATCTCTTCCCCGGCGTGGATATCTTTACTTGCCCAGAGAACTATGCGGTTGGGGACTTTTTGGTCAAACCCCCACTGCGCATTCTCATGAAACCGACAGGAATGGTTGAACATGCTCAGTCCGGGGAAAACGTAAAGATTTTCAAATGATGGATCCATTGCGGTGAAATCTTGTCCCCGATCCCTCATCCTATTTTGAGTGATCGGATTGATCACCGGCTTGGGACCGTCTCTTTGGGTAAACGTTGAGTTCTTATTTCTTCGTGCGCGTTCCCAGGGTACAGCATTGACCAGCAATTTCCGTAGCACCGTTTGAATAACCCAGGTATCGAACGAGAGATCGCAGAAGACATCTACTCCAAGGTTCAGGAGGATATCGAAAGGCACTTGGATATTGGCTGCCAGAGTGAAGGGGAACCAGCTATCTTTCCACGGCTTGTTCGAGTCAGTGCCTGACTCGAGGACGAGGAGTTCATTGATTTCGTGCGCGAGCAGATTGGGGTCATCTTTGCGACGGTGCAGAGTGAGCTCGAAGACGCTTTTCAGTAGTAGACTCAGAATAGTCCCGTGTCGCTCATTGTTGTGTGAGAAATATTCTGTATCGCTCCACGTCTCTTTGTTGGGTCGCATGGCATCGTGCAACCAGCCCCATTCGATACCGCAGAACTCACTGAAATGGTATGTCTCGCGGGCAATTTCTAAGCAGTCAGGCGCCACACCGCGTGAATTCACATGGTTCAAAGGGCAGAATAGCAGACCGGCTGCCGCGCCCCTTGACTCGCCTGGATTGGTACATCTACAGATCATAGTACGACACACGCAATCGGTCGAGTGCAGGTTCTTGGGATCGGGTACCTGGCCAGAAATCAAGTCCCAATTATTCTCAATATGTTCAACGGCCGATGGCTTGATCTTCTTTTGGCAGTTATCACAGCGTTGTGCATGGAGGGGATGTTCGCTGCCATCATCAACCAGTGCGTTCGGAATGAGATGACCGCGAATAACAGGCTCCTCGTAATGGATCAACGTTCCTGCTCGGATGTTTGTAGTAGCAAAGACTCCTAGGCCATTGAAGGAATTGTCCGGCTTGAGCAAGGGTAGTACTTGGCATATCTTCTGGAGGAAGTTTTGGGTGCTAGAACTGGCCGTGATAAGATTGGCGTTGAGTGCAGTGAGGAAATCTGGTGCTTCACGTTGCACGTCTCCTTGGTCGTATGGATATCGTTCGGCGCCGGAGATCCATCCTCGACTCCATTCGTGTCCATAAAGAGATTGATGGAGCTTTGTCGGGTTTCTTCTTCTTTTCTCCATCTCCTTGCGAATAGGTTCGCTCACTAGTAATCTTTTCCGTGGAACAGACGCGTCGCGATGCGCCAGAGGCCTTCGGAGTTGCCCCTCCATATGGTCGGTGAAATCATCCCAGCAATTCAGTGCTGCGAGGCTGAGGCTGGTGATGCTGTGGAGAGCGTTCCGTAGAGTTGGAATGAAGTAGTTCACCCCATTGGCCTTTCTCATTAATTTGACCTCATCTGTTTTTGATACACCCTGGATCTTCAAGCTCATCATCAGGTGTAGCTGAATCGCGTCCCAGACCCGTGTGTAAAGCCCTGGGCGCTTGTTTCTTTGGCTTGCCGTCGTCAACACTTCGCAGAGAAGCTCTCCGCGGTAGGCATCCCCAATGGCGAGATCGAAATAGCCCAGCAGATAATGGCAATACGCTCGGCTATTCCAGTAGGTTGGATTGTATGGGCTCGTTTTGATTGCCGCAGTGTACATTTCAAGCGCAGTCATATCTGTTCTCATGGCGGGGCGCATTACAGGCCTTGATTCACGAGAAATCCCCCAATGTTGCAGGTTACTTTGTTTCAGAACTCCGAAGCGCTCGTCGCATTCGTATTCCCAAAGCCGTTGTTGCAACTCCACCTTTTTCCCTTCTATGTTGAGACCTCTTAATAGCAATTCTTCTTTGACCGCCTCTTTCGTCCAAAGCGAAGGGTCTTTAACGTTCAGGCCGTGTATGAACACTTTCTGCTCCACTGCATCCAATCCCTGCACACCGTTATAGAGTTCGCCCAAGCCCTCCGCGTTGAATTTGTCTCGTGCATCCTCGCGTGAGATCGGCAGGAACGGATTGCTCATCAGATGCTCATAGACATTGTGGGCTAAGACATGCATTTCCGGTCCCTCCTCATTCTTTGCGCGTGTGAAGGGTCGCTTCGGATGTGCTTTCCATGCAAGTCCAAGAGTATCATCCGGCTGCTGCCAGAACTGTCGTGCAAGGAATGCGTCATCCTCGGTCAATGCCGGGCCTAGCGGCACAGTATTGAAGATATCTGGCCGCTTGGGGAACGCGGGTGGTCTGACGATATCTGGCCCCGGAAACGCTTCGTATAATCGATTCTGCTTGTCCATTTCGATATTTTGAGATGCCAAATGGTTGTCAGTAGTCGCAAGGGCAGTTTTACGATTCGAGAGAAGATTTGACGGCTTCCAGGCTACCCTTGGATAGTGTAAAACTTCCGACGCAGACTCGTAAAGTCGAGACGAGAATATAAATGAGAGATCTTTCTCCTTCCCACCAGTTGCAGTTTGGGTGAAAGAAGTGGCAATTTCAAAGAGCCTTGGGGGATAAAGAAAAGAGACAACATCTCGATTTATTTTTGGAGATGGATATAGTCGACTTGATCATGGTTCAACAAAGAACAGCAAAGAGGGTGGATGTTCAGTCTTCGAGTGACAAAGAAATCCAACTAGTCCTTTGACTCCCATCGTATCACCATCACCTTGGATAGGCTGAAAAGACCTCATGAGAGGTCTTGGAAGTCGATCTTCAGATCTTCACTTTGGAGTCGACTTGCCTGGGAGTATCCATCATAGATACTCCCGATTGTTTAGGTAAACAGGGCCAAACTCAATGGACCAAACGAGGAGACCAATGTAGTCTTATGGGCATCCCTAAATGGCCCTTCAAAGATCTGACTTTTGCGCAAATTCCGCGTACAAATGTCTCCCAGCGCGTAGAGGAAGACTGTTGTAGTTGCTCAGTTGCACCGAATCGGAGCGGGTGAACCGTGCTGGCGCGCCCCATCGACCTAAGCACAGCCAGGATCTTTCGCTCCAAAGTCTTTTTGAGACTTTGAAATCCCCTTTTTTTTTGCTCATGTCTCCTTTGTGAAGGGCTTTGGTTCGTTTTCTGCCATGTACGGACAGTCAAATCACGATCCCTCACAGCCCGAGTGGCGGCTCCCTCCACGCCTCGCGTCGCAGCCGTCGCAGCCGTCGCAGCCAGGGCCTCCACCTCCTCCTCGACCCCCGGCAGCTCCATACTCCCCAGCTGCTACATACTCACCGGCTACTTATGGACCGATTTCAGCTCCCCAGATCCCAAGGTTGTCATCGCCAGGTGCAGCCCCGGATACAACCACGTGGGGAGTGCGGTACAACCAAAATTCCGGCCCCCCATTGCCAGTAAGACCAAGCTTGAGGAGGATGCAAGCCCTCAATAACTAACTGTCGCATAGCCTCGACCTTCAAGCAGAAATGAACAACAACATACCTACGGACAACCTCAGAACCCCGCCATCGCAACCCCTTTTCAGGGTTCCCTAGCCCCTACAAACGCTCAGCCGCCCCCACCTCCGCCTCCACCTCCATATACATCGACATCGCCAGTAGGTGTTCCACAACCGCCACCCAAGATCCCTCAAGGACCTCAACATGCAGCAACCCTACAAGATGATCGGACGGGGAGGGCTCCACTGCTCGCCCAGGGCCCAGGGCCGGCTGCCATGACAGGGTCTTACGCATTCCGCCCTTCACCCGTAGTTAATACAAACACAACGTCTCCCGGCGCGTCGGCTCTGGGCGTTGGGACGCCGTCTGATTGGGAGCATCTTGGTCCTACCCCGGGAGACTTTGACGATGCAGCTTGGTTCCCACCTCGCAGGACGCCTTCTCAACATCGCGAAAGGTTACAACCCCCTTCAGGGCCTCCAGGCGTTTATCCTATTGTGTCCGTGGGAGGCGAGTCTCATAATATCCTGCGCCCAAGGACAGATACAAATGAAACGCATTTAAGTAGTATCTCTGGGGGGACACAGCCAGGACAAGGCAGCGCAGGTTCGCCCGTCAGTCCATGCACAACACCACCTCCACTGGCCCGCATGGACACCAGCAGCTCTGCCATGTCTATGAGCGCACATTCAGAAAGCATCGATAATGTGATAGATGCATGGGCTCGCCCATTATCCCCTGCGCAAAAGCCAGTTCAGCCCGAACATGACCGCCGCCCTAGCCCATTGTATCAAACTAGCCCAGTCGAGCGCTCACAGTCAGCGCAAGCTAATCCGGCTCTTGTCAGTCATCTGCGGTCAAGCTCGTATACTTCTGGGCGAATTGCTGAAAGACCCGAGAGTGTGCCACCCCCGAAACCCGCAGATCCCTTCGAGGATTTGGATCCCTGGTCTAAATCATCGTTAGAACGGTGTGTCGCTATGCTACGTAAGGAAGCAGTGGCCGATTCGGACGAAGAACGATATAAAATTTTCACGGCCTTCATGTCCAAGGAGATCAAGCTCCGAGAGATTCTTTATAATATTGAGCATGAACCTGAAAATGTCCCTGTGACTACGCAGGCTCCTGGCCCCGCTCCTCAGCAACCACTATCGATTCCCAAGAAAATCGAGACGCCGGTGGAATCGGGGCTGATACCCGTTGCATCGGAAGATATCGCGCCCCTCTCAGCAACAACAGAAGACGAGGATATTGATGATGTGGGCAGCGAGTACAGCTCAGGCGGTCGGCCCCTTCTCGGCAAGCAGGCGCGACAGGGCTCGCAGTTCCTTCCCAGCCTATCTACGGTGCCCCCGGGCGCAGATCAAAACGACCGCTTCGCGAGACCCTTGTCGATAGCCATTTCTGCGGATTCGCAGAAGCAAGCATTGGAGCCTTTGACCACAAACCCTCCGCGGCCCATATACACACCATTCCAATATACAGAAGGTCCCCAGAGAGGCTCGGATGACCTTACCTTTGCTCGCCCAGCTTATCAAGGCTACTCTGATCTCCGGCAGGCAGCCATTAGTGGGCGAGTCATGTCAAATACACCGGCACCTGCATCTCGACCGCGGTCCAATACTGCAATTCCCTCCCCAGCCGAACAGGATGAGACTTTCCTTGGTCTCATCCGCCACAAGAGTGTCGCTTACTTGAAACCTGCAGAGCGAAACTCCCCGCCGCTTCCAGTGTTGCCAGAAGTTCTTCGTCAAGGCCCACCGACTGGCCTTGTAGAAGAAATACGCACCATCGTGTGGACACCTCTAAATAAGCAGTCCGACAGCTCCTGGCATATCACTACTCGGGATGAACTTGAGAAATTCTCCGATGATTTCTCGTACATCCAACGTACAGTTGATCAGTGGGAGGAAACCGCGCAAGCCAGGCGACAAAAGCTGGACCAGGAGCGCACGGTTCGTCAAGACGAATCCGAAGAGCATATCGACGAGCTCTTCAATGGGAAGTTGATCGGATATGCGGATATCAATACCTTGGAAGAGGAATTTAGACAAACCGAAGCTCGGGTCCAATTAGAGGAGGAACGACATGAAGTAGACGATTTCATCGCGCACATCTTCAACCCCTTAGATGAAGGCCTGAAGAATGAGATTTCGGTGCTTCGCAAGTCGTACGACTCTGCTCTCAATCAACTCGACCGTGATCAGCAGAACGAAGGCTTAGCAGCCGAGCGACGCAGTCCGTCCGTCACCATGAAAATGGTCAACGAACTTCATAACAAGCTCGAGATTCGGTTCCAGAAACGCCTTGACCTGGCACTTGACTGCGAGCGACGACGGAAGAAGGCTGAGCGGCGACCGCTTGTGTTTATGGGTGACCTGGCAGGTCTGCGAAAGTTAGATGGCGAGTTTGACCAGATGGAGCTCCGCAACATTCTGGAGGCTTGTAAGGATCGTGATGACCGAGCCAACCGACTCATGGATTCGTTTGACGATGCGATCTTGCATGGTCTGGGTATAAATCAGAGCCTCCTGGATGAGGTTTCCTCGAAAGCAAATCGACTAGATTCGGCTGCTCTTCGTGCTTCCGGGCTGCCAGATTCCGAGATTGAGCAGATCCTTAAATCCGCTGCCACCTTTGCGGCGTCGCTCAGAGCAGATTCTGAGGCCATCATCCGCAGCTCTGGGGTTGCGGATATGGCTCTCAACGATGCCGACTACGGAGTTTCCGTCGCCGAAGCGCGATATGCCAATTCAGATCCGGATATTTTCCACCGTCTGGCGGATGAGAAGAAAAAAGAGGATGAAAAAATTCAGATTGATCTAGATTCGAAGTTACAGAGCATTCAGAAGGGGCCTGTGCAGATTGCAGCTACAATTGAGCATCTTCTCCTTGGCTTGCGCAACGAGCCCCAAGCCGCTGCACCAATTCGTCCTCTCCCGGGCTCTGTTCCGACCAGTCCATCCGGGGAGGTTCCTCTACCTCCGAGTCTACGCCCTTCGACTGCTATTCCCGGTCCATCTTCCAGTCCAGTGCCCGTGCGCCAAAGCACAGACGAAGAGTCGGAACACAAACAGAGGCTCCGCAAAGCACTCGACGATGCCAAAAAGCGCAACGCTGCTAGGGTTCAGCATTAACACGTGTTTTCCTGGAGATGGATGTCGGGGGAGTTTGACCACATGCATGACGCGACGAATTTTCTTTTCCAAGATACCCTCTATCACTCTGTTTTGTCTTAATTGTTCAGCTGTCATTTTCCCCGTTACCCACTTTCTGCAGTGTGCTAGTTAAATGAAGACTAGGGCCAAACGACTATTTTGATTAATCTCGCACACATACCTTCACACAACCAATCCTCACTCGGCTGTGGGCCTGTCATATTTCCTCTTCGGTAGTCAACGGATTAAAATAATATTCCCAGCAACACTGTGGATACCGAAGTATGTTGTATGTCCTGTTTGAGTAGCATAGAACGAGACGGAGTCTTTTTCCCCGTCACACGAACATTCTTGGGCAATTCTTCAGGGCTTCCATCTCTCGCTTTCTTTGCTATAAGAGGCGCCACCCTGGCGTTCTGGTGCAATTGTCCTTGGTATACGGTGAATTCATAGGTACCTACCTAGGTGCCTGGATTTTTTTTTCTCCCACCAATGCCGTAAGATCCCGATGTCGTTGTGTGAAGGCATACTGATTTTGGTTTCTCCTCCGCGCCACTGTGGCTGCGTCATAGGTAGGGGCCAAATCAAAGTGATTCAACGTGCAGGACGAGCGAAAAAGGGCGCACAGACGATATCTTCGAACCGTCAAGTTCGTGGAGGACATCACCTTCCACAGCTCACGTGAAGGCGATCGCAGAGCAAGGCACAATTTTTAGGCGCCCAGAGATGGCGATTGGTAGGCGATAACCAAGCCCAAGAGCTAGACGCCAATTGCTGCCGATCGATGGTGATGCGCAGTCAAATTGTGTCTGCCGCAGCTCAACAGACCCGTCTCAGCTTGCCCCAGTGCTTGGGCCCCATCAAGCGTGCAGGGATAACAGATTACCTCGAAACCCAATACCCAATCTAGCGGGTCTCCTGTGCCGCACAGCACCCTGTGCCGCACAGCACCCTGTGCCGCACAGCACCCTGTGCGCCGTGACCCGTCCTCGGATTCGCTGCACCCTCGCACTATGCGATGGATATAAATCACACCCTGGACAACTTGCGGCCGAAAGAGAAGGGCGCATAGACTGCTGCGCAGGACTTTTGGAGCCCAGTCGACATGTCGTCTTCTGTGCTCCTCTCGGTTGCCTTTCGATACTCCACTTTCCAATGACGCTTTAGTCGATATGCAAGGCAGGCCTTAGCTATCACCAACGCATCCTCGATGGTCTTGAACATCCTATCGAGTCGGAGAATCGGAGGACTCGAGACGTTGCGGCGTCTCGAGTTTGCCCCTTCCATCAGCTGACTTCCGTTGCCTTTGGAGATCGGGGCATCGGATTTCTCTTCCCATATCTGCCAAGCAACTAGTCACCATCCCCCTGTGCGAAGGACCATCGCATGGAACCACGTCGATTAACAGGGATTTCATTAGTGCGTTTTTGGTTTCCCTCTGATGCACGGGTACAACGTGGATCGGCTATGGCACGATGTGGACAAAAAAAAGAAGGGCCTTGGGTCCCCGACCTATCCGAGAGCGATGATGTCCTAGCATTTCTCCACTATGGAAAATACCAGCAATCATGGCCAACGAAACGGACCTTGTCCCAATGGCGGGTCCGAGGGATGCTCGAGGGAAATTCCGATTTCTTTGCGGTTGCTCGGGCGGCGATCACAGGCTTGCTGCGCTTCACTACACTGTACAAACCGGATCACGCTGTCAAGGGCGGCTTCTCTTACCTCATCGGCTCGTGCAGCATGGTATCCTCCCTTCCCTTACGTCAGGAGCAATATCATTACCTCCAACAGCGTCTACTATGCAAATACGAGATGCATGCTTTACATTGGCCAATTGTAGAAACAGCCATCTCGCAACTCCCAGGGATCAGCATACAACATACCAAGTTTAACTTTTTGTCGAGACTCCGTTACATTCTTTACCGATTGCGCGCATTGATTGTGGGCAAGAATTGCGCAGCGTCTTTACGAGACACAGCTCTGTGTCTCCGGAAATCACCGTAGCTATTTCCGTGACACCGACAATTGTGTGCTAGGGGGTGCCAGCCACGAAACCCCGGATCTTTCCAAGATCCCCCATTAGTGCATGTCTGTGCGTTGCGATGATGCTGATCAATGACTTGGTCTTAGAGATCATTAAACGGTGCGGCTTTGTTGAGACATCACCCCTTCGCTCTCTCCTGCGGCACATCCCATTGAGCCTCTAAATTCCCCCCCCCTCTTTGCCACCTGGGCACCCAGGTTTCCTTCGCACTAAGCGCCGTTGGAATAAAAATTTTGCAAATCCGAGATCGATCTTCCCGCTCTTGGAGAGATGACAGATACAAAATATTTTGCGCAGGTGAAATGAGCACATGAAATTCGTTGTGTCCCTCTCTCTCAATGGCCCCTAATTATTTAAAGCGGGCGCCAGCGAAGCCCGTTCCATGGTTCAGAGTACCCGCTTCCGTCCATGGGTCGGAAGAACTCTGTGAGTCTACGAAAGTCCACCGTGTGGGAAAATATATCTGTTTGTCGCTCTCTGCAGCCCCTCTTTGATTTCCTTAAGGGAAGTTCGTCTTCCTCCCTTTTCTTTTCGTCATGTCCGCTCCAACCCGGCAATTCAACAGGCTGTCCATCGGTCGAAACATGTCAGAAACGAGCCTGCCTGCGAGAGTGGCCCGCGCGCCGCGGCCGGACCCTTCCACCGACGACAGTGGTCATGAAGACGACAGTTCGTCGGAGGAAAGCTCCGGTGATGGCGAGGAGGGGGATGGGGAGGAAGAAAGCAGTGATGAGGAAGAGTCTGAATCAACTAACGCTTCCTTCGTCGCCCCGTCCGGCATTACCTATGACTTGAGCCAACTAGATTCCGAGTCTGAAGCCAGGGCCATCGTGGGCTTGAGCGGCCATTTTGACGTTGTTAACTGTCGCTCTACGCCCGCTGGATATGACTTCCAGTTGCTAGATCGGCCACAGGTGCATATTGGCTCGGACTCGTCTACCTGCAGTTGCCCAGTCTTCCAGAGTCGGCCGGAAGGGGCGTGTCAGCACATCTTTGTGAGTATGCCTATTGTGGAAAGGAGGCTTTCAAAAAGGCTCGATGGTTTGGGATGATCATGCTAATTCCTTGAACAGTGGCTCCTCGACCAACTGCACCGCTGTTTCCTTCCTGCCCCTCAGTCGATGGAGGTAGCATTGGCTCCAGACGGACGCCCGGACCGCCTCCCTCGCATCGAGGTTCTCCTAAAGGGTAATCTGAAGTCGGTTGCGGCACAACTCAAATGGCAGTATCTATGGGACGAGGAGGATGCGATAGGCACGGGGATGACACGGACAGAGAAGGTCCGAGATATCTTCTCGGCGTTCAGCAAACGAACCCTTCCAGAAGACACCCGCCGGGACTTGACAGAAACGATCGAGCACCCACGAACGGCAGAGCAATGTGTTGTGCAGGGCGATTTCGAAGCGACTATGTTCCGGCTGGCAGTACACGATGACGTGGTATTCAACAGCCTCTGCAAGGTGATGCCTGCAGGCGCGTGTGCGGCCATCTACTTCGACAAGATACAAGAACAGTCACGCCGATTACTCAATGACTTCGACCGATACTGCACAACCGGCGAGTTGCCCGCAGACCCTGTGATCCCAGGCTTAGGCGTAGAGGTCAACGATGTCGTGAGACATCTCCAGCTTTCGGCATCACGGATTGCAGTCAACATTGCGGCTCGTGCCCCGCACGGCTCTGAAGGCGCCGCTGAGGCTCTAGTATCTCTCCTGGAGTCAGTCGTGGCTCGCAATAATGATCCCCTGGAGGGCAATCGCCTAGGCCGCCGTTCCTTCCACGGCGAAGACGAGGACCAGCGCAACCTATATCATTTGCTCATCGGGTCGGTTGAAACAGACTCCGAAACAGACGCGCGGCACTTTGTGCTTCACGCGCTTGATGCCCTGCCGCCGGTGGACCTCCACCAGTGCGCCAACCGCCTGCGCGACATCCTACGTAAAATCGAAGTCAACCGTGCCCCCAAGCCTTATCTTCTCCACCTAGGCTCGATACTTCGTATCGCTGAATCTGCTGCTGGCGGCCCTATGGGATCTGGCCAGAAGCGCCCTGCGGCTGGAAATGGTACTTCGGGGGGATACTCGAAACGGACCCGCTGATCCATTTGTGGATTTTTCTTTTTTTTTACATGCATATGTTTTGTTATCTTTGTTCTGGGAGGCTACCGTGTTCATTCATTGCAATACCCCGCTGCATCTTGTCTTTGCGTTCCATCAGCGATGAAATCACTCCAGTTCCTTTTTTGCATTATCAGCCATGTCTTTCGCATGTTTTGATGCCTTCTACGATCATGAGAGCTGTCAGTATTGCCATAGTCATTTACGCGCACGTCCCTTACATAGTTAGAGACTATTACATTCAGAGTGCTATATCCAAATTTTGCTGCGAAAATTCCCAACCCTATTAGAAGTATCAATCCTCATCTCCGTATAGAAGGCAACATCCCAAGTCCCCGTAAAGCATGTCGTCATTCCAAACCCAGCACTATGGCCCTGGGACCCCGCGTCCACGGTCCGGGCTGTGAGCCGGGCGTGTCACCGTTGCCGCCCAGGGATGAGTTAGCCCGATTTGCGAGGCCAAACCATGGAACACCGGTCGGGCTAGAGTGGGTCACCCACCCTTTTGGGAAATCCATTAATTTTTTTTGTTTCCGAATACGAAAATACACACGAATCAGCACGACGATACAACAATCCCGAGATCAAGATCGGACCTCATCCATGGGAAGTATCCAACTCCCGATCTCAAGATCGGGGCCCTTCGATCTCCGTCTCTCCGCCATTCAAACCCGGCAAATCTCACTTCCATTATCGGATATACGGAGAAACGCGGCAAGCTCGCCTCAACACGCCGCCCTAAAGTTAAGTTCACTAACTCATCCTTCCGTACTCCGTATATTGCCTCGATGCACACTCGTGTGGAACCGTCCATTGCGCGTAGCGCGGCCCAATCTAAGCGGAAATTCCACGTGAATAATTAAAAGTGGATATGCCTCGCCTAGGACAACTTTTCTATCCCCTATAGGGAAATTTACGGGCCCTACGCTGGCGCGGACGTTGTATCCATCTTGGAGGTATGTATGCGATTTGGGATAGTCGTCGGATCCAAGCCGAGTTTAGGCCGCTGGGTTTTGTGCACTTGGGCCGTGCACGCGGTTATGCGCCTGTACATCCAGGGTGGGTAGCGTTGGGGCTAGTGTGCTTAGCTGGTTAGTTTATGGGGGTCTTGGTGGTTTGGTGTCCACCTGTTACAGGGGTATATATCTGGACCGTTGGATAATGGGTTTGTGTCTATGGAGTATGGGGGTGGGATCTCATGGTGATTGACGGGGATGGTGCGAGGAGGTACTTATTGCTCGTGAGATGAATATTTACACTGTTCGTTGCAGGTGGATTAATTAGCAGATTGTGTATTAAAGCGTTGTTGGTGCTTATAGGATGGAGTGCAATGGTGGAGCTTCACTGTATATGAAAATAGTACCCTGGTGCTGCCTGTGCATCGCTAACATCAGTCTATATCTATGCTCGGCGTCAAAGTACATCTAAGATATGTTAACCAGATGGTTATCACGGATCACTATTGGGATTTACTCAATGATATTTGTTCATTCCACAGTATAGAGTATATTTTACTAGAATGCATTGGAAGATTGTTGGCGTCATTCTGCGGAAATGTTGTGGGCAATGAGGCAGAACCCACGTAAACGAGAAAGAACGCGAGTAAACTTCCTAAATCCGCTCAAATTCCCAGGGTCGAACTATCTTTCCAAACTGGGAACTTTTGGATGAGCTCCGATGCCTATTCCGTCGGCGGCCGACTCATAATGTGTCCATAAAAATGCCACAACTCACGCTGTCACTCTACCATCTACAAAACCATCACATAATATCCAAACCAACAACATTCATATCATATTCAAAGCAAAAAGAGAAAAAATGACCATGCGACGAGAACTACAACTACGCGTTGAAACTCTCACATCACGCAGAAACTGGGCGTCATGGAAAAGTACGATCGAGGCACACGCCCGGTTAGAGGGCGTCTGGGGATACTGTGACCCTGATATCCCCGATGAACAGTACTTGGAGCTAAAAGAACCCGAGAAACCACATTTTTCCACCGTACGACCTGGAGCAACTTCCATCGTTGACCTTGGCGAGGCGGACTTCGCCGAACTATCCTCGATTGTGAACCAATACTGGAGTCAGATGCGGGTATACGAAGAGACCCAAGATAGATTGAATACCATCTTCAATCTCATCAAAACTCATGTCAATCGTGATCACTTCCATCTCATCGAGCATTCAAATACCCCTCGAGAGCAGCTGACAATCCTATCTGTTGAGTTCAAACAATCTCCCCTGGAAAGCCTCGAGCCAGAATGGGAGATAATCCAGTATCTGGCGCGGGAGCCTGAGGTACAAGAGTTATTCGCACGATGGAATAATCTGTTTGCCGATTGTGCGAAGTGCCTTAATCAGGATGCTCGGAGGGAATATGCCTTTTGGGATTGTCTCGAGGGAGCGGCGAATCGGGGAAATAAACGGCGGCCTCTAAACTCTCAGCACTGGATTCAAAGCAAGTACTGGCCTAAAAATCTAGGGCTGGAGAGCTGCGCGTCGAATTACAATCAGCGTCGTGCACAGGCTGAGAGGGATTGGGATGCTATCTTCTCCCGAGGCTGTATTGATAATTCCCCGCCTTCGATATCCACTGAGCCTGTATCTCAGAGCTTTTATCCCGATACTGAGAATGATCTGAGTGATCAGCCTACAGAGGTTTGGGATGGTTCGGAGGCAGCTGAGGATGTCCCGGAAGTTGAGAAGCCTCTCGGTACACAGCACGGCGGTGAAGAGTATCAATCTTCTAAATTGGGTGTGGCCATGGCCGGGGAAGAAGACATAAAAGATCACTATTTGGAAGATTGGTAAAGGTATTTGGACATGATTTGTGCTTTTTGGGAGATTTAATGCGTTTCGGTGGAATATCAGACTATGTTTGCTTCTGGGAGGATATAGCCTCCTCCAAAGGGGATTGACATACCTCTTTCCATATGACTGTTGCTAATATGACTCGACTATGTCATTTAATCAACCAGTTGGCGGCCTGTTTTGCTTATCAAGTCTAGGCTTATATACAACAATGCCAGTCTTCGTTTTTTTCAATTATAATTTATCGTGTACACTAGAATATAGTTGTCCGATGTGCTCTATAAAATAGAAATAAAACCCACACCCGCAACTCTTCTATCTCTGTTATGAGCACAGTCAGAAAGCCCAACTCAAGGCCGGCTACTTTCCAAACAATTAGGACTACCATTGTCACCATCCACGGCATGCCCTTTATGACAGCCATCTTGCTCACACTTTTGAGACCAAGACTACCGTTGAAGGACCAATTCTGTGTCCCTCCTGGTCGTACCTTCAAGTCAAGACACATTACAGCTTTTGCATTTCGAGATCATTTCGTGCCATGGAGTGAGCTCGCTGGTCTCGATTTGATCTGTGCCGTGATGTCTGCCAATACACAGGCAAAATGGCCATGAAACGCTATATGCACCCGTTATGTCCAATCGTTGCTTCGGTGGCTGACGGGAGAACGGTGTCTTAGGGCTTTGAGTGGAGCTGCCGGTTCATAATACACATTCTGGCAAATCAATACAACAAGGCCGGCTGGCCCAATGGCAAGGCGCTTGACTACGAATCAAGAGATTGCAGGTTCGATCCCTGCGTCGGTCATCATTTTTTGTCGATTCTACATTGAGGAGAGACCCTTTTCTTTTTGTTGCCTTGGTTTTTTTTTGTTTCTCGAATCTTTTTGGTGGACGATGTACTAGAAACAGGTCTGTTGGTATTCAATGCTACAGATAAAGGTAGAAATACCCATTTGGCGTGGAATATCAAAATTCTCGAGCGCGGATAATCAGCTGGCAGAGATATATATGTGTACAGCATCACTCATATAGTCCATTCGATGTCAAATGGGTTTAACCTCGCACGATCAAAATGGACTCTTCCATCAAACTGATAATCAATTTCGATATATTGCACTCATACATCAATTCACCCAGAAAGATCCAAAACAACCCTCCCCTGCAGCTTACCCTCCTCCATCTCCTTAAACACCTCCGTCAAAGCCTCCATCTTCTCAGTCCGATAATGCACCTTAATCACCCCCCGCGCAGCAAACTCCATCGTCTCAATAGCCTCCGTCCGATTCCCCACCGCCGACCCCGTAATATGCAAATGCTTGCTAATCATCGTAGCCGGATACGCCGTCGCAATCGCCTGCGGATCGTTCTCCGGAACCCCCACACAGACCAGCGTACCATTGAACCGCAGAAGCGGCAACGCCTGCGCATACGCACCGTTCACAGCAGTGCACACAATCGCCGCATGAGCGCCCAGCCCCTCCGTCAACGACTGCACATGCTTCGCCAGTGCGTCGCCATTGTCGTCCCGCGGGAATTGTGTGATATCGACGAAATGCTCCGCCCCGGAGTCATTCACTAACCCCTCTTTGCTGCCGTGGTCGATGCCGATCACGCGGAGACCCATCCCCCGACTGGCGAGCTGCACTGCGAGGTGGCCTAGGCCGCCACCGGCGCCGGAGATCACGACCCATTGGCCTGGGCGGGCGTTGCTGCGCTTCAGTGCTGAGTAGACGGTGACGCCGGCGCAGAGGAGAGGGGCTGCCTCGGCGGAGTCGAGGCCGTCGGGGATTGGGGTGACGTAGTTGGCTGGTCCGACGGTGTATTGTTGGAATGTGCCGGGGTGGTAGTAGCCGGAGATTTTCTGGTTGAAGCATAGGCCGTCGGCGCCGATGCCGCAGGGTTCTGGTGGGGGGTTGTTAGTTTCCATTTCTATATTAGGGGGGGTGGGGGCGGGGTTGGGTACGACAATGTCCGCATGCGCTGGCAATCCATTTAACGCCGACTCGATCGCCGATCTTGAGGTTTGAGTTCTCAGCGCCGGGGCCGAACTTCACTACTGTGCCAACGCCTTCGTGGCCACCTACTTGGCCGGGTTGGGTTGGGTATGGGAGCATGCGCCACTTCGTGATGTTAGGCTGGGATTTAGTTGATGGGAGGGTATGTGCGTACTGTGTTGGTCATGACACCAAGGTCAGAGTGACACACGCCTGAGTGTGTTCTATAAGAGTTAGCATGGTTCACGTAGCAATGTATACTCTACACATACAGGTTGATCAGGACCTCGCCGGCACCGGGCTCTGGCACATCGATCTCGACGAGCTTCGTCGAGACCGTACCAGGCTGGTCGAAGATGAGGGCCTTTTGCTTAGCGGGGATCTCAGCGGCCATGGTGATTATTGATAGATGCGAAAAGGTGAGAGTAGGATACGAGCTCAATCGCACAAGAATCTTGGGCAGAAAGATGATTGCGACATCGAACGCGTAACCTGCCCTTTATATAGCCTGAGTATCCCCGCATTATGCCAAGTCAGCAAGGTGTTAGAAAGAGGAGAAAGACATGGATTGTGGAGAGTCTGGAGTCAATTCGGCGGGGGGAAGCGTCGGACCAGCGAATCATTGGTGCGCGCTGGAAGCATGCTGGCTGTGTTTCGGATAATTGAATGTATATGCCTCGGATCCTGGCTATTGATACGACGTGCATGCGGCGTGCAGGCAGTAATATGCAACGTGTTTGGGCGTGAGACTAATGGTGGTGGTGAGGGGCGATGTGGAGTCGCGGAAGGGCCTCGGTTGTATTAAGATGCTTATGTTCACGATCGCCGCGGGGAACGGGAAGAGTAGAACCTTGGAAGATAAAACAGGAATTCGAGGATAGAAGGGATTTATATATACTTGAGAACCTCCAAGGTCCTTCCAAGCTTTTCTTGGGGATCACCGGTGCGTTGACCTCGGCATTATACGGGATTTGATTAATAGGCTCGAGCACCTACAAAGCGACCCATGCAGTTATGTATATGGTATGATCTTACATATAGATGAGGATGGGCCTATCAATGGATTTTGCCAACTCTAATTCAAACGATATGTGCATTATGAAACTGGAAGATATTAACATCGCAACAAAACTCATGCATAAGATGCCCAACCTAGGAACGTCAGTAAGATAACAGCCACGAAGAAAGAAATCAAGGAACAAGTAAACATACCACAATACAACATGGCAAGGTTCTTCTCATCAGTTGCCTGCTGAACCAACTCATTCACAGTAGCAGTGACACTGAGTGTTTTACTCAATTTTTTCGCTACCACAGTTAACGCGCGGTCAGCCTCACTGGGCTCATTTTCGTTCTTGGAGAGGTGATCAGCTGCACCAGGTAGAGCTGGAGGCCCATCGGTAGCCTGATTATCCTGCATCTGCATCTTCTTGATTCGAAGCGGGGAAACAGTCCAACTATACAACGGGTCATATCGCAACACATCGAGGATGGTCATAATGCTGTATGACTCCTGACGAAGTGCTTCAAGGGTGAATTCACAGCAGCGTCGGAAGACACCTTCAGTCTTGGTGATACCGAATCCGTCAACCAGGTCCCGCGTCAGACGGAATGGCACCACCTCAGGAACAGGCAGAACTCGTCCTTGTTCGAACGCCACACCGAGATCGATATGCACCACTTCTCCGGTCTTCTCATCCAGCAGAATATTATGTCCATGGCGATCACCGAGTCCGAGGACGTGGCCGAGGATGGAGATTGCAGCGGTGCTTCGAGTGTAAGCCAACCGCTTGCTGAACCAGTCATCTGGATTGTTGAATTTCTCCATGAAGAAGTACTTCATGACGGGATGGAAATGCTCAGTCACTTGCCGGTAGGTTCTGACGCGTTGCTCGAACGATCTCGTCTGCACATCTGCGATGTGTTTCCGGCAGGAGTTGGGTTTCATGTCCTTGGGGTAGTATTTTTGATGGGCGGGCATCAAGTAGTCATGTAGGGGAATTGTGTTCGGAACAAATTCGATTATTCCAGCGCTTGGTGTTAGCGGGAGAACCTTATAGGTTCGGATGCCTAGGCTGCGCTGGCGTGTGGGTTGGTGGTCTTTCAGAAGACTGCTGACTTGCTCGAATACTTGTTCCATTATAGCGTCTTGCCGTAGGTCGTCATTTCCACCCTTGTACTGTTTTTTTTTTTGGTTAATAGGAGAAAAGCATTGTCAGAGTCTCGAGTATAACTTACCAGCTGTTTGTAGCGTTCACCGTTGGATGCAACGGCAGTCACAATCTTCGGTGCACTGACACCGGAAGCAATGGTAAACTCAGGTTGGAACTTCGCGACTGTAGGAACTTTACTGTAATCACAATCTGCGCGGAGGTCGATTTTCATCGTCGGTGGTGGCAGTTTGTAGGTGACAGCATCCTGCCCAAGGCGCTGGCCAGTTGTCAAGATTTTCAGTGGGACCTTAGCACCACTCTTGTACTTGCTGTCTGGTTTGTCGACCGCGAATCGCACATAGCTGATATTCACATTGTGCACGGCAACCCAGGTCGAGCCAATGTTACTATCGTTCTTGAGACGTTCCACAAGCTGGTTGGCAGCACGGAAACGCGAGTGGGACGATTGGTCTTTACCCCCCTTGGACTTGCTGCTAGCAAAAAGTTGGTACATGCCATGGAAAGGATGTTCAGCACAGATCCTGAACACTAATTGAGTGAGCAAGGTTTGGAAGCTATCGGAGACATCAAGTAGCCGAGAAGATAACTGGTTCATCAACGGTGCGAATTTCCGACTGGGTACCTCGCTGAGATATCGGGAGACAGCAGAATTTGCAGTCGCACTGTCGGACTTGTCAAGCCACAGAGCACAGAAACGTAGCGCATCATTGTTATACGTATCGCTCTCCCTCAAACAGAGAAGATAGTTTTCGAGGCACTGTTGCAGAAAAGCCTCCCGACTTCGCAGCAAACGTTGATATTCGCGGTCGTCAAGATCGAACCATTGCTTCGATTTGGCGCGATAATTCTTCAAGTAATCTCTTTCCTTGCCTGTAGTGTTTTTCATCATCTCTTCAAGACCATGGACTTCTTTTTCCTTGCGATCGCGCAGTTGTTCTACTCGCTTGAAATCTTCGAGCCCATCAGGGTTCAGAAGTTGCTGATCACAGAATGTTGCAAATCCATGATAGACTCGTCCAGCCTCCTCTCCATCGGAGTTTCCCTTGAGTTCTTTGACCGCGGGGTACAGATATTCTTGAAGAATAGAGTCAGGCTTTTCTAAGCGTGCTTCAGCGACGTGGTGACCCTGAGAATGACTGGTAAGAAATTGAACCGAATTTTTCAAGAAAATTCTTTCGGGGGCATTTGGAGGATACGTTACTCACCAGAGTTACGAGAAGTTCAGCCCGGCTGAGAGGGATGGCTTGTTTATGGAGGTCATTTTGGCCCTTCAGCTGCTGGAGCATGCGGATAGATGCCGTCATCTCTCCTTGATCCCACAAAACGTTGGCGAGGTCGAATTTGGCAGCCCCATCAATGTTCATTCCCAACGCAGCACATGGCTCAGCAAGCTTGGAAAGGCTCATTGCGGACTTGAGTGATGCCTGATAGATACCATGGGTCCTTGTGATTTCCAATGATTGTCGAATGACTTTCGCTTCCAGCAGACGCGAATCCTCAAGACTCAGGTTTGCTTGTGATTTGAGGATATCACTTTTCCTGACCGATGAAGACAACGCTTCATGCCAGGAGAGAATTTCTCCAACTTCGTGGTAGCTGCTCTCGTCAGTATCCTGTAGATAAATGCGGAAAGAAGAAGAAGACCCACCTCTCAGTTTTCAACCAGCTGCTTCTTGCCATGATCTTCTGCCATCCTTCTTCCATCTTTTCGGGACAAGAAGAACGCAAAGTATCGCTGATCTCAGTCATGATTCCCAAGGCACGCATGGAACTTCGCAACTGAATGGCGGACCGACCAGTTTTGAGAAGGGAATCCAATGTCGTCAACAAACCGCTCTCAATCGAGTTAGTGACCTCGAGCAGAGAGCCCGAGGTGTTGAGACTTTGGAAAGTGCGGAAAACAGTTGCAGAAGGTGAAGAGTTTAAGGGTGATACTGGAATGTCCCATTTCTGAAGACTAGTCGCCGCTTGCAACATGCTACCAAAGGCGACAGGAGCATCTTTCGCGCTGCTGGATGCAGACAGCATCGTATTAGCAATGCCTTGAAGGTTGGTAGAATTTAAAGCCTTCAAAACTCCGTATGATTCCGCACTGTCAGTCATCTGTATTTCACTGTCGTATTTTGCACTCTGGAACAGAAGGTTTTTGAATCCAGAGCTTTCGTACTCTAACCGTTCCATGACGCTGGTCAGAGACGAGCTCTGCTGAATGCCATAGAACAAGTCCGGGTCGTCTATGTTCTTGAAAACATCATGTAGCAATTCAGTTGGTGGCTCGTATCTGACGACAGATGACCGACGAGATGTCGTAGCGACCCTGGAACTTTGGATTTCCAGGAAGAGCAGCGAAGTTTTATGCAAGCCGCAACGATGAGCAGCGGAAGATGCCTCTCCAAAATCTATATCCAGCCATTTGTCGCGCTGAACGATAGTTGCTTCGTCTGGCACAGGTTGATTGCGGAGGTAGAGAATGCAGTTGATTACAAGATGGGCATGAGACAATGTGTCTTCACTGACCTCGCATAACACCTGGCGGAAAGCGGCAGAAATTTCTGCTCGAATCTCTCCTCGTTCACCCTTTTCGTCCCTTTCTGAAAGCAAGACATCATGGACCACGTAAGGAAGCAGCTGCACTGCTAACCCAGGGGCTACATTGAGAATTTTGCGGAGGGAGCCGATGACCGGATCCTCTAAAGCGGCATTCGACAAGAAAAGAGAAACGCTGCGAGCCCATTCAGCAACTGAAAGTCCGGAGAAACTTGTTGCCGCAGTGTTGCATCTCTCCTGCTCTGAATTTGAAAGTAAGACCGCGGGACATGTGTATGGGTCCCAAATGAGAGCTTTCATTAGAGATTCGGGAATCACCTCCCCACAAGCCTGGAAGTCTGGATAATTAGCGATATTGCTGACGATCAGCTGCAAAGTACGCTCGACCAGGCCAGCTTCGATGTGCTTTTGCACGTGTAACATATCACAAAGAACCCGAAGAATCCTGGACTTGGAGTGACAGAAAATATCCGACGATAAGGAAGTCTCAGGGGATTGAAATAGTGAGAGATCCTGTTCCCGCAGGAGTAGTTGATTGATTTTTCCAGTGGCAGCAAATGATCTTCCAATAACCTGCGCAGCCCAAAGTCGATACTGAGGCCCTCCGTTGGAACTGTGGAGTGTGTTCCACAGGGAGACGACATGGGAGGTGGGATCCACGTCTTCATGCGAAGGCGAACCTCCATCATCAGATATCTGCTCGAATTTGGGACATAAGAGCGATAAAACGAGATCAGCAACAGGCCTACTCAGCAGTGATGTCACAGAATCTCGATCTTGAAGGATCTCAAAAACCAGATCCTTCCCAACCTGTCCACTTGAAGAGTTCTCAGATGTTGAGAATTGTTCAGCCAATGACACGAGTCGATCAAACGATAACGTTGTCGCTATTTCCCACTCAGAGGAACGAAGATCTTCAAGCAGCGTCACCAACCATTGGTGGAACTGTTTAGCATTTGACTGCACTGTTCTCAATTGACTTTCTTGGGTTGCGTTCTCTGGTGATAACGAGAAAAGTCCGCGGAGAGTTACCAGCGTTGAGACAGCAATACCTGCAGTGAATCCCGGAGCCATTTGGAGATAGGGTTTGCCAGCCTCGAGAAGATACCAAAAAACCCCAAGGGCATCCTCAGAACAATGAATGTCATCAAGGAAAGGCCGCAAGGAGCTGAGTGTCATCTCGAGAGGATAATCTTGAAGGATGATGGGGCCAGCCAGACAGGTTAAGATTCTTATTTTGCGGATCACAGAGCAAGCATGGAGTGAGCCCAAGGCAGGATGTATGGATTCAAGAAGCGAACGGCAGACAAAAGAGACCAGTGATGGGGTCCATATTGATTCAAATTCAAATCCAGTGCGCTTGCAGAGGAACTCCAGCTCATCCAGAAGATACCGTGCTCGAAATGAGGGTTGTTGATTTGCTGGCAATGCACTTTCAGATACACTTTTGTTGATTATTTGCGCCTGAATCTCAAGTGCATAGCTGAAGCTCTGACGCTTTGAAAACGCTCGTTCGATCTGGTCATAGTAGTCGAGGGCTTTGAAAAAGGCAGCAATGATCAGCGGGAATTGGCTTTCGATTTGTGCCATGAACTGGTCTGCACCCAGTAGTTTCCGCAAACGAACCTCAACGCCCTTGGGTTGGCTGCCTTGTCCCGGAGGAGTGCTGATGTCTCTTGCAATGCTGTATGCCTCGGCCTTGTAAAAAGAGGTTGTCAGGAGCCCGATATGTGGGACTTGAAGGTATTTCGCAAGCTCAATTGTCTCCTGTTCCTTAGCACGCATCATCATTTGCCCGACAATCTCATCTTTAACATCTGCTAGCATGTCTTGGAGACTGTCATATCCAAATATACTAAACGGCATAGACATTACACTCTGTGTCTCGGTCCAGGTATAGAGAATTTGAGATGAAAAAAGTCGGAAGAGTTCTTTAGTATCTTGCAGGCCAAGAGTCTGAGACACAGAGACCATGCATCTCTTGGCGTACCACAGTGACTGTGGCACCTGGGCGGGCGTTTCAAATAGATGATATATGCTTCTTCGCAGCAAAGTATGCCATCTTGATGCCAGTTGAGCAAGCACAAAGAGACGGACTGCAATTCCCTCAATCCATTCCGGATCCCGAGGTAAACTTTCCAACACATCATCGAAAATGGCATCGTGATCTTTGAAAAGGAACCGCTCGAATAAAGCAGGGATAAACTTCGCAACATTGAATTTGACTTGAACATCACCTTGCCGAAGGATTGTGAACAAGCTTGTTCGTGGCGACGGAAGAGACTGTTGATTGCCGTATGAAGGGCAGGTGCCGATCACCCCTTGGATGAGCTCGGCCAAGGCAACATAGACTTTAGGAGCCGCTCGTTTTCGCGCTACCAGAACTTCCATGAACCAATTATACAAGTCCATAGCTGACTCCTTTAAAGTATCGTCAGGTCCATTGGTCCAGGACTCCACAAAGCTGGTCATCATGCGGATGCAAATACAATGCGAAGCCTCGCACCGTTCCATCTGATAGGACTGTAGACACTTTTCACCCAAATCTTCCAGAATTGAGAGTAGCGCAGATGGATTCAGAGTTGAGCAGAGCCGAAAGAAATCGGGTAAAACTGCCTGGACTGATAGAAGGTCGGCTTCATCCAGACTTTCGAGATATTCAACGAGAGATGAGGATGAATCAGATCCAGCTTGAATTCTCAGAAATACCGAAAGTTGGATGGTTATGCAGCGTTGATATGTGTCCGAGTCAGAGAAGATAGACAAAGAATTCCGGTTGTTGGCAAGAATAATCTGATCAGTCGTCACCGGGTCTTCGGCCATGAATCGGTCATCCAGATCCATGGGATCTTCGGCTGTAGATGGACTCTTTGAGCTTTGGCGTAACTGCTCAAGCGTTTTGGAGAGTGGAGTAATCAGTTCTTGAAGGCTTGCCTGGATGACAGAAGGAGTGTCCAGACTCGTCAAAGCACCAAGGAGCGGTGATACCAAATCCATGCAAGATTGAATAAAGGTGGTTTCGTGAGTATGAGCAGCCAGAAATTCGCATATCTCGTCCCACAAAACTCGACATCTCCGGTGCAAGTCTTGTGATCGAGACTGTGCTTGCAAGGAGTTAGGAAGACATGCCGTGAAAAGGGAAGCCACTATACAAAAAGACACCAGAATCTGCAAATTGTCTGGGGTAATATGTAACTTTTCTTCGTTCATAGCGTACCATGAGTGCAGAAACGCCTCGGATCTCACGCGAAGCAGATCTAAGATTACTGTATCATCCGGATCTTGTCTAGAGAATTGCTCCAGTGACCATGTTTCCTGCAGCGACCAGGGGTTTGCGGGGGCATGATTTGTATGAAAGCCGTAATCTAATAGCTCGCGGTTTTCATGAAGAAAATGCCACATCCGGGCTATATAGCCTGTTGGCCCTGTAACTTGGTACCGAGGAATGGCGAAGGATCGGTTGGTGCATGAGAGAAGAAGGTCTAGTAGGTCCAACGGACGGGCATATGCAGCCACTCGGGCTGTTTGAATGCGATCGGTCACCGAACCTGCAATATGAGTGTCAGAGCTAACAATTGCGGACTAAGAATGTCAGAATCTCATACCAGCCCAAACTTCTCTCAGCCAGCCACATATCTGCATCGATGCTTGCTGCGCCGACCCAGGATCAAGCTGTGTCTTCGTTCGTGCAATCGAGGCCCATAGCCTCAGCGATGCGTCCGACATGACTGATGGCCCGTTGGAAGAAGCCAAGAGTGATCGAGTTGTCTCCATGGATATTGAGAAATCCAATAAATCAGACTGTAAAATCATACTCATTAGGTTACAAGCGGCTCTTGATGTTGCCGGAGATGAGAATGCACGCGTAGTAAATTCGACGACTCGCGGCCAGTGTGACTTGAATCCAAGCGATTGGGCAGATTTTCCATTCGCAATGCTGTTTTATGCTAAAATCAGCGTGCTGCTTTTCTTGTATACCCAAGGACCCCTTTGAGTGCGTTCATCGAAAGGAAGTTTTCCGATATATTCTCCGCGGGCGTATTTTACGTACCTTGTCAAAGCAATCATTGTCCAGGATGAGACAGCGCCATTGGGGTCAGAAATGTTAAGAACAAGTTGCTTGAAGAAAGATTCTTTGGTCTCAACCTCAATCTCGGATTCAAGAAATGGGATTAGTTGCAATGCGCAAATTCGCTTCGTACTCGTAGCCGATACCGAGTCGCGAACAATGTCTTGGATCTCAGAACTGAAGCGCTGCCTTTTGTTTGAACCTTCGCGTGGTAACCCAGACCTGATATGAGTATTGATATCCTCCGAAAGCTTGTGCAATTCTGCAATCAACCAGATGATTGTCCAGTTATGCTCAGACCTAGCAAGTCCCAGACGAGGCCCATATATTGGTCTGCTTTGACATGCCTCATTTTGATATAGCGTTGTTTCGTCAATTTGTAGGATCTCTTTCTCAGGCCGTCTCACATATTCTGAATGCAGCATGTCGGCTAAGCCTTCGGCATCATGTGCTAAAGATTCAGATGGATCTTTCCGTGCAGTATCCGCGAGAACAACCATCAAAAGCACCAAGGTGGCCAGTAATTCCTCCTTGAGGGTGGGTAGTTTAGTAGCCCATAGGCGTCGAATTACTGGAACCAAGCCCAGGAGAGCGGAACGGGCAAGTTCCGATTGGTCAAACAAGACTTTTGTAATGACTGAATTGATGCTATTGAATGCGAGCTGATGTGCATTTCCAGCCACGGATGACTCAACAAACTCCGTGAGTCCGGCAAGTATGCTTTGGGCCGTGGTCTGAAGAGGAGGGTTTGGACTGGTTGTCAACAGTTGAATACAAATTACAACTTCTTCAATGACATTTCTACTGCCACCGAGTTTGTCCCTGCTGATTGGGGCAGGGGTCATAGCCATCCTGGAGGGCGTTGAACGGCTGTCGCTGGCATCTTGATCTTCGAGAACGGATCGATGACCGCTCCGAATACTCAACTGACTCTCTTCATTCTCCCGGAGTGCAATGCTAGCAAGGCAAAAGCTTATTAGGTTTTCCCAGTCTTGTCCGTCCAGGTGCTCAGCATGAGGGCGGTAGCGTAGAAGCGACGTCAAACACTTGGTATAATCCAGACTAAGCGGTTCCCATAAACCTTCTCCGGGGATCGGTATGGTTTCAGTGATATGATCGATGATGGCGCGGACTGTTTTTGTTCTCAGGTTTCTCAGAAAGACATCAACCGCCATTCGCAGTACCAAAGCACATGTTGAGAGCCGTGATGCAGACGAGGTTTTGGTGTACTTTTGGGCTCGATTGTATATGGACTTTTCTGTTGCGACGAATCGAAAGAGTGATTCAAAAATCTTATGGCAAGCCTTATCATTAAATGTTTGCCTGAACAGGTAGAATGTTGATTAGTTACTTGGATAGCTATCAGGCTTGATCCGCGGTATTTGGGTCCCTACAGCTTAGAGCTCTTCTTATTTTGCTGGAAGATATGTTTCAAATCTAACTAGGGTATTAGCACCATTCGGTCCCTCAGTAGTAAGATGGGAAGCATCAGACCTGCTAGACCGTCGGCACGAGCCTTCTGCTTGTCTGACGAGAGCAGGCCAATGGTCTTGTCGAGAAAGATTTCACCCATCGCGCTTTTATTGGCCGTCTCAGCAGCGCAAGATATACTTGATTATTTGAAACTCAACAATCCTTCCTGCGCCCAATAGGAGAATCCATCCCGAATCAATCCGCCAGCGAGCAACACGAGTTGATAAGCGCGAGGTGATTGTGTTGGAAAGTGGAGTGGCAGTATTTGCGGAAGCTGTCTCACCGCCCGATTTTTGTCGCGCTCCGCTTTACTGGACTTAGGAACAAACAGAGAGCTCGAGCTTCACTTGCCAACTTCACCCCGCCGTTATGGCAGAGCTCCAAGACACTCGGAATGGCCTCCGTGGTCTGTATCAGGACCTCTGTGCTCTTTCGACCTCTCAGCTTCCAAACGTCGATCGCTTGTGTTTCGAATTAGAAACCCATATTCAAGACTTCCGCAAACTCCTAGACAAGCCAGCAAAGAATAATGCAAGTCGTCAAGCTGTTCTGTCGGGTAAGTGATACCTAGATATTTTGGTTGAAATGAAAGCCCGTCTTCGTCCGTCCTGATGACCGACTAACGTGGAATGCGATATCCTAGGGAAGATCACGATTGCCGATGTTGAATACTCGGTGAACCAGGATTTCCAACAAGGTGTACTGCAGCTCGCGGATGCCCTCGACATCGATGAATTGGAAGCCGCAGTTATGTTTCTAGCCGCGCAGGGAGATTCGCAAGCGCTGGACCGGCCTCCACTGATCGCTGCGATAATAAGTTTCCACGAGCGCCGCCTTTTTACTCTCGAGTGTCTACGTCTCATCTTCCGTGAATCGCGCGAAATTGAACATGAAGCGACCCATGCAGTCATGCACGAAACACTTGCTTATGTTCTGGAAATTAAGGACAGCCCTTTTTCGAATGCATCCCTCTTCGCCCGAAAGGCATTAACTTCTATGGCCAACATAGAGAAATGGCTATCATTGCTCGGTGACCAAGTTCAAAAGGCCTCAGTCGTTGGTCAGGAAAATGATCGTGATATAATGGAAGCGATTGAATACCAGCGTGTAAGTCTGCAGCAGCAGCATGAGTCTCTTGGGGCGATTCTATTCTACATGTTCAAAGGGACATACACAAGTTGCGAAGACTTCCGCGTGCTCGTGGGTCAATTGAGAAACTTAGATCGTTTCGACGGACTGTTGTTTCACTACATTCCAGTCACAATTGTGTCTTTCGTACAACACGGCTCTCCCGAAGGCTCGGGATCTGAGAAAGAGGCACGCGATCTGCACAAATTAATCACTGCATCCAAAGATCTTCAAAGCTGGAAGCTGTCAAATTTTCACGCCGCCCTCGTGGCTCTCTGGCTTTCCGTCTACAGTGGATGGTACTTTGATGGTCTTTCCTCGCCATCAGTTGATGCAGAGAAGGAGTCAGAAGAGCGTACTAAGATGTTCATGTCCTCTCTTGACGATGGCGCCCTTGACTTCATGCTCGCAATCTGTTCCAGCGTCAATACCGAAGAATGGGCGGACCCCGCGCGCAGTGAGCTAGTGACCTTGTTGCTCAGGGAGAGTGTTGTATCATTGCCCGACCCTGAGCCATGTTCTGGCTTCATGAAAGATTTATTGATGGAGAACTTGGAAGTTTTCGTGGAATCATGCGTTGCGAACATGCCAGATGCCGTCCGACGGCTGAAATCAGAAGAGGATTCACAACGACTGGACCAGATTACTGCACTTAGAGATGGCCTCACTTCCAACCTCCACCGTGGCTTAGTAGAGGTGCGAACTCATCTTGAATCCCTGCTTATGATCATCTCATTCGCATTCGAACACCGACAAGACGCCGCTCAAGAATTTTGGGCTGATCCTGATGGTAATCTCTATGGATTCCTTCAGTGGGCGTCCAAGCGACAGACTGTCCCTCGGGTCAGTGCTTTCTGCGAAATGCTGTGTTCGATCTCCGAAGGCGAAGAAAACGCAGCCGCGGCGCATCGATTCCTATCGGAAGAAGACAAATTTATGCCCTCTAAATTCAGACGATCCACAACCATGAATTGGTCGCAAATGTTTGCCGAACTGAAACTCTACGCATCGCGAGTCACCGAGAAACCTTCCACCGCCACAACCCCACAAGGGGTACCAGGGATGTTTCGACCTCGAAAACCAGAGCCCGTGGAAATGAACGAACCCGAAAGCCCTGTGATGCTGACATGCTACCTCCGGTTGATGGGTCATTTGTGCAAGCAAAGTGGGCCTATCCGAGAATGGATGCTGCAAAATGAATCTTTCAATGTAGTTAGCACATTGCTGGACTTGTGCAGTGGACCGATTCCATCCCATCTTCGGGCAACCACGTTCTCAACCCTCTCAGCACTAATGACTGACAAAGTTTCCATCACTGGGCATGAAACGTGGGTCCGTCTCGATGGGTGGTTATCAGGGGGTAACATGAGTGCATCGGGCATTGGCAAAGTTCCTTTGGTTTTGAACCCTGCCGTGTGGCACCAACAGCAAGCTCTGCAAAAGATAGGAGAGAGCTTTGACCAAACAAATGCATTTGTCGTTCTGATAAATGCGCTTGCTGCGCCCTCATCCGATTCAATTGGCGATGTGATGTCACTTCCTTTCCCGGATACCCTAGGTGGAACTTATCGCATGTCCGGGATTGAACCCTACATCGATTTTATCTTAGGACATGCCTTTGCACGGAAGATTCAAGATCTCAACGAGTACCAATCCCGCCTTTTGGGCTTCAACTGCCTGAACTTTGTGGTAGCAAGCTTGAAATCCTTCAACGAAGATCTAGTCTTGGTTTTGAGCCAGCCGTCTGTGTCTGATTCCCCAACACAGACTTCCTCGCTGCTCACCTATGTCCGCTCTCATCCATTTGCCCGCGTAGTAGACTGGCTTTTCAACGAGGATGTCTTGAAAGCTTTGTTTGCAGCATCTAAGCAAGACGTTTCCGAGGTTGCAACTGCATCCTCCGACTCTTTGTTAGTTCTCACCTTGCACCGGAGTCTAGAGGTTATGAATTTGCTTGTGGATCTTCAGTCAACATACTTCAACATTGTGAAGCCTTTGGTACACTCCCAACCCGCACCCTCCCGGACGGTTGCCGCAAACTCTTCGCTTGCTTCATTCGAAGATACCGTGCTGAACAATCTAACCCTCATTCCGTCACTTTGTCTTTATTGCGGTACGGCACACGAACAACTTACCGTCATCTCCATGGCTTTGCTAGAAAAGCTCACTAGTTCGAGAAAGCTCAACAAAATGACTTCCCCAGAACTCATCAAGTGGCAATCCTCGAACAAGATTGTGGAGGTGCTTGCATCTGAGGTCGACGTGGACAGCATATCCAGACCTCTTGTATTACAAATGGAGCCCGACGTGAGAGAACTTGATTTCGGCCCCAATGCCGCCGGTTACGTCATCCGAGAGAGCCTCCTAGCTCTTTTGAACAGCTGCCTAGGAACTATCACAGATCGTCCGACGGTAGCTCATTTATTGCTTGGCTTCGACTGCGTGGGCAATATTCTTGATGTTTCGCCAGATGGGCTATTCGCGAATCAAAGTTCCTTGCTGCATGCCATCGTTAATTTCTTGAAGTCTTATCCAGAAGTTCTCGACGGTGGCATTGTATCTTGGGTTGTTCACCTCAAACGCATGGCTTTGGAAGTTTTGAAGCATTTGTGGTCATCAAAACTGGCGAACTATTACACGCTTGGTGAGATACGCGCGCAAGACTTCCTACGTGACATGTTTTCTTGCCAACCCATAATCGGGCCAAACACTGCCTGGAATGGATTCCCCGTCGATTCCGAGGAATTTTGGCTCACAGACGCTACAAATGCTTTCGCAGAATTTATGCTTTACCGCAGTCATCTATTCACATACGCGGCGACCGAGGTTCGCTCGACGGCTAAGGCTAGATCACCTGCTCTGCGTGCTCAGATTCTTGCAGTATTGCTTGGAAACACGCTTGCAGACAACGGTGAACCGATTCCTAGCCCGTCCGTGTTTGATCTTTTCGATTTTGCCGATCTTGACGTTGGACGCGAGTTCAACGTACCCCAGCTATCTCTGCTTGGAGATATTGTTGTCCAGTTGGAAAACAAGCAAGCAGAGGGCGTGTGGAACATGGAAGGGGTAGAGGAAATGATACAAATGCGGAGAGCAGAGCTTGTGGCGAATGCATCGCTCCGCCCGCAGGACGAGGAGCAGTTGGCGGCTGAGGCGCACGACCTGAAATTGTTCATCGCTGCAACAAATCAAAACAAGCTGATTCAAATCAATCGCTACCACGCTCTTCGGTCCTGGGTGGAGCTTATTGCTACGATGATCACTTGTTCTGCCATTGACGAAGGGAGCAGGCCGGCTTTCATCCTGCACTCAATCCAACTAATTCTTCCCAAACTTACGACAGCAATCGAGGCGGATCTTCCCGAGGCTCTTGAACTAGCACGGTTGGCTGAATTGTTGATCGAGAGACTTGGATCTGAAACGCCAGGTACAGATGTGTCTCGAAGCGGAGATGTTATCGACGAAAAGCTCCATCAGCTCTTCCAACTTTCCATCCGAGGCACCAATATGGCTACAGGAAATGTACTATTGAGAGAAACTCTTTACAATATTTGCTCTCACTACATCACGCGCATCACGTCTTCGAACACGAGTCACGAAAATCTTCGACGTCTTAGCCAACAGGTCATCAAATCAGCCGGTTCTGGGATTATCGAGACCATGTGCGATGACGCCTACACCGGCCAAGAATCGTGTCGTGCATCCGCTCTGGTGCTTTTGAACCATCTGGCTGTTCTAGATCGCCAAACTGATTGCATTCTGGCTGAGCTCATCTCACGATCGAATTATTTGAGTCTCTTCCTCGATGCACTCCGATCTCTTCCCCTCGAACTTCAAAATGCCGAGGGAAACGGTCAGTCTTTGCCCCAACATCACATTCCGATTCTTTTTATCTAATCAACAAGTCCAGACACCCCAGCACTACTTGCATACTACGAGTCGCTCTTGTCGTTACTCCAACGGTTATCTCAAACGAAGGGCGGGGCAAATTGTGTGCTTAACTCTGGTCTGTTCCAAGCTGTTCAGGAATCGCGGCTTTTCGCTGCTGATCCAGATATCGGCATTGGTCAGTCAATTCTATTCCCGTTTACTGATAATCTGCTAACCCTATTAGACATTGAAAATCCCGATGCTCTCCAGAGGTACTACGACCTCCTCCTGTCAGTTCTTCGGGTCATTGTATATGCCGTTTTCTCCCGTGGAATTCACAACGAACAACTCAAGGAACAGACCCGGAGGTTCTTGGCTGGAAATCGGCCATGCATGGTGGGCATCTTCAAACGATCTGCCAAGATTGGAAATACATCCAATGCCCACCAGGAGACTTTGCTGGACTTGGTCAAGGCATTCATGGCTCTCGTTTCTGCGACGAATTTTATGGAGGTAGGTTTTCTTGCGATTTACCGTGTTGGATGAACGATCAAGTGACTAACTTTGTTCAGTTTGAGGACCAGGAAGTCCAAGATATCACTCGACCAGCGTTGTTTTCGTGAGCCTTTGCCTACCGATGCTCACTGGATAGTTGAGGAGAAATGCATGTAACATTATGACCCGGTGGAGTGCAGGCGGTTTCCAGGTTGAGCGACTTTTTAGTTTGAATTCATTTTTGCGTCACATCTAAACCTGGCGTATATCAAATTTCCGCCCACTATGAGTTCTCAGGTCCTATCATGGCTTGTCTATTTCGTAGTCATGGATCATGCTCATCCATTCTGATAGACACATCAAATTCGTACTGCCAAGGTTGATGCCATGCATGTCCTGCTAGCCCTAAGCTCTGATGGTCTTACCTCTCAAATCTGATAGCCACTCCCTACATGGATGTTCTAATCTATACCTGCGTCTGTAGCCTGCGTACGAGTGGTGAGACCATCTATACAGACTCTATGGCTGTTCTTCCCCCGTTGCTTCCCTCGTTCCTTCCCCGTTCGCGGGCCCTCTTCTCTCGTTCCCATGGCCACCCTCGTACCTTCCCTGGATACTGACTGTTGACAGTTGTTTGCCTCTGGAACGCTCTTTCCTGTTGCCATTGCCCGTTGCCATGGATCCTCTCCGGTGTTGTTTATAAATTCTCCCTCCTCTTCTTTTTGTTTTCTTCTTTCTCCTCTCCCCATGCCACTGGCTTCTTATCATTTGCATCTGCTCTTGATTACCATAACCATTCTCATTGCTGCTTCCAAAGCTTTTTACAATGCATCCCGCTTCCTTCGCCAAGAAGCCTCCTCGCTATCCTCGCCGTCTGCTCTGTGTAGATCGGCCACCTCCTCTGAAGTCTTGCCTCGCCATCCCCGATCTGGACGATGACTTGGATGCTCTGCCCTCTGACGAACCCTTCGTCCGGAAGTCTGTGCACTTCCCCGACGATGAGGACCTCGTTCAGGTTAAGACCATTCCTGCACGCCCTCCTCGCCTGACCGAACTCGGCAAATTCAAGGTTGCTCGACCCGGTGACGATTCCAGAAGAATGTGCATCTTGTACTACTCTCCTGCCACCATCACCAACGCACGGTTCCTCCGCCAGCGGCCTGACGACCTGGTTCGACCAAGGTTCGAAACACGCAACCCCTGGGGTAGTGTGCAACGTTCCTATCGTTTTGCTGCTGCGTACGCCACTGAACCTCGTTCTCCTCGTTCTGGACCTGTCCCCGATGGTCCCCAGCATACGCCTGAACCGCCTGCGACACCTTCCGATGGGTCTTTGCAAGAACCTGCCTCTGATGGTTCTCTTGATGCGCCGACCTCCGATGGACCACTGCCCGCGACTTCCTCCGATGGATCTTCGCTTGAACCTGCCTTCGACGGTTCACATGCTCCTTCCGCCGACCTGTCCTCTCTGACGCGTGCCCTGCCTAGCAACCACGCTGCCTCCGACATGCCTTCGGCATTGCATGCACTGCCCGATCCCGACGCCGGTCCCATGTTCGACATGTCTTCCTTGATGCGAGCTTTGCCCGACCCCGACGATTCCTCTAATGCATCACCCATTGCGCCTGTACCTGAGCCCTTGGATGCTTCCATCACTCGCCGCCGTCCAGAGGTTGAGTATATTCGTGTGGTTCAGACCCACGTCCAGGTTGGTCCGTTATCGACCACTTGGTTCAACCGCCTCTGCTGGCTTATTGTGTTGGTTGCTTTCTTCCCAAGCCTCATGCCTGCAGCTATTGCCGTACTTGCGCTCCTGTTTCTTTATGGGGCATACACATCATCGGGTGGCAACTAACCCACTGCTCGTTCTCGGGTGCTTGACTTCCTCTCCTCTCCGCTGTCCTTTTTTTCCTTTGTTTTCGCGTGTTTTGTTCTGTTTTTTCCTTGCTCGAGGCTTTTGCCGTTTGCCTTTCCAGAAAACAAAAAAACCCAAAAAAAATTGTCGTTTCTGTTTTGTTTTTGCTCGAGGCTTTTGCCGTTTGCTTTTTTTGTTTTGTTCTGTTTTGATTTGTTTCTTTTCCTTCTTGTCTTTTTCCCCTTTCTCCTTTGACGAGCTGCGGGGGCTTTTACTTGGAACTCTGCCTGTGGGCATGCAGAAAGCAGAAGGATGTGTGGTGGCTTGATGCTGTTGACTCGGGGTAGGTACGAGGCCTTCCTTCTCAACGATGATGGCAACATACTGATCACGAATAGTCCGCTGGAACGTCTCTGTCTGTAAACATGCGGAAGGCAACAGAGCGTGTGGTAGCTTGATTGGGTGGTGACGCGGGTAAGTCTTTCTAAGACCTGAAGATTTCATAGGCTCACATTACACTCGCTTGCAGGTGGCTGGTGGGAGTCGTCGCCTCGAATCGAACCGATCGAACGTCTCTGTCTGTGAACATGCGGAAGGCAGCAGAGCGTATAGTAACTTGTTCCCTCCCCTTGAACCTACTAGATTGATTTTGAAAACAGCATGGTTGAACCGTAAGGTCTTCCCGCTTTTTGTGCTAACATCCTATAGATCGGTCGAACGTCTCTGTCTGTGAACATGCGGAGGGCAGCAGAGCGTATGGTGGCTTAATTGGATGGCGACAGGGGTAATTATTTCCCCTATATATGATATTTTCATGGGCTGACATTGGATTCGTCTATAGGTGGTTGGTGGGAGTCGCTGCGACAAATCGAACCGATCGAACGAACGTCTCTGTCTGTGAACATGCGGATGGCAGCAGGACGTGTGGTGGCTTCATCTTTCCTTTCTAAAGGTAAGTCGAATCCACTTGTTGTTCCTTATTTTTGATTGCATACTAACCATGTATCTCGTAGGTATGGAGAAACATCCTGTCTGTGATCGTGTGGAGGGCAGCAGGACGTGGTGGTTTTATCTTTTTTCCATCAAGGTAAATACCATTCTTCTTGTTCCGTCTGTTGAGCTGTATACTAATCACCTATCTTCCAGAGGAGGGATCGGCGACTCGGCGAACGTTTCTGTCTGTGAACATGCGGAGGGCAGCAGGACGTGTGGTGGTTTTATCTTTTCTCCATCAAGGTAAATGCCATTCTTCTTGTTCCGTCTGTTGAGCTGTATACTAATCACCTATCTTCCAGAGGAGGGATCGGCGACTCGGCGAACGTTTCTGTCTGTGAACATGCGGAGGGCAGCAGGACGTGTGGTGGCCCACATTTTTGGCGAAGACAGAAAATGGTAGGTTTGGGATCACTCTCTTGGCTTTCCTGTTGGTATTCTGGCTGATCATTTCAGCCCTCGGCGTTCTGTCTCTCTATCTTATTTTCACCATGTCTTCCCGTGGTACGAAGAGTCTGGGGGGGAGAAGATGAGGTTGTACTGCAGAGTATGGTTCAACACTGGTCCATGGCATGTGTACATCAATAGCATGAGATATTGATAATCAACTCCTCCATACCTAAATGGTTGTATCATCGACTCCTCGCAAATATAGCCTGAGGCGCATTGCACTAGCTTCTTAGTGATAGTCCTTGAGGCCGGGGGGTTACAGCATAGTGTTGAAACTTGTCAAGGTGCTCTCTGCAGTGAGCAAGTCTTTAGTACTCGGCCGTGACTGTCGGTGTGCAAACACTTTCTGTCTCGGGATGGTGAGTTGACCCATCTCTATCTCGATTTCCACCGATTATGGCCGTCTTATGAGCGTTGCAAAATCCATAACAGCCCAGTGATCCTCGTCATTTGAATCGTTCTTTGCATATGGTCCTCATCAGTAATGATGGTACGATGCGTTTATCCGAGAAACTCCCGACAGTAATTGACACGGAATGCCACCATACACTCTCAAGGATATAAACCGAGGATCGACGCGATGCCAACATTCTCATTTGCTCAATCAAGTCAGGATATAAAAGTTACCCCTTCGTACATCATCCCAGTGATCAGGGCTACACGAGTAGCTGGGAGCAGAGCCAGGAAGTGTCTGCCACAGAAGGACTGAAATGACAAGATCAGCACCAGCACGGAGCGCTGAAATCGATTCACAAGCGATTTGTTCTCTCTCTGGGAGATCAAAGCATGATGCTGACGTTGCGAGGTATCGGTGCGGCGGGTATATTCTCCGAGGAATGCGGTTGGCTACTTTGGATCTGTAGGGCTAAGTCGATGCCGAGATCCGTAAGCTCCTGACATTCCACCATTGGCGTTGGGGGTAGATTTATGATCCACATGGATCTATGTGTGTTGTATAAAAGAGTATAAAAGACCGAGCTCAGATCTATCGGCCCGGTGTCTGCCAACCTACACTACATTTGTCTACAACATTGGAGATGAAGAGGTTAGAAAACGACAAAGCATATTAAAAGGATCATTCAAGATAAATCCCTAAGGCAGGCGACAAGGTACCCGGTAAAACAAACTCGCAATGCAAGAAAGCGCCAGCATAACGCCAACCCATGAGATAAGAGAGACAACACAAACTCGTAAGACCAATAAAAAAAGATCCAGTAGATGTTTATGTGAGGGGGAATAAGTTGTAGACAACCCGATAAGCCCGGCCAGCTGAGAACCAAAACTCTATACAAGTCGTGACGTGTAAATGCGCTGAAACAGATCCTTGGAGGTGTACTCGTGTACGGGGGAAGGGTATGAAACGCCAGAAATAAGAGGAAAATGGATACAGGGTTGAAAATGGGGGGTAAGCAAACGCTCAACGGATCGATGGGTAAGAAAGGGGGGGAAATGGAAGGGGGGGGGCAAGGTGAGGATCATGAACTGGGAGGAAGGTTATGCCATGGGAGGAGTGGCCAAATCTGGTACCTGACCAATGGATTATGGTGGTGTTGGGGTTTGTCCGATCTCTGCAGGATTGCGAGTCTTGTCGCGGGATCGCATGTACATTGAGTCGGAGTATCCATCGGCCGGGGGATCGATCGATCGGGGAAGACTTCGGTGATATTGCTGTTGTTGTTGGGCGACAACCTCCCGTGCATAAAACTCTACGAGCATTGTCCCATACGACTCTAGCTCCTCGACCGTGATGGCCAGTCGGAAGTCGTTGAGGAGGAGGAACTGTAGTTCCAAGTGGTTGAGCTCCACTAGTGGAAGACCGCCAACCTACCGATCCGGTCATGATTAGTTGGTTTCACCGAATCGGGTGAAGGAATCACATACCTTTGCATAACGTGAATTGGTGTAGAAAACATCGGAAAAGAACTTGCTCGCGCAGGTCACAGCGGCGATGACCAGTCGGTGGATATTAAAGCTATCGACAACGAAGAAATGTGAAAGAGCCTCGGCATCTGACTGAGGCGAAAGACCGGGTGAAACAGAAGCGTTTGATCCTTGCGAGTCCTGCGCAGGGAGGCCGGTTGAGCGAGGCGGGGTTGCCATGGGTGAATCCTGAATCTGGTGCGCCCCTGAGGATTCAGTGGAGGGAGATGAAGGGTCGGATTCCTCGGCCGAGTCCCATCGTTGGCGCAGATGGTCGAGCTGCCCACGGTTGACCAGCTCGGTCATGCGATCGAAGTAAACCAACAAGCTTAGGAATACCTCGTAAGTGGTCGGGCAGTATTTGTGAATACGAGTCAAGTAGCTCAAAATTGTGATGCTTGGGACGTTCTTGCCATGGAACGCGAGTACGCTGGTAGCCTGCGGGCTGAGGTTGGAAGTGCCTTCGGGCGGCGGGATGTGGCGATGTACATGTTCGTGATGCATATCATTCGTGGTCGTGATTTTCGTCAGAAGTCCAGCGACCATCTCGATTATCTCCGTGACCGGCATGGAGCTGATCTCATATTGTCGTTGCTGCGATCCAGTTCTGGGAGTGTGTGAGCTCGGACCCAGGAACTCCTCATTGGCGAGGCTCTGGATGTGGGATAAGCTTTGGACGCGAATACGGCTGGGTGAATTGGCCTCGGAGCCTGGCACAGACTGCATAGACCGATATGTAGGTTGAAGTCGCGGAGAGTCCGGCGTGGACTGGTTAGAATATGAGCCCGCCATGGACTCAGCCATGGCCGAGTGGCTCTGGTGCGTAGGTGGGGTACGTGTCGAGTAAGGGTCGGGAGGATAAGCATCCGAATGAGACGTCATTGAAGGCGGTCGCGAAGTCAAGGGAGTGTGAGAGGAAGCGCGTTGAGAAGAGTTGATGTAAGCCGGTACATCATTCGCATGCACAGGAAGCCGGGCAGAGCCTACGGCCGGTGGGGCAATAGAAGTGGGGGTATTGGAGGAGGATGTTGACCTCGATTCGTGAGATGGGGCGCAAGAATAGACTGAATCCGAATTGACAGTGCCCATCATGTCGATATGATCCGACGACACGTGGTTAAGAACAACGGAGCCCATCTCCTTGTTTTTCTGCGGGTCAAGGCGGTCGCAGGGGATTCTCGCCACTAATGACCCCCGACGAGCCAGAGACCGAGACGCGTAATGAACAGAGAGGGGTTTGCATACAGTGGCAAGGGCTAGATCTCAGAAAGGCTGCCCCCGAAACTGAGAGAGAGGGAGAGAGAGAGATGGATCATCGACTGTCAATCGGATCCATGGAGAAAAAGCAAAAAGGCGAAAGGGCGAAAGGGCGAAAGGCACCAACCGCATAAAAAGACGCAAAAAGAGGGGAGGAAATCAAATTCAGGGGAAAGGACCGATATGCGTGAAGTGGCAGGAGTTTGGTCAAGGTGAGGTCAGTGGAGATGAAACCGGTTTCCAGATTCGTCGTCTACAGCCATTATACCTCACAGGATGCTACGATCAAAGACGCCCTCTACAACATCTCTCAAAGAAGTGATCTATGTACCAAGTTGGACTTGTCAACACTCCTGAAAGACGGTGTAGACCCTTTTATAGGCGTTTCTGGGAATATCGACGAATGATACAGCGATCTGCGCCCCCGTGTCATCGCGGAGTCCAGGCCCTGATATCGTCGGTGGGAAGGGAAAATGGGTTAAGAATCCAGTCCGACTGATATAAAACCTTATGGGCATTCTACGGGTGTGGATAATTCCCGATGGACAGAATAGAGATGCATTTCCCTTGCTCCAGGCCATCCGCATGCATCAAATCAGCTTGTGGTGCATGTGGGAGGTGTGGGATATGACTTGTTCAACTGCAGATGGTCTGGACAGGACTAATCGAGGCTGCGGATCTACAAAGTGCGGAGTGCGGAGTGGGAGACTTCTACTTCCAAGGTACGGGGCACACTCCGTCTATGATGTGCTAGACTTGAGTATATCCAGGTCTTGTTCTCTCCGGGCCTATCTATAAATACCACTTGGCAGTTATAGCCCAATAGTCCGTTGGCTGAGCCCTTCCGATCCCATCCTGCTTGATGTGCTCTCGGCCCATTTCTCCCTACAAAGCCCGATGATACAGCGGGGATATGCAGCACTAGTCTCGGGCGGTCGGATTGCCACGGTCAGACTTGTCATATTGGTATTCAGACGGTATATCCCCGGAGTATAGGAGAACGCGAAGAACCATGGGATCATGAAACCATTTCATTTGGAGACGCAACATTAGAACACTTATTAATTCGTCACGCCCGGTCCAGTGTAGCCGTTATCTGGCAGGTAGAGGTGTCTCACGGCACCGGCCTTGGTCAGGACCACGAGACGAATGACACCACCAGAGCTGCCATCCCATTTAATCGCCTCCTGCAAGGCATTCCGCACAAAGTCGATGCCCTCTTGCTCTGTCATCTGTTCCCGCCAGTGGGCATCGGTATAACCGTAGATGTAGGTCGAGCCCGAACCGCCGATAGCGAACGACTGCTTGTGAAGGGATCCTCCCAAAGGTATCGAGTACACCTGACCTCCGTGTCGTGCATCCCATCCAGCAAGAATGATACCCGCACTGTTGTTCAATTAGCATGGCTTTCGGGCCGCTACCGAGAGTAAAGACTCAGGTACACACCTCAAAGCGTCCTTGTTCTCATAACACAATTCCTGGAAGAGTGACGCGGCAACCTGTGTGGTTGGGGCCTCGGCGTTCGTTACGCCGTACATGTTGAGGTGGTAGGAGACAATGTCGGCCACGGCCTGAGTGTCGGCGGCGGAACCAGATCGGCAGCACCAGATGGTGTCGTGCACCTGTGTCAATTTGTCGGTGACTCGGTTGGCAATGTAGGCACCGGTGGTTGTTCGGCTGTCTGCACCCAAAATGACTCCGTCTTTGAAGTTGATAGCCATGCTATTGGAAGATTAATGGGGATGTTGGCAAATGGTAAGGTTGAAGAGCTCCGGCTCAACTCACATCGAGGTTCCCAAGCTAAATGGAGAACGACGGGTTAGTATATGTCGAGGAGCTTCATAGCTTCATAGTACCATCATAGATTAAACTTACTTGACCTCGCCAGACTTCAAGTGGTTCATATCGACGTGAATGCCATCTGGAGATGTTAGTTGGTGCTGTCGGCGAATGACGATAGCTCTACTCACCTTCACCGAGCATTCCTGATGTTCCATGGGGGGCGACCATTTTGTGCTGGGATCTCAAGGGGGAGGAAAGAAAAAAAAAGGATTGCTTCAAGAAACCAGATAAAACGGCAAGGAAGAGCAGGTGAGGGAGGAAGTCAAGGTGATGCTATCATGAACACAGGCAGAAGCTCACAACGCGGCAGCTCGGGCGGTGAGGCAACCCCAGCCCCTGCGATCGACTTATCATCTTTCACCCCCCACGAGTCCCCTGAAGCTCAATTTATCGTTTTTTTTCTAGGAGCTGCTCCTTGCATCTTATTGTATTCAACCCTGGTTCCATTGGCCACATCTGTTAATCAATAAATTTGCAATAACAGAACCTCCCAAAGCTCTTGTTGTCGCATCCGCTATCTGGTCCCCACTCTCAAGGCCCAACTTGAGCGCCATGTCCGAATCTCCTCCGCCTCCGTCCTGGAGCATCAGCAACATGGCCAACAGTGCTGCGCAGTTCATGCGACTCCCAGTTCTCGCCTCGTCGGGTCTGGCTGTTGTTGCAAGTGGGCTTTTATACTTCAAGCAAAAGTACGCTACTGATATCTAGACCACTTGCTTACCGAAGCTAACCACTTTGCCTAGTGAGCTAATCTATCCCCGCAATGTTCCTGTGGATGCACGCACGAATGTTCCTAGTCCTCGTCAATTTGGTATTACCGATTTTGAAGATCTTCAGATTCCCACCCCCGACGGAGAGTCTTTGCACGCTCTTTTCCTCCGGCAGCGACCAAGCCGTTCTTCTCGCAATGTGACCGTCTTGATGTTCCACGGGAACGCAGGCAATATCGGACACCGCGTTCCTATTGCCAAAGCTTTGCAGGATACGCTTCGGTGCAACGTTTTCATGTTGGAATATCGCGGATACGGAATGTCAACAGGCACTCCAGATGAGGCCGGCCTTAAGATTGATGCTCAAACCGGTCTTGACTACCTGCGACAGCGCCCAGAGACGAGAGATACGGAGATTATCGTCTACGGACAGAGTCTCGGTGGTGCCGTTGCTATTAACCTGGTTGCTACCAATGAGGAGCAAGGCGATATTGCCGGCCTGATTTTGGAGAATACTTTCCTGAGCATTCGCAAATTGATTCCTAAGTATGTTTTCGGATCGTTAGTAGATATCGGAGCGATAAGTACTAATCTTTGAGCAGCGTGTTCCCCCCCGCGCGGTATCTCGCACGTTTCTGTCACCAATATTGGACCAGTGAAGATATACTGCCTAAGATCACGCAAACTCCGGTTCTTTTCTTGAGTGGACTTAGGGACGAGCTTGTTCCGTAAGTCATCTACTCTTGCCATTGAGATGCTTATATCTAACGTTTCTTAGCCCCTCAAATATGACCCAATTATTCGCCGTTTGCAATTCTGAAACCAAGATTTGGCGCACACTGCCGAATGGCAGCCATAACGACTCTGTTGCCGAGCCAGGTTACTTTGAACACATTCTCTCCTTTGTTACGGAAGAGGTGCTATCTAATAAAGAATAAATCGACATGACCTGCCTCTCTTGCTTGGAGTTTCCATTCTCCTTTGGCAAAGCCTTGAGACCTGCCAAGGAAGCCGGATTTTCCCTTCAACCATTCGACTTTGCATTTTCCTTTTCTTTTCCTGCCAAGAAGTACAATTCCCTCAAGCTTCCCTCCAACCCTTCGCTGTTGAGTATCTCTTGACAAAAAATTTCGACACTCAATCTGGACATCTGGTCTCGGCCCCAACAACACAAGAACCAATTGACAAGAACTGTCAATTATGACCATGATACCCCATGCTACGCAACCAAGACACGAACTTTACTCTGAATGCACTCAAATGAACAGGGCCTGCCCCTCATGGTCCATATATGGCCCTCAACGACTTACTCAATCGACCCTCATCCACGCGGCGGGTGAAGGACCATATCCATTTGATGACATCGGCTTTTTTTCCATTCTTCTTTTTTTATCTCTTGCCTAATTCCCGATCCATTCTTGTTTACTTACGGTTTTCTCCTTTCTCGCTGGTTACATTGACTCGCGGTAATTACAATCTTGGCTCGATATTGGGCGCTGGGCGTGTTTCTTTTCTTTGCTAATTTTTCTTCGGGCGTTTGCGTCTTTTGTTGCTTGTCGGCTACTTGTCAACCCTGCAAGCTTCCTTCTGTGCAAATATTCAATGGTGAATGTCTAAGAGGTCGGTACGAATGTTATAATACTTTTTCTTATCCATGAAGCTTCCGCTGTGATATCCGAGGGTATGCACAAGAAAGCGTTGATATTGCTGGACAATTTTGGAACTTTAGACTAAAACACTCGTCATTGTCCAGACCGCTGCAGTTGTTGCGTATTAAAGTGCGTCTGTAACAAAACAGTCGCATCGTCGGCCTCCCGTGCTGTTGAGAGCATGTGGGGGCTCTAGAGAAGGAGTGTGCGTCCCAATCAGACGAGCGACGTCGCCCTTTTCAAATTGACATGGTAGTATCTCATCAAATCCGCTGCTCCTCACTGGCAAAACTGGATATATTGGAAGGAATTTTGGTTGAAGCTTGAATATCAACAGGCTTCGTCCCATCAAAATTGTTTCATCGACAGATTGAACCTCGAACTGACTTCCAGGGGGAAACGTATATTCTGTTTTCTTAGGATCGATTGACAGAGGCGTTATATACGATGCCGTTTCCCAAACACGAGAGTCATCCGAGAAGTCCGCCACAAGAATGATCCCATTCGAATAATGCATTGCCTCATCAATGCTATCCGTGAAGCTCCAGGTGACTTTCGTCGTGACAACCTTACCCTCCGCGAGGTAAGTAGAAGTCGCCTTCGCCAAATCATGCCTCAGAGGCTGGAAGATAGGACCTTTATTCGAAGGACATTCCCTAAACGATATTGCAAAATCCCCAATGTCCAGCTGAGAGAGATCCAGCTGTCCGCTGAACAAGTGCGGTTTAGACAAGATCGAAGTACGCGGCAATGACTCCATAGCAGCGGATAGTAGCCGATTCTCGACCTCAACAGCTTTCTCCAGTTTTGCGCGTATATGTAACAGCTGCAACTCGACTTCCAACTGGGTCCATGCGGGCTTCATCATAAATGAGGCCATGAAGTGGGGATCCTGGGCTGTGAAGGAACCCCAGTTGCTTGTCCAGATTGCTTTTGCGATGCTTTGCTGATCCCGGGGAGTAGTGTGCTGGAGTTCAAGAGCTGTGTATTGAAACATGTTTAATAGAACCATACGGCTGAATGAGGCTGTTGTCCAGTCATAGACGGCCATGGCGAGTTGGAAGGAGTATGGGGAGAATGGGAATAACTGTTGTCCTAGTGCGCGAATCTCGTCTTCGCTCTTTCCCGGGGCATCGCCGATTTCGGGGTATGGTACGAGCTTGTCGGTGATCATGGAGTCAAAGAAGGCTGCGTCGAGTGCTGACACTTGGGGTAGTGGTTTCAAGTCTCCACTGGCCATATGCTGTGAAGAGAGTGTGAGGTCGAGCAATGGTGTGGAACTGGTCTGTTCTTCTATACGACCCGTGGAATCTTCAGTATTTGATATCATGAACAAGTTGAATTTTCCGTTCGTTTCTATCTCAAGATGGAGGGCCAGAGATAGGTCGGATGGTTCATGATCAAGGCCTTTCCATAGTCTCAGGCCGTTGACATCTAACACTGTCAAGGGGTTAGCAAACCTCCAAGTCCTTGACTTCGCACCACTTACTAAAAACAGAGGCAATCTCCTCGTCTGTTGAATTTAGTCTTGAGTCAATCAGGATCCATTCTGCCTCTTCTCCCATGACCTTCAACTCAGTAATATCCAGAAACCCTTGCCCATCAACAATGAATCTCGAGGACTCGCCAACGCCGCCTCGAATCGCGTCAATAGGCTTTCCATCGCTACACCAGAGTGTATAGGGACTGTTCACAGTCGCGAGGTGCCACATATCCAGGCAAGTTTAGAACGAGCTGGGAAGCCAAGGGTGGACTGGCATGTTTTAATGCCGCAGCCAGGCGATAGTTATAGCATGAAGTCAATAGTACCTTTTCCCAGACAATGATTCCTCCTGTCAGGTGGATAACCTGCCAAATGACTGTGGACCTGCACTAGCAGCGAATAGACGGCCTGCGACTAACTGCCTCGATACGGAGAACTCCGTATATGCAGCGACCTGACTCCATCAGCAGATCAGCCCCCCCACATATAGTCCTTTTCAGCTCCGACGTCTGCCACCAACTCCTGCTCTTTCTTCGCCGGGAAATGATAGACGCAAGTGGATCTTCGCAAAATTGAGACGTCTTCCGCGACGTCCGGTTAGCTGTTCCTTTTCTGGAAAAGTAACCAAATGTCCAGTGCGAGCGAAGGGAGTGACTGGCAGCAAGTCCGCCACTACTCCGACCACCTCGGTCATGCAGTCGTGTTGGAGCGACACGTCGCCAGTTACACCCCAGATCCTAGTGATCTGGTGCCCATTCAGATCTACAGTCTTGTCCCTTTGGATGCAGACCACGAACAGCTCCGAGCATACCTGATGCATAGTTTCTTCAATGAAGAGGTCCTCCCATTATTCGAGATATACTCTTATTGTCCACCCGACCCATTTACCTGTATCGAGCATCATCGTCGTGAAATCGCTCATCGAAAGCAGCAACACCGGTCGGGAGTCTCCAATCCGCCTCCCCTAATCCCCCTATTTTTCTGTTCTAGTAGCGAGACGCCCATTGCTATTTGCGTTCTACTACGCTCCCATAGTCATCGATTGGGCTATACCAATCAAGAGGACAACCTTGCAGAAGCTGGCGAAGGCCCTGACTTCCTTCACTTCAACCGCTGCTTCTCCAGTACTCGCAGTCATGTTGACGAAGTGCAGCGGGCATCCTATCCCCCCGGCGAGCTCACTCCAGAAGCTTTCGAACTATCGACCGAGCGAATGAAATGCCAAACGGACGTTGGCCAGACAATAATGAACGAGATTTTCCTTAATGCCGGTAATCCGTTTCTGCAATATGCAATGGATGTGGACGAGGGCGAGCCTACCAGCCCAAATCCAGAATCCGAAGAGCAGATCCACCAACAAATCATCCAACAAATAGCTATAGGGGGCTTTTTTCCTAGTCCAGCGTTCCAAATCGCAGAGGATGCCGGTATCGTGAGCATCACCAATACCCCCAAAGACGCCGAACCTGATCTACAATATCTTATCTATGCATCCTTCCTAAGCCATCTCCGCAACACTCCTGAATCCTCTCTTCTCAAGAGCACCGCTCGTCTCTTCACCGCTGCGCTACTATCCAACCTCCCAGCCCAGACGACCGTCAATCTTACATTCTCCATCCCAGAATCTATGTCCTGGTCCGCCATCCATCCCGCCCACGCCCTGAGCCAGGTAACTGATTTGCGCATCGGTGCCCTGCATACCTTCTCTGCTAATGAAGACGAAACCCCCGCCCCGCACCGCATCCCTCCGAGTTATCCTCATGACTCGATATACGCGGCCAGGGTAGGACTCTCCACGCCTTACCGTGTATTTGCAGTCGTACTAGACAGAGCAAACTTTGTCAGCGAGGCAGGTATTTATTTCTATATGGCTGATTGGGACGCGTCGAATGATCCAGATCCCTTTCTGGAGGTCTGTCCCGATGACGCCGAGGTGCGGCGTTGTGTGGGCATGTCTGAGGCTGCGAGACGGCTGGCGATGTTGGCTGTTGACGAAGCGCAATCATATTAAACAGGCGTTGTTGATTATAGCGAAGTAAGCTATGCATTATCTAGATTTAGAGGACAGTACATATCCGGCTAGTGGAGGCGAGATCTAAGTTATGCAACAGCTCGAGAAAGGAAAGAAAGATCCATAGAATAGAATTGTGAATTTGAAGTCAAATCTTCCAAGCTCTTCGGACGAAGTTGGTCTCCCTGTGATACGGTGCATATTTGCACACCAACATTCCCCAGTCTTCTACCTGTTGAAGCCAATGACATAACTGCAATCACCTAAGCCCGTATCCCACACTTGTTGCAATGTATTCCCTTCGTTAATCAAACCCGCACAGAACCGAAGTATAACCACCAACTACCGCAGGAATAGCAGTCCTCACCTTATGGATGACAATTCCATGAGATAGCCTAAGCCCAACTGCGATGCGAACAGGGGTCGGCTTCAGGTCTGTCATGGTGACCGCTGAAGAAGGCCTCTCGATGACCACAGGTCGCATCCATTCCGTTCATTCGTTGCCGGGCTATGCCACCCGCTGACAGGTGCCGCAGGGGCAAGTTCCAGACGACATTTTATCATATAGTTGAATGCGGTCTTGATCGAACGATCGACGTGGCTATATGTACATGGTTGGTAGTGTGGTCTAGGAATGGAGCAGTGGGTGATGGGTGGAGATGTACCAACAAGGAGAGGGAAAGATAAAGAGGCTTTAATAGCTGGATTAGGCGTGGTAGAGGCGATTGTTTGGAGTTAAGGAGAACGAGGTTATGAGAAGTTGGAAGAAGAGAAATGGGAAACTTTGGCAATGTAGGTACGTATATAGAGGAACTGGGGGAGGTGTGGGATGGTTTATGAATCAAGTATATATAAATAGCCTAGAATACTCTGATGAGAGCACCATATAATGACAGTGGTATAAATGAAGTTGGTGTTCTACCTAAATATATATAGACAGACCCCATACATATAAACCACCATATGCAGTGAGCGATATAGTCGAAATTGTTTATTTAAATACAAACAAAAAGCCAAGTAGAAGGGTGAACAAACCACACAAGCATAAACTTATTCAATTGGCTCATATCACTCAGAAAACACAATTGACGACGCTTTGTACAAAAAGCGAACCTCATGTCCGCCAAAAAAAGATAACAGGCCCGAGCCGCGGATTGAACGCGGGACCTCGCGCAATATTGCTCAGGTTTTGAATACCCTAAGCGCGAATCATACCACTAGACCACCCGGGCTGTTGTATGATTACGTACGATTTATGGAAACTATGTTTGGGGACAGCATGTGCGGAGAAATATCGTATTATGCCCTGACGTTATATCCGGGAGTATAAGTCCCGAGAAAGTTGAAATATTGGACTTGTGTGAGAATCCGATGGATATGTATGAAATATTGCCCAGCTCGCTTGGAAATAGCAAGATTAAGAGAACACCTCATTGTCATTTTAGTGGTCGGAGACTTGCTTATGCCTCGCACAATTGACATGCAGAATCGAGGTATATGGCTAAGGAACATCGAGGCTAGTAGGTGGAAAACGACCCAATGGTGGTTTGGCTTATTCTTTTGCGAATTCGCTTATTATTCTATGACTGTTGGCCAATGTTTTCCAAGGATACGTGTCTATTGTCGAAACTAGGAGAATCTATCTATAAAACAGACAAATTGGTAGAGGAGGTACATATAATACAAGCCAAAAGGTTCAAAGACAAATTACTGGAGTCGTTCCGACTCCTCCAGCAATTCCTCAACCTTGAAGTTCTCAGCATCACCCCGGGTGAACATCCGCACAAGCTCGCTCTTGCGGCCACTCGCCTGGCCCTCGAAGTCATAGAAGCGCTGCACACAGCTCACAAGCCAAGTCGCCTCGGGAGCCGAAACACCACCATCAGGAATAATCTGGCCATGCATAAGGACCAGTCCCTTCTCATCCGCCAGATCAAGGTGGTGAGTAACAGTAGTGTGAGGCTGGGCAAATGCGCCGTGCATCTTATAAGCACCCAGGTTCGTGAAGATCACAGTGGAGGTGTGGTTGTTGGAAGGCGAGAGAGTCGATCCCTCAGCAGGGGGGTGGAAAGCCCATTGCAGGAAGTGGATGTCGGCAGCGGTGCCGGTTGCTCCCTCGGGTGTCTGCTCTGCCTCTTCGGCGGTCTGGGGCCGCGGGAGAGGAAGGATGAACTGCGGGTTCTCGCGCGCAGCCTTGATGATGCGCTGGTAAGTTTCCAGTGGGATGGCGGCGGTGATGGAGTGGGGTTTGTCGGCGAAGCGCAGGCGCCAGAGGGCCTCGATCTCCTTGGCTGGGAGCTCGCGGATCTTCTCGACGTCCAGGTATGTGCTGAGGGGCTTGACGGGGCTGGAGTCTTTGGAAACGGAGCGTGCGGCTTTAGCGGTGCGCGATTCCTGAGGAGGAGGGGGCGCTTGGAATGCGGGGGGTGTGCTGGCAGTGGTAGGTGTGGGAGATTCGGGCTCTGGGGTAGCTACGGTGGATGCTTTGCGGCGGAGCTCTTTGATTTTTTCGTCGTAGGCTTCCTTCAAGGACTCCACTGATTCAAGTCCCTCTCTATTTTATGCAATTAGCATACGCCTAGAGCCAGGTGTTAGGAAATGGACTCACTCCTTGGCCTTCTTGTCCAGCTTGGCCCGGTACTTGTCCAAGACATGGTTGGGATCGTGGTGTGATGCGAGGAAGCGGACGTCGTGGACCTGCGCGCAGCGGCGCTGCTGATGGCGCAGCAGGTGAGGGTTGGTGCCACGGATCACCGATCGGAAACCTTGCAGTCGGAATGATGGCATTTTGAGTCTGAAGAGTAAATCTCACGAATCTCCGAGTCTCCAGATAAGAGAAACGCCGCACTATCAGATGACATAATACCTGACATAATCACATTGTTTGGCCCCACTTGGACATCCCCGAGGCGACGACTTGAGCAGATGAATTTATATCATGGAGAAGATAGAGATAGATCTACTAAATTGTTTGCGAAAAGACATTGACTCCATCTCATATCATCCACCGTATTCCTAGATAGTATATCACATTGAATTGAGCAATAAATGGAACTTCATTTGTCAGCACTTTACTGTGCCCAATGGGCCTCGAAGTATAACTTTAAAGGCACCGTCAACAACTCCATCTCACACGATCTTCCACACAAAACCATCCCCTTACACCAAAATAAGAGAAACCAAGAACAAAAAAGAGAAAATGCCGTTTCTTCAAAAAGAATTCTCGATCCCACCACCCCATCCACCAGTGGGCACAGCCCAGCACTCCGCATCCGCACTGCCCTGGTACTCAATCGCGCCGGGGGTCTGGGAGTTCCTCTTAAATGGCAACGCAGAACAAAAAGCCGTGCTGCAATGGTGGGAGCCGAATGCGGTGTCTGAACAGACAGAGCCAATAACACATGCCTACATCGAAGAAGTGTGTACTTTGCGCGGCGGGCTGGAAGATCTATCGCTCGCACAGACGTGGGGTATTGGTGCATATGCGTATCGAAAGCCTGGGATGAAACATGGGCCGTATCGCGCGACGAAGGATGGATGTTTGCAGTTTGTTAAGGTCGTACCTGCGAAGAAATAAGAGCATCGGTTGGAATATGATGATAGCTGGAGATATACATCGCGACCCCATTACGCTTTGGCTATATGGGATTACTGCATTCATTCGCTTTGGAACTTCTTTTTTTTATTTTTTCTAGCTGGTTGTTTTTTTTCTTTGTAATAGGCAATGCCAAAACATGATGCTTGTGATACTCCATATGATGAAAACCCCCGAAGAGGTTAATGCAATAAACTCCGCAAATGATGAGCCATGTCCAACGCTTTTGAAACGTAACTTTTGTTTCTCAAGTCATCAATCATCAAAACCCATCTAATAATCTAGACCGGGACATCGTCTGTAACAGATGTCTCGGTCTGAGTGGGGCGATCTTCCTGGGGAACCTCAACCTCGGGTTGAGGACAGCGAGATTCAGACTTTCCCTCAGGGTCCTCATGGACAGAGTTCTCCCCATCCTGCGCCTGTCCCGCCGATTCCTCTCTCTCCTCTTTCTCCTCTGCCTCTTCCTCGGCTTGCTCCCAATTATCAACAACCTCAGCAGCAGGTGTCTTCGCACGCAAAGACTTGCCCGCTCCAACACCCGAGCGAAGAACCAACCGTTCCTTCTTCGCTCCATCACCGTCCAGAGCAGCATATATAGACTTGCTCACCCACGAGTTCTGAATGGGTGTCCCAGTCCTCGAACTGGCGCCACTACCACCCTTGCTCTTCGAGGCAACCTGAGCCCAGCCGCCGTCTCCAGAACTAGCCTGTGCCTTGGCGGCTTCGCGGGCGGCCTTTGCTTCAAGAGCAGCAACGCGACGTGCCTCTTGTTCTTTGCTGCGCTCGCGTTCCCGGAGCTTCACGCACTCACGCACGCTCATACCACCAATACCGATGGTCGAGGCGCTGCCCATGCCGAAGAGAGGAGGCGTCCAGGCAACGGGCTTCAAGACGAAGACGTGGCGGTGAGGTTCCGGATCGTGGCTTTCTGTCACGAAGCCCCAATCTGCAGCGAGGGAGTGTGCGAATGCACGGAGAGCGGGTTTCGCAGGCTGGAAGCGGAATGAGCGAGTGGACTTGTCTGCAGCAGCAAGGGAGTGAAGACTGGCCTCGTAGCCTTGGAGAGTCGCCAGAGGCGAAGAGGCTGCAAGTTTGACATAATTATCCAAAGTCTCGTCCGAGTAGGGGAGGTTCTCGGCGGTAATGGTTTGCGCGGTGGTTGACTGGTTGATATCGATGCCGAGAGCGCCTGCCAGCGAACGATTCCGCTCGAGACGTGCGCATTCATCGTCGCAGGCCAATGGGGTTAGCTCGGGGTGGCGCTGAGGCGTCTGGACTTGGCCCTTGGATGTTACGGCCTTGGCGGCATTGCAGCGTCTTTCTTGTCGGAGTCGTCCACAACCACAGGTCACTGCAATCTTGGACGAACAGGGAGTCTTTTCGGGACACGCGTATGGCGCATGACATTGGTCTGTGCAAGGGTGGCCGCACATCGTCTTGTTCTTCCCACAGGACTGACTGCAAGGCTTGGTTGCGTCTTCGCAATCCTCTGGGCGATGACAGTCTTTCCGGCAGAAATGGGAGCCGCACTTGAGCGGCCGCCCGCATATCTGACCACAGCGCGCATCTGATAACCAGCAAGGCACGTTTTTCAATACCCGCTTACCGCACAGACAGGCCTTTTCGGTCAAGAATGGACACTTGGGACAGTTTTCCTCATCCGTGTGGCAGTTGTGTACGGCTTGAGGGTGACCACACCGTTTTGGACGGTTACATTGGAAGCTGCAAGCCGGTGGCTTTGCGCCACATGGTTGCGGTGGATATAGAACAGATCTTCCGCAATTGCACGCAATCTCCTCGAAGACTGCTTCCCTGCAGGTATTGCAGGCACCCTTGTGGCAGAGCTCTGGGCATGTGTGCCTTCCGCATTTCAGCATCCGGCCACATATGCGAGTACAGATATGCTCGGCCTCAATATCTTCCTCAGCAGGGCGGAGATGGGATCTGAGCTTACGACGCGCGGCCTGGCGCTCGTTGGCCCTTTGCTCTCCTGGACAACATCTTTCAGTGCATGTATGCCGACCGCAGTGCAGAGTCGCCTTGCACATGCGTGGGCACTGAGGAGGCTCATTGTGGCCTTGATGACAGATCGTCAAATTATTAGTACGGCCGCAGTGGCACTTGATGTAGACATTTTTTAAACACGCGCCACAGGATCCAGTGTGACACAGCTTCTCGCAAGGATGACCACATGGCAATGTCTTGCCACATGGCTTTTGGCAGTTCAAGATTGGATCTTCGCAGGAGGTCCGAGGTGTATATCCGGGGATCTCAGACAGTGGTGTCTTGCCGCAGGCGCAGTTGACAATAACGTCCGGTGACCGCGGACAGTGTGCGGGATGAGAGTCTTGCGGATGACAATTCTTCTGGCATGAATGAATGCCGCAATCAAGTGGACGATTACAAGTCTCTCCACAACCAAAGCAGCCGGTCCATTCATCTTCCGAGCCATCCTCGCTAACAATCCGACTATCCTCCTCATCATCCTTGGACTTGCACAGCATCTCTGTTTGCAATTTTCCACAATAGCAACGAGCATCAATGCTAACCTCACAGCCACCACATAGTCCCTCGTGACAGGGTAGCGGACATGTATGTTCTCCGCATGGCAGTAGCTCGCCACAGATTTCACCGCAGCTCCATCCATTTTCATAATCGGTATCCTGACAACGTTTTGAGGATGAATTAAGGCCGCAGAAGCAATCCTGCGTTGGGCCCATGGCAGTACAAGGCGCACAAGGACCGGCATGGCAAGTCGCGTCACAAGGGTGGGGGCATCCCTTACGAGGCCGTGAACAAGTCTGACCACACGAGTGTGGAGGTAGACCAGCAAGTGGCCTCGGATCGATCTCTTTTTCACACCAGCAAGAGTAGCTCGAGGGGAAATTTTCGTGAGAAAGGTTACAACCCGGACAACGCCAAGCGCGAGGCGTGACGGTCTCCTGTCCATCTTCTTGAGCAGAAGCTCTCTGGGCAGCTGCGCCCTCATTCGTGGACCACTTCTTGACACAGCTCAGGTGGAAAACAGTCCAACAAAGCTCACAGTTCCAAATCTTGGACCTGCGACCCAATTCACTGCAGCAGATAGGACACTCGTATAAATTGTGCGAGATATCCTCGTGAATGCGGGTAGCCAGATCGTCAGCTGTAGATTTCGTCGTAACTTTGGGTGGCGGTGCCCTAGGCTGCCTAGCTTTTCCTTTCCCTTTCGTAGATGGCGCTGATTCCGAAGATGGTCCCTGTGCAAATGAGGGCATTCCTGGTACAAAATCCGCTACATCAGCCCTGAGGCCATGGTCGTGATCCGTACTATCCAATGAGGGGCCGTTCCCAGCCTGATCTGGTCTCGTCAACTGAGCTTCAAAGCCACGAGCTCTCATCCCACGGGTTTGGGGCTCTGGTCGCGGCTCTTGGCCTTCAGGTCCTGCATTTTGACCTTGTCCTCGCCGGGGAGCTCCATTATTTCTTTGTCTCCGGCTTTTTCCTTCTCTGTTTCCTCCTCTCCGCGAGCGAGACGTTTGATCCTGCTGACCAGGCTGAGGTGCTGTAGTCGGCTGTTGCTCAGACTGTGTCGGTTGTATTTGCGGGGCAGGCTGATTTGAAGGTTCGCTCACAGGCGCAGTTCTTTGTTGTTGACCATCACGATTCGCAGGACCCCGTCCTCTACGTCTAGACGGCCTAGAAGAACGTGGATGACGTGGCCCAGTTGGAATTGAGGTATCTGGCTGCGGTGTTGTCATGGCAGGGAATGTGGTCGAGGTCTGAGTAAGGCCGTCTGCCGTACTCATATGCTCGCGGTGGGTTTTCTCACTCAATGCGATGCGCTCAGGTAGGAAGAGAGTGATAGACGTGCTAGCTATGTCCTAGCTTAAAATCCACAGCCAAGTGAAAGAGAAAAAAGCCGGACCCTAAGCAGTGAAAACAAAGGTAAAGGCAAAAATGCTGGCCCGCTCAGAGAATGAGGTTAGAAAATAGCATAAGGAATTATCGCGAAGGCGATAAAAGCTCTCGCGGCAGAATTGGGCGGTGCATTAGGCGGTGACGTAGTGGCGGCCTGCATGTGTGACTCAGGAATCACATAACATGACTCACGGTGGCTCCTGAGCATCCGAGATGCGGGTCGGTGATCTATGGATTCGAGTCATGATTCGTATCAGCGGGAAATTCTAAGCTAGAATCATAGAACACTCAGATATAGCCATTCGCTGATCTCGAAGTTGAATTTCACAAAGATAGAGCCTGAGGAAAAAGGTGGGTAAACGACCCCACTTTCTCTGCGCCAAGGAAATAAACAAAGATCCAGTGTCTATGAGGCTGAAACACCTTGGAGTACGGAGTATATCAAAGCCCTATTGGATGGAGATGAAGAGGTGATTATTCCAATTCTCGGCCTCTTCTTGAGACCATTGACATTATAACACCCTTTATACTCCCGCACACTACAGAGAGACACCAAATAGAGTCCAAGCACAACACAGATTATCAGCATTTGAATGCAATTTAGTACCAGCCCTGAATTAATACAGAATGCAATATCAAAGACAGCGCGTCAAAAGAAACAAGGCGCTATGCAAGTAACCAGCCCATTCACCTCGTAACAAAGAACCAAACTAGTCACCATCGTATCCAACTTTGGTTAACATCGTACACATCGAGAACCAAGGTCCCTTAAATGAACAAAACAATCTCGCCACGATCATTACGTCTGACCCTCAAGGCGCGCCACAGATCCTTCTCATCATCAACTCTGCGCTCACGGTCCGCTCGGCTGCGGCCGTTATCACGACCACGATCAGCATCATACTCATCAGAGAGGTCGCGGTGGAAACGCTTAAGCGCTTTGTTAATGGAAATACCACGCTCACTATCCTTTGTCACAAGCGAGAGGAAATGGTGGCCCAGCTCACGCTGTAGATCCTCTTCAGTGCGTGCGAGTCCGCGTGACTGCTTGTAGACAGTGACCTGGTGGCCGTGGGCGGAGTCAACTGAGCCCCGGCGCTCGTCGATCTGCTTGAGACGGCGGGAGGGTCTGTCGCCGTCGGTGGGGTTGGAGCTCTTGCGCTTGGACTTGTGGGACTCGTCGTCATCGCGCGAGCGGTGCGACTTCTTACTCTTACGGACTTCGAGCTGGCCGTCGCCGCTGGAGGAGCTGCCGCGTCGGGCGCGGGCCAGGGTCTTGGAGGGGAGGTCTGCGGTGGCGCCGCTAGCGCTGGAGACGGCTGAGCCGCCAAACATGGAGGAGACAAGGCGGCCGGCGCGGTTCTTCATGGAGATTCCGAGACCTGCGTCGCCATTGCCGTTGGCTTCTTTCCCGTTGCGGCGGCTGCGCTTGATCGGGGAGGAGGCGTCTTGGTAGGCGCGACGGCTAGTTTCTGGGCTGTCGTCGCCATCGACGGAGGGAGAGCGCATCATGCGGTTGAGGCCGCCGGTCAGGCCGGAGTGGTTGAGCATGGGTGTGCCGGCGTTGTTGATGATGCTAGAGGGGGCGTCCAGCATGGGAGTGTCGACTTCTTCCCGGGGAGTACTGAGAACCTCTGCTTGGCCGCGCTTACGCTTCTTTTCGCTGACAGTGCCGGGGGCCTTCTCCCGGCGCTCCTTCTTCTTGGGTGCGGGTGTCACCAACTCTGTTGACACGTTAGGAGGGAGATCTGAGTGCGGGATGGTGCCGGTTCCATAGGAAAAGCCATTCTCCTCGTATGCGATATCGTAGTTCTTACCTTCGTCATCCGTGTTCGGGTTGGTTTCGACTCGAGTTAGCGATTCGCTGGGCTCAAAGACCGATTTGGCGTTGGATTTCATCTTCATCTGTTCCTTGGGCTCGGCGAGAGAGGCTTTAGATGCGTTTGGGGTATTTTCGGCGACCAGGTAGTCGAACACATTGACAGGCTTATCGTTGTTGACCGCAGGAGCAGGGGTCCGCACTGCACCGGCAGGCGGGGGTGTGGGAGCAGGAGGAGGGGCCTCGAGAGAAGCGTAATCCACGCGGGGTTGCTGGTGGTGGCCATTTTGGTTCTGGTTCTTCTGGTTGTTTTGTCCTTTCTTCTGGCCCTTCTGGGGCTTCTCTTTATAGAGAGCGCCCTGATACTTTTGCGCCTCGCTCATGCATGACTGTAATGGCCGGTCTGATTAGCGGATATCTTCCTTGTGATTCAATTGAGGTATCGTTAAATCCCTAACCCGCTATTGGTAAATGCGACAAGGAGCTGACATACCGTATGGGCTCTGTACTCAGTTCCCCAGAAATGCACCATGCAATCGATACAGGTGAAGGTAGCGCCGCGACAGCCGTTGCGGTGAGGGTCGAGCTTTTTCTTGGTGAGAATATCACCGCAGGCCTAGCATATCAATAATTGTTAGCAATTATTACGCGCAGTGACCCGTGTGTCGAACTCGGACAACAGATAAGACATGTCGGACTCACCTCGCAAGAGAAAGAAACCATTTTTGACACTGAGAAATGCCCCACCTATCAGGCGCTGGCGCAGGCAATAGTCGGATAGAAGTAAATGGCGATTTGCCGCAAGGTCAAATGTCAGATTAGAGAGACGAGATGCGCAGTGAAAGTATGCGACAATGGGGGTGTTTCAAGAGAGGGAGTATCCCTTGGAAGAGACGAGATAAGGTTAGGTATGTGAGTTAGGCTCAATCGAAGCGTCTGAGCGGGGAATCTCTGAATCTGCCAGCCTTCTTTTCCTCGTTTCTGGCGCTTTTTCTTTTTTTTTCTCTTTTTTTCTCTCGTTTTTTCGCGTCGAATTTTGGAAGCGCGCGACTCCACGCTAGTCTCGATTGGGCACGCACTAGGCTACTTTAGGGAGTATTGACAGTCTGCGCGGAGGGAGCAACGTGCATCTCTTTGTACTCGAAGCAGAATGATATGCGGAACACATTGGAATAGAGCGGAATGGGCGACTACGCCAAATATATTATCCTTAGTTCAGGGTTACGAACCGCAAAGGCCCTGGTGCAGCCGATGATCCACGCGGACAGTGTGGTTGGCTAGACGCCAGGCCTGTCAGGAGACCCCATGCTTTCATTTGTCGTCTTCTTCTCAGTTGAACGGACCTCACAGGGAAGATCCGCGAAAGCAGGAAGATTGGCCCCTCGAAATAGGGCCCCTCTATCACGACGGCTCTGCTATTTTGGGCCCAAACTCAAACATATTTCCCCATCTATCCCTTCCGGCATCTACACACGACGGGGCTATCGAGGTGCATATCTGTATCTCATAGCCTGACGGGGGCCCCATTATACCGCATGGGACTAGTCGATTGCTTGGAGGGTTGGTATCACGAGGGTGCAACCTATCGACATCATGGTTGTTGACGGCGCAGCGACAACAATCGAAAGTTTAATCGGTGCTTTCTGCTAAGACATTGAGTCGAATGAGATGGAATGCGTGTTTTAGTCCACTCTGGCTTTGCAGGATGTACCGGCCAGGCTTCGCGGGTCATGCGCCACCTTCCGCACTTGATCACCAGGATGGCCTTGGTGTGTATAATGCCCAGGTCATGCACTTTGAACTAGGGATCGGCAAAAGACCCTGGGTCACGTACTAGTGTACTGCTAGTATTTATCACCGACTCGTAGCTCAATCGCTTTTCACATGTTGAGAGAATCAGGAAAACCCTTCGACGTATGTGTGAGTGCTGACAAGTGGAGATGCTATTGAGCAAAGTTCGCCAAAGTGATGACCAGGAACAAGAGACAGGGAACGAGATTTGTCTAGAGATGTCTGGGTATGTACAATGTAGGTATACTCAGTCGGTACAATGCTAGTCCAGTACATATAGGAATGGACCCCTCGCTATACCAAGAGTCACAAGCCACATGCAGAACATAATAAGGGTATATTGATATTGGTACAGTCAAATGGCGATCTATTACTATACAGGGGAGACCAGCTCCATATGCGCCAACGATCGGGGATCCAAAAGCATCCAAAAACTGGGTAAAAACCAGACGGAGTGAACCAAGCAAACTCAAGGAATAGAGTGAAAATGTCAAGAGTTTATGCCGTCACCCACGGGTAGTCCTAAATGGCAGTTAGCAACAAGATAGCTATACTCAATGGGCCTCAAGCTGATGTCACTAACTCTTCCTTTGAAATCTCCACAGCAGGGCCATCATGCTGCCCCGTGCCCTCCTTCGCTGCATCAGAGCGAGAGGAAGCCGACCCTTCCTTGGCCTTATCACCTTCGTCATCCTCCTTGCAGCCGCAATCATAGAAATCCCCGAGATTGGCGCAATCAAAATCGGGCTTACCAAGCATCGCATTGACCTCATTATGAATAAAACAGCCCCAGCCCGAAGCAGCATTCCGAGATGACACCTGGGGAGGATATTTCTTTAAATGTTGCTGGAAATGCTCGGCACATTCTCCACTGTCATCAATCGTTAGCCCCAGATCTAGTATAGACATCGCACCGGAATGAGTGAGCAGAGAAGGTACGGGGGCTTATTACCAGGGATATAGCCGGGCAAATAGGTAGACATAAGAGCGCAGCGCTTCCTTGTGGTCTTCCGTGGGGGTTTCGGGGAACCGTGCCATGACGGTGTGGAAGTACTTCCAAGTCGCACGACCTAGCTCAGCCCTAGAAATCGACGATTCCACAATCAGCAATTTGTCCCACTACTCCCACTGACTGCCAATGGGTCTCTCCGTGTGCCTTACTTGGCTGTTTCGTTACCTAGCCTCGGCATCACCACGCCTCCTTTCAGTGTGCTATCTTGAATCGTTATCCCCGGCGCGGATGCCGATGCGGAGCGGTCGATGTGGCCGGGGGCGCGGACGGCGGGGCTAGGTGGCCCTTGCGGTCGAATAAAAACGAGGAAAATAAGGCATAATGTGATCGCTGCGCTGGTGACGATGCGCCGTGTGATTTGCCGATTCGCCATGCTGGTCTGGAAGGCGGAAGATTGGGGAAAAGCAATGTCGCCAAGCGTCCGATCGCGGGAGCTGGGATTCTTGAACGGGGAAGAGATTATTCTCTCTCGGAAGACGAGAGGCAAAGTTTCAGCTCGATTAACGAGTTATTGCAAAAGAAAGCTTTGAGACGAAGCTGGAGGGATCATTCCACGTGTCGCACGATACAGCTTAGTCATGGATGTGCGGCGTCCACCTGGGCCTGCGGGTATAGGAGATAGGAAGCCTGGAGGACACTTGAGCTGTTTTCTTTATTACAATGTACGTTTATCAAATGAGACAATTACAAGGATGGTCTTTCCCTCCCAATTGCGTCCTGCGGATCATAGATCTCCAAATCATTGATCTAGCCCATCCAGACCCACATCGGATGTGCTCCGGAGGTCTCACTCTAGTCGCAGGGTTCAGTCTGGATGTATAGGTTGCACAGGTCGCAACATATCAATCTCGGTTATTAGGTGTGTGATCTGTCTGACCAAATGGTTGTGGCCCATTCAAAGCTATATTCGATATCCCTACATTCCATTGTGTTCTGCAACAACCGAATCACTCAAGCTTGGAGGCAAGTCTTCCTTGCGTGTACCCCAATCACTCTCCTTGTCGCCAAGTGTCAATTCCAGCGTCATACCTTGGGTGAAGAACTCGTGCCCAATCCAGCTCTTGGTATAAGCCTTTCCATTAAGCTTGGCACTCTGGACATAGATGTTCTTGTAGGTTTTGTCGAAATTGACATTTCGAATTGTAGCCGTTTGTTTAGTTTCAGGATGAGTGATTGCGACGGCCTCGAAGAACGGAGGAATAATGAGGTATACATTTTGACCGGGATTCGGGAAGAGGCCCATTAGGCTCCACGCAAGGAATGATCCCATGGCTCCTGAGTCGTCGTTGCCAGGTAGCCCATTATGTGTGGCATTGAACGAGGATGGGATGTAAGCGTGGGCTCGACTGGCCGACAAACCCGGGCGTCCGGCATAGTGGTAATCATACACGGTCAGGAAAACTGGCTCATTACCCATGTCTGCCAAGCCAGATGTGTGGAAGTAGTCCAGCCGAGACACGAAGGATTGTGGGCCGCCGACCATCTTGATCAACTTTGCCATTTCGTGGGGTACGAAACTAGACAGAATTAGCCTTCGAGAACTGTCGGGGATTGAGGATTGAAGACTCACAATATGTACTCCCAGATACTGGACTCGAATGTCTCTGAAGGGTTTGAGGTGAGAGAGCACCACGATGCCAAAGCACTGCAGGCAATAGGATCCTGATAGCCCCAAGTGCCATTGATGTATTTTGGCTGGAAGAAGCCAGTAAAGCCGGTATCTGTCCCGTTATCCAATAGCGACTTCTGATCTTCTTTGTACAAGTTCTGCCAATTGGCAGACCGAGACAAGTAAGTAGTGTAGTCTTTCTTGCCGAGGCCTTTGCCCACAACTGACAGAGCATAGTCATTGTATGCGTACTCCAGTGTCCTCGAGATACTCCGCGAATTGGTCCCAAAACCAATGTAATCGAAATCCAGATATGGAATATAATTGAGGTGTTTCCAGCTCTGCAAGCCTCCTCTTCCTTCGTATGACCACTCGAGTGGCTCATTCTCTGCATCATTGACCATAGCTTTGTAGGCAAGCTCCCAGTCTATACCAGTGAGGTTTTTCACATACGCATCTGCGAGGACGATGTCGGCATTAGAACCACCCTGCGTCCAGCCTTTGCAAAGACTCATGCGGCAATCCGGGAGCCATCCTTCATGCTTGAAGGTATCCAGCAAGCTACGGACCATTTTCGATTGTGCCTGTGGGTCGATAATCGTGAGAAAAGGGTGCTGTGACCGGAAGGCGTCCCATAAGCAGTAAAATGAGTCAAAGTACGGCTCCTCGCTTTTCCACAGTGGATTCTCCCCAGTCAAATCTTGAGGTGACAACATGGTGCGATAGATACCGCTCCAAAAACTGCTGATCATATCGTCGCTAACACCACCTGGTGTGACCTTGATTGGACTGAGCTTCTCCTTCCATGCAGTCTCTGCCTTCTTGCGCAGATCATTGAAAGCATCTTCTGGATGGGGTACCTCCGTTTCGGCGTTTTTGCAGGCTTGATCTGAACTGATAAAGCTGACCCCTACCCTCACTGTGACGATTCCATCGTCCGGGCGATCAAAGGTCATATAACCACCAGCCTGGAGGTAGAAGTTATTGAATCCACGAGTGACGAACAACTCCTGTACTGATCCGGCTCGGTCATTCACCCAAATCCCACTGTCATCAACCCCAGCGTCCACAATATCAGCACAGAAATATGACTTGTACGAGCCGGCCCCGAAGCTAGGCAAGAAAGTGCCATTGCCTTTGATTCGACCGCTATCGGCGTTCAGACTGATAGAAGCGTTCTGCCGACTATCCCATAGATCAGTCAGATCCACCAAGATCAGAGGATTTAAATCACTCCCATCTGCCGTCTGCCCCGCTGGGAAGGTGAACCGGTACAGCGCTGTGCGCCGCGCCGCAGTTATCTCAGCCTTGATGCCATTCTCAAGTGTCAAGGCAAAGTAACCAGGCTGTGCAACCACGGAGTCGTTTTTGTAATGAGTCGCGCGAGCAGCTTTGGGAAATTTGCAATTGTCCACGATATTATCCTTGCAATATTGGGGAAACAAAGGGAAATTCCCCATAGATGGGTTCCCGCCTGTGCCGCTGTCATGCATATGCGAGAAACCAGTGACATTACTTCCATCAGTCGAAAAACCTCCAGTGTTTTGACCGTCGACGTCGGCAACTGGTTTCGCCATACCGTATGGCAGACTTGCCCCTGCAAAGACGTTGCCGCCATTGGTTGACCCGATCAGCGGGTTGACGTAGCGGAGGTCATCCTGCGTTGCTACTGTGGTCAGGGCTCCTTGGAGAAGGATAACCATATACAGAGTGGCTTTCTGCAGAATCCCCATGGTGCTGTGGAATGTGAAGGTTGGGGCATGCGCAATGCCGCGTTGGATTCGTCGATTTGAATTGCGAGGACCGTGATGGGGGCAGGAAGCGGGAAAAATAACCGAGTGTCGTTTTCCTGCAAGGAGTATACGTTCTATCTGTAACGTCGCATTGTTCTTGTGATCGATGGCCTAATCTGTGTTAGTGCTGGATGCCAGGGAGGCCTTGTGTGCGGGGTTAGTGTATTACCAAGTGAATGCACCGTGTTGGTGTCTTGGGAATTGATCATTGTCATTTGACAGGTTACATAATAAGAGGTCTATATTCATAACGTCCTGAGTTAATACGGGCAGGTGCAGGTCTTGCCATAGAAACATATATCTTGCTATAGAAACCTATAGAGTAATATACCCGCTTCTTGATGAAATCACCCATTGCCAATACACAGCCATTTATCTACCCATTTTAGGCTGACCTGAACTTCTTGTTGGGATTAAGCCCCTTCGGAAGAGCAACAAACCAAAGAGCATATCTGTACACAGGCAAAGTTGGCTACATCGATAGTTGTAGGTATACTCATTAACACATAGTGGATCATGTGACAGGTCACAGCTCTATTTAACCTTAACTGTAGCGCCTACTTGGCAATATTATTACCGCATCACAATATTATCATCTGAGTTCTCTTTCTTTTCCAAACTCCAATACTCTTGGTTTTCTCAGTGTCCCCGGAATTTCCTTTGCGATTTATCCTGGTCTCATTTCTCTTATCTACTCGGGAACCCGCTTCATCATAGTGTTCGCTAGACAAGAAGTTCGATTTGAGTTGTGGAGCAACATCTCACCAAGGCTTCTTGGCTTGGTGAGAGTGAAGTCATGGAAAAGCACAAAAATAAGCCGAGAAACTTGGATAACATTCCTCTTGAGCTCTTGCTCATGGTATCTGAAGCTTTGTCGCCTGTCGATGTTGCCTGTCTCGCCTTATGCAACCACCGCTTGTTGTCTTCATTGGAATTTGCGTGCCGCAACCTTCCAAAGGGCCGCACTGGGGAGCCCAAGGATGAACCACGGATTGAATTTCTGACGCGGCTTTCTCGTGACTTGTCACCGTATTATTTTTGTTATGCCTGTCTACGCCTTCATCCCTGGCAAACAGTGGGTCTACCAGGCCCCAGACTCAAAGTACCAGACTGCGTAGAGTCCCTGCATATATTGGAACACAGGCTCAAAAGTCCGCTATTCATCAGACATTATCCGAACTATGCACATTATGAATTTTATTTTGTTCATCTCCAACTTGCTATGCGAAGATTTTACTATGGAGCTCAATTTGGAATTCCCGTGCAGTCCTTACTCTACACAGAGGTGGGGACGTATGCCATCACAGACAAACTATGGCTTCCATTCTGGACCCCCAAAACGTCGCTCGATGAAGAAGAATTTCAACAGAATAACAGAACAACGCTCCTGTCTGTTGATGTTCGAATCTGCTCAGAACCCCCATGTCTTTACATGCGAACGCAAGAGCTCGCAGTGGTAGGGAAGCAGAACTTATCCCTGATATACGAAAGCCCAAGACAAGAATATCTTACCATTTGTATGCACATTGGCAACTATACGTCCAAATTCGACACAATCGTTTATGGCCTTATCGAGGAATATCGCTCTGATACAACGAAGAAACCACGAAACCAAGGCCTCTGCAGTGAATGCAATACCTCATGGAACATTGAGATACGGAGTCTAGAACAAAAGAATGTGTGTCTTGTGCTCACCCGGTGGCTTGATTTAGGACCAGGGCTAAACCCGGATGATGGCCGATGGAGAAGTCACATTGAATTCGAGATTTGTGCCGCATTGAAAGAGCACGAAAGGACAGATCCGCGACGGCGATTCGAAGAAGACTCTATTCAAGCTAGGTGCTCAGATGCATTATCAGAGGAGGAGATGTATCGTCGAAACACATCACTTCTCCAAGACCAGGCATATCGAAGCTTGATGACTCGGTTCGGGGAAACTAGATGGTGCTCACGCACAAAAACCAAAAAGTATAGTTCTTCTCGCTGTATCGTAAGTTGAGGAAATCAAGCCGTGAGGTTGGTACATGCCATTCCGGTCCCCGTCTAAACAGGAAGGCGCCCATTCCCGTCCCTCAACAACAGCTCCCTCCTCTCTTCTTCTCCTCCGTTCCCATTTCCTTTCAACTAAGGTTAATTTATTGCTATCTCTCCATTAAGTAAACTTCCTCAATTAGTTATAGACGGTCGAGATTGCAAAGCATGAAGCAAGTTGGGATTCGACATACTCGGACGGTAAATTGAAATTGATTGAATCAGAAATGAGCGCTATACAACTTCGCAACTGGTAATTTCTCCGATTCCAGATCTTGTCCTATTAACTCTGCTCTTCTTCCGAGGAATAGATATCACCATCCAAGATGACTCCCAATTCTTGCACCCACATCATCTTCTCATAATTTGGATAATCACGAGCTGAGGACTCTCTTTCAATCTCTCCTACCCAAGTAGTTGTTAACAACAACCACAAAGGAGAAGCCGATTCTTCGTACCAATGAAGGAAATCAGCAACCAGTCGATTGAGGAGCCTGACCTGATCCTCATGTTCGTCGTTGATCTCTTGATCGCCCCGGCATCCTTATATCCCCCGTGAGGAGATGTGTGCGGGATTTCGAGCTTCTCAAATGTCAACAGATGGATGATGGCGGCATAATGAGTATCGAAGCTTTCCTTCAAGTCAGTGGTCATGCACGATGTGACAAATGGCAGCAATCTGTGAAATTCAAATTCACATTCTAGACCGGAGTGAGAGAGTCTTTACACGAAGCATGATCCCATAATCCGAAGAACTCAAAAGTTTATACCTTGAATTGTTCCGTCGCCTGTGTCTATCATTATGGAGAATATGTCTAAGGAACCCAGGGGTAACTCCCCACTGTTCTCAGACCAGTCAGCAATCGCAAATACCAATTCATGGCTGGCAGTGCGTCCGTTGTTGTTAGGTTGGCTGCCGAGAATATTTTGTGAAGATAAGTCAATGAGCATCTCACGAGCAGCCTGTATGAAGTTGATGTTAGCAGAACGGATCTTAAACCCTATTAACGTTGCCAGAGCCTAAATTAGGCATTAGAATCAATATGGAAGTTGTCAATCCGTGAAAAGAGAGGTGATTAGTTTATGGGCTATGGTGATTCTCACATGAATAGCTGTATCTCCATCAATTATACTTAGGTAGGTTACACAAGTCCCCCTTGGACCAATGGTTCCTGATTCCCCGATTGCTTAATTTGACGCCAGGTCCACAAATTCAATCCTATGGCCCCGGGAACGACCGATATCTGGCTGCGAGCTTCATTTTGAATACGATAAACGTTGCCCTTCTTTTACCCGGAAAGCCAATCCTCTGGTATCACACAGATATGGATTTTACTATTGGTCCAGGTATCTAAAGGAGCTGATACACCTAGGAGTCTAATATGTTCGAAAGATTATGCATTTCATTCATCTATCCTGGAGAAACGTCCCCGATATTGATGCGGTGTTCAAATACCACCACTTTGACTCGCCCTATCAAGGCTGACGGGGTCTCTCTCCAATTCATTAGATTTGAGATTACAAGGGACGAAACCGAAGTGAAACTGGGAGAAAACCGTGCTAGATAAGGGAGACGAGCTCTCGGAATCTCCAAGGAACACTGGGTTTTATCCCAGCCGATCTCAGCTATTCGATCGTATGAGTTACTGATGACGCACGCCCACTCGAAGTCTGCTAGTTTTGTTATGCCTGGATAGTGTCCTATGCGTTGAGGGCGGGGTTGATTTCGGAGTTAGGCATCGGAACACTCGGAAACCCATCATTGCTGACAAAAGCCTTTGTATTGCAGCCTGGAGAAAAATCCCATGCACAAGACCATCGTGAATGCCAAACTCGACTGTTTTTCGCATACTTGGGTCAATCGACCTCAGATTGCTTCTCCCTCTCTCCACCTTATGGTTAGCCATATTAAAACATCTCTCATCGACAATTCATAGATCGTGTAGCATTGAAAGTGAAGATTACAATGGTCTTAAAATTACATCAGAGCTAACGGAGTTAAGAACAGCCTAACCTTGGAAGATGACCCACAATCATGGGAGGTTAGTAATCCCCCAGTCTTAAATCCGGGACCGATATATAAACCCGAAGCCCATCATTACTTCTTGTCCCTCTGTACACATCAAGATAGCCTACGAATATCTCCATACCTTCAGCTCAGTCAAAATGGTCCAGACACTCCCCTTCGGCGACATTCAAGTCCCAACACCGGGCTTCGGTGCCATGGGTTTGAGCTTCGGTATGGGCTCCAATCTGAGCCTTGAAGAAGCCGAACCAGTCTTACTGAAGGCGATTGAACTGGGATGCACTTTCTGGGATACTGCTGTTGTCTATCAAGCTGGTGTGAACGAAAAACTTCTAGGAGATTTCATCAGGAAACACAATGTTCGCGACAAAATCTTCAGTATGTTCTCACTTCATCACATTTAGATACATGGTTTGGACTGACCGTTGTCGGCAATAGTTGCTTCCAAGTGTGGCTTCGATGTCATTGGAGGAAATGGCTCGGTCACCAATTCTGCCTCCCATATCAAGAAGTACATTGAAGGCACTATTGAGAGACTCGGCTTTACTCCTGACCTGTACTATCTGCACCGTATTGACCCTAGTAAGTCGAGTGTATATGTTTGGTTTCAGGTTTCAATTTCTGATTTTAGCAGATACACCTCTTGAGGAATCTATTCCCGCTCTTGATGAAATTCGCAAGGCGGGGAAGACCAAGTATATCGGACTTTCCGAATGTTCAGCTGCCACACTACGCAAAGCGAACTCGAGTGAGTTTTCTTCCGGTCGATCCGAAAACATGGTGCTGACTGTCAATAGTTGCCAAAATCGATGCCGTTCAAGCTGAATACTCAGCGTTCGAGACACTCCATGAGACAGATGGCTTGATTGAAACAGCGAAGGAGCTGGGCGTGGCCTATGTCGCATACAGCCCACTGGGACACGGCTGGCTCGTAGATAACTTCGATTACAAATCCCCCGACGACTTTGCTCCCGATGATTTCCGTCGCAAAGGTATATATCCACTCACAAGTGCGCCCTCCAACTGAGCATACCCGCTAACACTGCTCCTTCCAATAGTCCCCAAGTTCCAAGGCGAAAACTTCTACAAGAATCAGGCCATCGTCGAGCAGATCAAGAAGATCGCTTCTCGGAAGGGCTGCAAGATTAGTCAAGTCGCGCTTGCTTGGGTTGCCTCCCAGGGACTAATCGCCATCCCAGGAACAACGAAAGCAACCCGCCTAGAGGAGAACTGGGCATCGAGAGATATTAGTCTGACTGAGGAGGAGAAGCAGGAAATGCGGAAAATTATTGATGCTGCTAAGCCGCACGGCAATAGATATTCTCCCGCACAACAGGCCTTGGTTGGCCACTAATTCAGCGGAGGGTTTTGACAGCATGACTGTCGTCGACCAACCCAGGTATTTTAGTGGATATCAAGTCATGATCCCAAATAACACATCTATTTTTTACACTGCCCTTGCCCGGCTTAAGCCTGGATGCTCAAGCTCTTATTCGCTTTGGTCCTCAATTGTGTGTTTTCACGGGCTCAAGGGTTGGATTGCTGCTGGCTACAGGCGTGAATAAACGCAAAAGCTCTCCGACACGAAGTAAATTGATTCAATATCGAAAGGTTGTTGTTAGGTTGCCCTCTTAGCGCGCGACTTCGAAGTCGCTGTAAGCTTTCGGTGAATCCCAGCACGGCCGATGAAAGTACCGAGAGATATAGAAAAGAGGACCACTCAACCGCTTTGCGCCCGCGGAGGATGCGGGATCTGGACCCTTCATGCATTGACTTTGTTTGGACAATCTTTGTCTTGTTTGCACTGAAGCCTTGGCCTGACATTTCAGGTTGCCAGTCCCCGAGGCTGCGTGGACGCCTCATGTACACTGCGAGGACTGGCATACAGGGTGGATCCGTGTACGGAGTATTGGGGATGCACCACCATTAGTTGTTGTGGAAGGAGCCTTTGGGATACTATCCCGCACAGCACAATTTATGTAAAAACAAGCTACATTGGGTAAATGAGATAATCATAATCGCTATTATTATAATCCAGTACAGCCTTCACCGTCTTCGCCCGCGAGACGCTGTCCGGCCTACCTCCCTTACCTCCTCGAGTGCCGCTTTTGAGCCTCGGGCTGGGCTTCCGGCGGGCGCGGGATCCTTTCATCGGTGAGACAACGAAGGGAGTAGCATATGAGGGCTGGCACAAGCTGGTTTAGCCAGACTTCAAGGCGTCCTTGCTCTTCGAGGATTGATGTGAAGTCGTGGGGTGTAGAGGTGCCGGAATCGAGTAACCCGCTGGCTTAGATAAATTTATTGTCTCCCCCGAGGAGGGTGCTACATTTATCCATATTGATATTAGTGAAAAATGGAAGAGAAGATAGGGGACGGCCGCCGATGAGGCAAGCTGTTGACGGTGAAGACAGCTGGTCATGAGGTACGCTGTTAATGATGATAGTGCTGATGATAATGATATTAATGTTTATAACAAAGTTGATGAGATGATGAAGAAAGATCATGAAACGCTAGAGGAGAAAAGGAGCCCATAACCTATTGGGTCGTGTAGGATGGTTGATATTCTCACTCTCTGGACTACCTATATGTAACATGTAGGTAGCCACTAGAAGGAGAAGGCGGGGAAGGGGGAGCCTGACTACCCCGGCAGCCATTGTCAACTGACGTGGTATTCAGTATAGTAGGGGTCCAATCAAGGGAGTTGAAATCTCTGTCTTTCTGTATCCACTATTCTAGCAGGAAATATGACTATCTGACTAATATCAAAAATACTGCGTGGATAGGATAAACTAAACTTCCGGTATGCCGATCTCATGCTCCGACACACCCCCTCAGCTAGGCCAGTATGGTCTAGCTGCTTCCTGCACCTAAGTCGGTATGCTATTTCTCTCCCTTTGTTGATCAAATGACCTATGCTGTCAAATAGCTCCTACTATTAGATAGCTTATATCTGTCATCCTTAATATTTTGAGGAAAGCTTTATGCTTTTGCCTGGTGAGCAACTTTATGAGTCCGTCTATAGCTATACTAGCTGTCGGCACCTATTTCACCTTGATTCTTCCTTCCCTGACTTCCTATCTAAGCTAGTGCCGATGAATATTAATATGTCGTAATTTCGTCTCGAACGCCGTATTCTCGCTAGTTAGAAGACTGATAGTGCGCTAATTGTCGCAATTAATGCTTAGTTAATAGGAAGGGATAAAACCGAGGGTATTAAGAAGTCTACGCTACTATTGTAGCTATTTTGTAGTCTCTAAGAGACCGAGGAGCTTAGCTTTAGTAGTAGAGGTGGTAACTATAGGCTACTTACTAGCCTTCTAGTCGATTAGCCCGCCGTACACCTAGTAGATATAGCTAGCGGAGCTCTTTCTATCGGGATAATCCCTATATAAGGTATTACTAGTAAATTATATAGAGTCTATTCTAGAATCTATACTATATTTAATAGCGAGATAGCGGGTAGAATTAAGATAGGTAATAACTCTATTAGCTACTTAATAGTGCTAGGGGCCTAGGTTTATTAAATATTATACTAGACGAGTAGTCGATTTTATAGTATCTAGTCTTATAATCGTAGTAGTATATCTAGTAGATCCTACCTTCTTTTAGTATAATAGGATCTCTTAGGCTATAGCTATACCCTAATATAGAGTTAGCTCTTCGATAGGTATTAGGGTATATACCGCTAGTCTATCTATAAGGTTATATTATATAGTAATACTTACTATATAGCTATCTTAATAAAGCTATAGCTTCTTTTACTACCTATCTCTAATAATACGGATATTAAGAAACTATACTACCTCTCTATAGTCTATTAATTCCTAGTATACTTCTAGATCTCGCTCTAATTATATAGCCTTTCTTTATATATCTTTATAATAAGTAATTAAGATATCGTCTATATAAAAGAAGACTATTAGTCTATTTCCGATAAAGATATAGAGGTCTTCTAGGGCTTATTATAGACCTAGTTTACGAAATATACTAGCTACTTCCTACTACTAAAGTCTAGGTAAGATCTATAGCCTATATAGTGCGCGGCGGAGTTTCTAGTATTTACCGGGTAGTCTAAACCTATTAGGTATCTAGGTATAGACCTCTTTTTCTAGTGTACTATTTAAAAAGGTAGTGATAGTATCCCGCTATCTTAGATCGAGATTAAATACGGTAATAAGGGTAAAGATTATCCTTATAGTCCTTACTACTAGTGTAGTAGCTCTCTTTTCTTCGTGCGAAATAGTCTCTAGATCTCCCCGTACGTATATACGAGCTTTAAATTTAACTAGATAACTATCTTAATCGTATTTATAGGTGAATATCTATATAAGAGGTAGTATTTACTTACCTCTATCCTTTAGTCTCTCTATAATCTTATAGGTTTCCTTTTCTATTAGAGAGTTAATCTCCTTCCTTATTACTACGAGAAAGCCTTCCTAAAATAGATAGTTTATAATATCTTTATAGTGTTTTAGGACTAGGAGGAGATCATCTTAATAACGTCTAATTTTAGGTTTCTTAGTATATAGTCCTATAGCGAAAGTATATAGTAGTGTAGGAGGGTCTTCCTCTATATCGGTAGATCTTATTATATAGATATAGTCTTTGTCTTACCTAGCTTAACGCCTTCGTTTTCTACTAATAATATTACTAGTATTAATATCTCCTATAATTTATCTACTTAGGGCGAGAAGTTCCGCCTATAGTTATCTTTCTAGCTTATTTTCTAGCTTATCTTCTATAGTAGGAATAGCTTTATTATTCTAAGCCTAGTCGCTAACTAGATCCTCTAGATCCCCTAGTATATCTACCCCCTAACTAGGGGTAGTATAGGGATCTTACGGCGGCGTGATAGGGAGCGGAGGAAGGGGTTTATCCGGAAATACGCCTAGCGGAGCTCGGGGCTTATAGATCTTAGGTATTTACTATATAATCGTAGTTTTTAGGGAGGGTAGGACCACTTACTAGTCTACCCCCTAAAGTAGGGTAGTATCTCGCTAACTAATTTCACTAGCTATCTCCCTCTACGGAGAGTTCTACTATATATTCTACTAGTTTTCTTACTAAGATCCTTACTAAGATCCTTACTAAGATCCTTACTAAGATCCTTAATGATTATAGTGCTAAGTTTCTTATAGATTATTAGACTAAGTTTCTTATAGATCTCGATAATCTCTCTCTTCTATTTCGCTAGTCTCTTAACTAGCTATTACGCGATTAAGTACTTAGGTGAACTCTTCTACGGTAATTTCCTAAGGTTCTTACTATATTAGTATTAGAATAAGCTAATATCTATTATAATTAGGGGTATATTTACGAGTTTTATTAAATATTATATCTCTAATAGGCTTCACTTTCCTATTATATAGAAACTAGATTTTCTAGATATTAGATACTATATAGCTAACTAAGAATCCGATCTTAGCTCGTAGGTTTATTTTATTAGACTAGACCTATTTATCGATCCTATAGTATACTAAACTTCTATATAGTTTGATATTTAATAGGTTAATCCTCGGCGCCTACGGTACGAACTCCTTCCGTATCTCCTCCTATAGTATAACCTAGCGGTTTTCGGTAGTGATATATATTAGCGTACGATTTAGTAACTATACCGTAGCGTTAGCGGCCTCTAGCTATAGATCTTTTAGGAGTTTTCCTTTAAGCACGAGTATACGTATATAGGTGATAATTATACTACCGGATCTTTCGGTATAACTATTTATTTCGGAATACCTTAGGGAGTTATAATATATAAGGATACTATTAGAAGTAAGGCTATATTCCGTAGGTTTTCTAGCTAAGGACTTATTATCGTATTAGAAGGCTTTAATTAGTAGATCCTATTAGTTTCTTACTAGTTCTATAAAGCGATTAATCGCTAGCTAACACTTAGGCTTTATTTTATAGGTTATTAGCTAATAAAACCTAGGACCTTCTAGGTAAAAATAAGAGATCTAGCGGTACTTATTCTCTACTAGCGGTAGCTAAATAAGATTAAAGTGCACTCTTCTAAATCGTCTAAAAGTGCGCCCGATAGCTCGTCTTAATATCTATCTTAGTGCACGACCTAGCTAGTAAGTCTAGTATAATATCTACGTTTCTATAGTCTCCTTTCCTATAGACTCTTTTCCGGTAGACTCTTTTCCTTTATTATTAAAACTAACTCTATCTACTATAATAGCGAGTTTTGCTATACTTCGTTAATTAATATAAGCTAGTCTCCGGTGCTAGATATCTAATAAGGCCTTTAATTACTAAGGTTTCACTAACTTTCTCTCTATAAAATAGGCTTACTAAGGCTATATAAGTTCTCCGGGTTAATTAAAGATCTAGAGGTTAAACTAGTCCTAAAGGTTTATATAGACGACTAGTCTATTATTAGGGTCTCTAATATAGTTTATACGCTAGCACTATATCCCGCCCTTCTTTTTTAGTATAGAATAGGATACTAGGTTTATATAGAAACTAGGGGAATAGAGGGTATCACTAAGTATAATCTCTATTTTACCTTTTATTAGATATCTACCTACTAGTCTAACCTTCCCCTTTCCTAGTACCTAGGTGGTACTATCTCCCGTCGTAAGATCCGAAATCTAGGGTATAAAGTCGATAAAAAGGTCTCTATTATTATAGATATAGGTGCTAGATCCTATATTAAGGATCTACCTATCTTTTAAGATAGGTTCTCTATTTTTAGTAAGGGAGAGGGCGTATTTATAGTTTTATATTAGCCCCCCTACTATATAATATAGGGCTTAAGAGTGGTAGCAAAGCTTACTTAATCTTTAAACTCTCCCTTCTAAGGTTACTAATATTACTATATAGGGGTGGTAGCGAAGCTCACTTAATTTATAAACTCTTCCTTCTAAGGTTACTAAGTTTACTAAGTTTACTATACCTTTTCTACCTTCTTTTCTACCTATTTCTTCTAAGTAGGCTCTTTAGCGAGTTTTTGCTTAATCTTTTCTAGCTTTCTAGGGTTAATATAGGTCCCTTCGGGGCGGTTTTCCTTATTAAGATACTAGTATATTACTATTTTATATAAATAGTAGGGGTTCCTATATAGGTACCTCCTCTTTTTAAATAGGATTACCTTCTTAGTTTAGGACTAGGACTTTGCTTCTTAGTGTCCCTACTAGGTTAAAAATGCCCTTTTTAGGGGTGTAGTAGATAATACCTTTTATACCCCTATTTCTCGATTTATTACGCGGAACGACTCGAGGAGATCACGGGTTTAATAGACTTTCTTATCTATAACGATCTCTTAATATCTTCCTTACTACTAAATAGGTAAGACCTCTTTAATAGTATATAGGAAGTCCCTATTTACGTCTCTATTATTAATACCGAGACTAATAGCTTACTCCCTTAGGGTATTCTATTATTTAAGCTATTATTCGATATCTCTAGTCGGCTTTTAGATAGCGAAGATCTTCCACTTTATTCGGACTTCCTCCTCGTATATAGTCGATCTCGCGAAGCGATCTCTTAGGTATACTAGTCTCTTATACGGGGTCTAATAGTCAGTGATAGCGGTATAGTAGATTAGGTCTAGGAAGGTATAAATATAGTTATTTATATTAGAAAGCCCTTTTATCTCCCTATCCTATTTCGATTAGTCCACTTTAAAGATGTCCATTTTATCTCTCTAATCTCTTTTATCTAATTCGGTCCCTCCGTAGGGGTATTCCGGCCTAATAGGCTCTTCTTTCCTAACCGGTCTCTCTATCGGGGGGGTATCTAGGTTATAGTGCTTCCAGACTTATTTTTATATCGTATATAGCTTTACCCGGGCGAACCAGGTGCGCTATTAGGGCGAGTCCTTCAGTTTTTCGCCCTTTGTGGCGGAGAGAATTGTTAATGCTTCTATTGTTAGGGTTAGGTGCTGTATAGCCTCAGCAGGCTACTATACAGCTTTTTGGAGGTTTTCAGGTGCTGATAGGCGCTATATCTTGCGAATAACGGCCTTATTTCGTGCGAACCGGGCTCATAACTGTCAACTGACGTGGTATTTAGTATAGTAGGGGTCCAATCAAGGGAGTTGAAATCTCTGTCTTTCTGTATCCACTATTCTAGCAGGAAATATGACTATCTGACTAATATCAAAAATACTGCGTGGACAGGATAAACTAAACTTCCGGTATGCCGATCTCATGCTCCGACAGCCATGAGCGTCCCAACACCATCTACTGCACCATCATCTCTACCATTATATTAAGCCACTCCAAACCTACCGGGGCCGGCAGACAAATCATGATCCACCATTATTCTAGAACAACTGAATGGATGGGTTTCCACGATCAGAGTAACCGGCATAGTCCACAAAAATTATCGTTGATGTCAAAACCCATGGGACAGATACTGCAAAGCCATCATCGATGAGTGACTCAAGATCAGATTAGATACAATCTGGTGATCCATTTGATTGATAAATCCTATTCTTTGCTAACCCGCATGACCATTGGCTCGTTCTATATAGAGTTTCAATTAATCCTCCGATGAACCCGAAAAGCACCAGATCAAGCTTTTGCTCCGAGTCAGTCGCACGGTCTTTGGTAACCACCAACGACCGAGGAAGGGAACGGGTGAAAGTTACACGAGGCGAAGATGGGCTAGACTGATGTCAGAATTCAGACGCGATCAATAAATAGACTCTGGGATGAAATGTCGCCGCTTCAAACGCGCTCATACGATGAGATATCCGTGGATGATCCACCCCGCCGGGATCGCGACAAGCTTTAGTCCCTGCCTTTCATAGACCATGACGGAAGAGGCTTCGTTAGTTCTACGGGAGGACGAGCTAAGAGAAAGCAAGATTGGGCTCGGGGGATCATGGATCCTGGCTTACAGATATCTGATCGAGATCAGATAACAGGCGTTAAAGTTAAATCTGCATGGGCGGAAGGCAAAAGATCTGTGGTTCCATGGTGTTCAATTGAGTTAAGCTGACGAGCTTCCGAGACAAAAAGCAAGATAAAAGAGACTGGCGGGATACCTTAGGTAGGCCACACAGTCTCATCTAATAATTGGTCGTCACTTCGGGCGCCAATGAGAGCCCTTACCATCTTTAAGGTTTGCGGTCATGTTGGAACCTTGCTTGCACTACGTGGACAAAATAGGCGCATAGCTCGCTTCTTGCTAGAAAAGAGTACGGAGTAAGAGGAACGAAATCGTAGTGGGACGGATACTGCCATAGCCTGCATATACAACCTCAGATCGTGAAGTCGAGAACATCGTACGGCCTACTCCGTGTCGTTGACGCAAACGGGGTACCGCATCAGGCAGGTAGCTGAACGAGGAAACTGCGACCCTGGAAGCCTCGGGCAAAGGTTACGCTAGTCCCGATTTAGAAAGCAACTTCAATACCAGCCAATCAGCGTTGTGGATTTGCCACCGACAGGGACGAATGGTCGGCGATCATCCGCCACTGCAACCCTTGATTGGAACAGCTCCCAGATGGAGGATCCACCCATCCCGAGATTTATCTGATCTCAACGCATCGGGGTCTCCGACCTGAGAGCCAGGCAAAGGAGGGAAAAAACTGGAGACGATCTCGGTGGGCCAACTGCGGGAATTTCTCGCCTGGAAGCTCTCGGGCCTCTGCTCTTCCAGATCCCAAAATATAGGCAAAAGATCTCCTTCCGACACTGCAGATCTTTCCGCTCTTCTTTCCTCCACCCTCCTGTTTCGCCTAGGAATCATTGCCCAACCTCACCTTGCCTCTCTGGAAGCGACTGAGGATCAAATACACGATCCAAGCTTCCTGTGGCCCGATTAAAGGGAGCCATCAGTAATGGGCGTTCCCGAGGCCGATCGAGGCCACGATGACGATACAAGCCTCGACCGAACTATAGCTGGAGAGGGGCCTCAAAACTCGAAAAATGAAAAATGGGATGCAACTGGGAACAAAGTCGGCGCTGGCTCGCCGTTACACGATCCAGAAGCACCACCTTTCTCGGAGGGCTCCCATGGGGGCGACGTGATTGACGATGCGAAGGAATTGGCACAACACCCAGACAGTGTTACAGAGGGTGCTGAGTTGGGTCAACAAAAGGCGGAGGCAGCTGCTCTTGCTTGGAGTTGGCCAGCTTTGGTTCTCATATATGCTTGGTACGTCGACCACAGCTTATTTGCCTCGAGAGACTTGTGATCAAACTCATTTTCTGACAATCATTGAACCCACAGGATCTGGATCTGTACTTTTATGTTGGCTTTCCACTCGAATATTAGCAGCTTTTTGATCAACTACATACAGGGAGGTTTCCGGTCCGCGCCGCAGGTCTCAACCTCCTACATCCTCGCGAATATCGTGGGCGGCGTTCTGAAACTTCCGCTGGGCAAAACCTTGAATCTGTGGGGTCGTGCTGAGGCCCTGGTGGTCTCAACCGGAGTTTACCTTCTTGGCATGATTATCCTCACTTCGTGCAACGGTCCCAATGGATATGCAGCTGGATATGTCCTTTACTGGATTGGCTACTACTGCTTGTATTTGATTTTGAATATCTTCGTCGCCGATACATCGGGGCTGAGAAACCGAGCGTTTGCCTTTGGTTTCATGCAGACTCCGTTCATATGTACCGCGTTCACTGGTGGACTCGCGGCGGACTCAATATACGAGAAATACGGATGGCGCTGGGGTTATGGCATATTCTGCATCGTGATGCCATTTGCGTTCTTGCCCCTTGCTATGGTTTTCAAGTACTTCGAAAAGAAGGCCGAGAAAAAGGGCATCTTTCGCCGACAGCCTAGTGGTCGCACTGTGAAACAATCCATTGTGCACTATATCCATGAGTTTGATGGTAAGTTCTGCCCAACTCAAAGCTTGGTATATTTATACTAACATTTCATAATCAGTGATTGGTGCTTTCTTGTTAATGGCTGGTTGGGTGATGTTCCTCCTACCGTTCAGTCTGGCGCAATATGGCCGCTCTCAGTATTCAAGCGCAAGCTTTATTGCTCTCCTTATCGTCGGTGTCTTCGTGTTAGCACTCTTCGCAGCGTGGGAGAAATGGTGTGCACGAACCCACTTTATCCGCTACGAGCTGATCAAGCGCCCAACCATTCTAGGCGCTTGTATACTAGCCTCGGTGCTATTTTTCAGTTTCGAGCTCTGGGATCAATACTTCTACAACTACGTCCTGATCTCCTATGATATATCCGCAGTTGAAGCAAATTATATGCTCCAGATCTACAACGTTGGGTCTTGCTTCTTCTCGCCTATCATCGGTGCCGTCATCTGGGCCACTTCGCACTTCAAATATATCTGCTTGTTCTTTGGTGCACCGCTCATGATCCTCGGCTCCGGACTGATGATCTATTTCCGTGGTGCAGATCACGGGATCGGCTACGTGGTCATGTGTCAGATATTCATTGCCTTCGCCGGTGGCACCCTGGTCATCGGCGAAGATATGGCTGTGATGGCCGCCGGTGGTCGCGAGGGCACTCCGATGATGCTGGCCCTCATCGGATTGTTCTCGAACATCGGCGGTGCGATTGGCCTTGCTGTTGGTGCTGCCATCTACAACAACGTCTTTGTCAATACCCTCACGGCACAGCTGCCGGACGATTTGAAGTCGAACGCCACTCAAATCTACTTCGATGGCATCAAGGCGCAGGCGACATACCCCTGGGGTAGCCCCCTTCGCGAAGCGGTCGCATATACCTGGGGCTATGCCCAGCGTTTGAACTGCATTGCTTCCACAGCGATCTTGGCTTTGACTATACCTTGTATTCTGGTCTGGAAGAACTACAATGTTAACCAGAAGCAGAACAAGGGTAAAATGATATTCTGAACGGACCCCTCATTGTACAGTATACCCGGTTATGATATACGGGTTGGGGGATTCTGTTCATATCTCATCTTTTATTTTTCGGCTGTGAACAGGTGTTGCACTCTCCGTTCTGCCGAGAATGGCGCCCCGTCGATGTACATTCGTTGTAATTATCTTGTTAGGTGACCCTACTCTCGTATATATCGCATTATCTTACCGTTGAGGTGGCTATGTAGTATTCATCTAACACACAGAGCAACAATCGTTAACATTTGATTGTTTATTCCGTATCGAAGATGCTAAGATATCCGTCACTGCTGTCTGTCATAAATTTGAACTAGATATTTCTTAAGTCCCAACTTTTGATTAGCCAGTCTCATTAAGACCAGGGTCCAAGTAGAGGCACCCAATCCCCGCCCTACTTCACTCTATTCCGAGGAATCTGAAACTGTCACTTTGAAATTGTGCTGCAGAGTTGGTGCATTTCTAGCGTCTTCAATGATCAGCCTTGTGCTGGTGGCAAGGGGACAAATCTGAGATCAAACCCGGATCCAATCTCACGCGGTATCATCTCACAAAAGACAGGAGAAGAAGTATTCTCATTTTATAATCACGAATTGGATCCTTACATCCACAATATCGTTAAAAACAACGATAGTTTACTAGCATCCAGGGACGCTCATCCTTTCTAACTATCGCAGACATGCACGGTACAGTGTCTGCCTTCTGTATTGGACCAGAGAGGCACAGCGATCTGCTAAGTATTCTCAAACAAACATACATTTGATGACGTCTGCGCTTTGTGTATTGGGGTTTTATAGCTGAACGAAGTCTCTACCGCGCCCAATAGCTTAGGTCAGTACCGACGGGACCTACCTAGGTACTATCTAGGCTCTTGTCTGTTCTTATACTGAGTTGGTAAAGCTGTTCGCATATATTCGGAACTCGATTCACACAGATGTTTCACAAAGATGTCTCACACGAAATGAGCCTGCGATGACCGTATCTGAATATACTGGCTTGTATACTTGTGTGATCACCACTGCTCCCTCGTCCACGGGAGGCCCCTCTCACAGGCGATTTCCACCGATTAAGACCGCCACGAGTCTCCTCCAAAGTGGCCTTACCAATTCTTCCGATCTGAGTTTGATCAGTCAGATTGCGCTGTGATCGATCACCAGTCGTGATTTTGACGTGTTCGGTGCTGACACTGAATCGTGCGCCCCAGGCCAGCGATTAGCTTAGCTGGCGCAGCTAAATGCTAGCCACGATGGATGGTCGGAGCAATGGCTCACCGCACTTTCTTTCACAGAAGGAACATATTCATTCTCGCGTCACGTTTCTGATCTTTACTTCTGTTCTGCAAAGTTATATCCGCCCTCACATACATTTCGTGGATCCTCGTCGGACACCCAGAATACCAGATCTGGATCTCCGTCCGATCTCATGATCATTGATAACCAAGCATCTTTGTGGCTTGGAAAACTACCAACTTACATTGGGACCATGGTGGCGTTTGCTGGCGTCTGCTTGGTGAAGGCCTCCCGTCAGCCAGGGCCATGGGCGTATGACTCGCAAGGATGAGGGTATTCCCAGCTACCTTCATTAATTACTCCATTTTCTCCGTTCGTGTTTAGTCGTCGATGACCCCACACACCTTTGCTGATCGTTGCCAAGAGCCTGGAAACCGCCACTACTGGCGTGGCAGGGGAACATGGCCAAGACTCTCTACCTTGGAGTCATATGCAAGATTTGGATTTTGATCTAAGATCCTTTGACATGTCCACTAACGATCCGTCGGATCCTTGCTCTGATAGCCATACGACGCTTTCTATGTGAAGTTCCGTTTCAGACCCGTTTATGTGTTTAGGGGGTATTCCGACTTGTCTTGGTCGATTCCCAAATCAAAGTGCATTGGATCAAGACTGGAAACAGGGATCTGAGAAGGGGAATTGCTATCTGAGCCAACTGCCCCTCGACCCGAGGTCAGGTCGGCATCTCTGTGCCGAGATCGAAATACCCGACCAATCATGGCGTGGGACGGAGGCTGATGTAGGATTCTAGGCGTCGTTAGCTGCAGAGCCAAGGATTCAAGCCACGAGTTTGGGAGGTCGGAGCTTCGCCGGTGCATAAGATTTGTGCATTTGCCTGAGTTGAACGCCAATTGCGGACACGACTTTGCGGGGAGAAACATTCTCCACGGATCCATAGTGCGGGGAAGAGACCCCTTTCTACAGATTTCTCGACGTGGGGATTCATTGCCAAAGCCATTTCGCTTTGCGCCTTGGAGTCGTTCCATCCAGAACGCCCGGACCCCTCAATCAGTTGGGCTCATCTTCTCACCCCGTATTCCCCCTTATGTCCATTCCGACCGATATCCCCGGGGTTATGCATTGCAGCCCGGGTCTGTGAGGCCCGCGGCATACATTGTGACCTTAACGAAATTTAGAATCCGTCCAATGAATGCGTTCAACTAGAGCCTGGGGGCCAACTACAAGATAGGTCCCATTGTCTGAGGACATTGTGCAGCGCGGTGGGAATCCCGAAGCTAGTGACATTGACCAGGCTTGTTTCTGGTTAGAGCGTGATTGGGGGGTTCCTGTGGGCTCCTGTCTCTTTCGCCTTTCCTTTCTTCCTCATCTCTCTTCATACTTTGCTGTCTGTGGCTTCAACGATCCTATCATCCATGCCAAACTGCCCGTCCTGTGTGACCTCGTCTTATACAGAAATCGCATATATCAACCGAAGGAACAGGGACCGGCGCAAAGGTGCCCCACGAGAGGATAGTGCCGCTTGATTTCTCTTTTCTCAAAATGAACGATGGAGAAGGTAAGCGCCTTTCTTATTTCACATCAAACCGACGAAGGGAAGATGTGCAATACCTAATTCATGCAGCAACTCCTTCTGTCGATGGATCGACACCAACAGCAAGCAGTCCGGTAATAAGCCGCGTTGATGACGAAAAGCCTATAGTCAGCAACACTGCCCAGGAGACGGATCTCGAGAGCGGGCTGGCCAAGCAACGAAGCGTAGAAAAAGCGGCAACCGTCGTTGACCCGAATATCGTCGATTGGGACGGTCCAGATGACCCCGAGAATCCCCTCAACTGGCCAATGAAGAAGAAAATCGGCGCGACAGTTTCGATCTCGGTGATCACGCTTCTGACGTATGAAAATGCTCTCTCTATCACCTTGAACCAAAGCTAATACTCTGCACGCGAACAGCCCTTTAGGATCATCAATGTTTGCTCCCGGCGTCCCTGAGCTAGTGAAAGACTTTGGGGTCACCAACATCGAGCTGTCATCGTTCGTGGTCTCGGTCTATCTGTTGGGATACTGCTTTGGGCCCCTGCTAATTGCACCTATATCGGAAATGTACGGCCGACAGTACATCTATACGGGTTGCAACATTCTATATGTGATCTGGACTATCTGTTGCGCAGTGGCACCCGAGATCGGCAGTCTGATTATCTTTCGATTCCTCGCTGGCTTTGCTGGTAGTTGCCCACTGACTATTGGCGCCGGCTCGATTGCCGATATGTTCGTACAGGAGAAGAGAGGCAGTGCTATGGCAGCTTGGTCTCTTGGTCCTATGATCGGACCGGTCATCGGTCCAGTTGGTATGTCTACAGATTGTCGTCTTTTGGTAATTTGATTGCTAATATCAGCTAGCCGGTTCGTACCTCGCCCAAGCAAAGGGCTGGAGATGGACCTTTTGGGTCCTCTCTATTGCTGTAAGTCGCGACCATGATCCGAGGCACGGGAACATACTAATATATCTGGATAGAGTGGAGCTATTGCAATCAGCTCAGTATTTACAATTCGTGAATCCTATGCCCCTACTATCCTGCAGCGCAAAACCAAGCGACTCCAAAAGGAAACCGGAAACATGAACCTGCGCTCTGCACAAGACACAGGTCGTACACCGAAGGAGCTATTCCTCGTCTCCATCGTGCGACCTACCAAAATGCTCTTCTGCTCTCCAATCGTCTTCCTTCTCTCGCTTTACGTCGGTGTGATCTATGGATACCTATACTTGTTGTTCACAACTATCACCACTGTATTCACATCACAGTACGGTTTCTCCCAGGGCACAGTTGGTCTTACATATCTTGGTATGGGCGTTGGCTCTTTCATCGGTCTCGCCATACTAGGATCAACATCTGACAAATTACTCAATTATCTATCCACCAAGCATGGCGGGCCAAAGCCCGAGTACCGTCTTCCGCCTATGATCCCCGGATCTATCTTCGTTCCCATCTCGCTATTCATGTACGGCTGGAGTGCTTATTATCAAACTCACTGGATCGTGCCTATCATCGGAACCTCCTTCCTAGGTATCGGAATGCTGATGACCTTCGTGCGTAACATCCCTACTATCCCGGAATTTACTTTTTGCTGCGAATTGACTGACTGATACTTGAACTGGCTGTTTAGATGTGTGTCAGTACCTATCTGGTCGATGCGTTCACAGTCTACGCTGCTTCCGCTATGGCGGCCAATACAGTGTTCCGTTCCCTGGCCGGTGCCATGCTTCCTCTCGCCGGACCAAGAATGTATGAGACTCTCGGACTTGGCTGGGGAAATTCCCTGCTTGGGTTCATTGCTCTGGCCTTTTGTGCGCTGCCCGTGGTGTTCTGGGTGTATGGTGAGCGCATAAGAACTCACCCGAGATTCCAGCTGAACCTCTAGTTGGATCGTTGGATCGTAGTACGAAGTACTCTCTCCGCTCATTTTCCATTGCATCCAATGGTGTTCTCGATGCAGAAAAGACCAGACAAATAGTTTCTGAGAGCATGGACTGGCGCAACGATTGTTTGATTTATAAACCAATAGCAAAGTATTTGTCATTCAAAGCCTCTAGCCGCTAATTGCGCTGATTAAATATTAACCCCGGCGTTACCCTGTGGATAAGGCTTGAACCTATCAAATCTCTCGCTACTGTAGCAGATTGCCGCGACTATCCGCGATTTTTGACTGTACCAGCCAGCCGATATTGCCGAGGTACCTATGCAGACAGAGAAACAGTCACTAAACCCTCAATCACTAGGACCTACGTGAACTGTATAGTGGCCAGGGGTCGTATGGGATTAAAGTCAGAGTTTCTGCCTGAAATCGCTTTACTTTAGCCTGATTTTATAACATTTTTCACCCCGCTCTAGACAGTGTACTGTAAATACATAGTATATCTAAGGTGAGGGATTCTTGTGTATATATCCTTTGAGCGAGTTGATCCCCATCAGTCCCAATAGACTTAGTTATAGCTAAGCGCCGGCCGTTCAAGGTTGGGATTTCGGGTGAGCTCCACAACTCAGAGACGAGGTCAAATGCGGAGTAAACTTCAAATGTTTTCAACCCACGAATGCCATCCTCCTCATACACCTTGTCCAACCTCTATATAATATCATATATCATAAGAGATAACGATAGAAGCAAAGCATGGCAAGTTGGGCAGACAGAGAGGAACCCTGGCACCCTTCCCCCCCCCCCCCCCCCCCCCACGCCGCGACTGTAACACCCACCGACGTGATCAAAGTGACAACTCAGTATTATCAGGCCAACACATCAGCCTTGGAGCCTTGGGCCACACTTGGAGTGCATCGACATGATACCTGGGAGCTTTGTATTTTAGTGAGCCTGGTCACGCCTCCACATGAAGGTTGAGCTGAGATGCATGTACAACAAAGCATGAGAATCCAGGCCCATCATAGCCCGACCTTCCCCTCTCCCCCGCAAAGCCTGTGGGCTGGAAAGCACTAGTTCTGGTGATATATTAATCATGTCTCCCTTTCTTAGGCATTCATCCGCCTCGGTCTTTCAGATGGGATCTACCTAGATACCTAGGTGCTTATACAAACCGGCGTTTATCGGCATTTGCCCGTATTTCGAATACTCGCAGCCATGCAATCCCGAGTAAGGTATCTGGCTATCCTTGGCGTCCTTGCTCATAGACTCATGTTTCGACCCGATCTTAGCCTTCCATAACGTCCGATACCTCCCCATGCTTAGGGAATAACCCTAGAGAGCACGCGTCCTACACCGTAACTTCGGTTCAAGAACAGCTCCACGATTACCGTCGCACCTTTACCCTGTCGTCAGACCGCTGTCCAATTATGTCGAGTCTAAACCTTCTCAATGGCCGATGAGCCCGACAAAGGCCCCGATTCCGTACCACATCCAGTTTCGTGGCTGAGACACTGAGACTAGGGTCTAATTGTCGTACAATTGGGACATCTTGAGGACTATCTGAGGATATAAAACGGTATACCGACAATGATCCAGCACTAAGATCACAAAAGGACTGCCTTGAGCTCGACTCTGGTTGGCCGAGCCTCGGGGTGGAGAGGGATATGGCCGCGAAGAAAGAACACTAACATCACTAGACTCTCTAACCATCCTTCTCCTCCCATCTCGTACCTCCGAACCTACCTCATCTGTATCCATCAACAGACATATCCTATCCTCCCCTCCGTTCGTACCTCACCCTTCGGCCTTGGGGTCCATACCACACAGAGGACATCCATTTCTTTGTGCCGGGAACTTGATGCTAGTTGAAGCTGCAGGAGCCAAAGCTACAGCGGGCACTAAGCTCGGCCATATCATAAGCTCCGAATTGATATACTGGTCATCAAGCCTACGTGTGCCCAGACACTTCGCATTCGACCCATCACGGTCCTCGACAGCACGCCGCATGTCGATTCCATCGCCGAAAGTGAAGAATGGGCTTTTAGGAAGGGCGATCATCGTCAACTCGCGGACAATTCATACAAGTTGAGACTTCTGTCAGAAACGGGAGGTCCTTCGTTCCACTTCACCCAATTGCAGTGAGTCCTGCAACATGGTCATTTCTACCAGAATTCAGCGTGGATTCTAACACAGAAGACCTCTAATGGTCCCTCGCCGTAAAATGGGGTTGGATTCGGATATCGGGTTTGTACTGGTGTTGGGCTAGCGCGAAACTCACTGTTTATGAAGATACCGTTGTGGGTTTGGAAATTTAAGCTTAGCCTAGTATGAAGCTAATGAAAATGAGATATCAGAAGATAATTTGACGTATATACTGGAATTCAAACCACGAGGAAAGGTCAGATGTAGTTTGGTGTATGTTTCGCGGTGAGGCGTACTTTCCTTAGCAGACAGATGAAGGGACTTCCCCCCCCCCCCGATTTGTAGATAAAGGACGTGGCGTCTGAAAGGACATACATATCTCAACCTGCATAAATACCTGCATGTCAAGATGCGCTCCGTCCGACGGTATTTCCTTCTATGGCCTTCTAATCCCGATGGTCGAGGCTGAGCATGGTACCCAACGTATCTTGCGACGAGAAGGCACCGAACCGGGTCCACAAATGAAATGACGATATTCATGACACCCGGGATACCATCGAAGGGCAGAGACCCATTTCCTGCAGAACAGGGCGCAGCAGCCAATGCGTTGAATTCCAGTTTTCGACCTGAACCAGACACATTCTAAGCGACTCGGGCTGGCCTATTGCTGTATGCTGGAAACTCATTTAAAATATGATGGTCATGTTGAGATGAGAGAGAACCGCCATCAACTCAGAGCCGAGCAATGTCTGCTTATGTGCATCTATAAACAAGAGACCCTTTACTTAGTATCTGTTCACGACTGTTCAACGTCGTGTTGGAGGTGACTAACCGGTTATAGTCAACAGTAGAGCAAGCCCTGAAAGCCACTCCCAATTCAAAAAAGCCCTCTCACCTGTCATTGGAACCTGCTAATGACATGGATTGTCGCACTGACGGGGTAGACCAGGGGCAGACCGGCGACATCAAGGCAAATGGACCCGCAGGTGCAGCGTAAATATGGTTGGTTCCAAAGTTACGAGGCTTCCTTTCAACCAATTATTGTCCTCGCATGCGGCGACACATGCTGCAAATGGGGGGATAATGCTCGGACTACTCCGTAAATTGTCCTAAGTTAAGGGGTTGCCTGAATTCGAACCGCTGCGGCTGGGTCGCTCTCTTAGATTGGACTAATATGGGGTCGCAAGGGAAATAAATCCACAGTAATTAACCGCCACGGCCTGTCTATTGCGAGTGGGAAGAGTTGAACCTGGAAACGTGAGTTGTCACCGCTGTTGGGCTTTCTTCTGACGAAACTGGACAATTTGGTGAACTTATTTTTTGTGAATATTTAAACCCCTTCCTCTCACATTGGCAATCAGATTGCAACTCCTCTTTCGATTCCTGTTCTAATCTTGATTCTTTACCTCTTCATCTAGTGCTCCTTGTACTGGCCTTGATGACGCCGTTTTCACCATCCGGTGGTTCCCCGGGCTACCCGGGCCCATATCGTCGGCACGGGCCCGATACTCGGCTCGCCCGTGGTGGTGGCCCATCAGCTACACAGACACCTACTCCTACGAGGATACCTTTGACATTCCCCGCGGATTATAGCGCTCTCTATGCCTCCGTACCGAATGCTTCAGAGCTGCTGGCTCCTAGCTCAGCCCACGGTGCCTCGACCTTCCCTGGCATTATTGGTCCTATGTCAACCATTCATAGTAATATGAATACCAATCAATTTTTATCCGCTACATGGAATGCTGCACCACACATCCCGAACGTAGACTTTCCCAATACAGACTAGGACACTGTCAGTCCGTATTGGGAGTCTCCTTCTCCGTCGCAGCTGTCCGGGAACCCTTCAACTCATGTTTCCAGGGAAAACCTGAGCGGTGATTATCAAGCGGGCGAACAAGAGTAAGTTATCTACAACAATATTGGAACTCAGTATTAACGAATTCTTTCTAGGCACCGTGAAGCCCGTTTCAGCTGCGAATGGGGAAACTGCAAGTGGACCGGCGGGTTTTCCAGCCGAGAAGTCTTGATGCGTCATGTCAGAACGCAACACGTCTATTCGCAGTCCATCAGATGCCGTAATTGTGGTAAGCTCTTCAATCGCCTCGATAATATGAAGGAGCATCTCGGAAGGATTCATCGTGAATTTATCTAGAACGGGGGTGGGGGAGTTTTGGGGAGTTTTGGGGAGTTGGACGAGGGCCGGGGCTGAGAATCGAGAATTGCAGTTCGCCGATATTGTATTCAACATACAGCTTGACTTTTTTGGTGCCTTTTTTTTGTGAATTGCATGTCTATATCTGGAGGATCTGGGCGCAGGAGGCCATCCCTGCCTGCCTAGGGCTCAGGAAGGTCCCTTTGCTCTGTGAGGCGCCAGACCAGAGGGCCCCCCTAGGGCTCCCAGCAAAGAGCGGACTTTGGACACCTGCATATTTATGGAGTACTCCTGAGCTAATGAAATTGACATTTTTCGTTCTCATCGTCCCTGCGCAGGGAAGAATAAACACGCTTTAGCTTGGTGACATGGCCTAGATTCGAGCGGCTGCTAAATCTGATGATATTGAGAGGCCCGTCACCCTCCTCGGTGTATTAAAAAAATGACCAGGGAAATTCAGAAGGGGAAACAGTTTCCTTGCTCCACTGGGCGATAGCAAGTAACTCATTCTCTATCGTTGAATGTCATTTCAATCATCGAGTCCCTATGGTACAGGACTTTTCGTGGAAGCGGCCAAAAGCACGCCAAATACTGTAGGCTTTTCCTGACCATGAATGGGATATAAAGACACCGATTGATTCGAACCCGCCTCATGCAATAGCGAAGGCAAGTATATCAATCACTCTGGTTGATGCTGCTAATTGATGTGAGATCTTCTTTCCAGAGTGGTAATTTGACCATGTGGTTGTTAGATGATCGACTCCGAGATTTAGATTCTCTACTTCCAAATGGTTTGCGAATTGACAACCTCATGCATCAAGTCTCCGAGGCAGATTATGAACATGACATGTTCAGCGTTGTTGATATCCCACTTCATTATGCCGCGGAAAGAGGCCTATTCGACTATAAAATTGCTGGTTGAGAGGGTTGTAGAATATATATATCCATGGGATATTTTGAGATGTTTCATGTAATTAAAGGGGTACACATTGAGCGTCCACATGCGCGAATAGATAAGGAAAGCTGGGTATAGACACATGGAAGCAGAATTTGACAGAATTAATGCGTTCTAATAAGAATTTGGACGAAAGAAAGGACTGAAGGTCAACTTCAAATGGAGCATCACTCACGAGGTGACGAATCAGTCCCGAGGAATGATGTCGGTTCTAGCTCATGGCGCTGGTATTGATTGGAGTCTGCCTCGAAGATAGGCTTGGAACCACCCATTTCCAGAATATTATTCGACCCATCTGCCTCCACGATGGGGTGCGATGCGTCTGCTTCCACGAGTGGATTCAAGGCAGCCCGTTGACTCCAAGGGCGGGAGCCGACTTCACCTAGTGGCTGTGGTTTGTTTCCATCTGTCGATTTTCCTTCTTCTAACCTCTGAGCGAGATGTCCAGACAATAGACAAAACCCAAGAAGGCTGCCGTATATTCCAATGCAGAAGAAAATTTCCAAAAAGGATGTCGCAGTGGCTGAGTCGTACTGTCCTTTGTCGTCCCAGTCCCATACTCTCGCAAACCAGCGAATATTATCAACCGCCCGCATGAAATTGAGCACGGAGAAGATGGTACTACTGCAAAGCAGAGCAAGAGCAGGTTTCTGTCCATAGAGTCAATCGTGCTTCGTGATACGAGCTGGTTCTGACTTACCTTTATGATTGATCCACTTTTCATTGCTCTGACGAACACATATATGGCCAGTGCTGTAACCTCCCACGAGGCTACCCAGTAGACAACGTCCAATGTAATTGTTATGGCCTCGTAGACTCTTATCAGCTCATATATTCCAAAGCTGAAGACAATCCATATCACAAAGTCGGCAACACTTAAAACGACGATGATCCCCATAATGACCCAGTGGAAGATCCTGAGTGCAGTCGGCGGTCTGCCTCCGCGTGCGGTCATTCCCAAAGTCATATGGATAAGTCGATAGAAGGTGGCGAATAACAGACATATAGCCGCATACATGAAGAAAAAGCAAATGACTTGATAAACCGAGCCCAACATGGCCACCGGGCCGCTGATAAGACTTGTGATGGCCAACACAAGGTACCAGATGTAATACCTACGAGAAAGGGATTGCAATCAGCGCTGCGCTCGCAACGGATGTGTCCTTTGGGTGAAGATCTGACGACACCCTGATGAGTACTCACCAAACCCACGCCCAAATAGCAGCCATAACCAACCATATTGGTATGATCTTCCAGTCAACACCTCTCTGTCGACGCATTACCAGAACGGCGGAACAGGCCAAAAGTGAACTGACCACCATGCAGTCTAGCACGATGAGTGCAATGATCACTTTTAACGAGTTCGCGAAATAATTGACTGGGAGTACTTGCACCATCTTCACAGAGCTTCAAGGAGCAAGAGAGAACATCTAAAGTGCGACGTGTGCGGAGGATCATGAGTGTTCAATATATTCGCCAAGCTTTGGAGCGAGCCTCGTGGCTGACGGCAGACAGGAAGGCTAGGGCATTCTTGTTGATCCTCTTGGTTGGCCAGTTGTTGGATATTTCGGTGGGTACGGAATACAGCAGGCTGTTAGCTTGATTCGTGATGGGTCCATGTTTATCACCTGTGATCGGGCCTCTTTAAACGCATATCTCGATTTTGGCCCCCAGCCTTGCGCGGAATGCAGAATCAGGGTTTTGGTATGGCATCGGATTATTGAATATGGCGATGCTTTTCTTGCATAAAGCCCCTGAAGTTTTGATTGTAAATATTTTTATTAAGAAATTTGAAGTAGAAAGCGGGTTTGACAGTAAGCAGTCTTGGTCTCCGAGTTGAGACGCGGGAGGCGTAAAAGTGATCGACACGCCCGCTCAGCCTTGGAGGCGAAACATGTCGAGAACCGAGTTTGCATTGCCCTGTCGTGTCAAACCACATTGGGGTGCGCGTATGACGTAGGATATTGTCGGTTTTATTGCCAAGTTAATAGACTGGTGTGCACATCTATACCGCTGAATCGGGATTCTTAAAGTACCATCCTAACAATATTAGGCTCATTATCCGGGGTATCCATATTCAGTGTCTCCCCCATCACATAGTAGATCATGATTTATTCATACAGTGTTCCTAGATAGTGATATTCTTTAAGCGAGGTGCATCCCAAATCTGCGGAGGTCTATAGATTGTTGTTTATAGTCACGACTCCCCACTGTGCAGCGGTTTGAACCCTAACTCCGAGTGCCTTGAATCCATTTCAGTTCCTAGGTGACTATCACAAGCCTAATCATCCTCCTCGCCGCCGTCAACCGTGGTTCTTTGCATTAAAACGCGTTGAAGGAAGCGTGGAACACCGAATAATCCCACAAGTCTTCCGAGCTTCCCTTGGATATGGTGAGATGGCTGTCTACGGGACTACGATATAGGGAGTAATTTCAACCCCGTACTCCGAATGTATAAATGGACCTAGGTAACTGAGGCCCGGTGAAAGGCCGAGGCTGCCTGTATAATTTCCGTTTTGCTTTTTTCAAGGCCCAAAGTGGTTACATAAGCACCAATGGCCCTACCTGGAGCCCCGGAGCGTCGGCGCCTCCAGGTACCCGCGAAGGACACTGTCGCTGCCCAATCAGGCCCTGTCATGGGCAGATCCCCCAGAAAGGGACCGAGGTCGGCATGCGGATCGAATTGATCCGAGATATGACTTGGGCTGAGGCTTGTGGAATTTTTTTTTTTTTTCATGTTTCTTGCTTATTCTCGGGTCCTCCAGATTCTGTTCCTAAATGGCAGCTGCCATCAATGCCATCGCGTCGCAGCCATACTAAGTCGCGGAAGGGGTGTTTGGAGTGTAAACGGAGACACGTGAAGGTCAGTCCGATGAAGTTCACTTCACCAATCTCACCAATCGGGGCAAAATATGAACGGTGTGCCGGGATGGATTCTGCCTGAGATGATCTTGGTGGACTGGGATACCCCACCATTTGAGACCGATATTCTAACGCAATACTCAGTGCAACGAAGGCATGCCTAAATGTACCCTGTGCAAGAAACGAAGATTGGAGTGCAACTATCCTTCCCAAAATGACGATGAGGATAGTCCTGTAGCCTTATCCTCTGCCCAGGATGGTACAGAGAGCGGCACTGTGACCCCAGCAGAGTATTCACAGGCAACACGCTTGCTTGAGACCAGATTATTCCACCAGTGGATGACTTCGACGCATCACACTCTGTCGCAAGATGGATTGTCAGCGCACCACCTGTCCATGATCATCCCTCGCATGGCCTCGTCTTGTGCATATTTGCTCGACAGTATTCACGCGCTGTCAGCCTTACACTTGGCGTCGATAGAACCTGAGAATCGGGCTTCATGGCTGGACGCTGCTGTACGATATCAGGGCCAGACATGTGCTGGTCTGGGTAAAATTCTTCCCGCCATCTCCGAATCGGATTATGAACCAGCATTTGTCACTTCTATCTTCATTATGCTTTTTGCCATGGGTGTCCGAGTATTATCTCTCGACAGTCGACCACTAGACCCGCTTTCAGTGGTTCTTGAGTCGCGCACATTGATGTCCGGTCCTGCCATGCTTTTCTGTCGACTAAATCAAGGTGGGATTGAAGCACAGTTGGATGGCTGGCTGTGCGCCCCCGATACACAAGAACGCCTCGAGACCGGGGAAGCTAGTCAGTATGGGACCCACCCTCTCCGATTCATTCATACAGAGCTTTTAACAACATAAACAGCGGTGGGGTCCCCGTAGAGAACACAGAGATTTTATTCAACCTCCACGAGTATGTTCTGGTGAAGTGTGGATGCCGTGTGTAGTGTTTGTGAAGCTGACCACTAGAGCAGAAACATAATGATGTCGTTGGCTCGACTGCGTTCAATGATTGACACAATGAAAGGACCGGATCAACCGATTTACCAAGTAACCTGGCAGCAGCTACATCAGGCGATCGAGCCTTGGCCCAGAATTGGACCATACGGCGGTCCCATCGCATGGCCCTTGTTCCTCGATGACAGATTTTCCTCGTTGCTTCAGAACGGCGACTGGATGGCGCGTGTCTTGTTCCTGCATTATGGTATAGCTATGCGTCTTATGTGCCATCGATGGTACGTACGCGACTGGGGTCGTCGCCTTGTCTTGGCTACGCTCGAACAACTGGACAATATTCCGCAGGAGTGGGAGGAAACCATTGCTTGGATTCGACTCGCTGCCGAAAGGGAGCTACAATTGCTACCATAAGCATTTCGGGTGCCGGTAGGACAAAATTCAGGGTTCAACATGTGTAATTAGTTAGATATTATGGTCAGGGGAAGGACTTTAATTCGTAAACCCATATTCAAGTGAAGATAAGAGGTCGCTCTTAGACGTCGGGGGCATCGAAAACGACTCCAATTTCCCCAACTTCAGTCACCCGCTTATCAGCGGGGTCAGCATCCATAGATGTCCCGTGGTATGGCCCTGTGATATTACTACACTAGAAGTGAATACACCGCTATATCTACTAAGAGACGGTGACAACGTTTAAAATGTTGCTCGGTCCTCTATCCCCGTTCTTCCATACCGGTTGCATTCGCCGAGCGACCTCGAGCCCGCCGATCCCACACGAAAGCGTCCAAAGCCAACACCGATGCCCTCCAACGGTGACATGCACCAACCCTGCCAGATCGCCCAAGATGTGGAGAAACAGGTAAAAGAGCTAACTGCTTCCCTTCTAGAGTAATTTCCCCTCGAAGGCATAATATTAATACATGATGGTGCCATAGCCCCCGTGGGCCTTGCCAGCCTTTTCTTCTTCTCCAAGCGCGACTCCCGTGGGAAGTTCCATAGCACAGAGAAATCGCTGGGAGAGCTTTCTCAAAATGTTCCAACCGATCAGACTCGGGCTTTTGGCGGTCTTGTCGCTGGTGTTGATTATCACTCATCTGCCCAAAGCAAACACTTCGCCTTTGGAATTATTCGAGCGGGATCCCCATCCGAATGCCGGTCATGGGTCGCATCATGGAGGAATCGAGCCTGGAAAATTGGGCGCTATTGCGAGCGAAAGCTCAGTGTGTTCCCGTCATGGATCCGATATTTTCAAGAAGGGCGGAAATGCCGCTGATGCTGTCAGTTTACCTTACATATACCGATATCTTGATTTAGGGGCTTATTTCTGAACTGACACACTGATGTAGCTAATTGCAACTCAATTTTGTATTGGTGTTGTTGGTAAGCTTGCATCGATTCGCTTAGTTCTTGGATATGGACATAGCTAATGGACCCTAGGGATGTATCACAGTGGAATTGGTGGCGGTGGCTTCATGCTCGTGAGATCAGCCAATGGGAGCTACGAATTTATCGATTTCCGAGAGACGGCTCCAGCTGCGGCCTTCGAGGATATGTATAAGAATAACGAGGACGCCTCAATTCATGGCGGGCTGGCGAGGTAAGACAGGTTTACGCAAGGGATGAAAGCCACGCTGACAAGCAAACTAGTGGAGTACCAGGAGAAGTGAGAGGGCTTGAGTACCTGCATAAGAACTATGGCTCTCTTCCATGGGCGACCCTTCTAGAGCCGGCGATTCAAACAGCCCATGATGGGTTCCCCGTCACGGAAGACCTGGTCAAATACATGGAATCTTCTGTTGGCAATGGCGAGGATTTCCTTTCCAAAGATCCTACATGGGCAATCGATTTCGCTCCGAATGGAACTCGTCTTGGGCTGGGCGATACGATCACTCGACGCCGGTATGCGGATACTCTTGCAGCGATTGCGAAGCGTGGCCCCGAAGCATTCTACTCCGGACCCATCGCGGAGACCATGATCGATGCGTTGCAGAGTGAAAATGGCACAATGACGCTTGATGATCTGAGCAATTATACCCTGGCTATTCGGGATATCACCCAGATTGACTACCGCGGCTACAAGGTTACGAGCACGTCGGCTCCGTCGAGTGGTATTGTTGCTCAGAGTATCTTGAAGATTGTCGGAACATACAACGATTTCTTCACGACTAAGGATTCCGTGAACTTGAGTACCCACCGGCTAGACGAGGCGATGCGATTCGCCTATGGTCAGGTAAGAGTGCTTTGATTTTGATTTATTTTTGGTCAGTTGGAGCTTACACGAATGCAGAGATCGAACCTGGGAGATCCCCTTTTCGTTGACGGAGTGTCGGAGTATGAGAAGGATATTCTGGACCAGTCGACAATTGATGAAATCCGATCTAGGATCTCGGATTTGCGGACACAGAATGTGTCTGCATATGATCCAGCCGGGCTGGAAAGCTTGGATACGTAAGTCCTAGGTGTCTTGTTGGATGATTCCTTGTCCGATGCCTGATTCCGTACCTTGCAGACCTGGAACTTCTCATATCGCTGCAGCCGATCACTCTGGTCTCGCCATTTCGGTAATTACCACGATCAATCTGCTCTTCGGCAGCCATGTCATGGTCCCAGAAACCGGTATCATCATGAACAACGAGATGAATGGTACGTCGAACGAGCTCATGTTTCGGCCACATTGTCGACTTACATCTCCACAGACTTCTCTATCCCAGGCTCATCGAACTCATTCGGATATATCCCCTCCGAGTCCAACTATGTTCGTCCTGGAAAACGCCCTCTCTCCTCTATAACGCCGGCGATAGTCGAACGTCCCGACGGCAAATTATTCTTGATTGCAGGATCCGCAGGAGGCAGTCGCATCATCACCGCTACAGTACAGAACATCATCCATTCTATTGACCAAGGACTTTCCGCTGCCGAAGCATTGGCCAGCCCTCGTCAACACGACCAGCTCGTGCCAAACCAAGTTAGCTTTGAGTACGCTTTCGATAACGCAACGGTTGCCGATATGAAATCTCGTGGCCACAATGTTACATGGGTTGCGCCAGGACAGAGTAGTGCCCAGCTTATTCGGGTCTTGCACAATGGGACATTCGATGCGGCCGGTGAGCCGAGACAGCTCAACTCGGCCGGGTATTCCGTATAAAAGGTATGTTGGGGGCAATGGATGCCGGAGTACATATATGTGCCATCTTAAATGTACATGAAGTGCAAGACCATCACATCACATACATCAGCTAGATCAGTGATTCCAATCACTTCTCAGCAGTCAAATGCCATTTCCACTTACACGCGTCCACGCGTAGATTGCTTATCAGGGTGGTCCGTGCTTTCGAGATTCCTTTTAGTACAGAGCTCAGTGGCTCCTTATTCTCCTGAAGACCCAGCTTGACATTGAAGGTTGGTCAAGTTAGCTCTTTTCAAAGATTGCAGTCTTTCTTCCATCAACACGACGCCTTGCCTTGTTACGCTTGTCTGCGATCGACCTCTCCCTGTCAAAGAGCACAAGAAAGCTTCCTTAGTATTTCTTTGAGAGTACATACCTCGCCTTTGATTCGTACAGGAGACTGATAGGTAGGGTTCATGTTCTTTGATGACTTTCTTTCTTTCACTAACCATAATCTCTTATTCCAGTTGTTCGCACCCCACTAAAGAAACCCCTCGATATGTTTACCAGACCTGCGAACTTCATTAACTTGTCGACCTAAACAAGCTCGCATCCACTGTGGTACCAAGCCAAGATGGCTTGTTCTAGCAATATTTCTATTGTTGTTCCTCTTCCTTCCTTCGACATCGACCCCCTCAAGAAGTTTGACGAAGACTTCTTTGACCGTGCCGTTGACACCATCCTGTCCGAGGAAGTGAGCATGGAAGAATCCCGAGAGGAGATGGATGACAATATCGGTATCTCTAGTCCCTTTGGGAATGATGGTACAGCCGACTCTTCTGCCTCCGCTGCCTGTCCCAAAGGAAAGAGCAAATCCAAGTCGCCTCATTTCGCTACACCTTCTACCAGTTCACCTACAAAGAGGAAGAAATCCAAGCCGAAGTCACCCGCTCAAACCATGAAGGACGTGTCAGTGCAGGACGAGAACCGTGATGATCAAATGGCAATTGATGATACGGAAATGACGGCTGAAGATAAGATCTTTGCCTCAATCGATATGGAGAAGCAGATGGAGGTGTTGCAATTCATCGCGGCACACCCCTTCATGGCGAATCAGGCCCGGCCTGTTGTGCGTTCGGCCAGGACGCAATTTACTGACGAAGTGCGCCAGATCGCTGGAAACGCTGGGCTAGATGATCCGAGTACCAATGACTTGATTGACCTTGTTCGCAAGACGTACCTTGAGGATCGAGGGATTACAGCAGCAGAAAACGTATCTACGTTTGGAGATGAAGTGGACGATGAGGAAGAGCCAAGCACCAAACCTTCACACCGCAAGCGACGCAAGAGCGACTCAGATCACTACGAAGAAAAGGAACACAAGAAAACCAAGAGGCGTCACTCAGATAAACATAGACGTCGTAGTGACGAGCCTGTGTCGCTTGATGATACAACCAAGGGAGTGGAGGCGCCAGTCTCAACCGAAGTTTCTACTGAAGTTCCCACTGAAGCCAAGGAAAATGGATCTGCCCAAGCGGATGCCCCTGAAACCCCGATGGGCTCCGTTCTGGACAGCCGCAATGAACCGTCAGCGATGGTTGACTTAACCGGATCATGGCCCGTGGACGAGCTCGTCGTTAAACCTCAAGCCAATCTACGTCAAAGTGAAGATATCGATGCTATCGGCGACCTGAAGAGCCTCAATGCGAGCAATGACGAGGAAGCTCAGCTTTCACGTCACTTGTTAGACGAAATGGCTTCAGCTTATGCCCCGAAGGTATCTATTCCCGAGAGCCCGCCTGTTAAATCAGAGCTGCAAGAACCGCAAGGGCAAAATGGACCGGACTCCCGTGACCATGACAAGAAACAAAAACACCACAAAGCCCGAAATCAGCGTAAACGTCAACGCCAACGCGAACGCAAAAAGGAATTCAACAAACAGCGCGCGAGCTTGAGCGCACAGACACAGACCCAAGGAAACCCTTTCGCCCAGGCAGCTGAAGAACAGACGCTGCCCTCTACTCCAACAAAACAGGCCCCCCAAAGCCCTAATGGAAGCGGACGGAGTTCCGTATTACCCGCGCTTGCTGCCGATCCAGCAAAGTGGGACTTGGATTTTTGAAGACCAATGATTTGCCAGGTATGACTCCAAGTGATGAGGTTCAGTCTAAGTATTTCGTGGGAGCCGGCAAGCCTCAACTCGTTCCAAGAAGCAAGCAAAAAAGGGCTCCCTGGATGTATGATACGTCTATTCCCCCAGAAACGCAACAGCTGTTAGAAAATTTCAATCTGCCCCCGGACTTCTTGTCATCAGATTCGTCCTTGAGTGATGCGCCCAGTCAATTCGATTCTGATTGGGATGATTTGTTTGATTCTCCGTCGCATCTTGCCATCATTCCATCGCCTCCTAAAGACAGCTACCATGTACCCCAATCTGAAAACTCTGTCCCCACAACACCTGTCAAACGCACCAATTTCCTTCATCCAGAACTGATTAAAGCCAAAGCCCCGAAACATTCTCCATATTTCCCACGTGTGCATGTTGGTCCTGAATCCTGCCTCCCATTTCCCCCAATCGATGCAGCCGGTTTTGGACTCATTCAAGAACAGCTTGCGCATGATCCTTTTCGTTTGCTCATCGCAACCATCTTTCTCAATCGTACCCGAGGTGGCGTTGCACTGCCTGTATTGTTCAAAGTCTTCGAACGATATCCGACAATCGAGGCGATGGCGGAGGCAGACCAACCAGAGCTCGTGTCGATGATCAATTGCCTGGGATTCCAAAATCAACGCGCGAGGAAATGCATTACACTCGCTCAAACATGGCTCTCAGAGCCCCCGAACAAAAGCAAAAGATATCGCAAACTTCACTACCCGCGCAAACTAGACGGTCGAAATGTTGGTTGTGAAGAATGCATTGATGAGGAAGACATGCGCGTAGCATGGGAGGTTGCACATTTACCCGGAGTTGGAGCTTATTCCCTTGATAGTTGGCGGATCTTCTGTCGCGATGAGCTGCGTGGAAAGGCGTCCGACTGGAAAGGCACAGATGCTACTGAAGCGGGGTTCGTGCCTGAATGGAAGTGTGTGTTGCCCTACGACAAGGAACTACGTGCCTATCTTACTTGGATGTGGCTGAAAGAAGGATGGGTTTGGGATTACAACACCGGCGATTTGACGGCTGCGAGCGAGAAGATGATGAGAGCTGCGCAAAGTGGCGGAGTCGCTCGTGAGGAAGAAGGAACCTGGGTGCTGGAGACGTCCCCCGTCAAGGCTGTGAATGGATTGCATGCACCAGATTGATTTTGGAGTGTTTGCCCTCAATGTACACGATACCCAAATACTGATATCCCTTGTAATACTGATATCCCTTGTATGAGACCAGAAGACTCCATGTTGGTGGTTGGGTACCTATGCCGTACACTCCGTACTCCGTACATCATCGTAGGCTGTAAAAAAGAGGCCATAAAGGTAGCTCCTACCTCAGGCAGTGGATGACGAGGCCGAGACTGTGAACCCCAAAAATCCGGCTGAACAGTGGCTTTTATAGGCATTGCGTAAGTATCTGGTCTTAGGCTTCCATGCAGCACAACACGTCAGTTGGCGAGGGGGGCCGAGCTTGTTCACCGCATAATCCCATAGTGCGCTTCTTTCCCTCCACTTCACCAATTTCATGCGCCGTACCTGAATGAGCTTATTCTCTGTTCTTTTTTTACTCTTTGCCAATTATTCCAGCGCGGAATGCCGGGTTGCTGCATATTCTGCCCGTGACTTTAAGCGACCAGAAACACCCGCCTTAAGCGCCTAGGGGAATTGGAGACAAAAATAGGATCACATTCCCCTCAGTGGCGGTGCGACAGTCTAGACGACATACGAGGTAATCGACGACCCGAATTCGCGAACGGGTGCACCTCGATCTTCGAACGAGTTCGCCATGTTTCCAGTTAGACTAAACCGAGACGATAGGAAGAAGTCGAAAACTCCCAAGCCGACCTCCAAGTCATCGACCCGCTCGTCAACCAAGGATCGTGACCTCGACTCTCCCACGGCTCGGTCCTCCTCAATATCATCCAATACCGCCCGTCAACGCCGGTCCTCGATGCCTGGCCTTGACACCACTCGGTCGGGAACAGCTTCGTTCCTCGAATCGAGAAGCAGTCTACCCTATCCCAATTTCTCGAAAGCTCACAGCAAGGAGGACGTTCGAAAAGCCAATATCCCCACGCCGGACCCGACCGATTTGACGGAACTCGATGAAGATGGGAAGACAAATGGCGCCGGCCATCACCGCACCGAAAATCACCATGCGCCTCCTAGTCCGCCCTTGACTGGCCTAGACCACGAGTCGGCGAGGAAGGACAGTGTTGTTAACGAGAATGACAAGGAGGATAAACCCAAGAAGAAAGCAAGCATCAGGATCAGAGCGGAGATTAACAGGTCCTCATCGAGTTTACGATCGAAGCGGGATGACAGCGACAAGTCCAAGTCCAGCAAGACTTCGAGAACAGAGACGCCTACAAGATCTAAAAGCACCAGGGAGGAGAGCGAACCGGCTCGCTCGTCAAGCCACAAGTCCAAACCAAAGATTTACGATGATATGAAACTACCCAAACGGTCGAGCCGCTCGACCATGTCCGCCTCACAGTCCAACGTCACACTTCGTGATATCGGCCCAGAGTCGCCCAATGGATCCGACGCGACATCCATTGCTCCCAATCAGCAGCATTCAGTACCACGAAAGCCCATGACCCCGCCCACCAAGCCTCCCTCCCGCACCCAGAACCGATCGTCTATGTCCCACCGCCGCCCTGCCAGCGATGAAGAATCGATCGATTTTGTGAAGCCTATGAACCCGAACGCGTTTGGAGCACCCCCACCGCCTCCACCTCCGCCTGAAATGCCCGCCACTATACCTCGTGTGGATTACTTGTTGAAAAATGGTGGACTGGATCATAAAGTCTCGAGGGCACTGCTGGCTGGCATCGGCCAGACTGATCCATTCTCGCAAGGACAAGCCCACTCCCGGGCTGTCGCTGGGAAAATCTTTGATCCATATAACCGCTTATTAGATGACTATCAGAAAGTCATGAGCAAGAATGGATCTCTTGCTGTGGCTACAGGATATCGATCCGTCGCCCGGCGTCTATTGGATCGTCTCGAAGCAGTATTCGCGCGCGATATCTCGTCTGAACCATGTAGTTGCCAGATTTGCGACCAAGCGGAGTTTGAGGATCGGCCGGATGGGGTGAGCTGGGGCGAGGTTCTGGAGCTCGTTTCTGGCCGAAGGGAGCTTCCGATGTGGCCTCCTTTCACGATGGCGCCAGCTACTGTCGATACCGGTGCACCAGGCGATGAGCATATCCCAATGCAAAAGCTTGACGTCGATGTTCCTGAAGAGTACCGTGAGCACTTCATCAGGCAATCGCGAAAGACAAAAGTCGCCGTCGACAAATGGCTTTACGAGCAGAACGACCCAGGCACTAGTGCTCCTAATGAAGTCGACGATGAAACATTGACCTTTGCTATGCTCACGCACCTCCACTCCCACCAACGCTCCTTATTCTGCTCTTTGCTCGGCATCAATTCTGCTACTCCTGTCCCACGATCCGGTGATGAAAAGCCCCGACCGAAGCCTTCTGCGCTTGTCTCATCGGCCTCGGCCATTCAGCGTCTTTACCGACTATCATCCCTCCCCCGCGACCCGGAGACTGCTATGTTTATGTTGAACAACCCCTCTCTCCACCACATTCTCGCCACCTTATCCGCTATCAGTGATGACGAGTGGGAGATTCTCATATCTGGCCGATTCGACGGGTTCCTTCGCAGCGGCGCGGAAGACACAGGTCCCTCTGTTGCTACATCTGGCTCTCGCTGGGGAAGTCGCTCCAACACACCCTTGGGTGCTGGAGGTATTTCCCGAGGACCGACTCCCAGTTACATGGATGGCAGCTTCCGACCACCAAGCCAGGCAACCAGCGGACTATCCTACTCAGCCTCTTTTGGCGCCCCGATCGCCTTGGACGAGGAAACAGAAATCGCTGCATTGGCTGAAGTCGAGCGTGACATCTTCCTAGGCATGGAAGCCCTCGAAGATGCATTCGAAGCCCTGCACTGCAAAGCCGAAGTTATCCGCCGCGCGCTCCGCGAACGGAGCGCCGGTCTCTCAGTCGCAAACCAAACCCGCCGAGGCTCCCACGTCGAAGCACGTCTAGGCACGCCATTCTCTGGTGTCGGCACATGGGAAAGTGGCGGCGAAGACGACTTCCTCCTTGACGACGATCGCTCTCTTGCACCAGACGATTCAGCAAGTAACATCAGCTCGAACCGCCGCCGCCGGCCGAAGAGGCGTACGGAGCGTCGCACACCCGCACCAGTGGAGGAAGAAGACGAGGAAGACGACGGCATCGGTCGCCGTGATTCCCGCCACTCTCGACGGAGATAAACCGGGACTAGCGGAAGGGAATAATTCATGCGACATGTTTCTTACGTGAAAATCATTGGGGGGAAAGGGCTTTTCTTCATTTCATGCATGGGAAATGGATATACTGTTGCTGCACGCAATAGCTTGACGAACTCATGATACCCCCACCATTTGTCTTGTCATCTTGGATGTTTCTCAGTGATTTCTTTGCATTGTTTCTTTTTCTTGTTATCGGCCCAGTGGCCTTTTTATATTTGTTTTGATGATTGATGAATGCCATGAGCTTCCTTCCCGTTCACCTAGTTGTGGGCTTGGGCTATGATACAAGAATGATTTAGCATCATGCAGCGCTTTGATTTGTTCATATTGTGGAATAAGAGAGACCAGCATCTAGCTATTAGGCTGTACTATTGCTATCACCCTCTGACTTTGCCTTTTTGATCTTATGAGTCGTGGAGACTGGTGCTACTAGCCTCGTCTTTTGCAGAAAGAGTGGACAATGCTCTGAAGGCTCGCGTCTTGCAAGCATCTTGTCACACCATTCCGTTGATATCACTCTGTGCATTGCGCACAGTCTTGTGCCCGCGCGTCACCAGTCAATATTGGATAGCTATCACGACAACATTCCTGCAGAGATGAGCATATCTAGCATGGACTGCTGGGCTGCACGGGGCAGGCTAATACCAGAGACCATACCAGAACAGCCTGGACACATTATTCACATGGAATCTAGGCCACGGAGGCAGCCGATACCAAAGCTTGAGCTCGGCGTAACAGAAGACGGCACGGCGTATAATAACCGAGCAAGGTCCTCCACTTCGAGCAAAAGTCCTTTGAACAAGAGCTGCCCTTCCATTTCTCCATATATCCCGCTCTTGTAGGATGCAATATATCCATATTCCCAATGCTACATCAACCATGCATGTCTGAAACCTGCAGCACGATCATGACTCGCCGACAGCGACCCCTTTGAGCTACTTCGAGGCGGACCCCATGTGATTGTGTTTGAGGACCTTCCTTCTCGGATGGAGTATGTGACAGTCTAGATATTGAAATTCCTTGTGACGACAAAGATAGACACGAAAATAATCCCTTATTTCCTTTCAAAATCTCACCTCAATTCAAGCATCCGCCTAAGCAAAAATCGGAACAGCAGCCGGCCGATCAGTGGGAAGAACCGGATTCACAGGCTTATTCTGGAACTGTACTCCGTCCATATGGCCAGAGCGAAGTCTTGACCTGTAGCGTAAAAGCCCATTGGCTAGGATGTCCGAATTCTTGCATATGCCATCAACCAGACCCACCATAGCTACGAGCATTACTCCATAGTGTTATCAGGAAATGCAGATCTTGGACGCATTCACCATGGACAAAAGCAACACGTCCTTCGTCTAGCAGCTGTTTCTGAGCGAGCCCCGCTCTAGACCAACATAGCCAGTCATTCTGCCGCCCCCATGGACCTCGGCATCGTGATAGCTGCTTTTCGAGTCAATGACTATCGAGAGTGTAGCGTGCCGCTAATTTTCCACTACAGCTCATTCCCCCTGGAACTTACGCCAGTTTAGACATCGACACTGATTCCAACATCCAGAATCCGGTTAAAATCACATGCTGCCAGGCAAGTGGAGATTACCCACAGCTGAAGACCAGGGTATGCAGTTTCAAAACGTCCTACAGCAACCTGGGACCGGAGTGCTCATTCAGGGGGTCGTCTGGTTAGACGTTAGAGTCTGTTCCATGCACAACATAGCTTTCGGCGTCCGGAGACTGTGTTTCACAATGTATATGTCGAGAGGACTGCGAAAGAACGATGGGGCGATCACATGAAATGCGGATTAGCAAAAGTACCATGGGGAGTGGTTTCATTATACGGGGCACGCTATCCAAGGGACTATTTCTTTTTAGCTACATATTCACAAGGTCAAATCTCCGTGCGGAGTGCGGGATACGAAGTACTCCTTGCCTGATTGCGAATAAGCGACTTGCCGGGGTGGGAAATTTCGAGATCAGGGATCGGCCATCGACCATTGAACGGACAGATTTGGGGGTATAATTTTCCGCAAACAAGTCCCTTGCCGATGCTGAATCGATTTATGCGAGGATAAATATTTGTATTTTCTATCAAAATTGGGAGGATTAAAATGGAGTGAAGTTTACCACGAAGTATTGTCGCTTGCTATAAGCGTACAAACTTCTAGAAGGTGGAACACGGGGTAATCCATGGCTTAGCTGACCTATCTCACGATGAACATCTTGGACACAGGCTGATCGCATGACGATATGGTCTTATGAATACCCCCAATAAAAAAGAGGAATCCCGAGAGATCGTATAACTCCATCTCCAAATTTGCCGCTCCAATATGAGAAGTGGCTGCCGCTTCCGCACTGGGCAAATTGCGCTTAGATGGGGTATGGGCGAACTAGGCTATATACCATTCCGTACTCTATATCGTATCCATAAATTCGTCTATGTCATAGTAAAAAGAACATAGTCAAGTGGCGAAAGAAGGTTCAGGGACATGAGTTTGACGTCGCCGGTAGGTGTTATTAGGACAGCTATCTTCAATGTTTTAGGGGGTTAAGCTTTAAACTCTTTCTAATAGGGTGCCAATCGGTGCCAATCGGCGTCAATCTCTTTGATCTTCGACTCTGAGCCCAGGAAGATAGCCGGTGGAATTCGGATCGGCGCCGAGCGGGCCAAGAGCCAAAGGCAAATGTGTGGATAATACGGAGTAGATGAAACAGGGCGTGAGCTGAGCTTACTCGCCCTAACTAGTGGCAAAAAGTAATTGATATCCGATCATTCCATACTCTAGAAGGCCATGGAACATCTGACAGCTCGGTCGAACTGTCGAATGAACTGTCGAATGTGCTACATTCATGCAATATAAAAGCTCGGCTGCTTCCGATTTACCCCTGACGAATCTGAGACATCTCCAAACTGCTCACCCGCTTTGTGTCGGGGCAGACCTTCTCACAAGATCGCTGCTAGCGGCTCAAGGTCGCCGTGCGTAATAATCCTTTGGTTTCCGATGGTTGATCTCCAGGGCTCTAGGGCCAATCCCCACTTGGAACTCCGCTAGCTCGGAGTCTGTCCGGGCATGGGCTGCCCTCCGGCTCATGATAAATGCAACTCTCAGTAAGGAGGTCTGACGAGAGGCTGCAGCTCGCGTGATGTTCAATGATCACTTATTGATCCTTCTATCTTATGTGCAGACAAAGTGATGGGAAATGGGAATGACCGCCTACCTTCGGGGCCAAGTTGCAAAAGAAGAACAACGCCCTGTGACTCCACGGAAAACCTGGAGAATTGATTTGTGGACGGGGGATGTCCAGGTGGACCGAAGCTTAACCCGACCCAATCGCAGGGCCAAGAGAGTTGAATGTCCACTCCTCCGTACTGCTCAATGCATCATTGTAACCACAGCGATCAACACGTTTCGGTATAGCGTATATGCAGGACGTCAGACATGGCGTTCTATTTGCAATGCCGGTCAACCGGAGACCTTCTCATGCGGGGAATGCTTCCTGCTTGGATCCGATAGTGCGCCTTGAATGTCCACGTTTTTTTTTCCTTGCATTTTTCTTGCCTTTCTTTGATCTGAACGAACACACTAACACAGTCTAGCCTCGCCGATCGGCCTAAAAGACTTCCAGGCGAGCCAAAAGAGTGTGGATAAGGCAAAAGCACACTCCGTACTCCGTAGATGTTTTCCAAAGCCCATGGGCGCCCCCATCCTGCTCTAGTGCCCCAGAATCATTGCCCCTGCAGCGAACGTACGATTGAGGCGATCCGAGCCCCCTATCAAGGAACCAGCTTGTGCTTTGGCCTTGGACACTAGATCTAGACACCGTGGCAAGGCTTGGTGGATCTGGAAATGAGGGAAATGGGCTTTGCTTTTTCTATGGATTGTTCCCAGGCAGTTCCCCTGATTTAGTGCCCTTTTAGGTAACCTGAGACTATGGGCTTGTGCGTCGTAAACGTAAGTCATCTAACTAAACTTCGCCGTTATTATCTCACATCGCGTGGCAATGCCCGTCGCCTACTTGGTCCATTTGGGCTAAACTTGAGCTAAATAGGCTAAGCTGGAGAACAATACTCCGTCGACGTTGTATACAGGGATTCACGGGCTCGGGGCTGCGAAAGTACAAAATACCATGAAGATCACTCCCCTTCAGGTGTCCGTATTCCCCCAATGCTATTGACGCACGAGAGGAATGGTTCAATTATCATTCCATTATCTCGGCCTATGAGATTCTAAGTTCGATCTGTCCCCGTACAACTTAGTGTGGCGCTGGGGTCTTTCTTCTCTCGTTGCATCTGCTTCTTGCAGTCGTGTTTCTTTTTTGACTGTAACCTCTGACCCTCGGCTTGATCCTTTGTCTCCTTTTCACGACTGGTGACCAATTGCAGAGGTATAATATAACGTTGATAACTTATTACCCATTCACTGGCACTTGTATTGGGTTTATATATCTCCATTGTCCGGCCTTCATCGGATCGTGGTCAGTGACGCTGGAGACGTCACTTCGCCACCTCCACACCCACCTTGGACCAGGCAATGATAACGACCGTTTACAAAAATTCCATCAAGACATTGCAAAAATGTCGACGCTCATTCTCATGGGCTTAATGCCCAGAGATAATGAGCACTCATTGGTCGCGCGATTGACCAACTTCGCGGAGCTTGATATCGACCCTCTCCCAGTATCTCACCGACGAGGGTTAATAGCGATTTCCGTCATGGCTCTTTTTTCCCTCATCGCAACTGCGGTGCTTCTTGGATTCATCACCTATCGACTATTCTTCTGGCGTGGCAGCTATTCACGATACATTGGTTACAACCAGTACATCATCTTGATCTATAACCTAGTCCTGGCAGATTTCCTACAGTCGCTTGCATTCATTCTTTGTCTAAGATGGATTTTGACAGATGAAATTACATCCGGCAGCGCCGCATGCTTCCTCCAAGGACTGTGGCTGCAACTTGGAGATCCCAGCAGTGGTCTGTTCGTGTTGGCCATTGCCTTCCACACATTCCTTTTGGTTGTCTGGGGGCATAAAATGAGCTACAAAGTGTTCGTCTGCTTTGTTGTCGGTATCTGGGGCGTTGTGGTTTTGATGGTGATCATTCCATTGGCAATCCACGGCAGCAACGTCTTCGTGCCAGCAGGGGCCTGGTGCTGGATCAGCCAGGAATACGAAGCGACTCGTCTCTGGACTCACTACATTTGGATTTTCATCGCCGAATTCGGGACAGTGCTTCTTTACGCCATCATGTACCTTCAGCTTCGCCGACATATTGCAGCCTCTGCCATCCTCGGCAGTCCCCAGCTGCAAAGTCTTCAGCGTCTCCGACGCGTTGTCGGATACATGACCATATACCCAATCGTCTACGTCACTCTATCGCTCCCTCTTGCAGCAGGTCGTATGGCCTCGGCCAATCGTGATGAACCCAGTATTACATTCTTCTGCTGTGCCGGAGCTATCATCACTAGCTCCGGGTTGGTTGATGTCATCCTTTATACCCTCACCCGCCGCAACCTGATCATCGACTCGGAGCCGAGTCAGGACAACTCTTACAACAAATTCACCAGCAGCAGAGGGAGGCGAGCAGACAATATAACCACCATCACTGCAGATCCACACAAGCGCAAAATTGGTGGTTCTTTCAATGATGATCTCGACCGCCACGGCTCGACCGAACAAATTGTGTCCCCCACCGCACGAGGGCAACAACCCCATGACCATGAACTGGCCCCGATCGGAAAAGTGTACCAACATACTACCATTGAGATTACGAGTGAGCCTGCTTACCCCGATGAGGAGTCCAGCGGGCGTTCCAGCAAAGAGAATTTCCCAGAACGGCCGGCTCCTGTAGCATGGAGATGAATCAGTCTATGACCCTTCCGTTTTTGTCTTTTATATACCTCCGAGCCATCCGCGTTTACCACTTATAATCTTTTTCCTTTGTTAATGTGGTATGACCTAGACTCTGTCATTGTTCCACTCATTTCCCCACGATCTTGTCACTACTTTGATGTCTCCTTTCCTCTCTCCTCACCAACATACCTCTCCATGGTCCCATTCCTACCCCCCTCTCTGATGACGGAGCCCATGTATATACTTTGAAAAGGACGGAAAGTCCTCTAGACGAATCACAGTGATTCTAATGTATTTAATCGAAATACAGATACCAATTTCAGAAAAAGAATCCCTCTTCTCCTCCCCTCTAGTTGCGGGGATCGTGCTGCGGCCCGTTGATATATAGTGGCCCCCAAGTCTAACAGCGGGGGGGGGCCAGGGATTATAAACCAAAAGAAACTCCCCAGCACTCGTATCAACTCCTCTATTCAAGCCTCTTACGAAAATAAACCCGTTCGAACCCCTCCTCGATCAGCGTCCCCTCGTTCTCAAACCCTAATCGCCCATAGTACCCAATGTTCTCAACCATCTTCACATTCGTGTACAATGTAACGCTGTGCAGATCCTGCTTGAGCGCTTCCTTCTCCACATAACTGATCATGTAGGATCCATACCCCCGACCCTGGATGGTCGGATCCACCACCGCGTTCTCGATTTTAAGCGAGTTGGTGCGATCCTCTCGGTGGTAGGCGATCGAGCCGACCGCCCGTTCGCTATCTCTCAGGACGAGAATGGTATAGTGTTTCATCATTTCGGCCCAGTCTGCTGTCATGGGCGCTGGGCGCTTGCCAATGCGCTCAATGTATTTCGAATACGCAGCGTCGACCATGGCTTTGATGGTTGGGATATCTTCGATAGTGGCGTTTTGGAAGGTGAGCTGTCTATCTGCCAGAGAGCTGGAAGAAGGCTTTGTGACCATGTTTGAGAGGCGATGAAAAAAAGAAGATTCGGATAGCGGACTCATCAACGCATCTGATGTATAATTGGGAGAGAATATTCCCAAAACACAGTGGTTATACGACTCTTTTCCGCCCCCATCATCTCCTGAGTCAGAACGCCCAGCGGGGAAACAGCCCAGGATCTACACGTGGAGATGATCAACGCAATCAATTAATTCACTAAAAGATGAGTCCAATTGATCGTCAATCTGACATGCATCTGAAAAAGCCGACATAGAATTGCCAAGCCTCATAATCATGCAGGAGGCAGCGCCAGTCTCCCCGCCGACCAAATGCCCTTCGTCCACACATACTCCGAAATAGCAGAGACCTCATGTCCAGCCTGGAAATACAGCCGGGCACCCGGGTGCGCTTTATCGAGCCAGCTGATGCACGCGATCTGCGTCCCGGGGATACATTCCGCATGGAAGTGTCCCTCAACCCAGGAATCGCCCTTGTGGTGCAACTCCCGGATGAGATTGGTGGTGTTGTAGAACACGTGGATACCGACAGTGTGCGAGGTTGTGTCCGAGGTGACTGTGTCAGCAGTGGTCCTGTTCGAGGTTGTCGTGTAGCTTGTACAGGCTATCGAGGTTCACGGCTGGACCGTGGGGAATCGGACGCTGCCGTCATACCTACTATTCAGCACGAAGAAGTTCGGGGAAGATACTGGACATCCGCAATATATTTCAACACGTCTAGCAAACGAAAGAGTCAGTCTGTCAAAGCCTATCGGAATGAATAAAACCCGAAGCAAAATAGGGCATCGCGGCTGGACATATCTGTGGGAGACTTTGGATCTACTTGGAAGCTCCGGGATAGTCATAGAATTGGCTCAGCGCTTCTATCACCCACTAACAGAACGTGATTTTCTCTAGATCTGACTGTCCAATTTGGAAGAATAACATGTTCTGTCTTTTCTAGAGTGGATATGCCCGGCGTCCCTACGTCGGGTACAAAGCTCACGACAGAATAGAGAAGTGAAATCAGGTCTGCAAGATAATGGATATATATCATTTGGCGGATCAATGAGTATTTAAATCGATGTCGTGAAGATCCATGAGTCCTTTTAGCCCTCGGGTGCTATGATCTGGTGATTGATGTCACATTGTGTTATTATAGTTCCTATCAACTGTATATACTCCATTCACCGATGTAGTCAATCAGTTCAGCACGAATTTGCAATTACTCTCATGCCGCACCACCTAGTGAGACATTTATACCAGGTCTCTCAGAGTTGCAATGGAAGGGATGCCCAGTCCCTGGGTTTACTTGGCCATCCTGCCGCTTCTGCAGCCCTGTCTCTCTATGTCCTCATGATGCATTAGCGATGCAGTCAATAAAAGCCAGAGGATGTGAAGATGGCCAAGCATTTGCATTGACTCGCGTGGTATGTTTGTCTCATTGTATCACAGTGCCAACCCGATCGTGAAATTAAGCGAAAGGGTCCATTTTCCACTCTGGCCAACTGTTTCAAGAGAGTGGACCCGGTTGAGAGCACCAAACTCTCCCTTTGGCTGGAGACACAGGGGAAACACATCACGTCTTCCACGATGACATCCTTGGAACTGGAGCTGACGTCAGTCCGGCAATAGGCCGATTTCAATGTTGTGCCTGTGTCTCATAGACACAGCAGTCACTACTTCCCTGTCTTGACCGACTGCACCCGAGCACACAAAAATTGAATTCCGATACAGCCCTAGATTTCCATTGCATTGCAGCCGGGTTCCAGAAAGCGCGGTCGCGTTGGAATCACTTTCGTGGATCATTGCGATGGGCCAATGAGATGCAACGAACAGGCAATCAATTCGAAACCGATGGGCCTCCAAGTGGACTTTATTCAGACGGTGCTGTTCGAGACCCTGATAGAAGATTCAACTCAGATGAACTCATAGCGGGTCTGAAGCGATGAGTTGTTCACAATGGAAATCTGGACTCTTGGTCGTCGACTCGACTCTTTCAACTGACGAACAATAGCGGGGCGCTCAGCCTTGCAAGGGATGAGCGCTCAAGGCAGCGCCTGGATGCCTGTCTGAAGGCCGAAGAACACAACTGTCCCCTTTGATCAGGTGGAATAGGGGGCATTTCTAAATTGACTGTGATCGGACCGGTCATTCTGCAAGGCCGGTTCCTTGGTTTGCCAGCGACACACACTGATGAATGTGTTTCAGTCTCACAATGAGGACGATCATTTGCAGATCAGGGGTCCAGCGATCCGCGACGGTGGACCAGCTTGGAACTGATCGCCAACCAAGGCGCCACAGTCGCAAATATGCATAATTGTTTTGGATTCGCAGCTATGTGTCCAGGAACTGGGCATGGGAATCAGAGCTATCGTATTTAAGGAGGCCAAGGACTCCCAATTCTGGCTTCCGTTTCAATAGTGGTTTCCTTTTTGCATTGGCACCTCTCGACCATGCTGTTCTTACGCCATAGTCTTCTAGCTCCCTCGCTAGTATCGCTCCTACTCACAGGCGATGCGGTCGCCGATGACGCGCGAATACGAGCCCGCGAGGCGCTCGAAACCCTCCAGGGCTGGTATAATGCCTCGAGTGGCATTTGGGATACATGTGGTTGGTGGGATGGTGCGAGCTGCATGAATACAATCGCGGATTTAGCTGCTCTGGACCCAGCAGTGATGGCCACCGCGACATATGTCTTCAATAATACATTCAACGTGGGGCCTGTATCGAACCCGAATCCCGGACCTGAGCACAAGACTGTTTTTACGCGTGGGAATCAACAATCGAATGCTGTCAATGCCAGCCAGTGGCTTGATCAGGCCTATGACGATGATGGGTGGTGGGCCTTGGCATGGATTGGCGCATACGACGTGACCAAGGAAGCAACATACCTGGAATTGGCGGAGGGAATTTTCCAGAGCTTGGTATGTATAGCCTCAGGCCCTCATTCTATGTTTATGCTAATTATGAGTAGGTGGATGCATGGGGCACAAATTGTGGCGGCGGTGGTATTCCTTGGAACCCGTCGAGCACATATGTCAATTCGATCACGAACGAACTGTTTATGTCCGTCGCAGCACATCTTGCCAACCGAGTCCCCGAGAGAAAAGAGTACTATGTCCGTTGGGCTCAGAAAGAATGGGACTGGTTCACATCGCAGAGTTTCTTTGGTGAAAATGGGACTATCAATGATGGACTTTTGGAGAACTGCCAGAATAATGCTGATACTGTGTATGATCTATTGACCCCATGACAATATCTCGCCCCTTTTCTAACATTCTACAGATGGTCATACAACCAGGGGGTCGTCCTCGGCGGGCTAGTCGAGTTGGACAAAGCGGCACCGAACAACACATACATACCCTCAGCCAACAAGATCGCAAAGGTTGCTATCGAAACACTGGCCGATTCCAACAATGTGATCCACGAATTCTGTGAGCCCGAGTGTCTCCCAGACGGCACACAATTCAAGGGCATCTTCATTCGCAATCTGCGGAAGCTGCAGAAAGCGTCCCCGCATGCTCTGTACCAGGAGGTCATCAGCAGCTGTGCGGAAAGCATTTGGGCCAACGATCGCAATGAAAAAGGCCAATTCGGCGTCAATTGGGCTGGTCCCATTCAGGCGGTGGTGGATGCTTCGACACATAGCTCTGCCCTCGACGCGCTGGTCGCGGCAGTTGCTGCAGTGAGTCCTTAGCGATGGATCCAAGGGCTAATTTTCTTTGATTTTGGGTGTTAAATGGAGTTTTCACAAATTGATGGCATATAGAAATTCCTCGTTCTCCGTGTACATACTTGAACCATTGAACTAAAGTTCATGTTTCAATTTCTCTCTTCACGATTTCCACTCAGCGATCGTCAGCTATGGCGCCGAGATGGCCCAATTACACCACGAATCCGGAACAGTATCCACAGTCCATGGAGTCTAGACTACTAGGGTTTCTCACCTGGGCAGTCGCCGTGGGTTATGTGTTGAATTCACTGTACAGGTTGAATGGCCATACGAGGACTGAATCGCAAACAAGGACTCAAAGTACCCCCATATCAGGTTGGACAGATCTGGAATGTTCCAATGCCGGAGGATGATACAAGACAGTTTCCGGAGCTTCCCATTGGCAGCTTTAGAGTCTCTTAACATTTACTTGTGGGAGGGGATGCCCCTCAAATTTGTGCCTGGGCTGGAAATGAGTTCAATTTGATAGTAGCATTGTCATCCCCTGTCAACTGCATTTGTCTGCTTGCCAGATTTACTGTGCGGATAAGAAATCCGGCTTTGACGACTGCCAGGCTCTTCGATAAGTAGAAATTTCCAACTGGACCTGGAGTTGATAGCTCTATGACCCGGTAGTTATAGGCCTTGTTATACCAGAGCGAGCATGCTTCAAGATCTCCCACCCGAGTGATGCGTCGGTCCGGTGTGAAATGCCACTGTATCACCCCGAGTAGACCCGAGCCATCTCATTGTGGTAGCCCCCTCCTGCGGCGACGGATGGCTTTCCAAGGTGACTGGACACAGCAAACTTATGTTGTTATTTCTCCGGCCCTCCGTAGAGAATCAATCACGTGCTGATCTAGCCCTGGAGGCCCTTGTGCACTTAGGAATATTCCTTCGGAGGGGTGCATCGAAATGATACCGCATTGTAATCAATGAGATGGAAAGTCCAGGGACCACGTCGGCCCAGCTTCGAGTTTTCTTGAAACAACATCTTTCAGAATGAGTGGTGGGCACCACTGGATAAATAAACTGGCGACGGTTCTTGGTGGCACACTCGCAATGTGATGATGACAAGGCAGGAACAACATCTTGCACTCTAAAACATGTAACCTTTTTAATTTGTATTCTATCGTTACATTCGTCCTCATCATCCCTAATATCACGTCCAGATCACACAGTATGAGCGTCGCAACAATCGATCCGATTAAGATGAAACCCCTCCAATGAATCGGCGTGCCGGTAAAGCTGCAACCTTTCCAATCCCCCAGCCAGAAGAATAGAGATAATATGACGTGCATGATAATTTGGCCTCGATATAGCTGCTACGTACCAAAGAATCGGGCGAAGTCCACTTCGGCGACTACCCGGGCTCCACCGGGCAAGTTACATCACCACTACCTTATCTCGCCATCGTCCAACATATAAGTTATAACTTCGAGCTACCTGAGATAAAATAATCCTCAAATAACATCCAGTGAATAATCACCAATCTCCTAATCCGAAAATGGCGAGCCATATCAAGCCACTCCTCCTGCACGCCCATTCGTCGGGCCCGAACCCAGTCAAGGTAGCCATGGCACTCGAGGCACTCCACGTCCCATACGAAGTGAAGCAGTGGGAGATGGGCGACGATGCCGAGAAAGGCGTGAAAGGCGCTGTCTATCTCAAGATTAACGAGAATGGCCGTGTCCCTGCCCTCGAAGACCCCAACACGGGTGTCGTCTCGTGGGAATCGGGTGCTTGTATGAACTACGTCCGCCGTGTGTATGACAAGGGTAACACGATCGGTCCGGCGGGCGACTCGGGACAAGATCTGGTGGACTTTGAGAAATGGGAGTATTTCTTGTTGTCGACTCTTGGTCCGATGATGGGACAGACGAATTGGTTCAGGTTTGTGCTTGATTTGGAGTTGAATGGCTGAGTGATGCTGATTATTCTTTTTTATCAGACACTTTAATGCCCAGAAGAATGAGGATGCGCTTCAAAGATATACAGCTCAGAGCTATCGTTGCTATGGTGTTATCGAGGGACAGTTGGCGAAGACTGGGGGCGAGAGCATTCTCCCTGGGCGGGTTACTGCCGTGGACTATCATTTTGAGCCTTGGCTTCGTATGCATTCGTTTGCTGGGCTGTCATTGGATGAATACCCTTTGATTGCGAAGTGGCTTGGGCTTATGGAGACCCGCGAAGAAGTACGGGAGGCATACTTCAAGGTCCGGGGTAAGCAGTGAACAGTGGCAATGAACCCCTGGCAATCGGATGGGCCACGTACATAGGGTGAATGGGAAACAACCCGGTGAAGAATTTTACTACAAAGAAAACTTCATTTATAATAAACCCAGTCCGCAGGTAGATCTCTCAATGTCATAAGTATCAAAGCTCTACCTGGACCCTGGATAAAGAGGAAAGTCTGACGCCAAAGCCATAGGTTTTAGGAGCTGCAATAGACCGGGGTTTTCAAAGTCGCAAGCTGGAATCCTCTGTACTTTCCGAATGTATTTGGATTCTTCAGCTATGCAATGCCTATTAAATCTTTCTCTGTCTGATTGATAATGCATGTTACCATGATTGGGGTGCCGATTGAAGCTATTATATCGTCCCTCCTCACGTAGCCAGAAATCAAATCCCAATTGAATCCTACTTCGCGTGACTATCCTGTCAAAAGAATATTTGGGACATCAATCAGATAGAGCATATACGCCTATCAATCAGGGGGACTTGCTCGGCATCTTGTCTCGACGAAAATTAACCTGTATAGACTGATGCATAAGTGTCGGCCCGGGTATTCTCTCATCTGGCTCATTTCTCCACTTAGCAATCATCATGTGTCGAATCATTCTTACCATACTCATCTTTCCGCTCCTGTTGGCCTACCGCGAGATATGGCAGCGGATAGTCATAACCCGTAAAGAATTTCGCTTCCGGTGGGAAAGAGAGAAAACCATCACCAGTTGGGGAATCATATCGTCCATTAGAAATATCCGGATTAAAGATGCTGTCTCCGATGAAGATATTATTGCTGATTTCGTAACCTCCATGATCAGGCGTGTCCAGGAAGATCAATGGCGGCAGCGGGCACCTCGCAGATGAATATTTCGTCTGGCTGGAAGAGATGATCGAAGCCATCGTCTAGTCCTTCTCTCGGGATGTGGTATTTGTGTGCGAAGTGACTATAGATGATTTTGAGGTTTCCTCCAATCTAGATCAGTGCCTGCGTGTGGTTGGTCCCGGGCTCAGAGTGTTTGTTGGATCGACTAGGCGACTGAGAGGGTGTCGCAGTGGGCATGGGTCTGTAGCAACATGGTAACTGCGTAGTTATTTCTGGCAATGCGGCCAATGAGCTCGTCATCGGATGTTGAGGTGATGAAGGCTGCTGGGATTGAAAGCTAGGACCGGATCGATGATAGCTGCCTCTTTCGCTACAGGACAGGCTACTACATACGGTGAGGAATTTGTTCCAGCCTCAAAGAATGAATGAACTTTAGGGTACATTCTTGGTGTTCGGTGCGTCAATTTCATGGGACAAGAAGTGTTTTCCGTGTTTTCCTACTGTTTGCATGGCGTGGCTGATTGGAATTAAGCATTTATAGGTCATCAATGCCACTTGGGCAACCTGGTAGCCCCAAGACTAGAACTAGGGATTTGGCAATGCAAAGCTTTCAACAACTTGGTCTTTGATGGAAAGATAGCATACAGATGAGCTGATCTTTGAAGCTATTCCTTATGCTTAACCTCACATGTTCTCTCATCTGGAATCTCGGGAGCCTTGCTTTAAAGATGGCGTCCAGCATCGCAGATCTGGAGCTCAAATTAGAAGAATAGTTGGCTTCTTACAAAGAGGACGTAGATGCAGATAATAAGATTGAGTAGATAAAATGTAAGGACTGTCAGAATAAAGGTTCAGTATGTGTCGAGATGTTTACCATATGAGATCACCCGGTGTAGGAATTGAAAATAAACCAGCAAAGAGCAACTATGGATACAGAGTTGAACTTCACATAGAAAATTATGTCTCGAACTATTCTTTCTAGCCCATCAAGATGACCTTCTTAAATGTGTCTTTTGTCTTTGTTTAGCGCTAGCCACCCATTGTTTTGTCTAGCAACCTTTCTTGTAGTTGCGGACTTTGTCGCACATACGAAGACATTCCTGGTAAGAGAGTGTCCGTAGGCGTGGATTGCGAAGTCTTTAATCTTCGCGAGGGACGAATCCACTAGAATGAGAGAGGAGGTGATGATCGTCTCCCAATAGAGACGTCGCTGACCGACCATTGGTCAATCTCGCTCTGGTCACTTGGCACGTCCCATCGTGCAGTTTGGAGGTCAAGTGTATGAGCATTGTGATTGAATCGACATTGCCAGCTCTTCACGGCCTTGCATCCGGGCTTCTGGCATAGGTGACCCATGTAGCATTTGATTGACCGACAAGCCCCGGCCCGGGTGCAGGGGTGTTGGAGGAGCATGTACCGCAGAACATCAACGATCACATTAGAGACATCGCTATGGTCATAGAGACAGCTCATGTCACCGCATTCTCCAGATAGATGGTAGCTATTGCAGACCTTGTGTTCCTTCGCCCGAGCGTGGTATTCCTCGAAAGCTTCGGGTGACGGGTGAGGATAGTATGGGTCGATACGCTCTCCATCTTTATTAACTGGAATGAACTCCTCCGTTTTGATGCTCGGCAGAGGGAGCATCGATCTTAGAAAATCTTCGGAGCGACCCACAACTGTGGGAGAAGACCATAGCAGTTTAGGTGAATCACCTGAGTGTTTAGACGACGGCGGGTGATTCAGTGATTGGTTCGGCATGACATGTTGTTTATTGCAACCGTTGCCAAACTTGCAGATACCCTAGATCGATGTCAGTCATTGTTTGACTAGCGATAGAACTATATAGTCGTTGTTAAATACCTTTTGGAAGTGCTTGCAGACGGGCTTAAGTGCATTTGCACCATTCGAGCCATTAGAAATATGGTGTATGCCGTTTCCACCATTGAATTTCGCAACCGAGGCCGCAGCCGGGCCTGTTGGCGGCTTGCTGTTAGCTAGGGGTGTAGACATGAAGACCGAAGGCAATTCTCTGATAGGCAGATCTAGAGCCTCAAATTCACGATGGAAACCAGCGGCTTTGATGAGGGTGATACGGTCACCTCTGCCTCTATAGGGCGTCAGCAGAGAGCCGTATCCAGTGTCGTGGCAGCCGGCGAAATAAATATGTCGGCATTGGTTGAGGTCCACAAAGAGACGGAACATTTCTAGATTGGAGAATACAGATCAGGACAATGAACCGCCAACAATTCTCGGGAACTAATTACCTCGGATTTTGAAGTCGCTGCCTTCCTTCTTCTCTGCAGCATCAACGTAATCGAAGAGCTCTTGGGCACGGGTAAAGGAAGAGGTAAATGGTGACATTGATCGAGCTTCGTGGCCCATAAGTCCAGCGCGAGCTAACGCCTTCGACAAACCGAGAACGTTCGCATAGACACGAACCATGATGCGACACTGCTCTGCTTGCATTCCCATGGTCGAATGCATAAGTTCCTTGACGGAGTCACTAAGCTCGCGGGCTGCCTTAATGCCGCCTTCGCTGCCGTTCTTCAGGAAATGCTCTTTGAACTAATGTGGTGGGTTAGTTAATTGATTGCAGATTGACTCAATACAGACTCACCAGATACCCATCTCCATCTACGAGGACAAGGACGAAAGGGTTACGGTCCTAGTTGACAGTCAGGGTCGCAGCTCTCAGACCATCTGGAAGCTTGTCAACTCGTACCTGGCCACGGGCTTGTCGTTTGTATTTCTCCCGGCCTTCTTTAACCTCTTCATAGTCACTTTTGAGTGAGCTGTAGTCGTCTAGCAAGCTCTTAAACTGAGCGAGAAGGTCTTGCAGGTTGTCATGTTGCTTCTGTTGCTCTCGTGATAAGGACGCTAGATGCCCGTTCAGGGAATCTATATCAGAATCCCGCAGCATCTTGTAGGAGGTACCGGGACGGCATGTGCCAGTCCCACAATCCGAGTTAATTCGGTGCAGGCTGTCAACATTCGAGTTGGAAATGAAATACGAAGTACGAGTTTCCAAGCTGGGGGGGGTTGAGATGGGGAAGCTATGGTGGGGAAAATTATTTGTCTGTTTAGGTAGGCTTGGGCGGTCAACGCCCGTTAGGCATCAGGTGATTCTCCACCAGGGGCGCTAACGGTGTCACGTGTGCCCCCATCCAAGCCCGCTCAACGGGGACTAGCGTCTGCCCGGCCCGTCCTGCACAAAGCCAATCAACTGCCAATTGGCCTGTTGATTGGTTGTCCGTTTCACCTTCCTCTATAAATAATGGCTTTTGCGAGCATTACGATGCTCTACCGGAACTTTGATGGAGCTTAGAGTGAATTGAAGCTTCTAATTGCGAGTTCACCGCCGAATTACTCAGAAGGATAGAGTGCAAAGTGAGTGAAAACTGATAACTAGCTTCCTTGTATTCTCGATCATTCTACATAAACAAACCAAGGCCCATGACGATAATCCTTGGACCATGTCCTCCCGGGAGAATCCCGTGTCATCGAATTGTGTACCGTTAGCATTAGGGTAGAAATCAGGATCGAGTGGACGTTGATAAGATCCAGCCTCTCGAGTCTCTCACGATTACTTTATGTAGGAAGTGATATACTCACGTATGCGAATATCGGGATAATAACTTCCCATTTATACTTACTCTACCACTCCTAGTCCCTTTTCATTATCACCTCACATTGAGCTTCATCTTACGCCTACATTTCTCCTTGTGGCTAACTTCATCAACACATCCAGGGATAAGTCTGACACTGTCATATATGCTTGACCTGACGGCATAGGGGAAGTTCCGAAAGAGGTTCGATCCCGTAATTGTCAATATCGCAAAGCGATAGTCCAAGTAGAGCTTCGATTGCAAGTTGGGGTCGATCCCCCTCTTGCTTTGATGTTCCATATATACCAGATTTCATAGATTTCTATTCCATCCACGCATGTGTTGATAATATTTGCCACTTTACACTTGCTGTGCTGAGAATATACAGGACGCAGCGTAAGCTGGCTGTATCTAGGACTGTAGGTTCGTGTTCCAGTGGAAGACAGACTATGATGGCTCGTACAATGACTAGATACGAACCGTGGCTTGATTCTGATGCTACAATCTTTTCATAACGAGAACTATGTTTCCAAGTATAAACGTAGTTTCAAGGACATGCAAGTCAATCTGCAAAGGTTCCCATGCGAATTGCATACATTTGCTATAAGCCAGTAATTCCTATCCCTTTTCAAATCAAGGCAGATACCCCAAAAATTGTAGAAAGGTCCGTCCATCAAAGCGGTGATACTGAATACAGCAAGACTCTCCCTGCCGATATGATGCGCCTTTTGAAATTCGTTCTTTACGAGTCGCTTGCGCCTGTTCAACTCGATTACGAATCCCTGACTACATTTCCATAGCAAGATGTATGGATGAAGTGGAATGTGGATTCAGATCGTTGTACTTGAAACTGTTTCATCCAATGGGATTAACGTTCTTAATTTCCGGGGTCGTTGGACAGATTTCAATTGTGCTATTTTTAGAACTAAAATAATTATACTTTGAGAACCAACCATCACAATATGGATAGAAAAGAACATATTTCATTGTCACTCGATCTTAAATATCACCATCATCACTATCCACAGTACCGCTATTTGTAACCTCAATGGATATCTGATCATTTCCATGAGACCGGGCTGCAGCGTTCCAGGTGTCTTCAACTTCTGTCGAAATATCAAACTTCGAATCGATTGACCACCGTGCACTGCCCACGTTTGCAACGTAGACGAAATCATGGAGAAGCCCATGAGGCAATTTGGCCTCGAGCCCCATTCCATTAAGTCGCGGCATATGTTGAGCAGCGCGTCCAGCAGCTAGATATAATTTATCCAGGTATTTAGTTGGAAGCCAGCTCCAACGGGGAAGTCCGTTTGAGATATCCGACGAGCCAGAGCCAAGGGAAGGGCTATCTTCCGACTCGGGACGCTGTTCAAAGAACCAGGCTCCGGACGTGGAAACAAATGTATAGCTCATGAACAAGTTCGTCAGATTCGGCCAATAAGGTGCGGATTTATTCGCGTCCTCTGGCCAGAACAATTCGGGCCCAATCATGAGTTTGTCTAAGCTGAGCGTTTCCAATTGCTGTGATAGCTGATGCAAAGCAAGGCAAAGACAATCATTGCCTGGTTTTGATCTCTGCGGTGACGGGGGAGTATCGGTAAAATTTGGCTTTGCCTCATATACGAGGCCCAGATGCCGCAGGGTGGCTGACCAATTGGATGTAGTAAAATCTATTCTCCCTGTCAGCACAATCGATGGTCTACGAATCATGAGTAAGCGTGACAGGAAAGTGCTGGCGCAACTTACCATCGCGAAGACTATCTCGTAGCAGAGTGTCCATTGCCTCACTGTCGGAAAGCTTGACATCGGTATATTGTAGTCTGGGGAGATGAGCGATCATCTCAGATACAGCCCCCGGTGCGATATTGCGATAGGGATAATATCCACTTATATCGATTGCAGTGATACACTTGGGCTTAGATAGGTGTTTCGCCTCCGTTAGCTGCAGATAGGAACTTTGATACCGGAGGTCTAGAAGGTCCTTTTCTGGGAATAGACAGCCCGTTCTGTGCCGCGTGTGACGTTCTTTCCAGTTTGGCTCTGCTCTCCAATCACTTGGGGAACGAGCATAGATTTCCAGCGAGACCTGGGACCGTTCGTCATAGGGCCATGAGCTCAAGATCTCGAATAGAGAGCTTATCGATTGCGTGAAGGCGTTGTTATTGCCATCACGATCCTCTTGATTCTCCAAATGGGCACGGGCGGCGACATCATAATCCAGAAGAATAATCTTGAAATAGATGTGTCGGACATATCGAGCCCGCCAGTTGCAAGGAGAGGCCGAGACTATCCGACGCAAGTCGTGGACGTTGGCCGAGTTGACGTGGATGTTGGAGAAAGTGAATGTCTCGGCGGCGATTTGCCAGTCTCGGCAGACACACGCGCACGATATCACGTCATTTGGCAGGTAAGAGAATATCTGTAGCAGGGTATCGAAGGGCAATGACACAGCCATGGTGCATGAAGTGGATGTTGATTGGGAGAGGGGCCAACATAGGGCGTGTGGGGCCTGACATTCCAGGCGACTAACTCCAAGCCCCTGTTAACAAATAGTACGACTATGGCAACATGTATGATCAGGTCGATGGCCAACACAGATATCTGTTACTTCATCAACTTCGTCTTTTATCCGACCTTTTCGCCAACATATATTATTCGACAGTGCAGCCATCTAGACTCCTCACTGCTATATCACTCTCCCCACCAACTCGCTCGGACGAATGGCTAACAAGTATTGAGAACATTCTCATCTTCTACTCCTATATCAGTGGATATTAGAGCTGATACGTTGATCCCCTATGAAAACCCACGCTAAACCACTTCAGGCATGCACGATGCTCACCCCTTTTCCCCCAGTCCCCCGCATCTCATTGCGCATGTGAAGAAACGACCGGAAATCGGTTACTCTGGACAAGCTGTTCCCCCCTGCAGGGCCTCGGTCTCACACATTACCAGGGGACTTGGCGTGCATCATCGTGTTGATAAATTCTACGGCCTCTGTCAGCTTGCCTTTTGAATCAACTGCGCAAGGCCATCCGTTACACCGGGTATTAGCTGCATCATGAGGTTCATACTGTTTTCCCTGAGCGCATCGGTGTTCTACGCCATTTTCTACTTTTCCTGGATTAATGGGCTCGATGCGCTGGGCCACAAGTGTATTGAATCCGGCAAACTTCCCACCGTGGATGCGCCTCTGCGAACGGTGTACACGGGGATCGAGGTGGTAGATAATATGCTGGCCCTGCTGGTTACATTCTTCTATCCTACACTCGACGGCTCGAATCCTGGTCTTTTGCTGCACGGCATTGCGTTCACTGGTACTTTCGGCGCAACATGGACCCTGATTGTTTTGGAATCTTGGAGAAAGGGCAATGCCGGGACGATCGCTGCTTAGTATGACATTCTCGCCGACCATAGTAGCATGATCCTAACTGACGGATTTAGCCCGATGGTATTCGGCCTCATCGCTCAGCTTCTCACCTTTGCATTCGGTATTCCATTGACTTGTGGTCTTCAGCTTGGTTCCTCAATTACTGCCCGTCGCCCTAATGCAGATAACATCCGCGTCCCTCGAGCAGTTCTCGCCATTCTCCCCTTGACATTTATCATCGGATTCATGGGGCCGACCGTGGCAATGTCCTTGCCCGCTCCCTCCGTCATTTCCCTAGACATGAGGCAGATTGCAATCGCCATCTGGCAGCCCTGGCCCGCGTATGTGTCGATCCTGAGCACCGCGGGCTTTTACCTTCTGTCTCCGTTCATCTCGGAAAACGAGTGGGCGTCGAGATCTAGCTTGCGCTGGGTCTACGCTTTTGCATTTGCCAATGCGTCTCTGACACATCTCGTAGCATGGATTGTCTCTCTGGCAACTGTGATAGCGCCGAATATGTTCCAAGGCCATTTTGTGGAATCACTCCACCCGGCGAAGGTTTTCGCTCTTCATTTGCCCTGGTCTGGACTAACAGTTGATGATGTCGGTGTGGGTCTCCATGTCTTCCTCCGGTGGGATTATACGATTGGTACTACGGGTGTTTTGGTTTGGGCTTTGTCCTTGTACGTAGTCGCTCACTACCAGCTGCTCAAAACTGTCTCCTGGCCGAGCCTGCTTCTCAAAGTTGCGCTTTTGACTGTGTTCACTAGCCCCGCGGCCGCGGCGGTGGAGCTGATGTGGGAGAGGGATGAGCTGGTGTTTGCCGAGACTGGTAGCAAGCAGGTTTCTAAGGTCAAGAAATCCATATAACCAATGGCGGAGCTGTCGTAAACTTGACTTTTGGTACGTGAATGGAAGGGTTGGCTTTGAATTTACAAATTGAAATATGTTACAATCAACGACTTCATAACTCCACAGTGTTTCTTAGTGCTCAGTATGTGTCTTAGTGTTCAGTTTGTGCAGAAAGAATATATAGACAGCCCCCACAAAATCGATCAGAGCGAAGCAGAAACCCCTTTATCCGACACAATCTCATAAATCGCATCAATGTAAGCCTTGGCATTATCACTCCCCAAAATCCCCGCTCCCATCTTGTTCATAGTACAAGCAATCGTCATCCGACGATCAAGATCCATCACCACAAACGACCCACCCCAACCACCCCAGAAGCAAATCCTCCCCTCAGGAACGAAAGGAATACTATCCGGAACGGGCAACCCAAGCCCCAGCCCAAATCGCAAATTCATGAGCAAAACCAAATCAAAACCACTGACCCGCTCCTGAAGAACCTGCTCAACAGTCTTAGCCCCAAGATACCGCTTCCCATCAACAGTCCCATTTAGGGACATGATAGAGCCAATCCGGGCCAACCCCCGCGCATTGCTAAACCCATTCAACCCGCCAACCTCAGTCCGCCGGAACCCAGGAGTCTGAGAATCCTGAGGCTTCGTCCCGAGATTCGAATATGTCCGTACAGCCACACTCTCCGGATCCAAATCCCCAGGCAGACGAATCGGAGGGGGATCAATAACATCCGCCGCGCGAGGCCAGTCCTCCTCAGGAAGTCCTAGAGTGAAATCCGCACCCAACGGCGCAGCAATTTCATCCGCAATAAACTCCGTCAACGACTTCCCACTAACCCGTCGTACAAGCTCGCCAATCAGATGCCCATGCGCAACAAGCTGGTACGCAGATACCTCGCCGGCCTTATACCACGGCGCCTGTCCAGCAAGCATCTCCGTCGCGGCTTTCGTGTCATACACGAAATCCAGCGTAACTGGTTTCTCCCATTGCGGCACGCCGGAGGAGTGACTGAGCAGATGCCAGACTCGTGTGTCTTCTTTGCCGTTGACGCCGAATTCAGGCCAGTACGTTGAGACTCGTTCTTCGACGTCGAGGAGCCCGCGGTCGACGAGGATTAGGGCTGCCAGCGCGGTGACGATCTTGCTGCACGACCAGACGATGCAGACGGTGTCTTTTTCCCAGGGGCGGGTTGTGGCGGCGTCGGCGTGCCCGCCCCAGATGTCGAGGATGTCTTAGCCGTTGATGTTGACGCAGATCGAGACGCCGACTTCTTTTCCGGAGGTTTTTCTTTCTTGGAGGAGGTCGCGGATGCGGTTGAATGCGGGGTTGCAGGGGCCGTGGATTTCGGACATTCTGGGGGTTTCTTTGATCTGAGGGGTTTGAATATAGGAGACTTGGGAAGCTTGAAGAGGGGGTTTAGTAGGGAATCGAGGATGGAAGTGAGGGGTTATTGAAAGAGACCGGGGGGTGTCTATACCTGGTCATTAGTAGATTTGACCTTCTTAGTACTGACCGGGGAGACAAAGAAGAGTTGAATGCGAGTTGTGACGGTGAGCTTGTACTTTGGGATGGGTTTGGGCATTTATACTGATACAAGGATGTGACCTATTTGCGAGGGACCATTGAAGGTTATGGGAACTGTTTTAAGATGCAAGGACTGAGACATGATGTACCTATACTGCATCACCATGTTGTTTCTTGTACGTGCAATTCAATATAGCGAGGGACCGGATGGACATAGACAAGTCGCTATGGAACGAATTAGAAGGGCTGCCAGACCCCAAGCATCAGCCCTACTATATTCTAGGCCCGAGGCTAACTGGATACAAGGTAATCCGACAAAGGGCGGATGTCATCTCTAAGTAGAAATATAGTTGTGTGGTATTAAAACAATATGTTCATTCCCGGGCATGTAAAACACCTCTGAAGGAGGTCAGGTGTGGATAGTAAATCAGTTAACATCGAAAAAAATATACAAAATGAACATAACCGCTATAATGCCATGCAAATAAAAAACACTCCAATATTTTTGAAACTCCGCTGTGAAAATCCTAATCCGCCTTCACGGGTCGCGCCTCTGTAGGGTCATGGGTTTTCTCATTGACCGCACGATCCTCGGAAGAGGAAGAGAAGGAAAGGGCTTCGCCAGAGGCGACATGCTCCTCGGCATATTCCTCATCGGCTTTCCAGAAATTGGGCTTTCCGTGAGCAGCACGGTTAACCCAGGGGGAAGGAATCCACCCTTGAGCTTCCAAGACCAAGGATCTGACTCGTCCTTGTTGGGGGGAACGATACGTCCGCCGCTGACTTTCTCAAGGATCCAGGCGATACCGTTCAGGGTGATGTAGCTGGTGATACCAGCGATCAGGCCGTAGGCGATACTGTATGTGAACGGCATGACGGCCATGGTAAGGAAAGCAGGGATGGCATCGCCGTAGTAACGCCAGTTGATGTCCTGGGCAGCCTTGGCCATCATAGCACCGACGATCACGAGCGTGCAACCCGTGGCCCAAGGGGGAATGGAAGCAAAGATCGGCGCGAAGAACACAGCAATAAAGAAGGCGAAACCGGTGACACAGGATGTCAGACCAGTCTTTCCTCCTTCGGAAATTCCGGCGCCGGACTCGACGAATGCTGTGACGGGGGGACTTCCGAACAGGGCTCCGATTGAGATGCAAATCGCGTCAACCATGTAGGCAATGGCGCTGCCCTCGAAATCTTGGGTCTCCTCGTCGATCACACCGGCGAATCGGGCCATGGAGTACATTGTACCGGTGGTATCCAGAATATCGACATACTGCGGGTATATTAGTATTGGTGTTTTTCCCGTCAGATAAAAACTTTGCGACTTACCAAGAAAGTGATGAAAGCAAGTCCGAATTCGCCACCCTTACCGGAGATATCCCAATCTTGGGCCAGTAAAGTATGCTTGATGGGATGGAAAGTGACAACTTGCTTGAAGAAATCAAACTTGCTGGTTCCAAGATCGGTGTAAGGGAAGTAGGTGACGGGGGTAGTGCGAGGCCAAGAGATGATAGAAACCAACAGAATGCCGATAATAACGGCACCCTTCACGCGGTACATCATCAGCATAGCGGTCAGGATACCACCACAGAAGATACCAATCCACATTGTAGCACTGCGCATCTTCTCGCTGCTCAAGCAAAGACCAGTCAACTCATCGAAACTGCCATCGGGACAACCAGCCAACTCCATAGGAGTATCTCTGCCACCCTGAACTAATCCAATACCGGCACTGTAGGTCAAACCGATCAATGAAAGATAAAGACCGATACCGACACCCGTTGCGAGTTTGATAGAGGCAGGCAACGCACGTGCCAGCCACTGTCGCATACCGATGAATGTCAAGCCCAGGAATACCCATCCCTCGACGAAAACCGCCGTCAGGGCTGTCGAGTAGGGAACCATGCCGGAACCACGGGGTCCAACAACAGTGTAAGCGAAGTAAGCGTTCAGACCCATTCCAGGTGCAAGCGCAATGGGCAAGTTAGCGAACAATCCCATGCAGAAGGTTGACAGAGCGGCGATAGCGGCGGTGGCGGTAACGAGATCACGATTGACTTCTTGCGTGCACAGAGCGTATTCGGCATTGGTTGCGCAGTAATCTCCCATGTCCTCCGGGGGGCAGACGCAGGTACCACCGGTCAGCGAGGTAATGTTGCTGTTCACGGAGATGATGTATGCCATGGCGAAAAAGGTGGCGAGGCCGGCGCGAATTTCAGTGAAGAAGTAACTACCCTTCCTCTCTCGAGGCTATACGACCGTTAGTCCCCCATGCACTAACATTGCGATATCACACATTGTAATAGCATGACTTACATGTCCGGAGCCATCCAGACGAAACCATGTCCCCACGGGACTGCGGGCAACCCGCAAGTTGGTTTTATCGATCCAGTCGTTGAAACCCTTGAAACCCATTGTGAGAGTGTGTAACACGTCCTGTGCGGGGTGTATACAGGGTGATTCGCTGTCGTCAGACGCGGTATTTAAAGATGGGACTACAGTAGGAGTTGGAAAAGGAAGAAATGGGCGAACGGCCTCGGCCAACCATACACTGATAAGAAGTCAGCAAGAAAAAAAAAATTCGCCTCCATTTGCTATCGCTCTCGAGTAGCCCGGCTTGGCGTCCCGAAACAAGCCGCGATGATGTTCTCATTGGCTGGCCACTTGCCGACTGTAGTCTGGTCCATGGCTCGTAGCTCGGCAACTCGAAGAAAAAACTGAAAAAGATGCCATGTCAGGTGAATCGCGTGACTCATCCATCTCACAGCCACAACGCTCTCGAAAGCAGACATTACAGAGTGTCCTCTTAATCTATCTCGACAATGTGCAATGTAAATCCCTGCACCGCCAAGACCCCGAGGGTGCCGCCCTCACGAGCTCGATCTTATCACAATTGGCTCGTGGAGTTGAGGTTGATAACGGGGCCGGAGAAGGCCGATGACATAACATGGCCTTTATGTAGTGCACAGAGGTCTGGAGAATATCACTTCCTCAGAACCCTGGGGTAGCTGCAGCGTCGGCAGATTCCGATTCTATGTTATCAGAGGAAGATCTGGTATCTCACCCGCTGATACGTTCGTCAGACACGAATCAAGCCTTTTCCACAAGTTCGTATCCAAGCGGTTACAGCACCTGCAAAAGCACTTCCAATAGCACGTGCATGTACTGCGTACCGATGGGGACCCCATCAATAGGGGCTAAACGATGTACTCCGTACTCCGTACTCGGTAGCCTAAACCCGATAAGACGCCCCTTATCTCGCGTGTGCGCGATCTAGCAACAGGGAAAGGTGAGAACATCCCAACGTCAACTATTAGAGACATGCCATTCATTTTGTTCATATAATATCAATTGTATGCCCGGTATATATATGCAGACGGTAGGCCGTCGGGACAAACGTCCCTCCCTCTTTCAAGCAGAGAAGGGACATTGATAATACATACATGTAATGCACGATTAAAGGGGGTCCACGGGTAACATCGGGATGACGCGCATATGGATATTAGTAACAGGGAAAGTAATGCATGTATGCAAGATGAGAACGAAGCCATTTCTAGACAGAGGCCCTCAATCTTTTCTCCGAATCTGCGACAGAGGGAATCTCCATCATGGGAGCGAATTTAGACCTCCTACGCAAGGCGGGTCCCCATTTGATGAATGCCAGTGGGATTGGCACCATAATGAGCGCGAGACATCCAAGCAGTGTGCCAGCCCACTGCACACCTAAATTGAGGAACATTTGTTTTGAGAACAAGGGGAATGCAGCTCCCACCGCTGATCGGATGATGGTATTTGCAGCAAACACAGACGCAGCACTAGGTTGGAGGTCAGTATAGTCAACCACAGTGACACAAAGGGTAATCGACTTACAATGTCAGGTATGAGTCAATCAGGTAATTGAAGCACTGCAGGAAAATGACATAGATACCAAAGCCCGTCACCACTCCGCTGGCGGTGGGAGCCATCCAATGGATTGATTTTGTCCATCCAGTCCAGCCATACCAGAACAACCCAACACAGAAGCACAGACCGCCCAAGATGGCGGGGGGCAGTCGCCATTCCGGGACAGGGATGTTGTTGTTCGCAGCTAACTTCTTGAGATACGCTTTCTGGTCGTACATGGTATATGCACCGGCTAAGAACTCGCCGATGATCAACCCGATGAATGGAAGAGCTCCAACACCAAGGTTCATTCCGTGGATGCCCTGGAATACAACGGGGTAGGCACTGAGCAGCGCGTACATCAATCCATATACGAAACTCATCCACAGGGAGATCTGCAAGACAAGTTAGCTTATTACAATTGGGAACATGTGATGATGACTGACCAGGAAAACAATCGGCTCAGTGAAAAGCATACGGAACGGCCGACTGAAGTTGTTCGTGAGAAGCTCACCCCAATCCAGCTCGATTTCTTCTTGTCTGGCACGGATTCCCCAATTATGTGTTTGGCGTCGCAGGATTGCTGCTTTTTCCACGAGCACAGCGGGGGCATATGTTTCTTTCAAGAATACAAGACACAGACCAGTGGCCAGCCAACCCATGATAGACGAGATGTACATAGTCCACCTCCATCCCAGATACGACATGGTGATGAAGCCGCCAGTGAACGGAGAAGCGAACGGTCCCACGAATACAGCCATGGCGAACATTGCGATAGCCACACCGCGCGTTTGATTATTATAGATGTCCGCGTACACGGCAGGAACAATGGCGATCGGACTAGCAGAAAAGAAACCGGCGAAGAATCGGGTCAACATCAGAGTCTGGACATCTTTACTGGTCGCCGTCGCAATCGTGAACAGGGAGTATCCAAACATGCCAATGCAAATTGGCCATCTTCTACCAATCAGCTCGCTGGCCGGTGCCCAAACCGTCGGCCCCGAAGCAAATCCCAGGACATACAGGGTCACGCCGAGGATGGCGACTTCCGTGCTGATGTTGAAGTTGGCGCTGATTGCGCCAACTCCGGAAGAGTAAATGGCACTAGCAAAAGATGCCACGAAAGTGGTGTAGGCTAGCACCACGGAGATCGTGATCTTGCGTGCTAAAGACCAGTTCTGAGGGTGCAAGGGATCATCTGCATCGTTGAACTCCACAATGTATTGTTCCGGGTCTGGGAGATCTGGAGGATGGGGCTTGCCAGCTCCGAGTGGGAGCCACTGGTCCCGCGGTGTGAGTCCAACCCCAGAGCCGACGGTAGAGCGGTGCTGAAGTCTAGAGGTCTCGATTCGCTCTAACTCGACCTCATTGAGGTGGCTTTGGCGACGGTCAAAGTTCCCTGATCGGGAGGAATTGAGCTCCGATAAGCGGCGATCGGGTCGTGTCTCAATTGTACTGAGGCCTTCTCTTCCACTTTCACTTTCACTAGAGCTACTCCCGTAAGAATCATGGCGGGTTGCCATGCTGATGGAGTATATGCTATGCGATGCAATGTGTTGCTAGCAAGTAATTGGATTCAGGGAACATAAAAAAATATTTATATTTTGTGAGTACCACAGCAAGATTCGGGAATTCGGTTCCTGGGGATCGAGTGGTCACTTTCATCATATCTTGATCGCAGTCATCAACGTCATCGACTGTACCTTTCCCCGGTTGACCCGCCGGCTGAGTGATGGACATCCATAGAGCCAATGCCGCTGTGGACTGCCGCAGCGTTCCAACAAAGTAATTCCCCCCGGCCGCGAGTACACAAGACTATGAAGACACCATCTTATGAACTGTTCGATGCTCATAAAATATCCCAAGAAACAGGATCTACAGCGCCGGGTCCGAGGCCGTTCACTAATATGTCATTAGTCATCATTGGCCTAACCCGCCGCCTACATGGAGGTAACCCGCCCGGGCGTGGATGCCGAGTACAACACCCTCTACAGTGTTCCTAGGCCCTATGTATTTGTGCCTTTTGTTTGGAAGATGCGTATCAGGATCATGGTCGAAGATGAATAGCCCTATCAATATTTTACTCACCAAATTTCTCTGACTTGTCTCCACTCCCATGTGCACTGCTGCAGGGCGTATCCATTAAACCAAGTAATTCAATGAGCATACAGGATTAGTCACAACATCGATTGGTGATTGACACCAAAGATAAAAATGCGTTGAACCCGTGAATGCATCTAATCTTGCTAATTTTTGGGACTCAGATCTATGTTCATGTATCCTGATCCGAATGCGGCCCCAGAGCTCGAATAGGCAGTGTTGATCCAATCGGGGAAGAGATGATCATTTTGATATCCTCGTTGGATTCATGTATCCCTCCCCTTCAGTGTAGATTGAATCCTTCTACAGATACATCGCACATTTTCATCGCGTATTTTCATCGCGTATTTTCATCGCGTATTTTCATCGCGTATCATAACCAGTCTCTCAGCTCTGTACTCGGTACTTCGTACAACAACCAGCCAAACTACGGTATAGAATTCCAAGAGTGGGTGGATTCCAAAGGTGGGTGTTCAATCGAGATTGTGGCATCCAGGGATAAAGCCCGTCGAGCTGAAACCATATAAAAGGGGTAATTAGGCACAAAAGCTGAATCATGGATACTCCATAGCCTCTTAAGTGATTCCAAAGTACGGAGCATACAAAATCAGTTTACCACCTGAGCACCCTAGAAGATCTGGAGAACAATCGCAAACTATTAGGGCAAGGGTGGCCTCAAATTTTGAGGAGCTCATTGTCAACCCTACATGTTGTGGCCAATCAACGATATTTGCAAAATAAGACGGAAGGTGTGACTGGATCTTCGACATGGTCTTCGGATGCATGGTCGAGAAACTTGCGAGGTACGAAACTGTATCTTGGGGATATTCAGCCGGATGCTGATGTTGGATGCATTGCTTTGTCCACCTCAGTACAGGGTGTATCTCCCAGGTTGGTGAACGACAGACTATATAATTGAGAATAGATAGGAATACATTGTCTGTTGATACGAGATCAGACATAGGATTATCAGCGCTTGGGCTTCTCATATATCGTCTCAAAATATCTGTTTGTACATTTTTGATGATGGAAGGGAGAGCAGTTTGTACACACAAAAACATAAAGAGCTAACTGCAATATATGTCTCTAGCTCACTGACAAATGAGATCCCCCACTAGAAAGAACATCGAGGGCTAATTAACGCATAATGTCAATTGGACAACTATCTTCCTCATGCAAAGAAGGAAGGTTGACAGGCGGGCCGAACCTTAATTTTAAGATGAGCATCTATGCCAAGAAACCTCTGGAAAAGAAGAAGGGTCTGAGCCTGGAAGCACCACTGCTGGCTGTAGCAGAAGTTGCCCCAGAGGCGGACCGAACTGGTGAGGCGGTCTCCGTCGCTGTAGTCGATGCTGAGGTAGTGGAGATCGCAGCTTCGGTGCTAGTTGAGCTGCTTACAGATGAAGTTTCAACGGTGTCGGTCTTTGTCGCACTTTCGCTGGTGCTAACGGAGCTCACATCGCTTCCGTCTTTGTGGCACTTTACCACTGTTTCCCAGCCCTCGGCAAAGACATCGTCCCACCATGAAGTTTGGGTGTTAAGCGAAAAGTAACTGAAGAAATATGCCGAGCCAGGTTGGTTGTGCGCGTTTTGGAAAAACTTAACTGCACATTCGTTGTCACATGGGAACTCCCCACTGGCCCAATCAGGACTTCTGGGATAGGTCACGAAGCAGTAATCAGACCTGCGAGCAATATAAGTACATGGCCCTAGGCAAGCGTTATGTATCAGACTCACCCGCTTGTGGCACAAGCTTGGCTGTATTTGTACTGGAAAACCTCGCCGACGGTGGCCACGGGAACCTCGTAGTCAAGCTTTCTCCCCGCGTTAAGCCCGGCTAGATCACCGTCCTTGTCGCATTTAGCGTTGACGTTCTTGATGTACTGCGACAAGGAATCACTGCATGTTGTGGTACACATAGCTTCCAAGTCTGCAGGTTGTGGGTCGAAGTCGGGATCCATCGACGCTACGATCTTAAGGAGAGTTTCATCGCAGTTGATACTGGCGCTGTAGGCATCCTTGCAAGCCTGGGATGTCGTGTCTGCGAGGTCCTCGGATGTATAGGCCCAGCTAGGACCAGAAGTATCGAGATCGAAGGTAGCAGTCGCCTGGCTCAGGGCAGCGGCCAACGCCATGAGGCGAAAGATCGTGGTGTTGGGGCCCATTTTGTGTCGATTTTGAAAAGAGTGACAAAAACAGTTGAAGTAAATGAATCCTGACAGTAAAAAAAGAGAGACGAAAAGTGAGCAGTGGGATGTAGATTTAGTGATATGAAAAAAATGAAAGACAGAAAAAAGGAGCTCCGTATAAAAGCAAGATGGGTGGCTATGTCTTGTTTCTGACCCGGGTCAGCTACATTGAACAGCTATAATAAGCGAGCTTCAAGTCCTGATATGAAGCCGCTAGTACGGAGTAGACAGCCCCCAAATTCTCAGGGGCAATTTCAAAATTTAAGCCGCAAGACCCACGGCGTAAAAAGTCTGCTGGGGCCAATTTCCATCGAGGTCTACTCCGTTGAGACCTGGTGGCAACTGTGCGCTTCTTCGGCCTCCAGCGCTTGCCGTGTCTCGTATTTCGGGTTTGATTCTCGTCTCCAATTTCCTTCTCTCTACTCCGTACCTATAGCGACCGAATCCACTGAAGTTGTGCCAAGAGGCCCATTGCAATCATAAACTATCAAGCAACAATCGGTGCTGCCTTGGGCTCCGTGAGTGGCTTATCCGCCCCTTGCACGCCGCCAAACCCCCACAGTTTGTCCATCCTCTCGGCATGGAATTTCTCTAGAAGTTGGCATTCTCGTAGTTCCACTCCTGGGATTATGATCATGCGCTGAGATCCCGCGGAGCTCCGCCCGAATGCCCTCGTTAGCAAACTATTGTAGGAGGCGCAGGCATCTTTCAAGGTAAGTCTGGCCATACGCTATCCTCGGGGTTTAGAGAGCTTGCCGGTTTGGCTTTTCGTGAAGAAGTTCCCCCATGAAAATATAAACAAAGAAATGATAACAAAACAATTCCCTAGAAATGAAAATCATGACCAAATTCTGATCCTTGTCAAAAAAGAAAAGGGAAATAAATGCTGGGCAGAAAGTAGAGACAGCAAGCCGCCCCCAAAAGGCGAGCAATCGCAAAATGCCTGACCAAAGTGCCAAACACGGATTCTCGCTCAGGTGTACGGAGCATGCCCAATGCAGGTAGCTAGAACAATGAGAGATGCAAAACTTCACGAGGGAGCAGTCTTTGGCACAGGCATGTCAAGCTCGCGGAAAGCCCTCTTCCAAAACTTCTTCTCCGCATTGGTTCGATACCACTCCGGCTCGTACTTGACAAGCGCGGGAAAGAATTCGTGCATCAAGGCCACTCCAGCCTTGGGAAATGTCTTCTACAGCTCTCGTATAGCACCACGGACTCCAGGGGTCATCTGATACTCCAACTCCCGACGCCACTCCTCAGTCTCGTCCTCCATGTCCTAGTCCGAATTCTCGCCGTCATGCGGATTTCTGTGTATCCACAGCCAGCGGCTGTAAGCCTCATTGGGTGTCAAGGCGTTAAAATGAATGACATGAGCCGCTTTGGTGCGTTGGCGGGTGGGCCTCTGGGGAGCAATCATAGTGAGGCGGGCTGGGTTTAACAGCCTTTCATTCGTAGATGATGTTGTATGTCGTATCTTTAGTTAGTGGTAAAAGACTCGTTTGCGAATGTGTATAGCGGCCAGGGGTCAAGCGTAATTTATCGCGTGGTTGTTGCCTGGTTTGTCTGATTCGGTATCGCCGTGAACGGGCAGTGAACACCGCCATATACCGTCCCCGTACCATGACCCCCCATAATTGAAGCCATTTGCAGTACACATATCTCCATTTTGCCCCGAACTCTGGGTGTTTTGAAGCTCACCTATGAGTCTTTGGCTCATTTGACTGGAAGAACCTCTTTTGCGTTAAATTGTTAACTGTGTGCTATCAGAAACCACACCATGGTGCCCTCCAAAACATCAACCCTGTCTGCGCAAGGTATGTAACAATCGAGCGACATGTGGTACTATCTTGTCGTGTGCTTTCTGCATTGAAGTGCTGACGGGAACTCTGATGTTCGCTGTAGCAGACAACGACCGGAGAAATGAAATGTTCGAAAGAATATTAGGAATTTGGAGGCACCTCAAGCTGTTTAAAGAGTCTCCCAAAGTCTTCGTCATTTATGCGCACGGTTCCAAAGCAAAGCAGGAAGCCGTCAAGGAATTCATCCAGTGGTTTAAGGACGTCCGTTTTGACATTCATTCAGATCAATCCCCGTGCGGATACGGACCGTCAGTGATTCGTGCTGGTAATGCAAACGCCGATACTTCACTCGCCGCAAGGAATATTCTGGAGAATCAGCTCTGCGTACTTCCGCAGAAAGCATTTACAAATTCCGCCAAATTTGTCATCTTGTGCGGCACTAACATCCTCGCCGAATACATGAACAAGAGTCAGTTCAATTCCTTTGTCGAGGCTATGGTTGACAGCTTCTCCCAACTTGGACACACTCAGAAGTCGGATAAGGACACACGCGAACGTGTGCGCAATGTCAGCGCATTCTACTCGGAAGCAATGCAGGAGGACTTCCATCATGTCCAAACAGAGTTGGCACTTTTGAACGTCAGATATAAGGAGGATAGTAATCAATTCATCATCCCCTTGCTGCTCAATGGAGACTACAAGGAATGCTTCCCAAAATACATTGTCGACGATAAAACTACCCTTCGAATCGAGCTGAATGACCAGAGATCACCACACAAATGCTTTTTCAGGCTTCTGGGCCTGGTTGCAGCGGACCAGAAACTATTTATCGATGCCTTGAGAAAGAGCTATGAAACATGTTCTAGAGTTCTGGATGACAAGGGATCGCAGTGGGATTCCAACACGTTCCGCCAATATTGTGAAACCGAAAATCTTAAAGCGCTAATGGAGTTGACGAATGATCAAGACCCTCGGATGGATCACAGACCGATCGAGATTGGTAGTATTTGGGTAGCTCTGAGAGAGTATTACTCTTCTGGGCACTTATCTATCCAGCGAGTGTCAGGCCAGGCATTCCCAATTGACTTAAGCTACATAAATCTGACACTTGTGCAATCCAAGTCTTCAATGTCAAACGAAGAAAATCAATCCTTTCCGGAAGCGGGCCCTCCACAAACGCCTATACCTCTGGATGGCCTTTTTAAGGAGAGAATCTTAAAGGACGGCAGCAAGGGTCGGCCGAAGCGAATACTTATCCGAGGCCAACCGGGGGTGGGAAAAAGCACAATATGTAAACGGATAGTAACCGAATACCAACAAAACGAAGCCCTTCGAGAGGAGTTTGACTGGGTTCTCTGGGTCCCGCTGAGCAGGCTCGAGCTCACAGAAGATCTGGAGGATTTCTTCTATAAGGAATATTTCCAATTGACCGACCGAGGGCGTGAACTGGCACAAACACTCTACAGTCGAATTTTAGGGCAGGATAAAGCAAAGACGCTGCTCATTCTCGATGGTTTCGACGAAACGCACGGGTGGGCACCGGGCAAAGCTGATCTTGTTGCACGACTGGCCAACCATGATGCGGTTATCATCACATCGCGTTTCAGCGGGTGGCCTGGCGAGCGCATTGTTCCTATCGATCTGGAACTAGAGGCCCTCGGCTTCAGTCAGGAGACAGTTTCAAATTATCTCGAAAACCGAACCATCGTTCCATCGCAAGAAACCGCCGATGAAATCAAGGGGTTTATCGACAGCAACGAGTCTGTTCTGGAGCTGGTCAAGTTACCCATATATCTAGATGCGCTGTGCTACAGCTGGGATGAGCTGAAGCGAAAGACCCAGTTTGGAAGCATTCCCACTGTCACTATACTATACCAGACAATCATGACCAAACTCTGGCGGAAGGATATTCCTTATCTCCAAAAGCGCGATGCGGTCGATGGATCCCCATTGACGCAGGAGATCGTACAGGCAGTTCGAGACCCGAGGCGTCTCGAACATGTCGTCCATCGAGAGATCGAGTTCCTTGGCAGACTGGCCCTGGAACTTACCGAGCAAAATCGAACAAACTTCGGCAATTCAGAGATCGATGAAATCATCCACCAGACAGAGCTTCACGGCACTCGTCTGCCCCTTTCGTTCGAATTCAACTTGAACAAACTCTCTTTGCTACATTTGAGTGGCCCCGTCTCGAAAGCTAACTACAACTTCATCCACCTTACCTTTCAGGAGTTCATTGCTGCCCAATGGCTGATACAAGATCCAGACCGATTAGATCTTTACATCCGGCAGTTCAAATATAATCCCCGTTTTGAAAATGTCTGGCGATTTGTTACCGGTTTATTCCATTCCAGTGGGGATGAGGAACAACTCCTTCGCTTCTTCGACACAATTGAGAAAGATCCGCGTGACCTTTTGGGTCCTGTATATCAACAGCTTATTATGAACTGCCTCAGCGATGCCCCCCGGTCGCAGAAGCTTGCCAAATTCACTCGACTTGAAATAGAATTGGAAGATCAACTATCGCAGTGGCTATGGTTTGAATGCAACTACATGGGATCCTCGCGACTGGCCGGCAGATTGGAGTTCCCAGAACAAGTAATAGAAGACAGCTTACAAAAATCTCCCGATGATATGAGGATAAGGATTTTACATTCACTGTGCAGCAGGCCAAAAGTCTCACAGCGGATAATAAGGCTGGCGGCCTCCTGGTTGGGAGACAATGTCTCGACAGAATTCATTCTGGGAGTTGTCTACTTTCTCCGGGACTGTCCTGGAGATCTGCCAGACGATATCCTACCAACCTTGACCGGATTGTTGAAAGATCCAGATTCGCGGGTCATAGAAGGTGCGGTTGATGCGCTAGAAAGGCTGCCAGCCCTAACAGAAGAGATCCTACGAAATTTCACAGAATTGTTGACACGTCCAGAGCCGAGCGTTCCTGAGATTGGGGGTAACGCCCTCAAGAGGCAGGCGGCTCTACCAGAGGGAATCCTACAGACTTTAACGGAATTGTTGAAACACCAAGGATGGGGGGTGCCTCACATTGCGGCTCAGATCCTGCAGAGGCAGGCGGCTCTACCAGAAAAGATCCGACAAAGCTTAACCGAATTGCTCAGAGGCCCAATCAAGAACATCTCCATCAGCGCAGCTATAGCCTTACAGGGGCAGAGGGCGGCCTTACCAGAAGACATCCTACAAACTTGGATAAAGTGGTTAAAAGATCCAAACTCGGAGGTTCGTGAGAATGTGGCTTGGGCCCTACGGCAGCAGATGACCCTACCCGAAGGGATCATACAAACGATCACAGAGTTCTTAAAAGATTCCAACTTGGACACTCCTGACAGTGTGTATGACGCTCTGAGGCAGCAGAGAGCCCTGCCAGATGAGGTCTTACAAACCTTAATAACATTGTTAAGAGATCCAGACTGGAGGGTTCGTTATCATGCGATTCAGAGCTTACAGGCACAGGCGTCTCTAACGAAAGAGACCCTACAAATCTTTGTAAAGTTGTTCGAAAATCCAAACCGGGAGGTTCGTGAGTTCGCGCATCACATCCTACGGAACCAGGCGGTCCTACCTGAAGAGGTCCTACAAACCTTGGCGGGATTGCTGCAATCTCCAAGCGAGGATATCCTCATCATGGCGACAACTGCCTTACAACTCAAGGCGGCTCTCCCAGTCGGGATCCTACAAGCCTGCACAGAACTCTTAAAACATCCAGACTGGGAGGTTCATCACGGTGCGGCTCAGGTTCTACAGAGGCGGGTGGCACTACCAGAAGAGATCCTACAAACCTTCACGGGATTGTTAAAATCTCCAAGCCAACATACCTTAATCAGCGCGATGACAGCCTTACGAGGGCAGTCTGCTCTACCAGACGGGATTCTACAAACCTTGACGGAATTTTTAAAGGTTCCAAACTGGGAGCTTGGTGGCCCTGCGGCTTCGATCATACAGCAGCAAGCAGCCCTACCAGAAGGGGTCCTACAAACCATAGCAACATTGTTAAAAGATCCAGACTGGGTGGTTCGTTGTAATACGGTTCGGGCCCTAGCGATGCAGACGGCTCTACCAGAAGAGATCCTACAAACGTTGGGTGAATTGTTAGAAGATTCAAGCGAGCAAGTCAGTGATGAGGCACTGAAAATCTTAGGTCGGCAGGCGATACTACCCGATGAAAAGTTCTGTTCATTGCATATCGATATGGCCAGCATGTCTTTCACGCGCTTGTACGAAATGTGGCTGAAGCGAGCGTTTGAGGAACATCTGATTTGGCATATGAATGAAGAAAGCTTCCAGATTGATATACAATCCGAATGCTGGAACTATTCTCAGGGTGATTTTTTGAACGCAGTCCAAGAGGTACAAAGATCGTTGGGTATGCCTGTTGTTCATGGCTCAGGTGGTTGGTATAATGCTTGAACTGCGGTTTCTCGCGATCATGACTTGAATGATCGACGGACCAGTCTCGACTATCTTCAATCACTATTTCAAGAGGGTTCTTTATAGCAACATAGAGGAAGGTCAATTATCCTTGTTTGCAAGGATTGATTCCGTGGCTCTAAATCCCTACACTCAATCGACCCTTTTAGTCTGGACTGTGTAATTCACTATAAAGCGATACTAGATGGCTGTAGCCGCAGATGCAAGGCGCTATAATGGCACCTAGCTGTATGTACAAGACGCCGAATTATCCATGAGCCCGTATAGATCATCCCCGGAAGTACTGTAGGGCGGACAGGAAACCCTCACTTCTATCGGCAACTGGGGCGGACTAGCTGGCGCAGGACACATAAAGCACGACTTGAAACCCTTGAAATGTACATTTATCTCGTATGTACCCCGTACGGAGTACTGCTGGACCATGTGGCGAGTATTGAGAAAATATAACCCAGCCTTCGGCAACCTATCGTGTTCGTATTGTCCTATTATTAGGATTCAGCCCCTTATCTCGGATCCCAATTTCTTTCTTTGGACTATAGAGTACAGAGTACCCTGGTGGGAATTATTGGACTTCAACTAATGAAGATTTTCCCTAAATATTATTATACATCAAATCTTGTGAGCCTGATCATCAGGTGCGTTGTCAGATATATATATGGGAGACACGATGAAGTGCAAAACGAAGGGATCGTGCGCCATGTTAGAGATGTGAGGTTGAAGATTCTATATATATCAATGCCGAGTGTTCACCCGACGAGAAAAAAACAAGCAAGAAGCCTGTATCTTGGACACGATTGCCAAGGTCAGAAAGAATGAATTAAATAATGCTCGCTCCCAAAAGCACTAGATTAGATACAACGATTTTCTGAATGCCTATACAAACTTCTGCATGGCTGATCGTAAAATTAGACGTATGACACCTCAAGTCCGGTCAAACTTCTTCTGGCTCTGCGCATCCATCTCACTGATCGGGCTGCTGCCCAGCTCAGCAGTCCCTTCATCCCCTGCCAACTCAACAACCCGCGATCCAGGCGGTGGTCTGAACGCGCGCACAGCTGATAAGCTCCCATCTTTCTCCACAGCTGTGGTACCGCTGGTGGAAGACCCAGTAGCGTCCACCTCATGGGGCCCGTAACCACCATCTTGACTATCAACCGGAGGCTTTGGCTTGTTTTTCTTTTTCATGTAGAACACGACAAGCCCGACGATAATCAGAACACCTGCTACGACGCCAATCACAACGCCTGCAATAGCACCTCCAGAGAGAGAAGACCCGCCCGAAGAACCGCCGTCGGCATTGCTGGCCGCAGCGGGAGGTGTTGGGGTTACGGAGGCGGAGACGGAGGTCACAAATGTAGAGGTAGGTGTCGAGGACGATGTGGAGGTTTGTGTCAAGGAGGACTCCGATGCCCGGGATTTTGCAACGATCTCACTCTCGAGCATGACATCGAAGGCTGAGAATGGTGCGCTGGCATTCTTTCTCCAGATGCCACATGCGTATCCGCCTCTGGAAATACAGTCTGTGTCGCGGTAGATCGACACACAGAGATCAGACCCCTCCGGATCCCAGGTGAACAGTCTGTCCTGGCCGATGGGTGAATTTGTGCAATTCTGGGGTTCATCACCACGCGCGATCTCGGTGGCGTTTGTTACGTTGGTGTAGCGGAAGGTCCAGGCGTTCACCAACGGAGCGAACAAGAGCGCGTATTGTAGCAGCATCGTGCCCCTATTCATTGACGCAAAAGGATAACGTTCAGGGAGGGTGAGCAAAAAGGTCGGAATTAAACTTCGCGCAGTCAAACGTGCGGGAGGGGGGATATGTCAGTGATATAAGGGATGCAGGCACCCTAGTCCCTCGTTGGATTTGGGATGAATAAACCTCGTATTCAAATGAGCCTCGTCTGTGCCGGTGTATCTTCTAGCCTATGTCTAGGACCAGTCGAAATCCTGGCGGTGGACCCTCCGATGACTGCAGTCAGCGATGTTTACTGGGTGGGGAAGACACCGATGGAGACCGAAAAGCTAATTTAGATGCATATTCGCACGATCTCGAGCCCATGGCAAGGTTAGGATCGAAGGTAGGATAGTACCTTCAGGATGAACAGGTGGCCAGGGTGGAAGATTCAACACACTGCATCGAGAGAATCCATATTAGCCCCGATTATAATTCTAGAGAATCCTGATAATCTCCACATCCAGACTCTACCTCGTATGTACGGCGTAGTCACTGCATTATCCAACCCAATACTATCTGACACCTGGTGGCTGGCCGGTTGGTGAGAATACGGGGTGCAGCAGTCCTCTGCCCTTACTCCGTACTTCGTGCATCCCTGTCAAAATCGTAGTCTGAATAGGAATCCTTTAGCCTTTTCTGTCTCGATTGTGCGAAAAGGTGCAACTCAAAGTCTGGGCCTGCAGCCGTCGTGCTCATGAAGAATGGTGATTGGTGCACTATGGCCCGAACACGAGGTCATGGACAATTTAGAAAATTTAAACAACAAACCAAAACATTGCATGGGATGTGGACAAGGAAACCAATGATCAATGGGAGAGATGATCTGAAAGGTAGAAAAAGAGCTTGTTGCCCTCTTTTGAAGTCTTTGATATGTCGCGGTCATCGTGGAGCGCGCGGACAAACAAAAGACAGGCCGCCAAGAGTCTGTGCACGAATACTCTTGGCGAGATGAAATGGAGCTCAGCCGACAGGGGTCTAGGTAGTTCTTCAGTGTTGGGTTCCGGCCCACCAGGACTGTGTATTCAGGGGGATCAGAGAATTAAAGTAGCGGCCTGTTCTAAACTGGAATCTCAGGCCACTACTCTGTGGCTAGGCGATTGATATCGAGTCGTTTGGGGTCCCCTTAGTCGTGGTGCATGCTCCGGTACTAAATGGTTTATCAAAGTGGCAAACTACGCCATAGATTCCCAAATCAATGGCCATGCATGTGAGATTGTGGGTGAAGTCCGAGACCTAACTGCCTCAAATATAACTGAAATTGAGCTTGATACCGGTAACAACTTGCTATGAAGATGGAGGATTGGAAATAATAGCTTACCATGATGTAGATACCTAGATCTTATGTGATATGGCGTCAAAATATATGCAGGCGAAACGATCGCTGAGACATAACATTGCTCCAGGACAGCCGCGAGATTGGGGGTATGCTTAACCCTATTTATGTATACACTGAACAGTGTGATCTGCCTTGTTCAAAGGCCCCAGATGTCATCGAATTGACTTGCTAGTCGGTACTGGACGAGCCGAACATAAAACATGACTGATGGGTGACGTGGTATCACAGGGATGTCCAGACTTATTCAATTGTGAACAGCGTCATCCGTTACCCTCCTCAAATTCTATGCCCAACATATCCATGATCGATATTGTTGACTCTGCACGCCATATAGATGGTCCCCAGTTGAAACACAACAACCTTGCACTGTAGGGCCGCTCGAATGTTGCGGGGGAAGCTGCCAGCTCAACATCGGAGGTCAGCGGAGCTCGTCTCCTGGGATCTACAATTCACCAAACACCGTAGCCATGGTAATATATTGCCAGAACCCAATCACATCAGTCGTCTTCCTCGTCCTAAAGCTTAAATAGGCACAATGAGAGGCACCAGGGCAGCTAGCATCATCGATTGGCAATGTGTATTGTCCGTCCCGTGCCGGAGGCTCCTCTAGTGAATGAAACGAACCTCATGCCGTCGACTCTACCTAACCCTCTCGAGACTCATCTAAAAAGATCGCCGTCGTCTGCTTGATAGTCGCCAATCCCGTGCAGCCTGTCAATTTTCATTCCATTGTGGATTGGCTTCTTTCTCGTGGAAAAGCTTGTCTTAGTATCTCAGTACGTATTTCTGACCGTGTCATTGCGATATCTCATTCTTTGCTGTTGTCCTGGGATCTCTCGTTTTCAATCGTCTTCTTGACCCAACTGCGCTTCCCGCGGCCATAGATCAAAACGCTTGCTGACAAGTGTTTTGTATAGTCGAATCAACAGTCGAAAACCTAGGGTTAAGTCCTAAGGAACCCACCATAACCCGTGAGGATGTCCTTCTTGAACCCATAATCCCGGCCCCTCAGCTTGAGAAATTGAGTTGATGAGACCATAGTCCAACAATGACTGACACGCAGAACAGAAGTACTCTTCTCGCGTACCATCACTCTGACAGCATGGCGGCAATCAATGTGATCTACCATGGCAACTCCGCGTCGCCGTCCTTGCACTCAATCGTCAAACGAAGCGGCCATAAAGGCAACTGGGCGAACAGAAATCGAGGTGTGGTGCTTGTATTTTGTATTGTATTCCTCGTTGTTGTCGGAATCATGGCCCTTTTTGGGTACCGGCGATTTTTGAAACGGAAAGTTGAAAAGCAGTCCTATGAGACGACCAAGGACTAGTTATTCAGCTGCATTGCAATTGACACGGAGGTTGCTAGCAGTCAAACTCGGTGGATGGGCCCGCTATCTCATGCAGCTGCGTGCTGGATTCCAGTTCATTGAGGCTTTCCGGGTCTGTCTTCTGTGTGTGCATGCTTGTGTCTGCCGGTTCAAGGTCGGTTGGTGGTTTCGATCTCGGGAACGAGGACTCGTTTTCGCAATGAGGTGGTCATGTCGATGGTGGGGGGTATGGGAGGACTGGGATGTGAGTGTGGGATGTGAGTGTGAGATGTGAGCAATGGGATATGATAGCTCATCCCGACGTTAGAATGCTGAGGATCAATAGTAATTAATAATACACTCCGCGTTGCAAGCTTTCTTGACGTGCAGATGGCCTGAAGAATTGGATTCAACATGTCTGAAATGAAGAACACGTGCTCCGTATCGGGCTAGCTCTTGCTTTGGGACTGTTCATTGTAGTCATACATACCTAGGTACTCGATGAGGAAAGCCCTGTGCTTGGACAAAAGGGTGATGCGTTATGGGAAGGAAAAAAACTCCGGACCCGTTCTTCACCTCTTTTGTATGCCTTCCGTTCCGCCCAACCTGAAGAAATTGCTCCTTCGCGCGCATACAATTTGTCCCCAGGTAAAACACCCATGACTGTGAAACGTGTGTGAATTGATCTACTTGACAGAATACTACCCCAGAGAGTAATCCACGCTGTTTACTGCGAACCCAACTCCGTCCCCTCCCATGCTGTGTCTTCCAATCCATCGACCGAGCGGCACACAGGTGTTTCTAACTCAGGGGTCACCTGCAGGTCGTCGAACTTTTCTAGGAACACATCGAGCTCGAACTCCTCCCCTTTGCCGCGATTCATCGAGTGTACAAAATTGGGATACTGGCTGCTCAGGGCCTTCCGGTCTTGGTGTCGCCAAAGTTGCGCTTCAAAGTCCGAGAACAACGCCTCGGTTTCGGGTGGCAGAGTGACCTCCATCTGCTTTGATGTGAGCTGGACCAATCGCAGCATACCCCTCCCTAGTGCCCACCGGTGAGATGCTGCTTTTGCCGCTATGCTGAGGCTGACGAACGCATCACGGCTCGCCTGGTTGTCCAGGCTTTCGAGGAGAGTATACATCGATACGGTGAACCAGTGAATGTCAATTGGCGGCATACAGTCGAGACCCCAGGATTCGCGTTGCTGTTGGATCAAAGCAGCATTCTGACGTGCGGCCTTGGCACAAAGATCTCCGGCCTTCTGACGAGTCTTTTCCAATTCGTCATCCTCATCCTCGCTCGAGTCTTTGCATTTCGGCAAGCCTTTCAAATACCCAAATATCGTTTGGATAATGGTGTTATAACTCATACTATTACAAATTCGTCAGTAAGGGACTGCACCGACCTTCCTTCACGACGGAGATACGAACTGTAGAGTCAACACGTGTGGAGTGGCATCATTTACCCCAAGGCAGTCAGGTAAGACCTCATACCACCCCTGCAGTCGACTATATAATCGCTCCGCACATGCGGCGGACTCTTTGTTAAATCTTCGGTCTTTGCCTTCGAACAAGTCAAGGCAGACGTCATATATTATTTGGCCCAAGTCACACAAAGCGGCGAAAAGACATTCACTGTGAGATTTCACGGGTTCTGAGTGGATAGGATACTGAACCCACTCATCCATGTGAACGTTACAGCTGGGTGTTGGACTTCGCCACCGTGGAACAGTGATCTGTGCTTCTTTTTGATATGCGAGAGCTGTCATCCTGGATGCAAACCAACACATTTAATTCGAGGCTCAGGCACTTATATGGGAGCCGTGCACTGCAGCAAGGTTATACTCACGAGGCAAAATTGAAAATCCCCCACAAGGTCCGATCAATCGCCCTGCTCTCCTGTATCGTCGTCTCATCGGCGTTTTGGGGTGGTGGTTTGTGCCTTCGAGAAAATTCTTTCGTGGCATTTGCTAGTTGACCGTAGTAGACCCAACCACTTCGATCTTTCCCGATCATACAAGATCTGATTCTGCCATGAGCGAATGCCGCATGCTTTGTCGATGTGGGGAAACTCACACAACATATAAAACACAAAGACCTTGCACGTTCACCAGACTTACCCTGCCTTCTTGTTCATCGAGCAACCGTTTGGCTTCATGATAGAAATGGATCCCTCGGGACGGCTGTTCATCTTTGGCACCATACGCCTCTGAATAGTCAGAAAACCCCTGTTCAGATTTATCAGTGTCACTAACAGCTCAATTACTCCAGACAATGTCAACTTACGCAGGCATCCGCAAGGATAACATTCACCAGAAAAGGTGAACAGAACTTGGCCTTTGGATTTCCGGACTGCATGTCTCGAATAAAAAGATCTCGATCGATCCAATTCAGGTACGGGTGAGACCAAGTGAACCACAAAGACATCAGATGCGATACAAAATCGTCATCGTCGGTCACCGTCGTCCATGGTTTCGCCGGCACCCGAAATAAAACCATCTCATGTAGGCTTTTATCCTTCGACTTTGGACGTGAAGTCTTTCTGGGGACGTCATCAAGCCTTTTCGCCTGGGTAAGAGCTTCAAGTAACTCTGGGCTCATTTCTATTCTGGCACGGTTCACAATGTCATCGACATACATTCTGATCTGCTCTAGGGATGCATGGCTGCGAATCAAATTCAGCACCTGTGCTGCGCAAACCTCGTCGGTTTCCTGGAGAATGAGCAGCAACTGATCTAGGAGCTTTGCCTTTTCTTCGAGGACTGAGATCTTGCGTTTCATTGCTTGCTTCCGGCGCTGATCAGCACTTTCGTCGACCATGCACACGGCGCCATTCTTCTGACAAGTGACGCATGGCACTCCTCCCGAACACTGGGAAAAGGTTACTTGCTGAAACAAACCAGGAACAAAGCCTCGATCTACGGGATCAGAATACCTTTAACTTCCGCCGTTTGCAATTTCCACATGCTGTCCTGGCATTTGTTCGCTTGGGCACTTTCGACGGCCCCGGAGGTCGTTTTTCCGTGTCCTCTGTAGCAAACTCCGGCCACTGCAGGAAGCTAGCCATGCCGGGCTCTTCGCTCAGTCATTCGTTCAATAATCACAGCTCTCCTGTCCCATGGCAGGTAAAACGTTATGTGCGAAAGGGTCGCTTTTTATTGAGATGCAGCCGCCGCGGAGATAGCTTCTCAATGTCAAGTCAAGCCAAAAAAATCCTTTATTCCAATTATCTGTACACCGGAACTTCGAATTTTTACCGTTCAAGGATGAGATAGCGAAACCGTTACAGAATCGAGGAATCTCAGGTATGGCTTTGGTATCATGAGGCTACAGGCGCCCTAAAGAATCTATCTAACGTCTCGAAGCTCTTTGCTGTTTAGCCAAGAGGTGGGCGAGATTCGGATCGGAAACGCGTCTTTTTGATTGGATTTCGGAAATGATCCCCTTCAGCAATCACCAGCTTTCGCGAGCGCGTCAAGTGGGTCCGGCTATGAATTCCATCCAGCCGTTCTATATCGCGCAGTCTTGTTCCCCTTCTCACCGGCAATTCCAACCCTTTTAGTTACCTTACTCAGGGACTTCGACTTTGCTGTCAATGATATTTTTATCGCCGCTAGTCGCTGGCCACTGCATTCTTGGGTCCCGGTACCTGCACTATTGCCTCGTGCTCGCGTAGCCTCAACTGGCGGTCTTGGACGTGGGGATTCACGTCACTAGTTTCACCAGGGGCATGAATTACAGATCGAGTCTTCTCCACCGGGCGTTTTGCTAGCATTGGGCTGAGGCGGCTCGGAATGCCCTTCTGAGCGGCCATCGAGACCAACTCGCCCATTTTCAAAGTCTTGGCGCGTCTCCATACTCAACAATCGCCACTAGCAAAATATGCTTAGCCTGGCGGTGACATGTCAATAATAGCCTTCTTGCGACCATGAAATGTGCATTATCCATGCATTTCCCCATCATGTGACTTGTACTTCACAGCACAGCATAGCAACCGGCATGTGAGATCACCCGTTTCATCCTACTCTTTATCCGTATTGGGAGCCGTGATCTTGATCTAACTACATACCGTAGCCTGACGCTGAACGCCAATCTCTCTATTCCGTATGGAGTACAACGCCAAGACTAATTTTTCCCGGCAATATGTATTTTACGCCGGCGTAAGCAACCTAATTCGCCTCCGCGGATCGGGGCTAGCGAGGCTGGCCCAGTCGGAGTGCCGCTGATATAACATACCGGGATATCCATGGATCCCAAGGGGCATCTCGTGTCCGCACTGGAACCTCACTGGAACCGATGGGGGTGCATCGGCCGCGCTACCACACATTCACCCAACAGCCTTGGTTACCCCACATATCAAGGCTATATATGAACCGGTGTATACCTTTGTAGTTGCTTGGGTGAGGCTCGCAACCTCCTGGGTCTCGGTCTGAGACAGCCAAGAATTAGATCGCTCGATTCACGCCTCGCCTCCCAGCTGCGTGCAGTCTAGCCCCCCCTAGGCTAACATTGCATGTATGGTTTGATAGAGTGGCACCTGGTCAACCGGAAATATGTAAGTCTCTGGTCGGTTTCTTTGACCCGTGTGATAGATTCAGACCGACACTTACCACGCCTCTTCCATTTCCCTGGTTGTTGTTCGTGGGTTTGCCCTGAAAGGCGAACATTAGAAGTTTCCCTCGAACACGCTTGATTTTTGACGCACTCCTCCTATTCGATACACACCCTGAAACGGAAGAATCTTCGTATTGCCGCTTGACTGTAACTGAAAGCCTAAGACTCGTCTGGTACTATGTAGCGAGCATGTATTTGCCTCCTGAATATTGCTTTACCACCCGACACAATACCCGATCCCTACATCTCCCGTCGCCTTAGGCATCCAAGCATTTCCATCCTACCGAGATCGTCTTTCTGCTGCGTACGCTATAATGAACCATATCGTGAATCCAAAATTCACTCTGCCATATCGTCTACACAGAGTTGATTTACTCCACGATGTTTGGCAAACCCACCATATTGCCGTACGACCCACACCTACTGAGCCTTTCTTCCCGTCTCTGCACATATGCGACGATCTCGGAAGATTTTAGCGTCTCATGCAATCTCGTCACAGTCTGATCACCAATCATTGGAGCTCCTAATTCCACTCTGCTAGGAAATCTCTATCTCCTCCATCCTTCCAATCAGTGAAATCTAGCCTACGCTGGTCCTGATGCAACTGGTGTCACTCATCTGCACCTCGCACTACCTAGTGGCCTGGCAGCTTCTCACTTCAGTATGGACAAACAATCAGGATAGAGGGTGCCAGTGACGGCCTATCATGTGAGGAGCCAAGACTCTATTCTGTCGCTGAAGACACTGGCTAATTATCTCGCACTGCCCTCAGACGAACACCACGGCTCCCATCCACGAATGGCCATGCTGTTAAACTTGCGAAACACCATCGGCCCTGAACATGGTGCCCTCGAGCTTCCACTCATGCATTATCGATCATATGCTGTTTCATCAAGCACACGCCCTGTGTATGGGTCCATAGCAGTGGTACTCGACGATCCTCTTAGACAGCCATGACCGATCCCATTTTGCAGAGCCGCGAACCAACCCGCTTCCAACCTCCCGCCTTTCACTTCTACGAGGTCGACATGAAGAAATATGGCTGAATTGGATTGCGCTTGATCCTGGACTCTTCAGTCCGACGCCTCACCATGCATCGACCAACGAGGATAGGACTGAATCAAGACTTTGAGACGGCCCACTGTCACGGCTTGGGTTTACAAATCGAACATCACCGGTGACCAATGAACAACTGATATCTTGTTACCCACGGATATCATCGGTCTCACAGAGCTAGAAAAGCATACTACAAAGAGGTAGAGGGAGTAACGGTCGAGTGCCGGCATGCGGATATCTGTCCAGACATATCAGCTACGATAGTATCTATCTCCACGAAATGAGGAGCTGGTATGAGCCATCGCACATGACCCGCAACAGTATATGATGGCAGAATTGTGCACACCACGCTAGTCTACCGAGTTCGGTGTCGAGTAGGCCATCATGATCAACTGAGTGGGATTGTGAGGAAAGAATAAGAGCGAAATACAACTACATGTCGGTATAGATATGAGAGATGCATGGGTCTTGGTATTTTGTCGCATCTCCCGTACCTTCCCAGTTCCCTGGATGGACACTGGCTCTTGCCCTCTACCACATCGGGCTCAATTCAACATTTCACAGTATTCCAGGCTAGACAGTCACAACACGGCATGGATTTCTTTCTATAATACTTGCTTCAATGGATTGATCGGTTCTCTGGTTCATGCGCACATCTGCACCTTGTATAGAACCATACTTTTTCCTTGACCGTGTCGGCAAATTGTTACCTCATCTCCATCAAGACGTCCTCCGTGTATTCCTGATCTCCCGTCTGTTCCAGGGACCACTATCCTCCATCTTTCCTACCGCTTTAGCTTAACTCGAATCATGACGACGGGGGCAGGACCGTCGCCCGATGCCTCTGCCAGCAATGCGACTGGTGCAAAAGGCAAAAGAAAACGCGTGTCGTTCGCTGAAGACACAACGCCTACTAGGGTATGTATATTCGCAGCACTTGGTTCGTGGAGAAATGTAATTCATCGTATATGCATAGCCTAGCACTACTCATCCTCCCCAGCGGCAGTCACCTGGAATCAATGCGTCCACGGGAAACCAAACTGCCGGTACTAGATCGCCTGGAGCTGGTTTCGTGGTGGAGCAAATGGCCATTCCCCTTGCTCCTATTGGAACAGTGCCTGAACGAACAATACCGGAGCAAGCCTTGGGTGGATTTTCTCAGACCCCAATGCAAACTTGTGATGCGGTACGTAAATCAAGAGCCCCCTTCCCCGTGGCAACTGTTAATGAGAATGAGACAGACGGCGATGCGGAACAACCAGCCGACTAGAGGGGATTCCCCCGATCGCGCGTTTGATAACCTTGGCAACTGGAGCATGTTCCTACGGGACTCCAGTGATGAAGCTAAACTTGCCCAATACTTTGGACTGGAGCGCAAATGTGACTTGAGACACTTTGCATTATCCTGGCCTGTCATTAAAACGTGGATAAGAGCACCGCACGAGCAGACAAGTGCCTTGAAGGATGAGATCAACCTCCTTGTCCAGAACAGCAAGGATGTATTGTCTTGCGTTGAGGACCCTTGTAACGTCTGGCCGCAGCAGCCACTGGAGACAGTGGCAGCAGCTTCTTCAAGACGAACACACATAATGGCATGGCATCTAGTACAGATGTCAAAAGACACTGAGGAATATATGCGATCGAGCGATGCACAGAATTCCCACCGTACCAGAAAGTCCCGTGGCGAAATAGGTGTGATCCTTGAGGTCGATCTGCCGCTTGATGATATCCGCCATCCTCGTCCCCGGCTGACAACCTGGAGAAATGAACTCAATGACCGATTGGACCGCTGCTGGGCTATACTGGGTTATGTCTCGTGGATTCCATATCTGATGTCCTGGCAGAAGGTCCTGCAACATACAGTCTCTGTCACAACCAACACATCTTTATACGATGTGAGAATGCCGACTAGTACAAAACCAAGACCTGGTCACGTTGCGTTGTACCCGCAAACTTCTTCGCTTCAAGAACAGACAACTACTCCGGTGCCGTCTCCAATCAAGATATACTGGCATATCAACAATAACACCTCCGAGAAGCCGGATCTGTGCCGAATCATCACAGAACTTGTCAATGATGGAAACGTCCTTCCTCCGACAGACCAGATTATGACGCAGCATCCTCGGCATTGCAAATCTGGAGCATCATTTCGGGACACCATTCGACGTATGATGGGATGCGGTACTTACGGATTGAACTTGTGTGATTTGATCTTGTCGTATCGATCGACCATTGAGGATGCCTACTATGAGATCAATATTTTCCGAATGCAATGGAAGGTGCTGAAAGGTATCTTTATCGACTTGGATAACTCGGATTTCTTGATTCGGGTGCTTCTGGATGTTCATGATTTTCAGCATGGCGATATTTATGAGACCACTGAATTGCCACCGGTGAAGTGAGTGCTTTTTATCACAACGTGTGGTCAATTGGGGTCGAGGCGCGTCGCCACCGTGCATGGTATATCCTTAGCGTCCTTTTTCTTTTGCCTCTTCCTATGCCATTGTTGATTTTCTTTTTCCAAGTCGCTGGAATTCTGCAACTCATGCCATCCACTGGCTACAGGGCATAGTTGAAGAGTGCCAATACTGCATTGATCGATATTTATATCACATTGTTATTCCTATGGGCCCTGGGCTTAGTTCTGTCTATAGGTACTCACCACGGCAACGGGATTTACCCTTCTAGTGCCTCCTGCAGCCAATCTAATTTTCATCCGTTATCCGTCGTGTATAATTAGATCTAAACCAATTGCTGATGGTGTAGAAGGCTCGCAAATCACCAGATTCCCCCAACTTGCCTAGGCATATCTAAAGGTTCGCTGTAAGAAGTCGGCAAATGGCATCGGCAGACTGGCAAACTCACACCCGCCTAAGTCCAAATGGCGATTGCCAATGAGCCGAGTGGCTATTGGATTTGTCTATTTACCGAGCAACCCGGAATCAAATGACATCAAAGCCGTAAGGATTGACTTATTTGATCCTAGCTCGTCGCGGTGTCCATACTGCGTGCAAGAGCGCTGTCGGCGATTGAAACTAATAGCCGTCGGGTTTTGAAGGGATGCTACATGCAACTGCCAACTGTCCAATTATTCAGACCGAATACTACAACCATAGCTATCCGCGAACCCGATCAACACAGTATCAAACCACCCAATAGATGACGAACCCTGGTCTTATACGTCGCTGTTCGCCCAGTGGAGACCGGAGGGAAGGTGGAAATTGTTCCATCAATCACCGATCCCCCGCGTGGGAATAGCCGTCGGGGATCCACAAGCCACTCGCTCTACACCAACGCCAATCGTCTTTCCCCGCGGCCAAGAACTGAGCACTGGTCCGATGGGCTAAGACCGGCCTCGAATGGATGGAGAAACTACCTGTCGCCAGTCCATCCAGTGGGCCACCCCGCCATTAATTTCCCCAATTCGTTCCCCAGTCTCCACATCTATACCCCCCGGACTGTCCAAGCTCGGCAGCTTGAGGAGGCTATCAGCCATGGCAAAGATGGTGAAGCCACTTGATTGCTTATGGGAATTAGGTTGGCCCTTGGCGTGACACCGTACCATTGTGCCGTGGCTTAAGTATAAATCCGGATGGTTCCCAAACTGGATGGTTCTTTCTTTTCTCCCTTTTTCGCTACGGAAGACTTCTCTTAGAGTCAATTCCTCCCAATCTTGATCTTTCTGTTGGAATTGTGACTGGGGAAGCCACCTGTTTCCTTTCAAAATGGGTTTCGTCAATTTCAAGAACTATCGGGTCTATATCCTCACCTCGGTGGCCTATCTAGGCTCACTGCTCTTCGGTTCGTTGGCCCTGCACACGGTGAATCACAGCTCGCTAACACATATCCTTCACAGGATATGACACGGGTGTTATGGGCTCAGTCCTGGCTCTTTCGAGTTTCAAAAAGGACTTCGGCCTCCCCGTGGACTCGTCTGGATTCAGCAGCGACGAAAATGCCCATGTCTCCTCCAACGTGGTCTCACTACTCACAGCAGGATGTTTCTTCGGTTCTATCCTTGCTGCTTACATCAACGACAAACTAGGCCGTCGATATTCACTAATGATCTTTGCCGTGATCTTCCTCGTCGGAGCCGCCGTTCAAGTCGCCGCGCACCACGAGATCGGCATGATCTACGGCGGACGTGTCATTGCGGGTTTCGGTATCGGTGGAATGTCTAGTATCACTCCCGTCTTCGTCAGCGAGAACTGCCCGCCCGAGAACCGTGGCCGTATTGCTGGTCTATTCCAGGAATTCCTGGTTATCGGTAGCACTTTCGCCTACTGGTTGGATTACGGTGTCGCCCTGCATGTGCCCGAGGGTACAAGCCAATGGCGTATTCCAGTTGCTATCCAGATCATCCCCGGTGGACTGATGCTTATTGGATTGTTCTTCCTCAAGGAGTCTCCTCGCTGGCTGATGAAGAAGGGCCGCCGCGAGGAAGCACTTAGTTCGCTCGCTTACATCCGTAATGAACCGGAGAACAGCGAGGCTGTTCAGACCGAGTTTGCTGAAATAACGGCCGCTATTCACGAGGAAACACGGGCCACTGAGGGTTTGACTTGGAGGGAATGTTTGAAGCCAAGCAACCGATACCGGTTTTTCCTGGCTTTCGTTCTCATGTTCTGGCAGCAGTTCTCTGGAACGAATAGTATTGGATACTATGCTCCTCAAATCTTTGCTAGTGTGAGTTGACCCGGACTCTATTTGATATTATCCCAACTTGTGGTTTAGCCAGAGTCTAATCATGATCCTTCCAGGTCGGATTGAGCAAAACGAACTCCTCCTTGTTCGCCACTGGTATCTACGGCACTGTCAAGGTGGTTGCAACAGCCATCTTCCTGATCGTCGGTATCGATCGCTGGGGCCGTAAGAAGAGTTTGATCGGCGGTGCTGCCTGGATGGCCAGCATGATGTTCATTATTGGCGCTGTCCTCGCCACGAATCCCCCCGACGCGAAATCCACCTCCGTCTCATCAGCATCCATCGCCATGGTCGCCATGATATATCTCTATGTCATCGGTTACTCTGCATCCTGGGGACCAACTCCCTGGGTGTACCTCGGCGAGGTAAGTCCTGCATTTCAGTTCATCACGTTTCCGCTGCCGTCGACTAACATCATCCCCTTAGATCTTCCCCACTCGTCTTCGCGCGTACGGTGTCGGCTTTGGTGCCGCCACGCAATGGCTATTCAATTTCGTCATTACTGAGATCACTCCCCGTGCTATTAACAAAATCGGATGGAAGACGTTCCTCATGTTCGGCATTTTCTGTTTCGCCATGGGTGTCTTCGTCATTGTTTTCTTCAAGGAGACTAAGGGCCGAACACTGGAGGAGATGGATCTTATTTTCGGGGCTGTGGATGAGCAGCAGAGACGTGCTGATGTCGAGCATTCTTTGCAGAAGACTCAAATTATGCATGAAGAGCATGCAGATACTGAGACTGCAGATAATGAGAAGACTGCTCACCCTACGGAGCACAAGGAGTGAATTAGATGGTAGACTAGATATTCCTCACTTTAGAAGATACATGCATCCAAAGAACTTATGATGTATACATATGCTCGTCACATGAAGCACTCGACTCAACTGGACTAGCATTCCCTACAGCGGGGTGACATTTTCTAAGAGTATCTACTAACTATAGTCTGTTCAATCATTTGTCTCGGCTCGTAAGATACATCCGCCTGTCTACAAAGAGCATAGAGCAATCCTGAAAGCCAGCCAACGAGGAACAACCAAGCAAGTGTCACCAGTGGAAACCAGCCCTCCGTCCAGCCCCAGCTGCTTCGGGTCCAGAAACACACTCATTGTAATACTAATCGCGCTAATATTATCAACGCGGAGCTCCATATACATCTCCGAATAATCAAACTTGCTATGGACAGCCCTCGTCCAGACCCGGTCAGCAGGTTAATTGCCATTTGTAGCAATCAATACACTCACTCTCATATAATGATTCTCGCTCGTATGGAAAGGACAATCCAAAGGCCCAGATGTTGCTTGTACTTCAATGATATATCCCAGACCCTTGTCCGTCCAATCATCATCGAGATAGCCATGAGCAACAAGCAAGGCTGCGTTAGAAGTTCGCTGGGATGTAGCACACGCTGGCTCGAGGATGATGTGACAACACTCCTTGGCTGTGTGTGACTTTGACTCGATATTGGAAGATACGTTTGTGGCGTTTCAGCTTGTGAGCCATCGTCGACGTCGGGATTTTCCTTGGGTATATCGATTTTGGCGATACCTCGACGTTCCAAAACCAGATCGGCGGCACATGGATGGATGCTTAAGATCATGGACGTCCCTTTGAGTGCATTATTTTCAACAGTTTCCAGGATCTAGCTTGTGGAATCACACATAAGCCGTTCAACAAGCTGTTGAGGTAGAAGGGCGCAAAGGCAACGTTCCTGCGCTTTCCTATCTCTAGACACGTAGATGGAGAGGCCAGACGCTTTTTAGCTAGGTAATTTCTAATTTCATGATCAATTCTTCGACCTTGGCTACTATTCAATCTTGAGATATACCTAAAATCGAGATAATGGAATTGTCTCGACAGTAGCTGTCTGTAGTAATCTGTAAAGCTCTTGGGATTGGGGTGATATCTCGAGCTGTTGAATGTGACTGTGATACTGAACGATAATCAATATATTAGTAGTATACGCTATAGTTGTGTCTCTGCCACCTGCCTTGAGATTGGTTTTTCTGACAGGTAAGAGATCAAAGACTGGTTTTTTTTTTCATTTTTTTTTTTCAAGAAGTGGCTTTCGGTCTTGCGTCCAGGCGAATGCCAGCACGATCTCGGCCTAAGAGGATATGCGTTTTCCCTCAGCAGTGTCTGGCAGTTCACGGTTCTCGCTTCTTGAAAGGTCAGTTGTAATATAAAGCGTGACAAAAGAGCCTTTTCTCTTGGGTGAACTATCACCATTGGCATCGATTGACTCGGTATTGAGCAACATTTCTCGTTGAGAATGACTGTCCAGGTAAAGCTTTTTGGAACTCTTTAGTTTATAATCTTTGTCAAAGAAGAATACCATTATCTCGTTCAAATTCCTCAAAAAGAGAAGGTCTGTTCGGAGTCGTTAACTTGTTTGATAATAGTCCTGTGAAGATGTTCGATATCATTCCTATCCCCATTCCAATGAAGATGAAGCGTTATGCGAGTCAACGGGCCTTCGGTTTTCCCATGGAGAACGCGCTTAGAGAATTCACGATCTCTGCTCCGCAAGTTTCCGCGCAGTTAGATACACCGACGCATATATTATGTGATGCGTCATTTGGTGACCTTGTCGTGAGATTAATAGGCTTCCACTCGTCTGGCTGTCCGGAGTACGGAGTAGATACGAAGGTGGAATCTCCTGGGGTTATTATTAGCTTGTCATCAATTCCAGCTCATGCTGCAGCGAATGGAATTTCTAAGAGGCGCATATAGTCCGGAGTACTACATCCTGATACTTAGCTTGTTGACAGGATTGCCTCGCGGTTTTTGGAGTCCTCTATTTCATCCGCGTGATTAGCACAGCATTGGAGCACTTAGGTACTCAGAGATGAGTATAACCACCTCCATTGAGATTTGCACCCTTGATTTCGCGTTAGAATGCCTCATGAGGGTGCTATATCTGGCCGTTGTGCCTCTCGGCGACATCGAGCCCCACAATAAATGCCGCGGGGAAACTTCCGATTTCCCTCGCCTTCCTCTTCACGTGTGCAGCGCCCACAGTCTCGATGGGATCCCTCGAAGAAACATGCGCTTCCTTGCGTGCTCAGATCAGCGCAACTGAGGCACAACTTGATGGTTTGAAACGCGATCTTGCGATCGCCGAAAAAGCGCAATCGGAGAACGCAGCGACTACCGAAACCCAGCACGACACGAATGCCGACTCAAGGCGGTGGCCATTGCTCCCAGAGGAATATAAACGATATGGACGGCAGATGATTGTTTCTCAAGTTGGTCTCAAAGGTAGGATATGCTTTCTCCCGGTGGAAGTTGAGAAACGCGCTTCTTGGACAGTTGGGCTGATCGCGATCTTAAAACTTTAGGTCAGCTCAAACTCCGGTCGGCCAAGGTTCTACTCGTTGGGGCTGGAGGACTGGGATGTCCAGCGGCGCAGTATCTTGCTGGAGCTGGTGTTGGCACGATTGGTCTCATTGATGGTGATACGGTCGAGGTGTCGAATCTCCATCGCCAAGTGCTGCACCGCACGCAGAATGTGGGCAAGTACAAGGTGGATAGTGCTATTGAGTCCTTAATGGAGTGAGTGTGATCCTATCAAGAGAAATCGTGTGGAGCTAGGCACTGACGATTTCTGCGACATTTGCTAGTCTCAATCCGCATCCCACGTACATCGCGCACCGAACACATCTCACGCCCGAGGACGCGTCGGCGATCTTCCAGGACTACGATCTTATTCTGGACTGCACCGATAACCCGGCGACGCGCTATCTGATTTCGGATACTGCCGTGCTTCTTGGAAAACCATTGGTTTCTGCGTCCGCCTTGCGCACTGAAGGCCAGCTGATGGTCTTGAATAACCCACCCCGGGCACCAGGCGACAAGACTGGAGGGCCATGCTATCGATGTGTTTTCCCCAAGCCACCACCTGCTGATAGCGTGGTGAGCTGTGCAGACGGGGGTATTCTGGGCCCCGTCGTTGGCACCATGGGTGTCTTGCAGGCTCTCGAGGCAATCAAGGTGCTTACTGCACCTGATCTTGACACCACAGATGGTAACACGGGCCGCCCGCGTGATCCTCCGTCCCTGCATATCTTCTCCGCGTACTCATCGCCCCTGGTTCGCACAATCCGTCTTCGGTCGCGCCGAGCCAATTGTGCAGTGTGCTCTGCTGAGGCCACCGTCTCACTGGATACAATCAAATCAGGATCGACAGACTATGTGTTCTTCTGCGGATCCACAAGTTTACCCTCGCTACTGGGTCCTGAGGAACGTATCTCTGCTGAAGAATACAGCCAAAGATACCCATCTGGTTTGGATTCGCAGCGACACACAATAATTGATGTCCGAGACGAGGCCCAATTCGGGATTTGCAGTCTGGAGAATAGCATCAACATCCCTATCTCTAGCATCCTTTCCTCGGGTTACTCCTCTGGCATCCAGGGGTCCGATAATGAGCAGCAAACCCCACAATTCCCTTCGTGGTTGCCATCTGAGGTTGCCTCGTCTGAGACTACGGACCCAATCTACGTTGTTTGCCGTTTAGGAAACGACTCGCAGATTGTTGTCAAGAAGATGAAAGAGCTAGGTCTGGATCGGCATGGAAAGCGATTTATAGGAGATATTCGCGGAGGACTACGATCATGGAAAGAACAGGTGGATTCCGATTGGCCTGAATATTGATTGATCAAGTCGATAAATATCTGAGCGCCTATCTGAAAACGATCTTCAATTTGCCCATTTTCTCAAGCTGCCGGCCTTCCAGAGTCGCCTGTGTGAGCGAAGAAACATGACGATCTTATTTATATCCACCACCAATCTACATGCACACGTCCTTCATCGAGATTTCCGAGTCGCTGGAAAACACCGGTGGTAACATCAATATCAAACTCTTGGCATCCCTCGCATCGATCTGCAACAGTCACATCTATGCCATTACCTCCGCGCTGGACGTGGATCCTCCTCCCACAGAGCTGATTATGGTTAGGGTTGCCGTCTACATTCGAGCGATCATATACGACGCGCGAAATCGCGCAAATATCATCACCTGCGTTGTTGAACCAACCGCACGCTCCAACTCCGGTGTTATACCAGGTCAGATCACCACCGAAGGCCTCAATACTGGCCGGGATATATGTGTTGTTCGATTGACTGGAGTTTGGGTCAATTCCAGGATGAAGATTCCAATGGGTAGTGCTGCAGATAGGAAGGGCCCTGTAGATGCTTGCTTACGTAGTGGTCTCATGTGGAATTGGACCATGGGGAAAGGGATCATTGGTAGGAGCAGCACTAGCTAATCCCATGTACAGGAGTATCATCATGGTGATGAATCTGGCTGTACATATCATATTGGACATCGTTGTGAATTTCTCCTCTTCTCGCTTTTTTGGCAAATGTAGGTTCTGGTCGGGAACTCGCTTGTGGGCGATGTAGCATATAATTCAGGTCTTTTCATGAATAAAGTCGACGATTATATGATAACTGCTATGGAGGACCCTCCCCTTTTCGGCGTCTTTTTTCATCTATATAGCGGAGTATCAGAAGCATAGAATGGAATGAATCGGACTATCTGAAAATATCGGGGTGAATGGAGTGTTTCTAAGCATTCTCTGTGCCGGAATGGTATAATCTAAGCAGAACAGAGCCATTGACCGTATATCGTTCACTCAATTGAGGGTTTGGCAAGTCTACCATCAAGCGCTCCTAGAAGACCATACATATAGCGCTAGACTCTAGGGAATGGATCACAGAAGGCATTCTTCCATAGGATACACTCGGTCTTCGGCATGCCATGAATACTACGAAAGAATCGATGAATTAGTGCCTACTTTCTTGGTATCTTGAAAATTTGGGACATCGAGTTATGAGCTCTAAAACTCTTCGGTCACTTATTGCCTTGAACCAAAATGCCTCGCAGGGTCTTTGGTCACTCCACATACTTTGCGTATCTTGCCATCCCTAAGGGGAGCTACTATGTGGTATCCCCTCGGAGCATTTCATACGGAAGTAGATCGAGCTTTTCCAAATTCCCAGAAAGCGGTTCAAGAATATCATGAGTACTTCCTTTTCTAAATTTGCAAGATCTCTCGTTTCATCGCCCCGGCCCCCTTGCCTTAGGTCTATAGTGGATATCGAAGAAAGAGACATGCCACCAGACCAGTGGGTAGGTGGGCTCAGCTACGACGCAAAAGCTGACCTCACCTACGACCCACCTAAAAAGTGGAGCAAAAAAAATTAGATTACAATCACATGACATATAGCATGTAATATTATGTATGAAGTAATTAATTTCTAAGCCATACCGGACCTTCTTTCTTCCCCACCCTTCCTCTCCACATCACCAACCAATTACCACCTAGGTAACACCCTTTGCGCATTAGGATTTGATGATTAATCTAATTACTTATCTAGCGCAATTATGTCATCACTAAAGAAATTCAAACCTTACCTCGATTATTAGGAGCTAAGTGTAACTGACCTAAAGCTTATGCCTAACCTTAAGGAGAGAGTGAGTTATCTAATGCATTATTAATACTTTAAATCGCTAATAATATATATTAAAGGAGGGCATATTCTTACTATATTACGGCGAAACGTTCTATAGGGTTACTAACTATCCTAACGAAGTAAGTCTTTATATTCCTATTCTTTACTTTAGCAAAGTTATTAATAATAAATTAGATACGGTTCTTAAACTTTACTAATCTAAAGTTCTATATTTAAAATAAGTATCCCGAAGTCTATAAGAGGCTTATATAGAAAACCGAAGATAGTAAGAAGCCTAGCGGAAGACCTCTTACTAAGGTAACTAAGCTATTAAAAAGTAAGTTTAATTTAGAATTAATAAATTAATAATTACTAAAGTTAATATTAGTATTCTACTAATCTATTATAGATATAGTTAACGCCCGAATTACTATATAAGAGTAATAGAAACTTAACCTACCCCTTAAGACTATTAAGGGTATTACGTCTATAAGTTTAATTTATTATAAAGGACTTAATATTTAACTAATCTATCTAGGTAAATATAACCTATATAAGAGAGGTACTTCTAGAGAGGTTCCCTAAAAAGAAGTTCCCTTATATCGCTTATAAGTTAGATAACGCTTCTAAGGGTCTATCCTTCCTATAATCACTCTATTTAATATATTACTAATTTATTAATAGAGTGCGGAATATTCGCCTAATATAATAAGTGCGATTATCTATAAGAGTTTAACCTACCGCCCCTTAAAGATAAGCTAGAGGTAGAAGAGTTAGATAATGACTTTACTATAGTTAATAGGTAGCTATAGAGTGATTAGTAATAGGTTATTAACCTATTACCTATATAAACTTTCGTTATAATCTTTTATTTAATTATAATACGTATAGAGGTCCTACTACTACCTACTATTTTAGAGCTAGGGTATATAAGGTAACCTAGTAATATCCTTAATATATTATAAATAAATATATCTTTACTAATTATAGTGAATAATAGGAGTAAGGTTAATAGGGTTAATATATTACGAATATATTTAATTTTTCTAAGTAAAATAGAATAATAAGTATAAGGTAGATAGGGTTAATATATTACGAATATATTTAATTTTTCTAAGTAAAATAGAATAATAAGTATAAGGTTAATAGGATTAATATATTACGAATATATTTAATTTTTCTAAGTAAAATAGAATAATAAGTATAAGATTAATAGGGTTAATATATTATGAATATATTAAGTATTTATATCTTTAGTATACGTATCCTACCTTCTTTAACTCGATATAATAAAGAAGGTAGCGTAAGATAAAAATATATCTTTATCCTAATAATTTAGTAGATAAAAGAAATAGATTACGCTTTCTTTTAGTACCTTTTACTAAATATACCTCTTTATAATATAGTTCTTTATAATTTAGTCCTTTATCGAGTTATATAAAGTTAAATAACTACCCCCTCGATACTAAAGTATAAAGGGTATCTTATATCTAGTCTAATCTCTAGTTTTATTAATAAATATTATTATATTAATATCTTACTATACCTTCTATTAAGAATTCTAATACCTAGAAAGCCTATATAGCTATAAACCTCGCCGATTTATAACTCCCTAATATCTCCTAAAATATTAGTTTATACTATAATAATATATTTATTATTTATTAACCCTATATAGGTACTCACTTAGGACCTCCTTTACTACGATAAAGTATACTACTATACCCTAGGCTATTCTATAATAGTATATTTTCTTCCTTACTTCCTTTAAATACTTATTATATCACTCGAATAATATATTACTAATATATTTATAGACTAAGTTCTCGAACTTTACGAACCTTAAAGCCTACTATTAGGCTAAGTATCCGGAGATCTATAGTAATCTTATATTTAATACCTTTAGACGCCTATCTAATAAGGCTATATAAGAATCTATTAGTATATATAAAATATTAAAAGGGTATTATTAAGTAGTTTATTATATTTAATAGTCTTAACCTATAGAGTGGTTCGAAGGGATTATAGCTACCTATAAAGCCCGGCGTACTACGCGGTTAAAACTAGACCTCCCCCTTAAAATCCTTCGAGGGGTTACTATAGTAAGTTTAAATAGATTTATTATCTATTATTAAATAATTAAATAGGCTTATTAATATCTAGATAAACCTTACTACTATAATAGCTTCTATCTATAAGTACTATCCCCGTATCCGGTACCTATATAAGAGTTATAAGCGTAACGGTATACGATAAGGTACGCTATTAAATAATATAACTCTATCTAAATTAATTAATAAGTTATTAATAGTATACGGTAAACTCTCTCGCCGAACCTAATATAATCTATTTAATTACTTTACCGACTAAAAGGAGGAGGAAGAGAAGGAGGAAGAGGAAGAGGAAGATAAAAAGGACTATAAGGTTATATTAGATACCGCACTTAATTAGGTTTCTAACTAAAGGAGTATATAAATAGATAAGTATATTAATAGAGAAGTATATATAGATTTTACGTTAATTAAAATAGCTAATATATTCCTAATATATTATATTAAATTCTTTTATATATAATATACTATAGGATTAATTATTTACTAATATATTATTTCTAAGATCTATAAAGGTATAGGGAAATTTCTTATATTAAAATCCTTAACTATTATATAGGTCCTAGAATAGGGCGAAGTGTTTATACTTTGCCTTCTATGAATCCGAGTAATAAACTCGATAGTAGTTAGCTTTATTCTACTTAATATATTATTAATATAGGATAATATATTATAGATATATTAGGGAACGAGATCCTACCTTTTTTAGGTATATAAGCGCCTTTATAGGCTATATAAGGAATTAAATATCCTAGTAATCGTATAGCTTTCCTTATCTTATTAACTAATACCTAGGGAAAGGTAAGTAATTAAAATATTAATAATAGATTATCTTAAACTTACTGTAGTACTATTTTTACCTAAAGGTAATATTAGTAAATCGAGAGAGGTATCTTACGTCGGCGATAGTATAGCTAGTTCGTACGTTAGCGATAGTATAGCTAGTATCTTACTACCTATATTACCTAGTAACTAGATAAGAGGGGTAGTAAAGACCTTACTTTCCTCTTCCTCGGGAATACCTATAGGTATAGGTATAGTAGGCTTACTATAAGACGGGGGATTAATCTAATTATTAGAGTTATAGATAATCGTATCGTAGAAGACTAGTTTAAATAAATAAGGTATTAGTATTATATATTTAATAAATTAATAAAGTATTATATACTTACCTATAGACTAAGCTCGTTAAGGATTAGTATACCTCCTAAAGGTATAACGACTATAGATATTAGGATACCTCCTCCGATAATAACTAAGAAGATTAGTCGACGAGCTAAATTATCTCTATTAATATATTAATAGAAATTTATAATATATTAAAATAGTTAGAACTTACTATATATAAGTATCTAGTAGTACGATAATATCGCTTACTAACCTCGAGAGAAAATTTATTCTCTGACTATTTCCCGTTAGTATAAGCGCTAATTCCTAAGCGAAGCTACTAGTTAATTTAGTATAGCGCTAGTAGCGTACTAAAATAGACTAGTTATCTCGGCTAAGTGCTAGCGGCTTAGCAGTATAGTACTAATCTATTAATAGAAGGAGAAAAGCTTATATTTAGAATAAAGGGAGGAAGTCGAAGTTCCTCGCGCGGTATTTTAAGGTATCGGTTAAAGTTAACCTATAGGTATAATATATAAGTAAGATATATATAATATATTTATAATATATTATATATATATCGTAGCGGATTA